TCTAGTGAAAGTGCTTTACTTTAGATAATATTCTTATAAGATGAAAAAACTAATAAAAATTCAATTGATTAACATAATATTATAATTACACAAAAAGTTATACTAACACTATGATTGGTCAATTTAGCAGCAATTGTTCCCATGCAATTGCTAACAATTATCTAGTGAAAGTGCTTGACTCTAGATAATATTCTTATAAGATGAAAAAAGTAATCAAAATTCATTTGATTGTCATAATATTATAATTGCACATAAAGTTGTTTAACACTATTATTGGTCAATTCAATGACAATTGTTTCCTTGTAATTTGCTAACAATTGTCTAGTGAAAGTACTTTACTTTAGATAATATTCTTATAAGATGAAAAAACCAATCAAAATTCAATTGATTGCCGTAATATTATAATTGCATAAAAAAATTATTTTAACACTATGATTGGTCAATCTACTAGAAATTGTTCTCATGCAATTTGCTAACAATTATCTAGTAAAAGTGCTTGACTCTAGATGATTTTTTATAAGATGAAAAAATCAACAAAAATTCAATTGATTGTCATAATATTATAATTTCACATAAAGTTGTTTTAATCCTATGATTGGTCAATTCAATGACAATTGTTTCCTTGTACTTTGCTAACAATTTTCTAGTAAAAATACTTTACTCTAGATAGTATTTTTATGAGATGAAAAAACGAATCAAAATTCAATTGATTGTCGTAATATTACAATTGCATAAAAAGTTGTTCTAACACTATGATCAGTTAATTCATTGACAATTGTTCTCTTGCAATTCACTAACAATTGTCTAGTCAAAATGCTTGACTCTAGGTAATATTCTTTTTAGATGAAAAAATCAATCAAAATTTGATTTAAAAATATTTATATATACCTCATCATGTATGTAGACATATTGATCATGAAAATGTGAATTGTATTATTTCAAGCTACTTGTAGAATAAGTATTTCTAAATTTATGTGATAAATCTGATCATTGTCATAAAAATGATGGTAACTACATCATTTATTACTTACTTGGCGAGCACTTACAATGTCTCTATATTATTTGATGTTGTAGTGGTATGTTGGTGCTGATTTTGATGGTGACATAGACAGGAGAAGTTTTCTGCCCTTATGACCACTTCACTTTGACCAGGGGCTCAACAAATTACATGTTTTTGTACTGTCAACTGTAAAGATGAAGAGTTCTCTGATAGTGTGTTTTTGATTTGATGAAGACACAGTGTTCTTCATCTAAGCATAGAAAGATTTAGCATAAAAATTTATGCTATTCAAAGATGGTGTGCTTATCCTTCTGAAGATTATGTCACAGAATTGTATCACACATTAAAACAAAGGTCGTGAGTCTCAACAATTTTTAGCAAACAGAGAATCTTTTCATCTTGGAGTTGTTTGTGGAGAAGCTGGTGGCCAGCCACACTTCCAAGCAAGCAAAATGTGATGTGTTTTTGATGGTCGTTGAGAAGAAGAGATGTGGGCATGCTTCATGTAGTCATCGAGTACTCTCTCTGTGTGTCTCTGTGTCTCTGTCTCTCTGTCTGTCTCTCTCTCTCTCATTTTAAGTCCGAAAACGACTCTCGTAGGTTAGACGGCTGAAAGAAATAGTATTAAAGACGCCCGAATGCTTACACCATTTACACAAAATCTGGTATTTTCTTTTTTTTCTATTCTTTTTAATCCTCGCCTTTTTTTCCTTGTCAGCTCCTCCTCCCTCTTTCTGTACCACATGATTTCAGCACTCCATCAAGGAATCACCCATGTCACTTCTTATTTATTAAGTTTCAAAGGCATATCCGATATGCGCATAGTTCTTGCTTTCGCCACCAATATGTACGTATCTTTGGGTGGTAGGGGAGGGGCTCAGACGCGATCGAGCGGGTGTAGAGAGAGAGAGAGAGAGAGAGATGCTGACATGGGAGTGATCATGGTACTGAGAAAGCCATGCTTCTGGTGGGACTGACAAGGAGAGGCCTTCCTCTCCTATGACCGTCAACTTTGCGAATTCCGAGGGACGACTTTGACTTGGTGAATTAATTCAACGACAGCCAAAATGCCACCGTATACACCGATCTGAGGCGAGTTGATGAAGAATGAGGATTCAATTTAACCGACTATGAAAATATTTCCTTCTAGGTCACTCTCATACAAGGAAGATGAGGTTCACAACGGGCATCCTTATCGTCAGTAGGTAGCAAGTTACTAGCTAAAAAGAAGAGAGACAAAACCCAAGGAAACCACTGGCGTCTCCATTGAAGGATACGCCACTAAGATGGCGTAGAGTCCAGTGATCTCTGCCATCAAATTCCTCGCGATCCTCTCGCAGACCACGCCAAGAGTAGCCAGCTGATTGTTTCAAATATAGAAGAGTTGGAGAGGAGATCTCCAATAGGAGAGGAATCGGAGCTAACTATGCTGGCAAGAATAAACGAAATAGGGTCCATATAAACTAACACACGCGTGCTAGTTTTTAATTTGACCGACCTAAAGGCTAAGCGCGGGGTCCAGTCTCTCCTTAAATTTTAAGTGCCAGAAAGAGAGAAGGGGCGTGGCCACCTGGTGAAGTGCAGTGGAATTGCACATCACCAACTTCTTTGATCTCAGAAGGCTGAAGGGTAAAAGCCGACATCTTAACCGGCTCTTCGTTTCACCGAATACGCCGACAAGATAATTTCTTGGGAAGAATATGACTATATTCCAGGCAGAGTCTGCCGCTGTAACTCGGCGAAGAAAGAATGCCACCGGAACTAAGCTGCTCAAAGAATCGCCGTCTTTAAGTCACTGTCTATGAAACGCCGGAACCAAGGATGAGGAAACGGACACATCTCCAAGGACCAGGATATTGTTCCGGCTGGAAAGAGAGCGAGGAAGAAGCCTCTGAGGGAAATGTAAGTACATGCAATCTCCGGGCATATACTCTCGAATCCTCGGAGCCCGATGATCTATTGCTTAGTTCCGCCTTAGAGCATAGGAGAGAAAAGCGTTGGCGAAGGACTGGTACCACTAAACCATTTCAGAGTGCGAGTGTAGGGCAAGCTGCTTGGAAAGGGACGGCCATGCAGGGGATAAGGTTTGGACGAGAGAAAATAGAAGGGGCATTTATGGAATAGTCTGGCAAGATAATAGTCTCTACCCTCCCCTCCCCCACAGCTGGTGCAGTTTAGCTGTTGAGCATCAACGCCTCCATGCCGAAATAGCTAAAAGGGCGAGTGGGTGCACACCTCACTTCTTTGTGGCACCCGTCCCCGGGTCTTCCTCTTCAGTACAGAGGAGGGGGAAGAGAATGACACCAGACAAGGTGAGTTGGCGGTCAGAAGCTGGAAAGTGACTGTGGAGGAGTGTTGAGTCGGATCCAAATGACCAGATCTCGATCAGACCATGGAGGGCACGGCCGCCTGACTCAGAGACCATATGGTAGAAGTCGTCGAGGCCCTTTCGCAGCCGTGTTTTAGGGCTTAGAACGAAAAGGCCTTCAGCGCGCAAGGGTGGTTTTGGGAATTTGTTTAGAAAAGCAAGGTCGAAAACTAGTTATAGAGTTCCGGTTTACAAACTAATGTCTACGTCTCGCAGCTCTTTACAAGGGAAAAAATGGCAATCGGCATTTGGAAACTCCTCACTAAGAGCGACAGAGAGAGAGAAAGAGAGAGTGTTATGCGGATTTTAGCCCGACATGACATGGGGTGTTGTGCGGCCAGTTGGCGGAACGGATGCCATGAAGAGGCGGATCTTCCAGCTATCACTGACTTCAGTGCTTCTGTGGGGGTGAGCCACCGATAGGGGAGCCTTGATTTGTCGAATGCTGACGACTCTATGGTTTCAAGCCGAATAGTCGGCACGTCAGCATAAACATTCAAAACCTCCGCCTGTCGTAAATGCCCAGAGGATCACCCGAATACCTAATTATTCAGATGTTGACCCGATGGGGCACCTCTTGACGTCAAAACGCTCAAAAAATCTTTCAGGCGTTCACTGCAAGATATTTTCCCCTCCGAGATGCCGTGCTGGTTGTCCGGAGCCCTGAGTAAAGTAGAAAGAAGCTAAGAGAGAGACAGAGATACAGGCGGATGGGAGAGTGAGAGTGAGAGGGAGAGGGGAGAGAGAGAGAGAGAGACAGACAGACAGACAGGGAGAGAAAGACAGACAGAAAGAGAGAGCTGGTTCTCCCACCTGTGACATTGAGACGAAGGTCCCCAATGATGAGAGTAAGGAAGAAAGATGGTCGACAGAGTTTTATGTTTCAGACGGACCTGGGCAGTCCAGATTCACTGCTTCCCACCACCACCACCGCCGCACCCACCACTAGAGCGACGGTCGTCGTAGGCTCGGTATATATTCCAGATGGAAACTTTTCTTAGGCGTTTACTTTGCAGTTTCCACGTTAGCCATCCGTCACTGGTTCTCTGCGCTGCTGATACTCACTGTGTGGCGGGGAGGCGAGGCTGGACGGCTTTCTCTCCCATAGACCCCTGCCTCCATTAGGGTTTCCAATAAAACTGAATGCCACGGGTCATGACAGTGCTTAAATCGTTTTATTGAGGTCTCATAAACGGCGACTTGCATCACCGAAGAGACTGTGGGACTTGTCGTTGACCGTCGGCATCTCATTCAAATGCAAGAGAGTGGGTGCTTTCTTTCCCACCACGTAGGATAGCACGTCGCTGGGTCCTCCCCGTGTCACCTTGGACGCCCCACACGCAGAACAAAATCTTTGTCCTGTCGTTTGAGACAAGGTACTGCCCATCCATTTTCTTCTTCTTCTTTCCAGTAAAATTAGATATTCCACATCCCTTGTTATATAAGCACCTCCTGAGCATGGATGAGCATTCACAGCCACGAGTGGTAGTAGCTTATCGCTGCCCCTTCCCTCCACATTATAGCAAATCGTCCTCCGAAGAGGCAAGGCTAGCTATCTCAATCTCTATCTCTCTATCCATCTACCTATCTCTCGTCCTCTCTCTCTTCCTCCTTTGGGCAACAATGGCGGCAATGGAGTTGGGGTTAGGAGGCGCCGAAGAGAAAACTCCGGTGACGAAGCAACGCATGTTCTTCGCGGGAACCATGGAGAAGGTTAAGGGGAACGCCATCGGTTCGGTGAAGATGGTGAAGAAGATAGGGGAAGATGATCCGAGGAGGATACTCCATTCCCTAAAAGTGGGTCTGGCCCTCACTGTGGTGTCCCTCTTCTACTACGTCAACCCCCTGTACGAAAGCTTTGGGGTGAACGCTATGTGGGCTATACTCACTGTTGTCGTGGTCATGGAATATACAGTGGGTAGGTTGACCATACAGTGCTTCGGAGAATGTCCTAGCTGGTCATCCCTTTCCGTCAAGAATTGTGGGCTTGGGCTCTCCGAGTCGGTCATGGGTCGTTATTTAATATTAAATATGTTTTTACAGGCGCAACATTGAGTAAGGGCTTGAACAGAGCCTTCGGGACGTTGGTAGCAGGTGCACTCGGCCTTGGCGCTCACTACCTGGCAGACCTCTCCGGACCCAAAGGAGAGCCCATCATTCTTGGCCTGTTGGTTTTCATCCTGGGTAAGAAATCACATACATATCCGATTCACATTTACAATTTGGTCTACGGAACGAGTGATCTGTATCTTCTCTAAGTTGACTCAGTGAGTTCATTCTTCCTGGGCAGCTGCGGCAGCGACTTTCTCGCGGTTTATACCGGAGATTAAAGCGAGATTCGACTATGGGGCCATGATATTCATACTGACGTTCAGCCTGGTGGCGATCTCGAGCTACCGTGTGGACGAACTGATAGCGCTGGCTCACCAGAGGTTGGCCACCATCGCCATTGGTGGTGTCACCTGCATGTTCATATCCATCTTCCTCTTCCCTGTCTGGGCTGGCGAGGATCTCCACAAGCTGGCCGCTAACAATCTCGATAAGCTCGCCGCTTATTTGGAAGGTACCCCTCGAACATGATCCGCACAGGCCAGCTGATCACAGCATGAATCCCAGCGGTCCCCTTGATTAAATTATGTCTAACAGTTCGAGGAACCTTGCAGGACTGGCTGTAGAACACTTTGGGGCGAAGGCGGGGCCTGGTAACGGTCCCGGAGTGGTCACCAAACCCTTCTTACAAGCTCACAAAGCCGTGCTGAATTCGAAGGTCATTGAGGAGACATTGGTGAGCTCAGCACTCTTTCCCATATCTACCGATATGATAAATAGTCGACTGTTAAGGTTGACTTTTTTTCGAGATAAACCTGCATAAATTAAATACATTAACCAACAACATCTGAAAATTTGGAAAACCATGAAAATATGTTGTGGCTTTGACTGCTATTCCCCGTTACTCTGGTCAACGGGAAGCCACCTACTGAAAACTGAAGCTGACTCCAACATAATTTCGTCAGCCTCGGAAGGCACCAAGCGTGAAAGTCATCCGAAAGGGGTGGCAACACGTGTAAGGCTTTCGGTTTTGTATTTGTGCGATCGTCATCGGCGCATTTTTGGGTCCATAGCCTCACCGGCCACCATACCTTCAACAGGAATACAAATTTAATTTTAATATAGTTAAAGAAGTATGAATAGGTCAATGACGTCCGCGCATTCAAAGAATGAATATGTGATTTAGTTCATTTGTTTTCAGGTCATTTTGGTCAATACAACCAGATCAATGCTTTAATATGTAGTTAACTGACGTGTTCACCATCGCGCAAATTCCTTGTATGCCAAGCTCACGGCCACCTCTCAATTCCTCGCAGGCAAACCTTGCACGGTGGGAGCCAGGCCACAGCCGTTTCGGGTTCAGGCACCCATGGAAACAATACCTCAAGGTCGGCGCCCACGCCCGCCAGTGCGCTTACTACATCGAGGCACTCAACGCCCACTTCGCAAGATTAGGGGAACGTCATGTCTCCCAAGAGATGCATGGGGAGATCCGGAATGCCTGCATGGAGATGTGCTCTGTGTCTGCAAAACTCTTGAAGGAGATGGCCGCGTGCGTCCGAAAAAATACCCAACCGTCAGCCCCCGCCCACGGGCACGCGGTGGCCGTCGGGGCCGCCGTAGACGACATGAAGAACGCGGTAAGAGAGAACGGGGATGCTCTCGATGTGATTCTGGTGGCTCCCGTGGTGTCCCTCCTGTCTGAGATCGTCACCTGCACGATGAACGTCGCAAAGTCCGTGGAAGAGCTGGCCCGCCTCGCAGAGTTCCGGAGGATCGACGAAGTCCATCACCATAGATCGACCGTTCAGCCGATAACCGAGCCTGAGGACGCTCGTCATGTGATCAATGTCGGAGAGTAACGAGACTGTCCGAGACGGGCTCCTGATCTATATCAATTTCCTGGGAAAGATCTTGGAGCTGCGCTTCCGATGAACCTGGACGGAGGAGTTGAATGTGACAGAGAGGTGTTTACTTACCCGAGCTTAGACTGAGAAGGGCGATGACTCATAGATGGGGTTGGTGAATCATGCTATCTTCGTGGAGAACGTAATCAAACGCCATACTTGTTTCTAACACTATAACGAGATCAATTAATCATCCCTCTCTCTCTCTCTCTCTCTCTCTCTCTCTCTCTCTCTCTCTCTCTCTCTCTCTCTCTCTCTCTCTCTCTCTCTCTGTATGAATGACCCTTTTGCTTATTCTGTTAATGATGAGAGGTTACACATATCACCCCAGGATTATTTCCAATTCTCGTCATAATAGTCGATGAGATGTGGTGATGAAGCGGGATATGGTGTAAGAAAGCAGACTTGTAAATAATCTGTTACCTAAACTATGGACCAGGAATATTAGGATCAGCTACTTAAATTTTTCATAATTAACCTCCCTGGATGAGTTGATCATCAGATATAATAATCGGATCATCACGTCAAAAACGTACTATCAGTGCAACGACAGGGTTCATCTGTCTGACTTCGCCACTAACTAGTGATAGAGACTATGCTGACCGAAGCTATTCACATCAATCAGATAAATATTAAAAATAATAATTAAGAAAAACCCAAAAACTTTCTTCTACTTTGGAAGGGAAGAATCTAATGGGGGGCATCAGCTGAGTGCCAGGTTTGGATATTATATGCCATCTCGAAGGAACCTCCCGCAGGCGGCGAGTCCACTCCTGGTTGCCAATTTTATACCAGGGTTCCTATGGGCTTCTTGTGAGTGACCATCCAAGCGAGGTACTCATGACTCATCCCCGATTCCACAAACCCCGAAAGCAAAAGGCCTTTGCCAAGGTTCGCTGAGTTGAGGTGGTGGACTTGAGTTGTTCCCCACTCGCAGGTACCCTCCGATGTGAGAGGTTCTCTGTGAATCCTCCATGAAAGAAGAAGTAGAAAAACCAGAAGAACTACTGCTTTCTGCCATGATCTCCCGGCAACCACCCCTCTCGTCCCTTTCCAAACCCACCTCCTCAAAGTTCGACGACGGCGGCGGGGGGAGGAGGACAAAAGCTGCTGCGGCCTAGGGTTAGGGTTGGGACTTCAGAAGCTGGTGCCTTGCTCTTCTCATACGTGGGTCTGAGTCTGCTGCGTAGTTTACGGGAAAAACCAGTGGACCAGGGCGAGGGGGACTGGGTGGGCACGCCCCAGCTGGAGCATAGAATTCTGACCTAGAAAGGCCTATGCCACGCCCACCCTCCCTCCTCCGCCGCCGGCCAGATCTTCCCCTCGATCGGTTTCCTAATCATGGAAACCCCGCCCCGAGAGATGCCCAAAGAGGAGAAGGAGAGGAATATGCTTCGGAACAATCTCCTCATGGCCACGCTGATGGGCCCCCCGCCCTCCGACCTTCGGCTACTTTTCACCTGCAATGCTGCTCCACCTCGAAGGTCCACCTCGGTCAACGCATGACGCCACGCGAGAATCCCGCCGTAGGCTGAGAAGGAATATCCGGCTCCACTGCTGCAGCAGGAGAGAACCCCACTAGCAGGAAGGAGACAGGACGAAGGAACTTCCTGGGTCCTCCGGTCTTAGGGTTAGCTGGTCTTCACTTCTTTCTCCAGTGGGAGGCCGAGCCACGCTGCTAGGCTGGCTGGCTTCTCTGAGCAACCGGGCCTACAGATGATCGACCCATTTTGGGCCAAATTAAAAATAGCCCAGACCCATACCGAGGTGGGCCTCTCTCCCCTAACCTGGGCCCAAATCGAGCAGTCAGGGACGACGAAGACGGCCGCCCACACTGCACTGCACGAAGGGGGAGAGAGAGAGAGAGAGAGAGAGAGAGAGAGAGAGAGAGAGAGAGAGAGAGAGAGGGAAATACTATACACTAGAGGAGGAAGAAGAAGAAGAAGAAGCTACCGGAGGTGGTGGAGGTGGTCACCAGCCATAGACGGGATTCTGTACATTCGGGGGGAGGAGATGGAGGTCGTTGCAGTGCTGCTTGCTGTAGTCTCTCGTGCCGGGCACGGCGCCGGTGCAGAGCCTCAGGACCTCGTTGCCGGTGAGGCAGTAGTGGGCAAAGGCCAGCCCCCCGTCCACCACCTCCGTCAGATTCGGCAAGGAGATGGACTTCTTCATCGCTGCCCCCAAACTCCTCTCGCCGGCGCCAGAGAGGACGCCGTCGAGCTCGGAGAACTCCATGAAGCGCTGCGTGGCGGCGTCCCAGGAGAGGTTGTAGCGCTGCTCCGCCGTGAGGGGCCGTGGCTCGCTCGCCAGCGCCTCCTTCACCCTCGCCACGAAGTCCTCCGAGGTCCGGTAGGTCAGGCAGTTGGGGAAGCCCTTGAAGAAGTTGTTCGAGGGGTGGTCCGCGCAGATGACAAACTTCCCCATGGCCAGCGCCTCCGCCGTGGCCGTGCACAGCACGTCGCTCACGCTGGGGTTTATGAACACCTTGTACCTGGTTTTCGTTTTTGTTTCTGGGGTTTTAGACTGATGGCTTCTAAACCAAGGAAAAAAATGGTTTTTGTATTGGGGGGTTGGGGGTTTACCCGTGAAGGGAATCGTCGGCGTGGTCGCGGCCCTTGAGGAAGTTGATGTTGAGCTCCAGCTTCCTGGCGGCGGATTGAACCTCGTGGGAGTCCTCTCCGTTGCCGAACACATCGAGCTTGAAGTCATCGAGGTCGCTCCTGTGCTTGGAGAGCAGGTCGATCAGCTCTCTGTACCCCTTCGCCCAGACCATCTTCCCCAGAAAGTACGCCCCCTTGGAGAAGGCCTGCTGCCCCAGCTCCCTCTCCGCCGCGACCTTCTCTCCGACCTTCAGGAATTTGGGGTTGACCCCGTGCACGTTGCAGACGACCGATTTGGGCAGATCTTGCGTCGCCGCAGAGAGACGCAGAACCTGCAACCAAAAAAAATTAAAAAAAGGTTTATTTTATTTTATTTTATCTGCTGCCTAAACCCTGCGCGGGTCTTCCTGGGGGTGGAGAGAGGAGAGAGAAAATACTAATAATAATAATAAGAAGAAGAATAAGAATAATACCTTGTGGCAGTACACCTGGGTCACCCAGTTGTTGATGTGCTTGACGAAAAAGGCCTGGAGGGCGCCGTTCTTCTCCCTCTTGATATACTCCAAGTAATTCGTGTGGACGACGCCGACGACGTAGTTGAACTTGTCCGTCCAACGCTTCCCATGATGGTACCAGTTGAGGTGCTCCGGCTCCTCCAGGATCGCAATGTCAGCTTCCTTGGACGAGATGAACTGCGAGGTGTCCCCGGCGGGGAGGATGCTCCGCCGCTCCTTCTGAAACTGGAAACCGAACAAGAAACATGGAAAGAATTGGGTCACATGTTCCTCAGTGTCCAACGGATCTTAGGATTCGCTCTGCTCGTGATAAAGATGCCACCTTTCCAGGATAAAATGAGATCTTGAACTTGGACTTGAAGCCCACCCGCTCCTCCAGCCAGCTCCGGATGTAAGCTTCCTGCTCTTCGGGGGAGTCGAAGGTCATGCTGTTCGGATAAACCAGCTCCTGGTCCGATTTGCAGAGCCAGGGGACTAAGAGGGTCACGTTTTGCTTCTCCGACCTCGCCATGAAGGCTGCTCTGAACAATGGGTTGACCGCAGTTCCTGTCATCCAAGGGAGGCTGGCAGTTGTGACGATGGCCACGTGTCTCTTCCCATCTCCGGAGTGATTCTTCGTGGAGTCGGGCCATAAGCCGCCGTCGTAATTATGCCCGGTGCTCTGGAGGACACTGGAAATCCTGAGATCTAGGTCATCGTTCTTCTCATGATCGAGGATGGAGCCATCTTCGCCAGAGACAGACTGAGAGACAGAGTGTTCTCTCCGCTTGCTGCACAGAGAATGCACGAATCTGTCGCATATATCTGCAATCGGATGTTAAAGCCCAAGGAAATCAGCAATGCTCAGTATAAGAGAAAACATCCAGATGCATATCGAGCTAAGCATGATAAAAGAGCATGGTATTTCTTCTACGATCGATGCAACTGGATGATCTGTATTATGCATCTGAACCAAGGAAAACATATGTTACTCCTGTTCGTGTCAATTCTCTGCCAATAAATTGTGATTTAACAGTCAAATGTGACATCATAAAATATGCATGACAAATAACTTTCCTGATTTGATTTCAAATATGAACAGGTGGTGTGATTTATGGAATAGATCTTCTGCACCCAACAAGAGACTCATTCATCATACTTCGACGAATGATCGAGTGACCATGTGGCTCGTGATGACACCATGCTTCAAATGTCTACCATCCTTCAAATGGTGGACATTTTTCTTCCGAACGTTTCAATTGAGGACAGATCAACGATCATTACTTTGTGTCTTTCATTCTTCTGTCACAAACACGTTGCTGTTGCTTAAATCAGTCAAAGTCTGCCAATCAGATGCGAACTAACGATGGATTTTTTCCCTCCTGATTCCGCCACGACACTCGATCTTGCACATGAAGGTGGGTAATCACGCGTCATCATGTGGACAAGATGGTGCTATACTGATGGCAATAAAAAGTAGTACAAGGACGTCGATATTTTCCACAATCTGAAATGGAAAATCCATTTTATGGGCCACCAAAGTCATGCAGAGAATAACTTCACACGAAATTATCATCCTAGTTTAACGAGGTAACTCTGGTAAAATTGGAACTATATATCTGAGAAAATGCTTCAACCCCTGCAGTTATGCCCAAAAAGATAAATTCGTCGAATCCAGTTGACAGACACTACGGAGCTCTTTAGGGAGGATTTTAGCCCATGATAAACCATGCATCAATAAAAAGGTATCATATCAGATACAAAAGGAGGGGCGTCCCACAATATATATGGAAAAAGCTGTGTACTTAATGGTTAACTGTTTTTTAGTCGAGAAGAAGAGTAATATTTTGAAATATAAATAAGGCATAATATCACAGTATTACCCATACGTTGGCGAAAAATCCATATAACGAGCATTAGCTTATAGGAAATAGTAAAATAGGTCATCTGTCGTTATACACCTCTTCTTAATCCAAGTTGATCAAAAATGGGTCCAGATTGTTTGATGAGATATGCCAGCAGCTCAGATGCATCCAGAGGAGGTACTTCCTGAGTAAATAAGACGGGAAAATGATGAGTAAGAAGACAGCTCTTAGGGAACAAAGTGTAATTACATCCAATAAGCAGTATAAAATAAATCTAATTATTTTTTCCTAGGAGAAGAGAAAAGGTGATTACGCAAAAACAAAATGTAAATCGTTATGAGCGGTGACAAGAAAGAGTCAAAGGGATACCAAGTAAAAGATATCACACCATTGATAACTGATAGAGGATACAGCAAACAGGCCCGTTGTGTTCCTTAACTTCCATAGAAAGGTTTGACACTGAAAAGCTTCTGCGTTGAGGTGCATCCATAGAAAGGTTTGACACTGAAAAGCTTCTGCGTTGAGGTGCATCCATAGAAAGGTTCTGGTTAGTGATCAAGAGGAAGATCATCCACTGTAAATTTCAGTGTGCAGAACTGGTTGACGAAGTGTTCTCAGAATGTGGTAGTCTAGAGGTAGACCTACGGACACTCTCAGCTGCTGCGGTCACTCAAGACAAGGGAGCAATTTTTTATATCTGAAATGGCCGCATCATAGGTTGAGGCATAAGGTAAAAGGAGGACAAGGAATCTGAAATGAGGGATGAAGCAAACTTCAGATCATAAAACTATGGAAAAAAGGGATATCCAACAGGAAATATAAGGTCGTTGGGGAGATCGTATCTAAAATTATTGCAATGCCCACCAAAAGAAAACCGTGACGATGATAACATGAGGTCACATGGTTGCGAATGTTCCAGATTCCCAGATGGTCAATCGTAGAGGAAGCTAATCTCACATGGAAATGTTCTTTGCTCGGAGCTCGAAGTAAATAAAGAGGAGTCATGGAAGCAGCTTTATGTTTTGTAAAGCTTTATGGAATTTTTCTGTCAGCCACATGTACGATCCCCTTTAGGTGGGGGCAACTCGGTACCATAGGTCGTTCTTATTTCTCCACAAACTATAATCAAAACGATCTTCTAATCAAATATGTCGGTACAACCACAATTCCCTTGGAAACAACAGGATGAAAACATCCATGGATGGCATTTATTATTAAACATTCAAATACTTTATCGTGGCCAAAATGAAAAATACGATAATCCAAACGGAAGAGTCATGTTGACTTTTCAAAATTGTTTATTTTCCAGTATACTATAGCTGATTGTTCACCAAGTTTTTCTACCCAAGCAGGAGGCCTGTTTTCATAAAAAACATGGCATTGCAATCGGTTCATTTTCACCATATTTTATGCTAGATGGAATTATATTGTTTGTCTTTTACTTCTATCAAAAAGAAAGTTATATTGTTACACCATATTAGCGGAGAAGTTAGCAATTGTATACAGACAGCCTTTTCTATCAACCTCTATTTTATTTTATTTTATGCGTATAAAAATGTACAGGAAAAAATATCATGTATCTAGAACACCTTGTTCAGCATTCTTATCGCATTAAGTGTGAGAAAAAAAAATTTAGACGATGATTCAAGAGTAAAAGAAAAAGGAAGTGATACAATTGAGGTGCAAACCATTGATAAATAGAAAAGAAGTCGATAAATAGTGCAAATTGGAATAACAAGACAAAGATATAAGCATCAACGGTGCACACTAATTAATTCTCATTTAAAGGATGTAGGCGATTCAATAGAAAAAAATACTAGGAAAGTGGTTAATATTTGGACTGACCTTTGATTCTTGAGAATCCCACGAAATTGATTTCTGCACATCATGAACTAAAGTCATTCACAGTTGCATTCTGATAAAAAAAATTTATAGCTCAAGTCTAAATAGAACTACACAGACCAAAATCTTTCATTATAAGTGGAATACAATGCCAACAACTACCACGTGTCTACGACAAGAAAAAAACATGCATCGATATAACTAGGAAACGAATGTCCATTATGTAGGACTACTAATGCGACTAGGAGATGTATTCCACCCAAATATGGAGCGACAGCCTAACAAGAGCATCTGATAGCAAATGAAAATATGCACAATCGAAGCTCACATACTGAAGTCAGAACGAGGGAAAACAACGTAACATCAATCAAAAAAGCTAGGCAATTCTTTCCCGAATTCATAAAAAATACAGGACAGTCCATAATTTCCTCATTTTCTTATGTCCAATGGCTGTCAAAATCGGCCACAAAGGCAATAAAATTTACCAATTTGATCATGCTGCGGAGCTATTTATGTTCCTGAAATATGATTATCATGCTTCAATATTGCTCTTAAATTGCTCATACGACTAATTAAAGTCGCAGTTTTAACACGTACAGTTAGCAAGCCAAGAAAAAAATGTTAAGATTAATCAGAACAGGTGGAGAAAGAAAAAATAAAGTTCATACCAGGCTCAATTTCACTTTCTCCATGAAATCGGCCCCTTTGAAGGTTCCGAAAACCTCACTGGAAGGGTTCTTGAGTTCAAGTTCCCTAAATCCTGTTTTCAAAATTCGAATCGGTTCCCAATCTTTCCCTTCTTCGTCTCGCTCCACTTTCCATCTCTCATCTCGAGCCTTCCGCAGGAACCTCTTCCTGTCCAAATCCAAGATCTCTCCCTCAACCTCTCCCACCGACACGAGGGCGTTCTTAATCGCAGAGAGATCGATCTTAATCCTTGCCCTGGGCGTCCACTTCTCCAGCACCTTCTTGCTGAAATCCGGCGATGAGTATGCCCGCCGGAATTCCGACAACTTGGGTTGGATCTTCTTAACGAACTCGAGGTCCGGTATGGAGGTCGATGTAGATATCATCGTCAGTGGAGACTGGGACGCCGACGAGAACGACGAAGGTGACCACGCGGCGGCGCCTGGGACGGAGAAAGACGACGCCGAGTTGAGGAAGTTCTCCAGCTCACGGTCGAAGGAAGTTGCGAGCTTCTTGAAGGAGTTCGCCCTAGCCCGTATCAACTGGAGATCCGCATCGGCAGAGTCCCGGACCTCCCGCCACCCCCTGGATATGAACGAGATGGCCTTCTCCGCCGTCGCGGATGTGGATGGCCGGGGTTCCGCCGCGAGATTCATCATCCCGTCCACCGGCGCGGCTCAATCAGCGTTCCGCTCAGGGTTCCCCTTCCTCCCGCCAAGCCTCTGGTTAGGGTTCCGTACTGGTCAAGGAGAGAAAGAAAGAGAGAGAGAGAGAGAGAGAGAGAATTCGCGCGGCCGAGAGCTGCACAGAGGGGAGATTAGAGGAACCGCCGTGCGAGGCTTCCGGACTCTTCAGGTGGCCCATCCCGATCCCCCGCCGTCCACGTGGCCAGCCCAAGTGCAGCAAACTGGGACCACGGTGGCCGTATGCGCTACGTGCCCAATGACGTGGCCGTCAGCGCTCGAATATTCCAGCCAGCTGGATATTCCACGCGACCACGAGTGGTCGAACTGGATCTCGCAAGCTCTTACGGCTCACCTCCACCGTTAGCTCGCGAACGGCTACACGCCGTCCGCTGAGAGAGAGAGAGAGGGCCGAGAACTTTCTAGAGAGAGAGAACTTTCTAATCGAGTCCTTGCCAAAATGGGCTTCGGATGGCGTGATAATTGGCCCATGAAACAAGCGGCCCATTTGGAAACGGGGATTTTTTTGTTGTGTAGGAGATCGGGTTCCTCTTTACAATGGCGGGATCTCCTCCTTCCGGCGGCGACGGCTGTGGCGATGGCGCTGCTCCAGCGAGGGGGCCGTCGCCTGCAGGCGTGGTGCACGTTTTCTGGGACGCCGGGATGCTCGACCACGACGCCGGCGCCGGCGTGTTCGACACCGGCTTCGACCCCGGCTTCCTTGAGGTCCTCGAGAAGCACCCGGAGAACCCAGATCGGGTGAGGAACATGGTTTCGATCCTACGCAGGGGCCCCATCTCCTCCTACATCTCATGGCATCCGGGGAGATCCGCCCACACCTCGGAGCTCCTCTCCTTCCACACTCCAGGTAGGTGCTCCCCCCACCCTCTTCCACCTGCCCTCATCTCCCCCGCCCCCTCTCTCAGGCAGGTTAAGGTTCCCAGCATATCTGGATGATCTAGGGAATCTGCCTGAGAATCCATCGATCGATCCGTCCATTCCAGAGCATGTTCATCAGAGTCTCTACTGGTGTGCAGATCTGAGACGCACCTAAATCAAGGTATCCTTTACCTGTCTGTAATTCTCAGAGTACGTGGAAGAGCTCGTCCAAGCCGACGCAGAGGGACCAACAAAGCTGTGCGAAGGCACATTCCTGAATCCTCGTTCTTGGAAAGCAGCCCTGATCGCCGCCGGCACGACCTTGTCGGCGATGAAGCATCTGCTGGACGGGAAGGGGAAGGTCGCATATGCTCTGGTGCGGCCCCCGGGGCACCACGCGCAGCCCTCCCGCGCCGACGGGTACTGCTTCCTCAACAACGCCGGCATGGCGTCGCAGTTGGCTCTGGACTCCGGCTGCCGGCGAGTCGCCGTGATCGACATCGACGTCCACTACGGCAACGGCACCGCCGAAGGGTTCTACCGCTCCAGCAGGGTGCTGACGATCTCCCTCCACATGAACCACGGATCGTGGGGCCCTTCACACCCGCAGAGCGGCGCCATTGACGAGCTCGGAGAAGGCGAGGGGCTCGGGTATAATCTGAACATCCCTCTGCCAAATGGAACGGGGGACAAGGGATACGCCTACGCCATGTCGGAGCTGGTCGCCCCCGCCGTCCGCAAGTTCGACCCCTGGGTCGTCGTCCTCGTCGTCGGCCAGGACTCCAGCGCGGTGAGTGAGAGACCGAAGAATCATCCTCGACCTTTCTCCGATGCGGCGGCGAGATTCAGGCTAAGTATTTTTTTTTTGGGTGCAGTTCGATCCCAATGGGCGGCAGTGCTTGACAATGGCGGGCTACCGGACGATCGGCGGAGTCGCCCACGAGCTGGCGGAGGAGCTCGCCGGAGGGCGGCTGCTGCTGGTTCAGGAGGGCGGATACCATCTGACCTACTCGGCCTACTGCCTCCATGCGACTTTAGAGGGGGTCCTCGGGCTAGAAGAAGCTCCTCTCTTACCGGATCCTGTGGCGTACTACCCCGAGGACGAGGCCTTCGCCGTCGAGGTTGTCGATGCCATCAAGCGCCAGTGGAGGAAGACGAACCCTCTCTTCAGAGATCCCTGAAAACCCTCTCTCTCTCTCTCTCTCTCTCGCTCTGCGCTTTGGTCCGAAACAACCGTGGACCGCCCGGTAACAAATCTTAACCGGTGAGGACCTGGCGGACCGGAGCTTCCAGAGGAGGCTTTTCCTTCCCTGTTGGATCTCCAGATCTGTTGTAATCCGACCGAAGTACTACAAATTCTCTCTCTCTGTCTGTCTCTAAACCAGGGCCTCCACTGAGTTCTGATCCGACGGAGAAATGTATCCGCTTTCTATCTGACGGTCCGGAATTCTGTTGGTGTCGGTTATGGGGGAGGGGTGGGCTCTCAAGAGAGGGGGCGGTTGGATTCGTCTTCACGAGGCAGGAGGTCCCCCGATCGCCTCCGGTGGGCTTCAAGGTTCTGCTGCTGGTCGGGCGAAGGGCGATGGGTCTCCTCTCCAACAGGTTGGTGATCGCTGATTAGTCGTTCAATTCTGGGGATGAACGACTGAAGGTTGGTGGAGATCCCTTGTGATGCAGGATCGGGAGGGAGAGCTTGAAGCCGGGGGATCACGTCTACTCCTGGAGGACGGCCTACATCTACGCCCACCACGGTCTGCCGCCTTCTTCCTCCTCCTCCTAACTTTTACTGCGTCTTTCTCTTCGTCGGCTCCTCCATTCCCTGCTTCCCTCTGGGAGAGATCACCGGCGAAGGACGATATCCTCGTGGTCTTCTTCCACCGCGGCGTGATCTGCGGCTGGTGACGACTGATCCCTAGTATTTTTGATCTTCTCGGACGGCGAGAGACCCCTCTGTTGATGATCTTCGCGTTGATCCCCAACACGAATTAGGGTTCCTCCTCCGCCGCTCCTCCCAACCTGGGCCTTGGTCGTCTAGGGTCTTTTCCCGGGCAGATGATCGTCTCTCTTTCGACGAAGAAGCGATGCTTCTGTTTTTATCTTTTGCAGGTATCTTCGTGGGGGAGAATAAGGTCATCCATTTCACCAGGGCCCGAGGGGAAGAGGTGGGAACCGGCACCGTTATAGACGTCCTGCTCACGAGCTCCGGCCCCGCCCGTCCGTCGGCGGCGTGCTCCTCCTGCTCCCACCAGAGAGAAGAGCTCGGCGGCGGCGTCGTCTCCTCCTGCCTCGACTGCTTCCTCGCCGGCGGAGTCCTCTACCGCTTCGAGTACGGCGTCAGCCCCGCCCTCTTCCTCGCCAAGGCCCGCGGTGGCACCTGCACACTCGCCGCCGCCGACCCCGCCGCCGTCGTCACCCACCGGGCGACCCACCTGCTCACCAACGGCGGCTTCAGGTGCTACAGCGTCTTCAAGAGCAACTGCGAGGACTTCGCCATCTACTGCAAGACCGGCCTGCTCGTGGTGGAGCAAGGAATGGTAGGGCAGAGCGGGCAGGCGATATCGCTGATCGGCGGCCCAGCGGCGGCGGCCTTCTCCACCCCGATCCGCCTCCTCTCCACCAACATCTACGGCATGGCGGCCACGGCCGTCGGCGTGTACTGCGCCAGCCGCTACTTCGCGGACATCGGCAACCGGAGGGACGTGGTGAAGGTGGCGGTGGAGGACTTGACCTCCCAGCTGGCGACGGCGAGAGTCCAGCTCGTCGACATGAACGGAGCTCCATTCTCTCCGTCTCCATCCCGTGGAGAATCCGCCGCCGCCGCCGGCGATCGGAAGAGATCCTCCACCCGTGGATAGCCGAGGTTTTATGAACAGATCGAGGGGGTGTTCATTGCCGATCATGCCTTTGACTTTATCAGATTAAGCTGACTGCAGTAAAATAAAGACAAGTCTATATGAATGATAAGTGTTTCAGGCTACAACAAATCTGACATGTTCGTCAAGCGCCTAAAGTCAACTCCTCACAAAAAGCAGAGACCCCAGGGAGGATCATCACACCAGTAACACAGCGTTTATACAGCCGTCGTTCTCGGGATTATTCGTGACCTGGGCATATTTTCCTGCATCCGTCCAAGAAAAAGAGGGGATTAATCAAAGTCGTCTCCCCATCTCTTTCCATAAATATAGAAACACACAGCTCGCTTACCCCATACGACTTTGCCGGCAGGCGTAACCAGACCCAGCTCGCTGACGTTGACCTGATGACGTTCAGGTCCAAAAAGGAACTTTTTTTTTCAGGGTTCCACCGGAATTAAAAGGACCCAGAAACATATAAATTGAGGAGAAAAATAAATAATATGCTTCCTCACCTCAATAATGGTTCCCCGGGTGACAACGCCCAGAGAGGTGTACATGGTGCCGTTAGGGTTCTTCTTCACTCCGATGATCTCCAGGTTAAACGTGCACTTCAGCTCGGGGTGGGTCACGTGGGCCTTGGTGAATCGCAGGGCCATTGGGCGGATAAACCGCTCGTACTTGGGGGGCTTTCTGGTGAACGCGGGGCCCACAAATGTGACCTTCGAGACCATCCTCTTCCACTGTTTGGCTGGATGAACAGGTAGGTATAATTATTATAAAAAAAAAAAATTCATTAATCTGGAAATCTATCTCCCGGTGAGGAATAGGAATTATCTGGGATGGATAGATAGAGACGGGCTATGGAGAAACCGCAGTCGGACATCATCGGAGAAGATTACAACTAGTTGACTTCTAGAAAACTACAATGGAAATCTAGAGAGATTTGAAGATTAATGAGGGTTAAAGAAGCTTTCAGGGTATCTAATTTTCTCCAAAATCGCAACAGGAAGGTTCCTAAACTAGAAAAAAAAAAACAAAAACAAAAGATTTCCAAGCTAGAATTCTGTCAAGAATGTAAGGTTTGATAGATTTCAAACACCATTTGGAGCCTTAGATTGAGGCCTCTCAGAGAAAACGGAGTGGAGCATCATCAGAGAAGATTATGACTAGTTGACTTTTAGAAAACTACACTGGAAATCTAGAGAGATTGGAAGATAAATTAGGGTTAAAGAAGCTTTCAGGGTATCTAATTTTCTCCAAAACCGCAATAGGAAGGTTCCCAAACTGGAACTCTGCCATGAATGTAAGGTCTCTCAGAGAGGCGCTTCTCAGATTAATGGAACCCTAATTTAATAATTTTAAAAATGTTAAATATTCAAAACCATCGTCAAAGGATTGTATAAAGAAAGGATGTAAGACGTAAGATGAAAGATGTTGAAAAATATGCTTACACTTTCGCTTTCCAGATCGAATAACCCGAAACATCTCCTCTTCGGCAACAGGCCTCACCTTTAAAAATTTATAATTTTCATCAACTTAAGTTACTCAAAAGGACCGACAATATATAGAACAGTGGCGATGACAGCAGCACACTGCATGCCGCAACAAGAGCTGAGACAGAAGAGCAGGTACCTTGGGCAAGGGAACATCCCATTTGCCAGCTTTTTCTTTCCTCTTCTGCTTGATTGTATTACTGAGAACCTGAATTACAAAAAGAAAAATCACAGAAAATTTAGTTTAATATCAAAATTACTATCTTCATTAATGCAGAGCAAAGTGCAATAAAGAATTGTGCACTAGTTCTTGAATAGTGTTCCCACCTTGGCCCGTGTAGTTTCATCACGATCCAAGAGATAGGCAGGAAGCGCTCCATCATGGACCTTATCATCCACCTTGCGCCTAGACGTTGACTCATCGTGCATAGCAAGCCTATAATAGGAATCCAGTCGTCAGCAAGTCCCAAAGAGGATAAACTAAACTTATTTGACTACCTTCGATAGACCATCTGTTTGTGTGGCGAATGAGCACAAAATAGTGGAAAAAAAATTGTTAGCGATCGCAGGGGAACAGACCAATCAATCTGAAATCCATAGGCCGCAGCATGAATATTGCCAGATTATAAGGCATTCGAGAAATTTTCCGAGGAAATCAGCATTTGAGTGATTTAAGAAATCAATCTGAAAGACCGTCCAACTAAGAAACAAATGCTTTCAGGAGAAGGAGAAAAAGGAGACTTCTACAGAAAACCTGAGGTATTGATCTTAAGCCCTGTTATTGTCTTAACAAAAAAGTGGAACAAGTCCCTCAATAATTCCTACGGTAGAATATCCAAATTTATAAAATAAAAATAAAAAGAATTCTTTAACACTTATTTTATGCTATCTTCGATCTATTTTCACATCTGACTTGTATGCTACCCTTGCCAACTCTCATTTCCACCTTTGGGCTTTAGCCCTGAGACTTATCATATAAATCATCGCACCAAAGCGTTTGCTTCTAATTTAGGTGTGTGAATTCTTATGAGAGCATCATCCAATAAATTTTTATTCAGAGCAAATCGACAGTGCAGAAAACGGAGGTATCCTTTGATCGCAAGTTTAGTCAGAATCTTGTATAAAATGGGTCAAAATGCGACGCGTTACTCCCTAAAATAGAACAAGTAAGCCACAACCCTTAATCTCTTAAGGAGTTGAAGCAAGCATGTGCATAATACGCAGGTAACCAGCTCAAGCGAGTAAAGATAAATTACTATAACGGTGCCTACGTTTTCTTCATCAGCGCCTTCTCCGCATATCTTTTCTTGGCAAACATCTTCCCTTTGAGTCCGATAGCCTGTATTAACGAGAATTTTACTCAGCAATCACGTGTAATGGGCCTCCCGCGCTGGCAGGAAGAAACGGTGAACGAGAAAACGAGCAAGACCGGGGACCAAAAACCTTTTGGGCAATGGCGGATCGCTTGTGTACTTCTCGCGCCTCCTTCTTCCTCTTCTTCTCGAAATGATCCGGCCGGTATCCATGGCGCTTCCTATGAAGGTCTATGTAATCTCCCTGCGGCTGTAACAACCAAAGAACCCCCAGAAGCCTCAGGCAAATGCGAGAACACAGATAGCGAAAGAAAGAGCGAGAGAGAGAGAGAGAGAGAGAGAGAGAGAGAGAGAGAGAGAGAGAGATTCTAGGGCTAATGTGAAGGGAAGAAATGCATCCAAACCATGGCGACGAAGTGGCGGAGGCTGCTTGAACCCTAGTGCTTGCGGATTTTCTGTTCCCCAATCTTTTTCGCGGGAGGAAAGCGGAAGAAGCCGGCCGCTGTGGAAATGGAGTGCAGGAGCAGGGCCGTTGTTAGGGTTTAGAGAGCGCGCTGCTCTACTCCAAGTCGCCACGTGGCTTAGTCATGGGCCAGCCCAGCAAACTCCCAATAAAGCCTACCTACAAATCCCCAGGCAGATACAGCCCAACCTCCTTTATAGCCCAATAGTGGAAACAAGTGGGCCGTAATGGGCCCAATAGTTCGTAGGCCCGGGATCACAAAGAGACAAGATTGCCAGCTGGAACACCCTCCGGCGGGACATAAAACGGCTACATGAAACCGGCCCCAGCCAACACGTGGCAGAGGAGAGAGAAAAGCTTTTGAATTCATTTGATGGTCCACGCGAGCTTCTTCAGAACGGACCAACTGACATTTTAAGCGTAAATCGAGAGCAGGGTGGTGGGGACGACGGCTGGCAGAGGAGAAATAATGGCTGACGGCCCCACCGGCGGCGGATGGTCGCCGGTGCTCCGGTCAGACCCGTCGGAGGCGGCGCAGAGCTCAGTGGGTCTGAGAGGCCGTTCGGGTGGTTAACTCCGGCGGCCTTCGTGGCGTTGGATCTCTCGCCGGCGTCCTTCTTTCCCTCCCCTAAATGGGGTAATTTGGTGGCAGAGATGGCGGCGTGATATCGAGTGACTCTGGGCTCTGCTCTCCCTGTCGATGTTGATGGGATGAAATAAATCTGGCCGATCTGGGCAGAGAGCAGTGGAATTTCTTCCGCAGGCGATCGCAGCTCCCGACCCGCATTCTTTTTTGGAGGAAAAAGGGTAGGAGGGCGGCGGAGGGGGGCGAGGAAAAGGAGGAAGAAGAGGGGTTGGTGGTTGGCGATGGAGCGCCGCCGCTCCTCCCCAGGGCGTCGTCTCCCTTCTGTTCTGCCGGATTTCTGAGGGGAATATTTTGGGTGCCTCGGAGTTGGAGAAAGTGGAGATCTCTTCCGGCGGCGGCGGCCGGGAAACTTCCGCTTGAATGACCGGAGTTTTCCGAATCTTTTCCGGCGGGGTCTCTGCGGAAAGCGCCGGCGAAAGGAGCGGGCAGGTGAAGCTTTAGCTCTGGCATTGTCTTTTGGATTGTGGGGTTCCTCCTCCTTCCCCAATGGGAAATGTGAGGAGGGATGAAGCAGAGCTTCTCGCCGGCGGCCACCGGGGACCCCTCTGTTCTGTGGAATTTCATTCGCCGGCGGTGGGATCCCATCTCCGTCGTTTTGCTTCTAGCGTTGTATGAACAAGTCCTGCCATCGCCACCGCTGCTTCTGGGAGGTTGGATCGTCGTCGTCGCCTGCTTCTTCCTCTTCTGTGATGGCGATCCCCTGCGGGAAGGATAAGTTCCGGTCCCTCTTCTTCTCCGTGATTCTGTGCCTGGTTTCAGTGGCCGTCGGCAACACAGATCCCGGCGACTTCGCCGTTCTCGACGCATTTCGCAAGGGGCTGGACAACCCAGAGCTCCTGAACTGGCCCGACGCCGGCGACGAGGATCCCTGTGGCTCCCGGTGGCCGCACGTCTTCTGCTCTGGCAACAGAGTCAGCCAGATCCAGGTCGCTAACCTCGGCCTGAAGGGCCCTCTTCCTCAAAGCTTCAACCAGCTCTCCGTGCTGTACAACGTCGGGTTGCAGAGGAACAATTTCTCCGGGAAGCTCCCCTCCTTCCGCGGGCTATCCCAGCTCCAGTTCGCCTACCTGGGCTCCAACCAGTTCGACGCCATCCCCTCCGATTTCTTCGTCGGGCTGGACAATCTCCAGGTACTGTCTCTGGACAATAATCCACTGAACCAGAGCTCAGGATGGATCTTGCCCAGAGATCTGGCGGGTTCGTCCCAGTTGTTCAACCTGTCACTGAGCCGCTGCAATCTGGTCGGAGAACTGCCGGATTTCTTGGGGGAGATGTCTTCCCTGACGAACCTGAAGCTCTCCTACAACAATCTCACCGGGGAGATCCCCGCGAGTTTCTCCAACCTAGGCCTGCAAATTCTGTGGCTGAACAACCAGGGAGGCCCGAAGCTCACCGGCCCCATCGACGTTCTCGCTTCTATGGGATCCCTCACAGATGTCTGGCTTCATGGAAACAAGTTCACCGGGAGAATCCCTCCGGCGATCACTTCCTCCGCTGCCCTGAGACGCCTCTGGGTCAACGACAACCTCCTGGTCGGCCCTCTCCCGGAGAGCTTCGCGGCCATGGCGAACCTTCAGTCGTTGCAGGTGGACAACAACAGACTGGTCGGCCCGATCCCGAAGCTCCCAATCGAGGAATTCTCCTACTCTCACAATTCCTTCTGCCAGGCGGCGCCGGGGTTGTCCTGCTCTGCGCAGGTCAACGCCCTCCTGGGTGTCCTCGGAGGTCTGAACTACCCGCCGGATCTCTCTGCGTCATGGTCCGGCGACGACCCTTGCTCTGGTTCGTGGCTGGGGGTTTCCTGCCTGGAGAATAAGGTTTCTGTCATCAACCTGCAGAACCGGGGCCTCCATGGTTATATCAGTCCTTCGATCGCTCAACTGGTCTCGCTGACGGACGTCCGACTCGGGGGCAACAATCTCTCCGGCTCCATTCCCTCAAATCTGACGAGACTGGCGTCGCTGAAGACCTTGAACCTCACTGCAAACAATCTCGGACCCCCGGTTCCCAAGTTCAGTGGCAGCGTTAGGGTTCTCATCGACGGTAATCCTCTCCTGGATGGCTCTCCTTCCCCATCCCCCGGCGGCGGTTCGCCTTCTCCCCCGGGCACGGCGAGTTCGTCCGCCGGCGGCCAGACTCCGCAGGACAGAGAAGGAGGAAGATCAGGCCCGGATTCTTCACCTTCGCCGGGGGATGATTCCAGGGTCGTCAAGATGATCATGGTAGTAGCGCCGGTGGTGGTCGTAATCTTGGCGGCGGCGCTGGCTGCTTTCTTCGTGCTCCGCCGGCAGAGGAAGAAGAAGAATCGCAGAAACCAGGTCGCCGCCGGCTCCGTCGTCGTCCACCCGACGGACCCCTCCGGCCAGGGAAAGGCCATCAAGATCGCCGCCGTGTATGAAGATGATATCAAGAGCCCGGCCGGCGGCGAGGCCCTCGGCACCACCGGCAGCGGCGGCGGTGAGGTCCGCATGCTCAAGTCCGGCAACCTGGTGATCTCCGTTCAGGCCCTTCGGAGGGTCACCTGTGACTTCGCTCCTGAGAACGAGCTGGGCCGCGGCGGCTTCGGGGTGGTCTACAAGGGAGTCTTCCACGACGGCTCCGCCATCGCGGTGAAGAGGATGGAGGCGGCCGTGATCAGCAGCAAGGCCCTCGACGAATTCCAGTCGGAGATCTCCGTTCTCTCCAAGGTCCGCCACCGCAACCTGGTCTCCCTGCTGGGATACTCTGTAGAAGGAAGCGAGAGGCTCCTGGTCTACGAGTACATGCCCCAGGGAGCTCTGAGCAGGCACCTCTTCGAAGGGAAGAAGCTGGGCCTCGAGCCATTGTCGTGGAAGAGGAGGCTCAACGTGGCGCTGGACGTCGCGAGGGGGATGGAGTACCTCCATAGCCTGGCTCACCAGTCCTTCATCCACAGAGATCTCAAGTCCTCCAACATCCTCCTCGACGACGACTTCCGAGCGAAGGTTTCAGACTTTGGCCTGGTGAAGCTCGCCCCCGACGGGAAGAACTCCGTGGTGACGAGGCTCGCCGGGACCTTCGGGTACTTGGCCCCGGAATACGCCGGTAAATATTTCTGCCTTTCCTCCCACGAAGCTCCATGAAGATCATCCTCCGCTAATCGTTTCCTCTCTCCCTCTCTATTCTGCCGCCATGGATGACAGTCGCGGGGAGGGTGACGACGAAGGCGGACGTCTTCAGCTTCGGGGTGGTGCTGATGGAGCTGGTGACGGGTTTGGCGGCGCTGGACGAGAGCCGGCCGGAGGAGAACCAGTACCTGGCCTCCTGGTTCTTCGGCATCAAGTCCAGCCAGGAGAAGCTCAGGGCCGCCGTCGACCCGTCGATAGATCTGACTAAGGACATCTTCGAGAGCATCTCCATCGTCGCCGAGCTCGCCGGGCACTGCGCCGCCAGGGACCCCCATCAGCGGCCGGACATGGGCCATGCGGTCAACGTCCTGGTTCCATTGGTGGAGAGGTGGAAGCCGGTGAAGGACGACCAGGAGGAATGCCTGGGCATCGACCTGAGCCAGCCGCTCCTCCAGATGGTCAAAGGGTGGCAGGACGCTGACGTCTCCGCAGTCAGCTCTGTGGGCCTCGACGACAGCAAGGGGAGTATCCCCGCACGCCCCGCCGGATTTGCGGAGTCCTTCACCTCCGCCGATGGCCGGTGAATCCTACATATATATATAATGTAATATCGTTCGAGGGGGACGTGACGTTGAAGATAGCTGTGAGATAGCCTCTCGACGTTCTCCTCCTTCCGGCATTGATTGCCATCGTATTCTGGAGATGAGGACCGTCTAACTTCAATCCGAATAAGGAAACTGTAGCATAAACTCGCGTGTTCTTTCTTGCTCTGAGGCTGTGTCAGCCCATCTCCCCCGTCCTGTTCCCGTTTCAAACCCTAATTTCTTCTCCTCTGCCAGAGAGGTTGAGACTCGCCTACTACGGCAGAGGTGGCGGCTGCCACAGCCATGGGCGGTGGGGGTAGCAGCTTGAGGAAACATCCTCCTCGTTCTTTCCTCCATCCCCAAGATGCGTACCCCTTGCGTGCACCCCATGCACGCTCAAGATTGTTAACTCTCTCTCTCTCTCTCTCTCTCTCTCCCCTACGTAAAACAGGTTGCGAAGGGTTCTCGCAGAACGGCAAATCTTTCTAAAGATAAAACCTGCGGCGTCTCTCCCATCGGCGGCACGGCAACTATGGGATTTGTACAGTGAGTGCGACGAGGAAAGAGAGAAAAGGGGGGTGGAAGGGACGTCGTGAAGGAGCTCTGAAGATTCTGTAGACCAAAAGATGAACCCGAGGACGGGGTCGTATGTGCAGCCTCACGGTGTCACGGGCTTCCACGGGCCGCCGCTGTGGTGGTGGAGAGGGTCGGGCCCGGAGGGGACCTTCCTCAGATCCCAACCCACCAGGTCGCCGCCGCCGTCGTGGACGTCGAAGGGCCGCGGCGGTCGCTCGAAGGCCTCCGTGAGGACGTCGTTGGACAGCTGAAACTCACCCACAGGAGTTAGACTCGGTGGCGATGAACATGACGACCAGCGAAAGAGCGAAACCAGAGGGTAGCGGGGGCAAAACCTTTCTAGTGGTCTGCTGAGCGAGTAGCAGAGGGGGACGAGCGCCGTCGACGGCCATGCCGAGCGCCGCCGTGGCCAGGAGGAACCCGAGAGCCGCCGCCGCGCGAAACCCATTACCCATCTTCGTCTCCGCCATGGAGTAAGGAGCCAGCAGCAGGACGAAAGGGAGATTCTTCTTCCTCGAACTTAGCCATGAAGGGGAGCACTGGACAAGGATTTATACTGCCATCCATGGGGGGGAGAGCGCCGTCGAGTCGAGCTCGCTTTCCCACAGCTAGATCCCGAATCGCATACAGCATGATTGATGGCTTGCTGGCTGCGAGAGGTGACGCCGTCGCCGGCGGCTGGTTCGAGTGAGGCATCGCCTCGGAGGAGAGCGGAGCATTTCCCCGGCCGCCGGTATAATTATTCCTCTTGGCGGCGCCGCCGCCGCGGGCACATAAAGCACACGGACGATCCCCCGTCGCAGTGCCGGCCGTCTGTCCGATCCCCGTATCCGCCCCCATTTAATCACGCTGAGCTCACCGGGATCCCCCGCCGCTCCGCCGCCGGCGAAGGTGACGTGAGCGAGCTCCCCCTGCGACGGCATCTCTGAGCGTATTACCCAGAGAGCGCCTCGGGGCCCGGAGATATCTCCATTGATGCACTTGCATTAATCATGATTCTTCCCTCCTCCCAGTTAATGGCCGGCGCTCTTCAAGAACCAGGTGGGCTTCCTAATGCCGCACCTGCACAGTCACCTCACCCTCTTCATAGCTAAAACCCTAGCTCCGTCACCCTCTCCGGCGCCAGACGGATGTGGAGTACAGCAGGAAGAATATTCACGGCTGTCTCTCCATCTCCCCTGCCCTGCCCTGCCACTGCCACTGAGAAGACGCCGCCGCAAAGACAGTCCCTCTCTCTCTCTCTCTCTCTATCGATCTCTCTATCTATCTATCTCTATCGGGTCAGAACCGCCGCCGGCAGGGAGGTGAGCAGGCAGGTGGGGGTCGCCTCCGGGAAGAAGGGGGGGCAGGAGCTTGCATGTGAAAATCTGGTTCGACAGCCCGTCCATCAAAGGCCTAGAGGTGATGATAGCAGATATCTCTAGGGGGTTTTCTGAAATCAAACACGTACTTCTCGCCCCTGCCATTGATTGAGCTTCAGGCTAGTCCAGGCGGCAGGCCCAACTGCTTCCTGGTCTTACCGACGAACAGGTCGCCGGACTTGATCTTCCCGGGGATGCAGCCCATGAGGGTGACGTAGGGGAAATGGGCCACGCCCTCCTTCCTCCCCAGGGAGACGATGGCGATCTTCGGCCCGGGCTTGTACTCCTTGAGACCCCCACGGGGAGCGCCGCCGCCGATCAGCAGCTTCAGGTTCTTGGCCGCCACCTCCGCGTGCTTCTGCGCTAAGAACCCCTGTTTGATCTCCTGCGACCCGATTTGCCCAGTTAGCCTTCTATTCGACCCATTTCCAAAACCATCGGAAGAAATCTGGAACTATGCGAATTGGGCCAAATTATTCAAACCAAAAGAACGGAAAATGACGACATTACAAGAACGCTTCAGACATTTCATTCGCAGGAGCTTCCACGCCATGGAAATTCCTCAGAGGCAATAAAATGAGATCGGATGGCAGTCTATCTAGCCGGAAGCTCAAGGATATGGATCCGGGCAGCTTCCATGGGAGGAGCAAAAACAGCAGAAGGGAGCTTTCACTTACTTTTACATCGGTGATGTCCCCAACAGCGAATATGTTCTGCTTCCCCCTGACTCTTAGGTGTTCATCGACCATCAGCCGTCCGTGCATGTCCAAGCTGTTCCTCAAGAAAGTCTCTCTCAGCCATGAAGACCCTAGAGGTGTTCCAGTGCAATCAAAGAAGCAATCGGCATGGATAGTCTCTCCGGCCGATGTCCTGAAGACCTTGTCAGATTCCGAGATCGCACTAAGATCGACCGATTGGCCGTGAAGCACTTCGACCCTCTTTGATGTCAACCAGGCTAACGCCTTATCGGACGCTTTAGGGCCCACAAACTGCAGCAGCCTTGAGCCACCGTGGACAAGAGTCACCTTCTTCTGAGGGAAGTCAACCGTGATTTCTCCAGCAAGCTCGACGCCTGTCGGACCGCCCCCGATTATTAGAATCGAGTTGGACGACCTTATCTTCTCGTTTTCTGTGGAAGAATCCATGAATCAGCAGAGTTTATGCACTTACAATGGAGCAGAATTCCGATACTCGCTCATCAGTACAACGATTTGTATGAAAGTCTATGCGCCAGTAAACAAGCTGAGGAGAATGCATACCCTCCACGAATTGTCGGAGCCTGTCTTTCCTGGATCTTGGCTGAGAAGTTGTGTGCCCAGTGGCTATGACGAGATAGTCGTATGGTATCAGATGCCCCTCTTTGGTCAGCACCTCAGTTTCAGTGACGCTGATTGCACTGGAAGTGACGAGCCTCCCGTTGGTGAGGTACTCGTTGTAGTTGATCAATGATCTCTCTGCAAATGCAGGCTCCACCACTGCTCGCAGACGTGCCCATGGGATTTCGAAGTATTCCTTCCTGAAGAGGGCGCAGGACAGAGCACAAGCTGAGTGAAAACGAAGGAAGGAAGAATTCCACACGATAAAGAAGAATTGCAGATGTGCTCTGCGCAAAAACTCGCATTCCCCTCCTCATTTGAAAGGATAACAAACAGAAGAACTGGGGTCCGAGGTTTAGTGAACTCTTCACTTGTCCTGCTACTACGGATGGCACTCCCATCCTCGCCTCCAACTCCAACCTGCTCAAAACGAGCACGATCTCCTCTCCTACTACTCGCCATGCATGACTAGGAGAAGGGGTCAGGGAAAGAGGACGAGCCGAGGGGGAAAACGGGTGGAACGGGGTTTAGAAACATTTAGGGCGATTATTGGATTCATACGCCACCATTGAATGGGTTTGGGAGGAGACCGTGGATTTTCGCGTGAACACAGTCCTTGATTCTCCAAAAACTAGGTCACAAACTATCAGAAGCAGGAAACATGTTGCGGAGTGAATCCATTTCAAAAATCGATCGACCGATCTTTATCCAAACTGCCCGAGGTGGTCGGAGTCGAATCATCGAAGAGCACACAGAATGAGGAGACCAGGGGCAGCGCTAACGCCTTAGGAGACCCCAAATTATCGGCGATCGCTGTAAAATTAAAATGCTAATTCCACAAAGGTAACGAACCGACAAAACAGAGACGGGAAAGGGGAGAACGAATAAGGACAAGATCTCTTCACGTACGGATCGATGAGGACGACATCCGCGTGGAATTGCATGGTCTTGGCGAGCATGCCGCCGGCGACACCTCCCCCGATGATCACCAGCCTCCTCTTCGAGTTTCCTCCTTCCATGCCGAGAAAATCCCCGCAGACGCTGTCTCAACCTGCTCTCCCCGAATCCACAAGTTTCTCGCCAACACGCGGCACCGAATCCGCTCAATCCCGTTTCGATGAACGCTATGAAGAAGAAACTAACCACGCGAAATGGAGAATCTGCAAGGCAGCTTCGGCTGAATCTGTCTTCCCGCAGCTCCAGGGGAGGCGGCAGAGTTGACTCTCTCCTCACACGTTACTCCTTCCCCCTTCCCGTAGAGAGAGAAAGAGAGACAGACAGACAGAGGGAGAGATAGATGGAACTATAATTTAATTTTATTTAAAAATCGACGCTGATTTTTATAAAGAATCTTTGATCGAAGGTCTACGAATCGGACGGCGTTGGATATCTGTCTGAGTTGGTGGGCCTACAGTTATATTGTGGGCCCATTTGCCAGCTACCTTCTGATTGAATTCTGTGTCAACGGCACCGATCTTGGGGAGAGAGGAATTAAATGCGTCAGACGACTCGCCGTGTGGACCCAGTCTAACAGGTTTCTTGCCACATGGGCTGATAATGGACTAAGAAGCGAGAGGTGATCCGGCAAGGCCGGATTAGCCCGTTAAGGGGGATGACCACATGATGGGCCATGTTGGGCCGGATTTCTTATCGGCACTTCGGAAGGGACCAGAAGTGATTGGGCCCACAAAGTCGAGCCAGGCCAGACCCAACGTCCAACCTGGCTGTCTGCGTCCGGTTGAATGTGGGTCCCGACGCAAGGATGGCAGGTTATTAGTTTATACGACGACGACGTGGAATCCGACGTGGCCCTCACCCGACGACGAAGGGATCGTGCCGTGGGCCGGACGTGGTGAAATCGACGGTCATATTCCTAAGACCGTCCATCTAACGGTGGAGGCCGATTGTTATCTCAGAATCTCCAGAAACCAGGTGCTCGCCGTTATCGGTGGGCTGTCCCTGCGAGGGTGCGTGAAGAGAGAGAAACACAGAGACAGCAGAGAGAGAGAGAGAGAGGGAGGGGGGGGGAGAGAGAGGAGTGTTGATCCATGGCGGATGGATTGAAGCTGGAGCAGAGGCACGGGAAGAGCCGCGTCAGGGTGGCTAGGGTGTGGAGGGATGTGAAGGGGGAGGGAGGGGACGTGATCGTCGAGTGGAAGGTAGGGGTGAGTCTCTTCTCGGACTGCCTCCCTGCCTACACTGGAGGCGATAATTCCGCGATCGTCGCCACGGACACCATGAAGAACACGGTGAGATCCTCCCTCCTGGCTTCATGTTGACTGCATATTGTTAATTCGTCTATTTTTTTCGGTTGTTGCTGTTGATGCGGTGTCTCTGAGAGGATGGACGCATGTCGTTATGGTTTTGCGCTGGTATATGGCTCAGGTGTACGTGAAAGCGAAGGAGTGTTCAGATGTTGTTTCGATGGAGGAGTTCGCAATTATCCTCGGCAAACACTTCACCTCGTTTTATCCGCAGGTCATTGCGCCTCTTTTCTATTATATGCCAGGAGAAGGAGCGGAGATCGAAAGTACAGAACTAGATGCAATACTGAGGAACTTCCCTTTTTTCTTTCCATAGGTGACTGCTGCCATCGTCACAATCGTGGAGAAGCCTTGGGAGCGCGTCGCCGTAGATGGGAGGCCTCACAAACATGGTCTGCTCCTTGCTCCTGTTGTCTCTTTATTTCTTGGCGCATAGTCAGTGCGTCTCATTGATTGAGCAGATGCTCATTGGAATCTCAGATCTGTTGTTCACAGTATTAGACTATATTACGTCCTGTGACTTGATTGAACATGACGTATTTTAGCAGCCCTTTTCATCAATGTTTCACATATTTCCTTTGCATCTTATGAGAGTGAATGTTCTTCGTTCTGGATTGCAGAGGATTTTCTTAATCACGATGAATGCCTTCCCCGCAGGATTTAAACTCGGATCCGAAAAACACAGAACCGAAGTAACGGTGAAGAAGTGTGGTTCTCTGGAAATAGAATCTGGGGTCGAGGGATTGGCGTTGCTCAAGACCACGATGGTAATTTTTCTATTTCCCTGTTTTCATCAGAAGCGACGAGCACTCTTGAATGTGTCATAGCGGGCATTTTTTCAGGGTATCAATCTGCGTGATGCATAATTTGTGTGATGTTTATATTGAAATCTGATCCGTTTAGATGGAATCATAAGTTCGCCATTAATTCTGCCTCCTATTTCATGACTGGCATTGGAATTTATATGCATAAAAAACCATATGACCGGATGTATCATTCTAAATGGCAAGTGATTGAAAAACCCCACACGACATTTAATTCCCCAAGATATTTAATCTGCCTCGACCCGTGGTTCAGAAGCTCAAATCGATTAATTCTCCAAGCTTTTTCCCGGAGCCAATCAACTGCTTGGAAATTGGCTTGATAAAAATACAAATTAATTTCATATATTTTGTGGTGTCGACGATGATTTACTTTGCAACATTAGTCTGAGTTGACTTTTAAATCTGTCAGCCGACTATTCGGGTCAACAAGTTCCTTCTTCTTTGCGATTTTATAAATAGCTATCCTGGCGATTCATTACAGGAGAGTTAAGTAATAGAAGAGCATCTGTGAAGGGATTTGCTCATACATACCTTACTGTTTCCAACGTTTTATCCCGTTTTCATTGCCCTCAAGAGCCCCAATCAATACTTGACAAGATCACTGCATACAGTCTTGCATGGATATTAATTACCTTTACAAAATTGGGCAGTCGGGCTTTGAAGGATTCGTGAGGGACAAGTATACGGTTCTTCCAGACACAAGAGAGAGAATGCTGGCAACGGAGATCACTGCTCTCTGGAGGTCACTTCCTATCACATCAAGCTCCCTCTGCGCAGTTCCTCCCATTACACCGGTTGCTGATTCATGAAAGGCCTGCCTTAACTTCATGCAGATACAGCTTTAAGAGGATCTCCGACGTTCCAGCCAAGCCATTCTGTTTCTCCAAAATGCATGCAGACGCAAAGAAAGCCCTGGTCGACACCTTCTTGGGGCCACCCAACTGCGGCGTGTACAGCCCGTCTGTTCAGAACACGCTCTTCTTAATGGGGAAAGCTGTTCTCAACAGGTCTCCGCTGACTAATCGGTGATGAGAACGGAATGAATTCACCCAATCCTCTTCCCCCGTTCTAAGAATCAGCCGTGCATATGCTCAGGTTCCCGCATGTGGCGTCGGTTCATCTCAAGATGCCCAACATCCATTTCTTACCAGTCAACCTGTCTAGCAAAGATAACGGAACCATCGTCAAGGTATGATCTTCCTTCCGTTGTTCTTGGTTCCTCTGATGTTGCCATATTTGGAAAAATCTTGGAGATTCCTGGGATATTCGCCCTCAGCTTGCTACTTATGTTCATTGATTCGTGGAGCTTCTGCATGATGCATTGAACATGTGGGAGTTTGTCTTTCCCAATATATCAATTAATCGTGTTCATAATCAAAAATAGGTGGGGGGGAGGGGGCTCATCTGTTCCTTATTAAAGAAATAAGTCAAAAAGGAATATTTTGATCTAGTAACATGATATCCCTCTGTTTTGTTTGCTGTGATTATTCTGTGCAGTTTGCGGACGACGTGTACAATCCGACGGATGAACCTCATGGGACAATCGAAGCGAGCTTGACCCGCACCCTGTCCAAGATATAACCACGGGTACCAGCTCGTTGACTCCGACGTTGACTGGTATCCAATCATGAGTCATGGAAGTCAACCGTGGTCGACTGGACATCATCCAAGCCGTTTCATAGGTGAAGATGCTTTGAATGGGGCTGTCGATAGCAAGGCCTGTGTGAATTCATGCTCATATTTGCACATTTTTATGTAGAAATGCCGTCTATTTTGTTCTTGTTGCTAGGGTTAGCTGGCTGGGTCCAACCAGATATAGATATAACTTGAGTGAGAGAGAGAGAGAGAGAGGGAGGACTGCCTGGAAAGTGGGCCGAGCCCGATTTGAATTTTGGGCCTTATGAAACGGCCCAGAGAGAGGAGAGAGAGAGGATGAAAATGGGTCTGGCCCTTTTCTTACAAATAATAAGATCCTGATAAATCGGGAAGGTGAGTCTTATTCGCCGAGATTAGAGGATAATCTTTTTATATAATCCTCCTCTTGCTGACTTGTCCCTCAAAGAGCAATATTCCCCCCTCCCCCCCCTTCCTTGCCCTTTCCTCTGGGAAGCGACCTCCAAACCCCCAACCCTCTTGCGTCCCTCCGGCGACGAGGAGGATTTCCTGCTGTTTCCTGGATGCGTCGTCGCCATCGTCCGCCTCAAACCGCAGGAGAGCTTCGGGGAGGATGCCGGCGATGAAGGAGGGAGAGGAGGAGGACGAGGCGGCGGCGACTTCCCTGTCCACGGTGGCCCTGCGCTTGGTGTTCGCCAACGGGAGCCGCGAGGTCGACGTCGGAGAGGTCGCGATCGATCCCGGCCTCGGCTTCCGCAGGCTGCAATTTCTTGTTTGCGATCGGATCGGGGTGCCGGCGGAGCAGATCTCGCTGTTCCTCGCTCTGCGCAGGAAGGCCAGGTCGTCCCTGGAGGGCGGGAAGAGGACGCCGATCGACGAGCGCACCGACTTCGCGGCCCTGGTGCGAGAGAAGGACGGCGTCGTCCTGGCGCAGCTGAAGCAGATGAAGAAGGACCGGCGCGTGAAAACCGGACGGAACCTCGCCAGGGAAGAGGCTCTGTCCGCGCGGGGGAAGAAGTCGCCGCCATCGTTTCCGGAGAAGACGATCCTGAGGAGGCCCTCCGAATTGCCATCGACGACCGCTGCCGCCGCCCTCCCGGTTCTTGCAGAGAACGGCCAGGGCCTCATGGGACCGTTCAACTACGAATCCCTCAGGAACCTCCAGATACAGAGGGAGAGGTACCTTCTCTCCACCGCCCCCGCCGCCGTTCACCGTCCTTACACGGAGGCTGCGCCGCCACCGCCACCGACCGCCGGCGACGCCGCGGTCGCCGTGTGCGAGCTTTGCTCATCTGCCAAAGAAACCCCAGTGCCGTTCCACTGCTGCGTCCTCGACGAGGTCGTCGCCGAGGCGTTCCGCTCCCCTGCTGGTCCGATCCAGAGGCCGCCCCCCAAGGCCCTTCCCCCTTCCTAGGATTGAGAAACTCGCCCCACCGAAAATCGAGAGAGAGAGAAGCATACGCATTGAATATAGAAATACGGTATACGAAGGGTATACACGTATAGATAATCTCTTCTTTATCGTGTCGTGGGCAATCTTGTCTATTCAGCAGTCTCTCTTTCTCTCTCTCTCTCTCTCTGTGTTTCTCCATCCATCGGTATATCTCTTAGATGGGAATGGGCTGGTCTGGGCTGGGCTCCCGTCTCGTCTTCTAAGCTGGCAGAGACTAGAAGCCCATCCCAGGTGAGATGATCCATAGTCTAATGGGCCGATATGAGCCATTGAGAACCGATCTGTTCGTGGGGATTTGGTGTGAGCCCAAATACGGAAATCATCGGCCCGAGACAATTCTTAGTGGGCCAATTTACTCTACAAAGTCGACTGTTCCCGAGGCCGCCGCCACGCTTGGTCGGGGCGGCGGGCTCGCCGCCGGCGTGGCGAGCAGAGACGTCGCCGTCTAATCGCTGACCGTACGCCGTTTTCTCGCCGTTAACGGCGATATCAAAAAACTATAGAAAACCCACTCTCCTTGCAGTCAACTACTATTATGCCCCTCTTTAACCCCACTTCCCCTCCCCCACGCCACTCACCCCTCCACTCTCTCCTTTATATTCGCGCCTCTCTCTCTCTCTCTCTCTCTCTTCTGTGGGAGTTAAGTGTGGTTGTCGTCCTCTTTCTCTGCCTGTGAGGCGGGGGCTTGTTGGCAATGGCGGAGTTGGGCCCCGACCTGGAGGACGGCGAGAGCTACCTTCCCTCGGGGATGCTGCTCGGGGAGGAAGGATGGGTGGGACGGCGCGTTATGCCTCACCGCCGTCAGGTGCCTCAGCGGCAGAGCTTCTTCTCCGACGGAGTCGCAGGCCTCCCCTGCTACCCTCCCGATTTCTCCCCCTTCTCCAGCGAGCCCCTCCCGCCCCCTCCAGCGACAGCGAGAGGCAACCGCCTTCCACCCGCCCAGAGCCTGAAGCCTATCGCTGGCTTCTCCGCTTCACTCTCCCACTTTCAGGTTTCTATCTGTTCACCTTGGGGGAGCGGAGGAAGAGGACCCTTCCCCCGCCCCACCTTCTCTCCTCTCACTTCTTCTCCCCTGCAGCGGCCTCACTTCTCTCGCCTACAGCAGGGTCTGGACATGAGCTGCGTCTACAGCGCGCTCGTTCCCGAAGCGACGTCGCGTTACAGGAGCCGAGGAAGCGGCGCGCCGCCGGCCATGGGACGCTTGCTCTTGGCTTCGGCGACCGGCGCCCACACTGTCGGCGGGGACTTCGCATACCCGGTGAAGTCCGGTGGCTGCCCGCCGGTTAGAGACTCGGCTCTCGTACGCTCTCTTGCTGTCATGCTCTGAACCGCCCTCCTCACTTCGCACGGGAGATTATTCCATTCTCTGCTGGGGAAGTTAATGACCGCATTTATCTGCGATTATCGTTGCTCGACACGTCGCAGGGTGAAGGCTGTGTGAGGATGATGATGCCGGAGGGTCGGGGACCCTTCCTCCCCGCCAAGGCCGGCGGCAAGGGACAGATACACGGAGGAACCGGGGTTTTCCTTCCTCTCCCTCGGCTACAGGGAGATTGGAGGAGGATGCCGAGTAAGCCCAGTTCGACCCGCTTCCCACCTGCCTAGTCTGCTGCGTTGGTCCGGTCGTTTGCAGGGTTCGAATGGTAGGGTTTATCGCGGTACAAGTTCGGGGGATCATGACGGTGCTGTTCAATCCACACTGGCCATTTGCAGGGGCGACGGGGGACGGGAAATGGGCCTTGCCGAAGCAAGACAACAAATCTGCGGCAGTGCCCAAGCAGGGAAAGCTGCGATCAGAGATGGGTCTGCCTCCCGACTGGACATACTGATCAGCCCCCGTCGCCCTCTCTCTCTCTCTCCTTGCCTCTCCTCGCGTCTTGTGTAAAGATTGGCCTCCGCAGGTTGTGTCAGTGCCCAATAAATGAAATAATAGAAGTATAATCTTATAATAACAAACCATCCTCGGCGCGAGACAGAAGATGGAAAAGTTGAGCCCCGAGGGGCGGGGGTCTCTCTCGCTCTTTTGCAGCCATGACAGAAGACCCATGAAACATGGGAGGGTCTCTGCCCCCCCCCCCCCTCCCCCACTCTCTCTCTCTACCTTCTTCAGCCTGCGTGGAAGATTGTTTCTTCTTTCCATGTACAATCAATCTAGACTTCGGCTCCCCAACCGGGGGTTCCCCACTTCCTCTGCTCCTCGTCTCGGTCTCCGCGTCCTTCTGACACCGCAGTGCAGGAAAATATTGAATGCCCTCGTCTCCCGCCACCGCCCCGAAAGGTTTCTCGCCATCCGTAACGCCTCACAGCTCCGCCCCTCGCCGGTGCGCGCTGCTCCCCCACAGCGACGTGTCCTACACCGGCATCACTGCCGCCCCCTCCGCCGTGTTACGCCGGGTCGTCGCGTTGCGGGATCAAAATCGCCGCCTCAGCGCCGCCCCCACAACGTGGAAGGCGCGCCGGGGTTCCCGGTGGCGCCGCCCGCCTGCCGGGGACAGATGGGCGGCGAGACGTTGGCGTGACCCAGCTGAAGTCTGCCCTCGGGCGGACCGGCAATGATGGCGCCCTCCTTGTTTTACGACCGTTACGGCCGTGGCTCTTTCTCCTTGGGAAACCTGCAGAGCTCGGGCTCTGCACCGTGCATGGGTGGACTTCCCCCACCAGCTGGAGATGCCCAGGAACAGTTGGGCCGACGCCTGTAGGCCTGCAAAGGAAAAGCGCCCCGTCATTCTGATTGCCAGCCCATTTGGCCCATTTGTAGAGAGAAATAGAGAGAGATGGGGTGGGGTAGGGACGGAGCAAGACAGGATCTTGCACTTACAGAGTTGGCTGATGAAGCCGTTCTACTGCCAGCGCGGAGAAGAGGAATCGTCGCCGACACTGAAAGGCCGTTGACTTTCGACTGGTGAAAGCATCAACAGAACACAATCTGGTTTCATCCAAACTAAACTGGATTCGAATCATATATATGGGGCCCACAAGAAGTCAACTCACACCATGCATCCAAGAGTCGTGTGCAGAAATGAGAGTCGTCTGCTTGACGGGGAACACTAGCAGCTAGAAAATCTGACCAAGATGAGATGAGCGAGAACATGGACGATCGATCATACTATTCCTGTCAGTTTCATGCTGAATCTGCGTGCATTGACCGAGGAAAACAAGGGCAAAAGAAAGTTCAGTCGAAATCACCTGCTTTCATCCGCCGACAATAAAGTGGGAGCCCAGGCCCAGACCCAGGCCCGTTCTCAGCAAGATCGGCAAGATCAGCTCAATATGCTACGGCAATGGAAAATGGTATTTCTGGCCAGGATAGAATGCGTAGAAATATGAACAGCCATCATACCTTCTCTGCTAATGAGATGTGAGACGCAGAGCGTGGAGACTGAACCTCTTGGCGATGCTGACCGGGGAGGAGACCTGTATGATAGATAAGAAGAGAGTGTGATGATGTGAAGCCCAGTGAGCAAGTGATCCCTGATCTGCAGGCAAGAAACGAAAGTCAATGTCATGGGGATGTAATCGCGGCAACTGTTGCTCTCATTCATTCCAGGATGAAGGCCATTTCTGAATGGATTCACTCCAACGTTCCCCACCATTACAAGTTATCAACACCACCGGATCAATTAATTATCTAAAAAAATATGGAAGCTCGTGCTCAACTTTCTACATCTGGTAATTCAGCTTTGAAAAGGGTGAAAAGCAATAGCGTAAACCATCAGTCATCCGCTTCCGTGACGGTTGTACTCGAGTCAACGACAGTCTGCCGGACGAACTGGCCTTTGACTCTGGGGCGCTGCTCTGCAAGCATTTTTCTACTGTGGTACCTTACCTGAATACAAAATAACACGAATTATATCCAGCAGATAATGTAATCAAGGAATGAAAATAAAATAAATAATACAGAAGTTACCTTCTTTTCAAAGCATCTATCCTTCCGCTTTAATCGAAATTTAATCAAAGCGGCCTCGCGATGAGACCGATTCGGGTCCAGGCCTTTCCCTTTGTAAATCTGATCTCTGCTTTCAGCTCCACAGTCGTATGCAGATCTTGCATTCATCGTCGCATCAGCTGTTCCAGCTATGTTGTTGTTTCTGCTACCATTAATAGCATCCCGGCTGCAATTACTGCTTTGATCGGTGTACTCTGGATTACCACATGTATGCAGTCTATGGTCTCCAGCATCTGTTTCTGATCCGTTTTCCTTCTTTCCTTGCTGCCCAAGAGAAGGATCATGACTTTCTTCACGGTTATGGAATGATGTCGACTGAATATCACCATGTTCCCGCTCAATGGCAGCTGAACCATGACGAGACCCTGAATGTTCATGGTAGAACATCGGCTGCAAGAGAGGACCATACCCAGGGCAAAAATTCTGGAAAGGTATTGCACCAACAGGGAACGGAAGTGGAAGCATTCCGAACTGCGGGTGAGGAAACCCGCCCACAGCATCCTCAGTGTAACCAAGATGGATGCCGTCCCTTGAAGGAACTGCACGTTCCCCATCGTCATCATCGCTAGTCGATCTTTGATGGCAGATCATATCTTCGTTTCCATTCTTTTGAGGGGATTCCGACCTTTCCATGGGGGGGAAAGCATCGGCCCTATCGTTTGTAGTCTCAAGACTAGTCAAATTTTGCTGACCTTTCTCAGCATTCTCCCTTGTTTGTATGCATACAGCAGCTGAGGGAGACCCAGATTTATGGCCTAACAGACAAATTCCTGTATTAGCGTACCTGATGATAAAAAGGAAGGGAGAAGTCTGTAAGCAACAGAAACAAAGCAGGAAGCTGATCGTTAAAATAACAAGCCAAATAGACACCGGTAATTTGTGCAATAGAATAAAGGGATAGGAAACGCCAAATGGTGGGACAAACGAATTGTGCCTCCATATGACCATCTCATCTCGCGTCCTGATATCAAGGAAAGATGCGCCTCTGCCTTTGGGTATTGATCAATGGAAAGTGGTTTTTTAAGTAGCAATCCCGTGGATAATTGGAAAGAGAGGGAAAATGTGAACTTCAAATGTGAATTCAGGTGGCTACCCATGCTAATATTTCGGTGATCCATGGTATAACAAAGCTCATCAACAAAAGTATAATGCATTGTGATCCATGGTCCAACAGAATAGAAATCAGTGAAGCCACCCATGCTAATATTTCGGTGAGGATCAATAGCACGAAGAATATTCCGGTGATCCCCTCGTCGTCAGAATCTTGCTCGACTAGTAGACAAGTCTGAGAGTAATCCCTCTCCTGTCTTTCATGTCTTCTATTCCTCCAGCGTACTCATTTTCATTCGCTGTGCTCTTATTTAACGATAGTGAATTGGATCCAACTTTAAAAGTGATATCTACCAATAGAAAGTAAAACTCATTTTTCAAAGTATTGTACAACCGGTCACTCCTGGAAAGGTACTTGAATTTATCGTTTTTTTTTTCCTAAAGTCTACTTTAGCTCTTAAGCCATCATAAAATTGGGCAAATATCAAATGCACAAGTATGGAAAAAAAAATTAACGTAACAAGAGAAAAATCATAAAAAGTTCGCTAGAATTAAAAATGCCTCTTTAATGGCTGGAGATATTATTATAGCCTTAGACAAAATATGTGACAACAGAGTCTTAGAAAGAACGAGCCTTTAAAGGCATAACGTCCCATGCTGTTTTCTCTCTTTATTTCGTATTTAACATATGTTACTCCAATTAGATAAACAGTCATCTAAGACATTTTCCATAAAAAAGTCAGTAGGACCATACGCAATTAAAATCTGCTCTATTAACAATTTGTCAATTGGCCATCTAGAATCTCAGATTTTTTCTGAGGCAAAACTTTACAAACATTTGTTGGGGACTAAATCTGCATCAGTTTTGCTCTGTAACCATAATAACGAGTTTAAATGAAATTATAAGCAAGGTTCACGTCAAAAATGGCTACAAAATAGCCCTAACATGTCTCTTGAAATTCGAAATAGAACAATATTGGTTGTTTACTGCAATTGCTGAAATAAAAGAAGATTAGCAATAGGGAAAATTAAGATCATATTTCCAAACTAAACTTAAGAAATAGAATGTAAGCATGTCCGCCTCTGTCAAGATATGCAAACGAAAGGCAATAATAACTCCATCCCGAAATCCCATTCCTCAGGTAAGATCGACTATTGACAAGCCAAATACTAATTGGCAGTCGAAACCTGATGATAAGGATCAAAGAACATAGGAGGATTTCCATTTATAAAACTTGCAGATTTCCCATGCATAAAACCCGTGAGTCCTTCCACCCAGCATATGTTATGTCAAGTCAAATGCATTTACAGCTGATGTAAAATAAACTTTTTTTTGGCACATGCCCCTAGGAATTGTTCATTTATCCCACAGAATCGAGCAATTTCTGTTTTTCTTCATGTTTTCTTGAAGAGAGCATCAGATTTAGAGAAGACACCTTCGGCAAAGTGAAAAACTGCAGATATTAGCACAGGTTGTAGCACAGATGTTTAAGGGTAGAGAAAAAAACCTTGAGAAAGCGGAAGCAGCAGAATGATTTAACACGTCCTTTTCTTGAAATCCATTCTTGACACAATGATTTAGTTGTTGTGTCCTTACAGAAAACTCCCTTGGAGATGAGGAATCTGCAATACATGTGTTTCCTCGATTAGATAATACTTTAGATTTACAAAAGGTTTTCTCCCCTTTACTATCGCATCGCTCATTGTTGACCAGCCCAATGAAGTTAATAATCCTCTCTTGAGATTTGAGTAGCACAACATCTTGATGAAATGGTCTACGATCGGCATCTACACAGTCAGTTTCTCTGACATAATCCAACTCTTTTCCTCTGCATATTGGTTCATCAGAAATGTCAGTCTGTTCCTGAACATTCTGAGATATATTGTTCTCTTGGATAGACATAATAGCTCCCACTTGAATTCCCAACACGTTATCTACAAAGGAAAACTTAGGAGAATTTTATGATATTGTTGTCAATATTCTGCCCCAATGTTCATCAAAAAATACAAAATGATTACCACTTAATTTGCAACTATCGTGCATCTTAGATTCATTGGCCATGGATGTCGCTTCATCACCAGCTTGCCGTGATTGTGACTTAGTTACCCTGGATGACTTCCTGTCTTCAACGCGAAATGCCCCCTGTTTTTCTGTACTTCCAATCTGCGTTAGAGGTTTGTTGCCTGAGCTCTGCACGTGTGACAAACATGGGAAGAACGTCATTTTAAAAAAGTACCCGGTAGAAATTATTACGGGTAAAGATATTGCTCTGCAGGTTCTCAAGAGAAAACTAAGCTGAAGCAACTCAGATTTCGGTTGACCGGACTTCATGACCCTACTATATTCAATTTTCATTGTAATACAAAAGCTCAGTTGAACTGAAAATTTTATCGAATGAAGAAAATAATAAAGAACACAAAATCCCTAGAGGTTGTATTCTCTCTCTGATAAAAATAAATAAAGGGGAAAACATTTAAAAGATGAACGCGTGGGAAACCATGAGAATTGGACGGTTACCTGATTATCATCATCATCACAGCTTTGAATAATCCTTGGACTTTTTATAGCATTTGCACTTACATCATTGCTAGCAGCATTATTGTCAGACATGTTTTCTGATACTGACCGGTTGTTAGGCATGTTTTCAGGTTCATTGGTATGGCGAATTGACTGCATTAAGAAAATTATTGGCGGTCTTACTCCTTGTCATAGGATTCTAGAAAAAAAACTATTGCTATCAAGAAACAAAGAAATAATCTAACGGCGAGAATCATACACGGTGCCTCCTCCAGACATGTTGCCATAGGTTTCTCAGTTCATTCTTCCTGACTGGTTTCACAAGAAAATCAACAGCACCTTTCTGCATGCATTTGAATACAACACTGACCGAATCATGTGAAGACATCACTGTTCAAAAGAGAAGTGTCAGAAAATACCAACCCATAAAGAAATTGAAGAAAAACGCAATGGCTTTATTAAATTCACTTACTGATTACTGGAATGTTTCTAAAGAATTCGTTTCCCATTATCTTGCTGAGTAGACTAATGCCAGAGATAGAAGGCACATCTACTTCACACAAAATGAGATCAAAATTGTAGTTTTTCTCCTTCACAACGTCCCAAGCTTTGATCCCATCAGCAACAGCAGCTACTGCATGACGTACACATTGAAACATATAAACATGAGACAAGAAGTGATTTTTTTGAAAGACAAGATGGAACCATCTTATAACGAATAATTAGCATAACTAAAAAAATGGCATTCTGATGTGTGAAGACACATACAAATATGACGGGAAGCAACTTGATAAATTTTTGGACCTTACTGTTCAGGCAGGAAGTTTTGTGGACAAGCCAATCAAATACCGAGTGATATGACTTTTGAACCATTATGAAACTATTTCAGAGAAACAATGTTTAAAATGTAAATAAGCACCATCCCACCATCTTGTACATTGGGCAGATTGATAAAAGTATGACACAATCTTCATAGTAGCCAAGAATATGCATGGACATTTTCTGGAACCTGATAACTGCCTTCTGCATTAATCTAGGGTAATGGAAACTATTTTATTCTGTTTCTATTTCCCTTTATATATGTGAAAAATCTGTATATATCCATGTATGACTCTCCTCCCCTTATATCTTAGTTTCAAATAGTTATCATCAAGCACGTGACTGTTCCAAGACTCGACTCCAGCATCCCTTTCCTAAAATCAAAAATCTTCAACGAATGAAACAGTTATTCATGTGACATCACGTTCTCATTGGCATTTATCTAACAAACTTCCATTATTACCCCCTATGAAGGCAGAGAATTACATTTTCACACCTTCCCTATTTTAAACTCTTTTCCTGTGGCATTATTAAATGCTGAAAGCAGAAGGCATCAATAGTGAGGCCACACCCTACAGAAACCAGAGACAGTTGAGGTAGCTGTTATTCCAAGAAATGGCCGACACTTTCACTTGCACAAGTCATCATAATTTTTCTACTTTCTACTTCAAAAATAAAATTTATTCCCGAGCCATCTTCAGTGGAAGCATGAAAATTGTTGCATTCTTATGCGAAAAATAGCTTTACAAAAATTATATAACCATTAGTCTACTCAGATTGTTCCCTTGCAAAAAATTCAAGAGAGACGAATCGACAAGTACTAGTACATCTGTTGATTTTGAATCGTCCGAGATATTTCATCGACGGATTCCTAATACTAAGTTTGGAGCGTGATCAAAGGGAGAGCTACGGCCGACAGCAAGACAAGTGAACCATGCTAAGAGAGGGGGGGAGAAAAATTTATTACCGTGGTAACTGCATTTACGGAGCAGAGCGGTGACGATGTGGCGGGTTGAGTCGTCCGGCTCCACGAGGAGTACCCTCAGCGATCTCCTCGGCAAGAACCGTTCCCACCGTATCACCCGCCGCTGCTGCAGCGAGCTCGCCACCGCATCAGGAAGCGCACCCCGGCGCCCCTGCGCGGGGGCACCACCCTCCCGCCCCATGCTCCCCTTCGCCGGCCCAGTCGCGAGGGACGACGGCCCCGCCCCTGCTCCGCCGGCGTCCGCCTCTCTTTCCCTCTCTCCCTCCCCTTCCCCCTCCATCTAACAGCTAAATTGCCACAGCAGACAATCCAACGGGAATCCGAGAAAGGAAAAGCAAAATCCGGCAACGGACGGGGGCGGAGCCGATGGCGAAAGAGACCGCTAGCCGGCGCAGATCGGAGAGAGAACCCAGAAAGGGGGAAGCAGGAGGAAGAGGGAGCGGGGGGGCAGAAAAGAAGACGAAGACGACGACGGCGACGGGTAGCGCTCAAATCTGTGGCCACCGACTGGGCTGAAAATATCTCCCCTGGTCGACACGTCATCTGGGTCGGAGGAGGGAATCGGAAATCAAAAGCCCCCCCCAGCGGGGCCACGTACCCTCCATCGCCCGCCCGGGCCCAGCGGCGGCCCGCCAAAAGGGCGACGCGGGCACGGCTTCAGCCACAGATACCCGCCGCCGTCAGATCAGATCTTTTTTTAAAAAAAAACCCCAACAAAAATGGGGGCGAGGAGAGAGACTCTCCCGCGCCTCTCTTCCGGAAAATATCCTGGACAAAATAATAAAAATAATACTTTTCTGCCATCGCCGCAATAAATATCCTGCCCGCCCCCCCCTCATGCCTACTGCATTCCGCCATTTCGACGACAATAAATCTATTTTTATTGTCGCCGGATGGGGGGGTGGGCCCTTGTCAGCAGTGGGCAATGTCGCCAGCTTCGAATGAGCGACCGCCAAGTGTCTATCTCTCCTCCACACGACAGGCACGTCTGGGACTTGGGTATCTCGCACTGTTGTTCGTTTCGGATAAGGGTCCAGGCCAGCCTCAGAACGTGGCGGTCGTTCATCTATCCACGTGTAAGGCATTTTCGGTCTTTTCATAATTTGCATTACTTTCATACTATTATTAGCATTAAAAACTGTGCCGGGGCTCCTCGGAAAGACTAACGGGTCGAGCGTTTCAGTTTGGGGTTTCTGATAATTTCGAATCTTTGGGGGGGGGTTTTTTTTATCCCTTTGTAGGAAGGGAGTACAGGATGGCCTTCTTTAAAAAGTAACCGGAGGATGGGAGCTTCGAAACGTGCCGACCGTTAGGCTTCTGCGCATCCTTTCCCCAACCAGAAGAAGGGAGGGCCAGCCGGATCGGCTTCCCCGCCGCCGGTTACAGCGAGAACTCTTCATCGGCCGGAGAATCCCTACCGATCCTACGTCTTCCTCACGCAGTGTGGCCCCCGCATTTCCCCATTGCAGCTTCCCTTCTCTCTCTCACTCTCTCTCTCTCTCTCTCTCGCTCGCTCGCTCTCAATTCCGAGTGCCAATCGCGGTTGTGAGATCTATACCCTCCGGCAATGGAAAATGAGCGTAAACCCGTGGTGACGGGCTACCCCACGGCGGCGGTGCCGCCGATCTACACCCAGGCCGGGGCACAACCTCTAGGGCAACCCTATCCCTACCCGCCCCCTCTGTACTTTCCCCCGCCGCGGCCACCCTCCGGCCCGTACTACGCCCCCTCAGCTGCATATGGAGGCAACGGCGGCAGTCTCTTCGTCCGCCGCCTGATCATCATCTCCATTGTTGTCTTCCTAGCCTTTGGATTTGCTACATTAGTCCTCTGGCTGGTCCTCCGTCCGAACCTGCCCCTTTTCGCAATCTCCTCCGCGTCGGTGTCCTCCTTCAACGTTTCTGGTGGCCAGCAGTTCTCGGCGAAATTCAACCTGAGCATTTCGGTTCGCAACCCTAACAGGAAGATGGGGATCCTCTACGACAAGATCGAGGCGCGCGTCCTCTACCAGTCGGAAACTCTTTCGGAGACGTCCTTGGCGCCCTTCTACCTGGAGAAGGAGAACTCCACGGTGGTGCCAGCCAGTTTTGAGTCAGTCGCCAAGTACCTGGAAGCTAATGCCTGCGACGGCATTGCCAGGAGCAGATCATCCAATGGCGGGGTCGTCGTTTTCCGTGCGACGTTCGTATCATGGGTTAGGTTTAGGTCAGGGACGTGGACGACGAGGAAGCACCTACTGAGAGTATTCTGTGACAACGTCAGCATCAGATTGTCCAATGCCACCGCCGCCGTTGGGTCTCTAGTGGGTCCGCCACAACCGTGCCATGTGTATCTCTGAGTGTTTGGAGCTGTTCTTCGTTTCCTCTTCCCCGCAGCCTTCCTTCTCCTCATTTTCGTCGGAATATTGAAGTAGAGGCTTGTCTGGGGGCGATGTTGTCGGTTGTAGCTCTTCGACTGTGTTCGGTCACAGTGTGAAGCAGAATAATTCTCTTCCTGTTCCTAATGGCGGATACTGAGTGGATGCAAATGGTTTCAGATTCACCAATTTACTCCAGTTTCTGGCCGTGGGGAAGTACATTCATTGATTCAAATGGTTACTAGTGAAATTTTCATTTGTAACTTAGTCTCGATTTCCTCAATTTAATAAATGCGCTCGACTTGTTCCAACAACTGTCATATGTTCATAGCTCTTCATCTTGCTAATGACTTTCCTGTCATCATGGGTAGAATATGAAGTCTTTCTTGCATTCATGGATGCTGTAAGACGATTCGCTTACTTGAAACACTCCAGAACCCATGATCTGTAGTTACTTTAGTGTCTTGGTGGTTTGAACATTTTTGACCAATATTACCTATGCGATATTGTTTCAGTTCATGGACCAGAAACGTGCCATCAGCTGTCAATATCTTCATGGAACTGATCGGTGCATTTTTTCTTGGTTTGTTTGTGCTAATTCAACACTTTGTCGAGATGAACATTGCAAAGGCACCAAACATTTCAGTGGAACGATGATGATGATTACTGATGCAATATCTCGAGATGGAGTTTATGCACCAGGTTGCTTCATGACGGCGCTTTGCTCGTGATCCTTTTTATAGATGCTGTTCATGTTAGTGGCTATGAAAACAAGCAGCGCTTGATTTCATACATCTTTTGTTTGGGTTTGATTATTTGCATCTTAGAAGTCATGGAAGCATGCGCTGTGAAGAATACAACGGACATTGTTGCCATCTGCTCATAAGTTACATGATTAGAACATGTTCCCTTCGTTGCATCTCTTTAGATGTCTCTACAGTTGAGAAGGATGAACATTCAGAAGCTCTGAAGTTCTAGGACGTGTGATCTCCATATGGGTTTATGTTCTAGCAATCTAAGAGTAAGCTTAGGCAAGGTTACCCTGTCCCATGGTGGATATACTCCACATCTTTCTTCGGAGAGCTCCTCTGTATCCTCTCTCCTCTCCCTTTCCCAATGTTTAGAAGATCATCAGAGCATGATTCAGTGAGACTTTCTTGCAGTCCAAAAAGGGATAAATCTAACCAAAAATTATGTGAACCTGATACTCTGATGACATCACCTGCTTTAAAATAATTCTCTACAAGCTTTTGATGAGCTTGTAGAGAAAAATAGATGCGTCTAGCATCTACATCCAATATGCATGAAATCAGTATTGAGTAAAATCTGCGAAAATGTATAGAACTGAGCACTTATGCAACAACAATTTTATCTAATAATCAAAATTTCACCTTTGATCTTGACTTTAGGTTTCTGCATTTGAATCAAAATGAGAAAGAACTCGATCAGAGTCTGGGTTCTACGCATTTATAGCCATCATTTATGGATCATTGAAATTTCAGCGTTCTGTTTGATATAAGTTTGGAATTTGCAGAGTCTTGTCTGAAACTTGCAGAGACCAGAAGAATTTCCACGGGGAGCATTCCTTTTCAATTCTGTGAGATTCTTTCACCAAACCCTAGATTCATGAGGAAGTTTTCACATGACACCGCATCAAAGCATTACTATCATGTCATGCGTCGAAGTTGAATAAGAAGACCTCATTTTTCTCATGCCTCTCGTATTCTCTCCCACCTCCCCAGAGCTGCCGCGACTGACAGCTAGAACCAGTCCGTGGGACCTTTCTGGGGGAGAACCCACCTGGGAGGGGAGGCTCTTTCTCTTGCTTTATTCCTGTTCTTTTCCTCCTCCCTTCTCCCCTCTGGTTCCTTGCAGCTGGGAACATCTCCATCTTTGAAGTGAGCTCTGGGACCCTCCGCACTTTCTGCTTTTGGTGCATATCTCCTCTCCTCCTCTAACCTCGTGCTCTTGACAGGAAGATCCCCAGGCTCATTAGTACCTACCCAACAGGGTTTCCCCAGCTTCATGGTAGAGCCCTCCCCTTCTCTGGGTCCCTGCCTCCAGATGCTGCATCCCACATGAAGGCTAGGGATATCCTTACCGTAGATGGCTCTCTCTCTCGCTCTACCCTTTCTCTCTCCCCTTTCTCTCTCCTTCTCCGGGGGCCCCTTCGACCGGATGCTGCATCCCACCTGAAGGATAGGGATATCCATGGCTCCATCTCTCTCTCTCTCGCTAAGATCCACATACTGCGGCGGCCTACTGTGGTCAATTACTTCTTAATGGGTCTGTGGGGCTTAATTAGTGGGGGCCCATTAAAATAATGGGCCGTTGACTAGTGATCCTTTTTTTAAAAGTTTCGTGCGCCTGAGTGGGCCCATTTGAGGGCGATCAGACGGGCAAGGGATGGTAGCGGCACTGCCAGGGTGGTTCGTGGAAGTGCAAATATCGGTTGAACGGCCCGGATCACTCCGATCGCATTTACAAGATTGACTCGCGAGACAGTATACCGCAGCATCGACTGGTAAACTATAAGACCACCATTCTTACTCCTCCGGCCGCCAAAAACAACCCCCCGCCCCCCCTTCCCTTTATCCTTCCTTCGCCTGCTAACTCCGGCAAGACCATGTCCATCAAGGACGGCGAGGACCACGGCCACCACGGCCACCACGGGAAGAATAAGATGTTCCGGCGAGTCTTCATCTTCGTCGCGGGCTTCATCCTCCTCGTTGTCTTCGCCATCCTGATCATCTGGCTGGTCCTCCGGCCGGCAAAGCCCAAGTTCTACCTGCAGGACGCCGCCGTCACCACCTTCAACATCTCCGGCGGTGCCGCCGCCATGCTCACGGTGACCCTCCAGATCACCCTCTCCACCCGAAACCCCAATGACCGCGTGGGCGTCTACTACGACAAGCTCGACGCCTTCGCCGCCTACAGGTCCCAGCAGATCACCTTCCCCACCGCCATCCCCCCGACATACCAGGGCCACCACGACGTCGTCGTCTGGTCGCCCTTCCTCTACGGCATGAACGTCCCCATCGCGCCCTACGTGTCCACGTCACTGGGCCAGGACAAGAGCTCCGGTCTCCTCCTGCTGAACGTCAAGGTCAATGGCCGTCTCCGGTGGAAGGTCGGCAGCTGGACTTCCGGTGGTTACCACATCTTCGTTGTCTGTCCCGCCGTCCTCACGTTCAACGGCGGCCACTCGCCGACCATCCGCTTCCAGCAGATCTCCACCTGCAGCGTCGACGTCTGACGGAGGACTGAGAACGTAGACTTTCCGGCGGCGGTGGAGCTGGCCTCATTCCTTCCTCGTCCCATTATCATCTTCAGACGAGGAGTGGGCAGGACATAACCAGACTCGTCTGTTCTACTGAAATAAAGAGAGGAATAAAAATATATAATATCGATGTTAAATCTGATAATTAATTGCTAGCAAACTACGTCACCACACTATAAAATATATCATCTCGCCGATAAATCTTTTATTTCGACAAATTCACGGCCAGGAGGCGTCGAATATCTTCTGAATCGATACAAAATCCTCCTCACGTGAGGTCGGGTGGGTGCCCACAGTCTCTGGTGTATGTATGGGCAAGGGGGGGGTCCTCCTCCCAGAGCTACTGGTTGTCTCTGGTGCACCGATATCTCATTTACCACGTAGAGAGAGAGACAGGTGCCAGGAGTTCGTTCCACTTCAAGTTTGGGAATCGATCGAATCATTGCAGGAGGTAAAAGAAAGAGGATTGATGATGGGTGTAACAGTAACCTAGTCAGACCCTCCCTCTCCCTCTCCCTCTCCCTCTCTATCTCTCTCTCTCCGTCTCGGGGAATCCCTGGAGGGAGGTAGGTTCTGAGGTCCTACCGTTTCAGAAGCCATAGATTCTTCGTCGTGGTTGATGTTTCCGGAACGACAGAATGACGAGTCCATCGGGCTAACGAGACGATGGGCGAGAGGTCGGGTGCTTCTCTCCGTGCTACTGGTTGCTATGGTGCGCCGATCTCTCGTTGATTAACACCGTTTAATGTCTCCCCTCTCTGAATCGATAGCCTGATCGTGTATGCTTGGTTTGCTTTCCTTCGACCGTTTGTGGGTATGAGGCAGGGGATCAAAGGAGAACCACGGCGGAGAGTAGAGGGAGAAGTGGACCTTGGAGAGAAGGAGAGAGAGAGTGAGAGACAGAAGAGACAGAAGAGAGACAAGTTCCAGGAGTTCGTTCCGCTTCAGGATAGGAATCGATCGACATCATTGCAGCTGGTAAAAGGAAGAGAATTGGTGATAGGTGTAACAGTAACCTTGTTGGACTCTCTCTCTCTCTCTCTCTCTCTCTCTCTCTCTCCCTCCCCGCGTCTCGAGGAATTGCCGGGACAGGTAGGTTCTGAGGTCCTACCGTTTCAAAAACCATAGATTCTTCGTCACGATTGACGTTTCCGAAGCGAATAATGACGAGCCCATCTCGGGCTAACTCCCTGGGGGATACCCTAGTCTGTCCTGAAGAAGAAGAAGACCAAGAAGATGCCATCTCGATGTTGAGGCTCAGATTCCTGACTGTTCTCACGTCCCGCAAAGGGCTGACTTTTACCTCCCTTGGTCGTCGTTTTATCCGGGGAAGGAGAGGCCTAAAAAGAACATGGCAGATTCAACTCGGACTCTCATCTGGAGCATAAATTATGGCGTGAATTACCCCCCTTAAATGGGCTCATCGTTGACCCACGAGATGTGCGAATATGGCGGTCGGCTTCTGCTGACGTGGAAAGCCCAAGAAGATGTGGCATTCTCCGAAAGTCCAAGAAGATGATGATCGTCATGAGAGAAGATCCGGGTGATTGATTGACTTCGTCTTGGAACCTTCCTCTCACGGCGACTTGGTAGCTACCAGGAACCTTCTCATGGATTAATATTATTCAACGATACTCGTAAGCACTGGGCACGTGGGCTAAAAATAAAGGGTGAAGACGACGGATGCAAAAAAGAGAAGGCTGGCTCGCTCAGACGTTTCGAGTGCGGCAGTCCAGACAGCTACCCCTCGTCGAGAGGAAGTATGCTTCTGACGTATTCCTCGTTCAAACTAGGCGTCTCCCCGCATTTTCCCAGTTTCGTGCGCCTCCCAAACGCGCAATCGATGCCTTATAAAGCTTTCACGCCCCAACCTGATCATCTCCATTCTCAACTTCTCCGTCATCTTCTCAGGCAAGACAACGCCTTCCCTTTAGGGCCTTCCGAGAAGCGACAAGTTTCAGTCTCAGACGATAATGTATCAAGCGCAGCCTCTGCCGGGGGCCTACTACGGCCCGGCGGTCCCTCCCAAGCATCAGAGAAAGTCCCGGGGCTGCTTCTGCTGCCTCTTGAGCACCTTCTTCAAGATCCTCATCGGCTTGGTGATCCTGCTCGGCGTCCTCGCCCTCGTTCTATGGCTGGTCTTGCGTCCCGTTGAGGTCAAAGCTTACGTGAGGACGGCCTCCCTGACGCAGTTCAACCTCTCCACCGTCGGCGGCAATGACAATTTCCGGTACAACCTCACCGCCGTCGGCCGCGGCAGCATCGGGTACAACCTGAGCACCGTGATTGACATCAGGAACCCCAACAAAAGGATCGGTCTGTACTACGATTCGATCGAGGCGATCGCCTACTACGAGGGCGAGAGGTTCGCCTGGAAAGCCCTCCCCGCCTTCTACCAGGGCCACAAGAATACGACCACCCTCTACCCGGCCTTCTCTGGCCAGTCGACCATCGACATGAGCATCTCCGAGGTGCAGGACTTCGAGTTGCACCGTCAGGCTGGCACCTTCGACGTGACTCTCCACCTCAGGAGCCGGATCAGGTTCAAGCTCGGCTCCTCCTTCAAAACCAGCCGCACCACCATGAAGATCAAGTGCAACATGGCCCTCCCCTACGGCAAGTCCTTCTCGGGGACCAAATGCGACGTCGACTGGTGATCGATCGCCTCCAAGTCCTGGATAACGGTGGCAGCTGTGGTGCTATGAGTCCATCAGGGTCGCTCCCATTTGTTTCATTTGTTTACACGGTTGGGGTTTCAGTTGTGTGAATCCTCGAACCATTTCATGATATAAATTGATTTGTTACTTTACTCAAGAAAGCTTATTCTAGTCGTCCTTCCCGGAACCTTCAGATGCGTAAATCACTCTGCATCTGAAAAGGGTCGGGTTTGGGATAAATGGATTGAGGGGTCTCTATTCCCTTGGTCCTATTTGAAGATTGTCAACACCTAAAATCGCCGAAGGTAGCTGCGGGTGCTGCTAGAAGCGAAGAGTCGTTTTCTGGTTCTGTGGTTGGTCGTCCTCACGTCCCGAGAGAGAGAGAGAGAGAGAGAGAGAGATTATCTGAATGGTAACTTAAGTGATTATCGTGAGGAAGCCCTAGGAATTTCAGCTGAAAAGTGATTGACAATAATCAAGTTAAATGCGTCTGATATCATCACAAGTTTATTTTAATAATAAGCAATACGATCACAAGTTTAAAATAACTCTCGACACTTTCAGTCGTCTGCAACTTTCTTTCAAATCTATTCTAACCACTTATATGATCTCCCTTCGTGCAAAATAATAAATTGTTGCAAGATTTGCGTGTATAGTCAGATTCTTGATCTAGCTCAGCATATCGGACCGAGCACATGTGCACGTGCAGTTCCATGCGCGATGCATCATCAGTAGTCGCGCACACCGATTTGACGGCGCGCCCCGTCTTTCTAAACAACACATTAGCTGCAACGGCCCACTTGATCGTCGACACGTGGTGCCGTAGATGTTGACCACTTAACCCTGATCACATTCATTCATACGCGGTCTGGGTCCGTAGGGGGGTGGCTAGTCGTATCCTCACGCAAGTTGATGATCTGGGTCATCTAAGTTGTGGGGCCCTCTTCCCCAAAGTCGATGCGAAACCCCTTTGACTCGTTCAAAACTCGTGACATCATAATTTCAAGACGAAAATAGTGCGTAAATTAGGATGATAGAGTGTTACGATATGTTGAGGTGGATTAGAAAATTGGAAAGGAAGGTGAAAGGGCTCTCTAAATGGGCTAAATTGTGGTTGCTGGAAATGAATAAGCACATACATCTTAGCTTACGCTGATCCATTCGCGATCTAGATCTGCCGCGTGGGGGCCTACCTATTCTCATCTTGACGCAAGCCGATGTGCTGGGTCAACCGGGGAGTGGGCCCACTTCCTTACCTATCCAGCACGATGTACGGCTCCTATGACCTGTTCAAATTTCTCAAAAACTTGCGATATCACCATGTAAACACACAGAAAAGGGTGCTCCCCCTATTCCATGAAGTCCTCGAGAACATAATTGGGCATTAAGAAAATGGCCTAAACTACTTCCTCCGATGTCATTAACTACTAATTCAAGGCTCCTAGTTTGCTTAACAAACAGCTATGATGCTCATATTGTCTACGGGTTTTATGAACGCGCGTCTCTATTTTTATGGGTTTCCAGTATACTTTTTTGCTTGTAATTCGGATGATACGCCCAGACAGATGAGTGACTTTAATTCAGTCCGTATCGGGTGATTTTGACTCGGCACTCACTTTTTTCCCTTCAAAATATCTTAAGATGTAATGTTCTAAAACCCCGGCATCTCGAATATGTGTATTAGTGTGTAAATAAATTATTTAATGTTGATGCCCAGATACACGCTACAACAGTGGAATTGAAAACATGATAATATGGATAAAGAAAGTACGCGTCACGGGTATTTTAATCCGTTTCGTTTGAACATCGGCGTTGTTTTCTTGGAGACGCAACTTGAACACGAAGGCACCTGCTTGGCCCTTCTTTGTCGAGGGAACAGAATCGACGGATGGCAAGAGCTCTGGTTTCTCCGGCTCCGGATGTCGACCGGACGCGTCAGCCGTCGTCTGTCTGCGCGCAACCACGCGTCTATCGACTTCCCCACAGAAAAACCGCGTCTCCATCGAGAAGGAAACTTCCCCAGGTCCTGCCTTTCCGACCTATATAACGCCTCCAGTCCCCCCTGCTCTGGATAACCCAGCGTCTCCACCCCTGAATCGTCCCCCCTTCCTTCCCCTCTCTCTTTCCGAATGGGCGATACAAAGCAAGGGCTCAACGGGGCGTACTACGGCCCCGCCGTTCCCCCTCGCCAGGCCGCCCGGAGCATCGGCAGGGGCTCCAGCTGCTGCTGCGGACCCTGTTGCTTACTGTGTACGCTCTTCAAGTTCCTCCTCTCCATCATCATCACCCTCGGCATCATCGTCCTCGTCCTGTGGCTCGTCTTCCGGCCCAACGAGGGCAAGGTGTACGTGGAGAAGGCCGCCCTCAGCCAGTTCAGCCTCACCAATGGCACCCTCGCCTACAATCTCAGCATGGACATCAGCATCAGGAACCCCAACAGGCGAATTAGCCTCTACTATGACTACATAGAGGCCGTCGCGTACTACGACGACTCTCGGTTCGGCTTCACCACTCTGCCGACCTTCTACCAGGGTCACAAGAACACGTCTATGCTTTACCCGGTGTTCAAGGGCCAGCAGGTCGTCCTGGGCAACTCCGCCACAACATTCAACCGCGAGAACACAGAGGGCTTCTTCTACGTCAAAGTCGACATCAACACGAAGGTCCGGTACAAGGTCTGGTTCATCAAGTCCAACAAATACAAGCCCCACGCCGAGTGCAAGCTGAAGCTTCCCGCTCCCGGCAGTTCCGCCGTGTTCGAGAAGACAAAATGCGATGTGGACCTCTTCTGATCCTCCCCGGTCGGCTTGGTTGCGGCTCCGCCGCCCTCCGATTTCCCTCTTTCATTTTTGCGGTTCCACCTGTTCCAAGCGCGCTTTGCGCTTTCCGATTTCTCCCTTCGCCCATTTATTATATGATTTCTTCTCTATTCCTGCTATCATGTACTTAAATAATATATTTAGCAGGCTACTTACTCCCTTTGACCGACTGCACATTGACTGCGCTTGTCCGCTTCACGCTCGCGCTCTAGATGGACGAATTAAAGGTCATGTTGATATTCGATTAAAAGGGGAAGCAGAGTCCACGAAATATCGTAGAGTTTAAAGCCGCCACTGACTCCGGCAGTCCGGCTCGCCATAGGATCTGTCAGGCAGGGATGATATCGTGCAGGTCTGAAGCCTTGGCTCGGAGAGAGGCTCCTGAAAAGAGTGGCAGCCTCTCTCTCTCTCTCTCTCTCTCTCTCTTGCTGGCCAGGTTTGTACGGGAGGGCTGGATAGATGCGATGACCATAGATTGGTTTGCTTGACTTTTGAGGCTGGATAATAGGCCCCATCGGACGCAGGTAGATCGATGGGTCCTTTCTCCATTGGTCGACCGAGTCAACTTCCGAGGTCTATCGCACCAAGGGTTAGAACTTTGGATATGATAGTATAGATGCCAGATTGTCGGAATGGATCTGTTTGCCAACAAAAATGAAAGTTTGAGGCGATTCCGAGTATGTGAAAATTTTATCGGGTACTACCGATGAAATGTCGACAAAGATTGTTTCACTATTACGGTGCCCAATGAATTACTCTGTAGGCACAAGAATCTTCGTGGAAGTCGACCAAGATTGAAAATTTGTAATCCTTGAGCCCCTGAACCGTGTCGGTAGCACGTTAATAACCCTGTTGACTACATGGGGTTTCTTGTCTGATGATTTCTATCATGACGATAATACTCAAATTTGCCGCGTTTTTACGAACCTGTGGTTAAAATGTTGCTTAGTCAGCAATTCTGGCAGAGTACTGGGTCAACACAAACCGTGGCGTCTTTACGAGACCTGAGCCTGGCAAGAACCGTGGCGGAAGTGTTGTGAACGGGGAGCCCTGCACGTCTTTTCGCGTAATGGCATAGGCCTTGCACGTCTCTAGGCACACCTGCCTAGAGCTGTAAGAGGGCTGTAATAGGTTGCTTATTGCTTACGGTTATTCGTTTTCCCCCCTTTTTTCTCCCTTATTTAAAGAGGGCTGTAAGAGGTTTTAATGAGCGAGATAGTCTTCCTTGTTCCTCCTGCTGGGTTTTTCCTGTGACTCAGAAGGTAATCTCGCCGGCGACGTCTTAACTGCCGTCGTCTCTCCGGCGAGTTTCTAACAAGTGGTATCAGAGCTCTCAGGTTGCGGGCCGGGACTCGATCGCGGCAAGGTACAGCCGTTGGAATCGAGAACGCGCAATCGAGACGCGCTATGGCAGGAGGAAAGGACGGCGCTCGACGCGCTCTGCAGCGCCGTGCCGCCGGAAATGTGGCCGGTGATCGCGAACAAGGAGACGGCCAAGGAGGCCTGGGAGGCTATCGCCACCATGCGGATCGGCGATGACCGCGTAAAGAAAGCGTCGGCTCAGAACTTGCGGCGGCAGTTCGACTCGGCGACGTTCAAGGAGGGAGAGTCTGTTGAGGACTACGCGCTGCGTCTCAACAGCATGGCGTCGACTCTCAACACCCTCGGCGACAAGGTCGAAGAGACGCAGGTAGTGGAGAAGATAATCCCAGTGTTCCCCAGCGTTTCAGGCAGATCGTGGTCGCGATCACGATGCTGCTCGACGTGTCGACGCTCACTGTCGCGGATTTGACGGGTCGGCTCAATGCGGCGGAGGATGCCTTCGAGGAACCGCCGTCGGATATGCACCACGACGGCAAGCTGTACCTAACTGAGGAAGAGTGGGATGCACGGCGGAGGAAGCGTGATGATGAGAAAACTGGTGGTGGAGGTAGCAGCAGCGTGACGCACCGTGTCAGACATGGGCGCGGGCGCGGGCGCGGCCGTGGCAGCGACAAGGGCTCGTCATCAGGCGGCCTGACGGGCAACTCAGGCTGGCCCAGAGGTGATGAGTGCAGGAGATGTGGGAAGCTGGGCCACTGGGCCCGCGAGTGCCGCTCCAAGCCCAAGAAAGAGCAGGCCCACGTCGTCCAGAATGAGGAGGAGGCCTCGCTCCTTCTCGTGAAGTCAACGACGGCCATATCGACGGCGCCGCCACCAACCTCCACTCCACCACGTTTTGCTGCGACTCCGCAAGCAGAGGATCGGCTCCGGCGTGCAAGCCCACCGCCGCCGGGAGCAAAAGGGGTCCCCGTCAATGGAGGGGCCGCCAAAGAAGAGAAGAAGCCAGGCGCCCAGACCCAGATCCATCTGCGGGAAGAGAAGGTGTTCGCCCACCTTGAAGAGGAGGAGCTGCGTGATGAGGCGTGGGTCATGGACACGGGCACCACGAACCACATGTCGGGTTCCCGTACGGCTTTCACTGAGCTGGACACGAATGTACTTGGGACGGTGCGGTTCGGCGACGACTCGGTGGCGCGGATTGAAGGCCGGGGGGCAATCGCGTTTCTGTGCAAGAACGGCGAGCACCGGTCCTTCGCGGGGGTGTATTACATTCCCCGACTGATGAGGCCGGGTACCATATTGACATCGAGAAGGGGACGATGAAGATCCATGAGCCAGGCGGACGGCTCCTAGCAAAGGTCATGCGCGGAGAGAACCGGCTGTACATTCTCCACGCCAAGCTGGTTCGGCAGGTGTGCCTGGAGGCGCGGGCAGTCGAAGAAGCTTGGAAATGGCACGCGCGCCTCGGCCATGTCAACATGACCGCGCTGCGGAAGATGGCTCGGGAGGAGCTGGTGCGCGGGTTGCCGGCGGTTGGTCAGGTGGACCAGCTGTGTGAGGCGTGTCTCGCTGGCAAGCAGAAGCGGTCGCCGTTCCCCCAGCAGGGAGAGCACCGGGCGCGGCGTGTTCTGGAGCTGGTGCACAGCGACCTCTGTGGTCCGATTGCGCCGGAAACGCCAAACGGCAGCAAGTATTTCCTGCTGCTCGTGGATGATCGAAGCCGGTACATGTGGGTGGCCATGCTGCCTTCAAAGGACCGTGCTGCGGTGGCCATCAAGGAGATCAAGGCTCGGGCAGAAGGCGAGTCAGGACTGAAGCTGGGAGCGCTCTGTACTGATCGAGGCGGCGAATTCACCTCACATGAGTTCGCGGAGTACTGCGCGGGAGAAGGTATTCATCATCAACACACGGCGCCATACAGCCCGCAGCAGAATGGCAACTGCTGTATACATCCTGAACCGGTGTCCCACGAAGAGCGTGGACGGCATGACGCCTTTCGAGGTATGGCACGGGAAGAAGCCGGCGGTGCACCATCTGAAGGTGTTCAGATGCATCGCCTACGTCCTGAACACGACACCGCATCTCAAGAAGCTGGAGGACCGCGGCCGCAAGATGATCTTCATCGGCTACGAGTGCGGATCAAAGGCCTACCGAGCCTACGATCCCACCACGAGGCGTGTCCATGTGACACGGGACGTGGTGTTCGACGAAAATGCCCAGTGGGACTGGGGCAGCGGTGTGGAGCAAGGGGATGCGGGCAGTCACGACGACATGTTCACATTGGAGTATCCCGTCGGGAACCAGGTACCTCCGGAGCTCGATGGCGCCATCGAGGTACTTGATGATGATGCGCCGGGACCGGAGCCGATGTCGCCACCGTCCGTGCACTACAATGGGAGAGCAGCGCCGATTGAAGATGGAGGAGAGGAGGTGGAGTTCGCCTCTCCACCGAGTGTCCACATCGACCACCTGGATGCTAATCACGATGATGCGCCACTCCGGTTCCGCAAGATTGACAACATCGTTGGGCTGGCTTCGTCGCGTGGTCTCGCATCGCGGGCGTTAATTGCAGAGGAACTGCACGCTGTAAGTTCTGATGAGCCGGTCTCTTTTGTTGAAGCAGAGGGCCACCCGAGCTGGAGGAAGGCTATGGAGGAGGAGATGGCGTCGATCGAGGAAAACCGCACTTGGTCCCTGGTAGACCTCCCACATGGTTGCCGGGCGATCGGGTTGAAGTGGGTGTACAAGGTGAAGCGGGATGAAAACGGAGCCGTGGCGAAGTACAAGGCGCGCCTGGTGGTGAAGGGCTATGCGCAACGCCAGGGAATCGACTACGACGAGGTGTTCGCACCTGTGGCGCGGCTGGACACGGTGCGCCTTCTCATTGCTCTCGCGGCGCACGAGGGGTGGGAGGTGCATCACATGGATGTCAAGTTGGCGTTTTTGAATGGCGATCTCAAGGAAGAGGTGTACGTGGAGCAGCCGGCTGGTTTCATCAGCACGGGCAACGAGCACAAGGTGTTCAAGCTGAAGAAGGCACTCTACGGCTTACATCAGGCGCCTAGGGCTTGGAACGCGAAGCTGGACGAAACGTTGCTGTCGTTCAGATTCAGGAGGAGTCCGTCGGAACATGCCATCTACACCAGGCGGAACGGGGAGGCGCAGGTAGTGGTCGGGGTGTACGTCGATGACCTGGTGATCATCGGCGCCAGCTGCGACGACATCAAGCAGTTCAAAAAAGAGATGGCTGACGCATTCAAGATGAGCGACCTCGGCCTGCTTCGCTACTATCTTGGCATTGAAGTCAGACAGAGCGCGAGGGGCACCTCGATCAGCCAAGGAGCCTATGCCGCCAAGATTGGGCTCGTTGATGTTCGTGGTAAGTATAGCAAGGCTCAGAAGGAGATTGTTGTGAACGGGGAGCCTTGCACGTCTTTTCGCGTAATGGCATAGGCCTTGCACGTCTCTAGGCACACCTGCCTAGAGCTGTAACAGGGCTGTAAGAGGTTGCTTATTACTTACGGTTATTCGTTTTCCCCCCTTTTTTCTCCCTTATTTAAAGAGGGCTGTAAGAGGTTTTAATGAGCGAGATAGTCTTCCTTGTTCCTCCTGTTGGGTTTTTCCTGTGACTCAGAAGGTGATCTCGCCGGCGACATCTTAACTGCCGTCGTCTCTCCGGCGAGTTTCTAACAGGAAGGACAAAAAAGTTGCAATGAGAGGGCTCGAATGGATAGCTTGTCCAGCCCTCCATTTGTATCTAAGAGAGAGAGAGAGAGAGAGAGAGAGAGAGAGAGAGAGAGAGAGAGAGAGAACTAGTGAGAGAGCCAGGCTGACCCAAGCTCATAGATCACCATATCCATCGTCGCTCGTGATGGAGCACTGATCCTATCTCAAAAATCTGAAATCTTTGCTCTAAATTGCTATTGACTATAAATTACTAAATTTTAGGGCTAAGATACAAACAGTACTCATCAGTTCTATGCTTGCGTCTCAAAACAATTGAACAAAGGCACGACGACGATAATTCTAGCAGATTACAGAAACGTAAATTGGCCGATAATACCCCCCTGGTCGACACTTCTGTTCATCTAATATATTCCTGGGTTATTGATGGATCGACCAACAGAACTTGCAGGACACGAGCGGAGCGATGGCACGCAGGACATTCAAGGGACAGCCGAAGGAACCGCGCTCCCACAGCCAATGGCCCTGCGGAAAAGGACAAGAAGCGTAAGAGGCTCTCCTTCCGTCAAACCTTGAGAGATTTCCAAGCATGGTTATCCGCCTCTCCTTCGCGTCCTCATCGCCGCTTCCCCCGCCATCGGAAGCCCCGTGCGCCACAATCTGGAGAGGCCGTCCTTATTGACTCCTCCATCTCCCAGTACCCGTTATCGTCTGCGGTCGCTTCCCCTGCGCCATGATGACGGACGAATCAAGTGGAGAAATCCTCCCCGAGCGGAGGAGACACAGATGTGCCCTCAAATACTCTGTCCTCGCCATGGTTATCGTCGTCGTCGTCGTAGGTTTGGTCTGCGTCGTGATATTCATTCCCTTCAGTTCCAAGGAAGTTGACATCGCCGTCGCCGTCGAGACAGCCTCCCTCGTCCGGTTCTCACTTGACCGCAACGCCCTCGACTACGCCCTCGCGCTGAATCTAACCTGGTCGAACAACGGAAGCTTCGTCGTAAGGTATAACGAGCTCAGGGCCAAAGTTTTCTTCTCCGGAGAGACCTTCGGCATGGCGGTGATCCCCGGGTTTTCCCAGGAGACAAGGAACACCTCTACGGTAAGCGTGGAATTCAAAGGCCAGACACGGATGGCAGATGAGGCCGCGGAGACGTATTCCCGGGAGAAGGTGGACGGAAACTACGAGTTTAACGTGGAGGTCGATGCGAGGCTGTGGAAGGAGAAAAATAACAGAAAGGAAGAAGTCTTGGAGACGGAGGCTATCTCCGCGGTGGTGGACTGTTGGATAAACGTCGCTCTGATGTCCAACAGTTCATCTCCAAGAACCTTTGAGAGGACACAATGTAGAGTGAAGTTTTGACGGATCCACGGAATGATGAAAATTCAATTGTATTATTCAACCTGTTTCTTCTTCTTTTTGCTCAATTAGGTCGTCTGGATTAATGGGCAGTGCTAGGCAACGCGTTTGTAATGTAATCTAAACTATTTGATCAGGATAATCCGCTAATTGATCGTAGCGTTTTGATTTTAGTAACCTGTAATACAGCCCATTTACTGGCAAGGCCTTATTAGTCCTGAGCTATTTCTAACTTCATCATTGGTGTGGGTGGATTGTTTTCAATTACCAATACATCCTACCTTTTCCTCCTCTGTCTCATCGCCCTCCCCCCCCCCTCCCAATCTAAGTGTTTTCACATGTTGAATGGACCAGAGCTTGGGGCTGATTAATATTTCCGAAACATTTTCACATCTTCTTTAATCAGATGGGCTAAAAACAATAAGGATCCGGCATTTTCGTCGCATAGAGATAGCCCTTAATGTATGGACTGATTATCAATGGGGTCAAAACTAAACAGTTGTCAGTCTCCTAAGATTCAAAGCTTCCTTACTTCGTCATGAAATCAAAGAAATAATAAAGAAAAATGAGAAAACTGATGTAGCGTATTTCTATGTATTCTGAAAAAGATATGAAAAGGCCAACCTTTCTGAAGTTCTTCAATCATCAGAGCGCAGTTGAAGAATCGGGGTATTTTCAGAAATTATGTGTATGGAAATGTGAGAGAAGGTGATGAAAAAATGAAATGCAAAACTGTTTAACAAAATGATAACAAAAATTCCATTGATGGGCGGGCATAGGTTGTTTTGTAGCGGCCTTGAGATGCTATCACACAACCGTTTCATGCTGGATGCCTCTTGATGGGCTAGGACGTTTCTTGAGGTTCCTCATTAATAGGTAGCTGTAAATATAGTCTCAAATTGTGACCTTTAAGCCTGTAACCTTTGTGCCTCAAATTCTTAAGGGTGGCGTGTATCTATGGGTCATCACGGAGAGATGTCTACGGGTCAAGCTAAATATAGCACTATGACTGGATGGCGCTCTATTTAATATAAACATGGGAAGAATATCTCATCCATCCCAAAATACGTTCCCACAGCACAACTCTTAAACGCGATTTGTATTTGAGCTAATTTCAATATCACCTGATCTCACAAGCATGTCTCTTAGCATCTTCTAGGAGGTTAATCCTCTCTCTCTCTCTCTCTCCACGTATGAGGAAGTGCTATACAATGTTGATCACAAACCTGTAATTCTAGGGCAGTGTGGAGAATGTAGGCATTCCTACTATATTCCCAAGGAGTTTTGCTAAGCTTCTTTGGCTCCATCGGATAGAATGAATTTGGAGTTGATCCATGGATATGAGTTAAGTCGAACCCTTTTTAAGCTCATCGTAGAGCTTAACTCATAGATAGTCCTCCATGAAGGCTTATGTTGACATAATTGATGACAGGGACAAAACTAACACAACATAAAATGCTTCAGGGGAATGAACAATTGTGAAAGTTCCATGTCATCCATGTGAGAGTTCGACTTAATATCAACCAATCAGATCTCGTCAAGCTGCGGATAAATGTGAAGTGCCTACATGGAAAAGAAGGTGTGTTGATTGTACGATTCTGCGAAACTAGGATATCGTTGACTTATTTATAACTGCGCGAGAAAAGGTACACCCAGCCTCCAAATATCTTTCATTCACACATCCTTGCAAAAGAGACATTTGTATATCCTATCTCAAAGCCTCTAACCTTCCCTTGTGGATACATCCCTGAGAACCTCTTAAGAGTTTATCCGTCTCTCTCTCTCTCTAATGGGAAGGCTCTGGGTAATTTTTATCATAGACACTGCTTTTCACGCGGGCTTCGTTACCTCCTTCATCTGGTTAGGCGTCTGGGTTAACTGCCGAAATCACCTTCACATCAAACTCAAACTGGAGTTTGCTTCCCTTTCCCGCTTCGATCTCGGATGAAATGACTGCCTTCGATACGATCTCACCCTAACGTCAGAATCGGGAATGGCAACAAGGCCACAATCAACTACACAAGCTGGATGTTCGGGTTTCCTAGCACGGTGTTCAGGTGGCTCCGTGAGCTTCCCGGGTTCAGGCAGTGGCAGAAGACAGGTATTTCGAGGGCAGGCTCAAGCCCCCACTGAGTCTGTCGTCACAAAGTTCATCAGGGACAAGGGGGAGGTTAACTACGACATTGACGTCAAGCTCTATGCTAATATCGTGATACGGTGGGATATTGACACAAATTATTAGGCACTGTGCACAAAAGAAAAGGCACTCGCCAGAGGTGGACTGCTAGTCGGGGGCTCCTGTGGCTCTGAATAGCCGACTTGCAGTCTATTCCCTAGAAAACACTTTTGAAAACCCTTACGGCAGCTTTTGAAGATTTGTCATAGATCCAGGTCATGCTTGCCGGCGTTATCATTTTCCGACATAGTCTGCTGTTCCGGCAGTCTATGTGGTCATTCAACGAGAGCTACAAGAGGTGCGACTCCATCCACCGCCGCCGTCGAGTTTATTCCTTTATTACGAATCATCGTCCTGACTACGTGGGAAACAGCTTAGCCAGGGAACCCGCTGGTGAAGAACGATTAAAGTATCTACTTCATACACAGGGACTGGAAGCTCTCCTCAACGACAATACCTGGATCTACATAAATCTCTCTTCCACTCTCACAAGCTTATCGAACGTCGTGAACCCTACTCCGGTGTCTCTACTCACCTCCTTCGATTTGTACGCCAATAATACCCCTCACTGGTAAGAAACGCTGACTTGAACATCTACGGAAAGATCGGAGCCGCTCTTCCCGTCAGTGCCATGGTTATCGCCGCCGCGGACAAGTGCACACTATTGAGAGTCCCTCGGATCGATGAGGGAGCTGTGTAAAATGAAACTTCGCTGTGAGGGTTGAATTGTTTGGCACGCGCTCTGACATGCCCCGAGTGGACGAGAGAGAGAGAGATGCAGATGTTTCCCCAGTTGCATGTGCATAAGAATGGCAGGCACGCCGGACATATTAGGTGATTCATCTTACATAAATACGTGTACATATATCAAAATCAAGATTTTTTTTTCAGAATCATAAGGTAAAGAGGGCCGTCACTATGTTACATAACATGACCAGTCCAACTATGAGACAACATTTAGAATATTCCTCTGCCTAATCTCTCATTCTCATTGTACACAAAAATAGATGATCCAGAAAATTATTTTTGTTAATAGATTATCGTTAGTGATTAACCAGATTAAATGTTAACTTTCATTACAACCCTAGCACCTCATTAACACACCACTTAAACCTCTATTTTCACATTTTTATTTATAGCCTCAATGTAGTTTTTATTTTCTGTACGATTGAATTCAGATAGTTATAAACTAGTACTGTAGAATTCTATATAATTTTTCTATTTAAAATAAATGATAAAAATATGCATCAAACTTGGTCACATGTAGTACGCCGTATATGATGTCATTGATTCAGAGTTTCTACCACTCCTCGACATTAGGGGAACCCAGATAACAGACGTTTACACCATGAACATCGTCAAAATGACGTGCCAAACCATCTGAAAATTTCGTGACTCTGTGGTCCTGAGCTGAAGTATCGTTTTCCGATGTAATCCACCGGTTTAGGCGATCAGATGACCATTCAACGGAAATAAGCGTCGTCATCCACCACCGACAGCTGCCTTCCGAGTTCGCTCCTCTTTACAAAATCCTCGCTACGGCCGGTGAGAATTAGGTGGGGGATGCTGGATCGTTGACCCACCGCCGGAAAGCAAGAGGGGCAGGTTCCAAGGGGCACCCCGAATCTCAAAATTCCGTCGACAGGACAGTACACATGCGGAGCATTCCAGGGAAACCCGAGGACTTCCAGTTATTCAACCCCCATCTCCAGCCCCTAGTTTTTAATTATGGAAAGGAAGCCATTCCTCCATTCCTCATTGATGAACTCAAAACCGTGGAATAAGCCACGAAGCAGCGATTCGTACTGAACGCGTTTGACAAACGAACGAAAATCTATATAAACCTATCTTGCACTCGCACAAGCACATCCCGCGTGACCATCAACCTCCCTAACGATGTCCCGGACTGACATTGTGAGTAGCCTCCTTTGGGGTATCGTCTCGTGCCTGTGGTTGTTGGCTATCATCACGGGCATTGTCTGGTTCTTCATCTGGCTCTTCCACGGCTCCCGCTGGCACATCAATGTCGACGTTGAGTCTGCCACCCTCGCCCGCTTTGATCTCGACAGCAACAATACCCTCCTCTACAACCTAACCCTGGGAGTAAGCTTCAAGAATCCCAACTCCGCCACCGTCTTCTACGACAAGATCGCCGTCACTGCTCTCTATGACGGCAAAGTATTCTCCACAGCAGGCATCCCCAGCTTCACTCAGAGCACCAGAGCACCCACAAGGATCTACCCAGCGTTCGAGGAGAAAGAGTCGATGAGCAGCAACTGGTCATTGGCCGCGTATAACAAGGAGAAAGTGGAAAGGATCTACCACATTAATGTGACGTTCAACACGAGGATCCAGATTGAGTGGTCCCAGACCAACGAAACCGGAACGCAAAAATATAGTAAAGGGTACACTTGGGAGGCGAACTGCGCGTTGACCATCCCCACGGTTGACTCTGCGGCTACGTTCAACAAAACTACATGCGACGTTAAGTTTTGAGAGCATGGCAGCATTAACCGATATTCGTTGTCTCTTCGTTTTAGCATTCTACTGAATTGTGTCAAGAAGTTTATGAATCTATATATTCCTCAGCTGATTGTCTCGTTTCTATGTCATCGTGTTTTCAAAGACATCATCATTGTAAAAAGAATCGCGGGAATGACATGGATTAATAATGTCTTGGTATTCTGGAGTGCGGCATATTTAACCCTCCTCTGTACTGATTACCAATTTTAAAACAGACTGATTACTGGAACATAGCGAGAACAGTCTTCGTTATTCCGAGAAGTAATCCAGACTTACCGTTGACTTCCAACTCCAGATAATTAAAGCTGCTGGCTAGTATGAGTTGGCGGCTAAGATGAGCTGCCGGCTAACGCATTAAGTCAGGCAAAAGTAACCGGTCAGTGACACCTTATTTTAGGCCACGAGTGGCGCCGAACACGGACGCATGATCTCCAGTCAGATACCGACGGCCCTACACGTTTTTCAACTCCGCGTAGAAGACGATCAATTGTCCCCACATCCGCTGAGCTCCCGCACTTTTAGAGCACAGCCGCTAAGAGATTATTGACTCTTTGTCAATCTCCGACGTGTTCTTCTTCATAGTCTAGTTCGTCACTCCTGGGCCCCTCCCACGGTTCGACCTCGACGGCGACGGAGCTCTCCAGCTCAACCTCACCCTCAGGACGAGACTGACAAACGTCAACCGTCGCGCCGTCTACCAACGACTACCACGAAGAACCGTCTACGACGAGAAGAAATACATAATACAAATGGCCCAGTGACGGGCCATGAGAGGATCCTTGGGTCGACTCATAAAAGCCTGAATTGGGCCATAAACACCCCTCTCATTCAATAGTTTAAAGTCCTCTTAATCCGGTATGACTTTCTCGGTAAGGGTTCCCGAATAATGGAATTGAAGAAAGAAAGCTTGAACTGTTCTAGGCATCGTTATAGTATACTGAAATGTAAATAAATGTTAAAAGTATTTTGGACCAAACCTGTATCTTGAACCATTTATTTATGGAAAAAATTGACTTCAAAGGGTTTGAAAAATATAATGTTTCATAATACAAGGAATGGGGGAAAATCAAAGATATATCATTTGAAGGCATTTTTAAGTCTTGCATATGCACATGTTTCTAATAAAATAAAGACCAAGTTATGTGATAAAACAATGTACATTTATACTGATCATATTTCAAGGAAAAACGGTTCAGACATGTGCAGTGGTGTTAATGGAAAAATTCACAAAGCGTATAAGTTATCTTTTTATGAACAAGGCTTTATGTTCTTGATATATGAATGGAATGAATTAAACTAAGATTTGTCTAAAAATAGATACCACATTATAACTTGGAAAATGAGTGAACCCTCTTTTGCCTTTATGCAGATTACCGGTATGTGTATGTTTTGCATGTCGTGAAAACTTTAAGAAGGAGAGGTGGTATAGATAAATTAAAAAATCCATATAAGTCACTTACATGATCTATTGAAGAATTTGTCTTGAAAAGGGGAGTTTGGCATCAAGTGGGTCTCTTTTATGACAGTTTATTAGGCTAAAAAAGTTAATGTTGATCAACATTTAATCAATGCAATAGGAAAAAGAGATTTTAAAACATAAAACACCACGTTAATGTCTAAAAGTAAGCTCATAAACCCTAGTGCCGAAAAGATTTCATAAAAAATCTCTTCATGTTTTGCTTCAAAATATGCATGTTATGCAAAGATTCAGAAGATCCAAGGACATCATTCTTGTGTCATTTCATGTCAATGATTTATTGTATCCTTGACAATATGGTCTCTATGTGAAGATGAATAATATTGAAGAAATCATCCTTGTATGCTTTTATGTTAGTGATTTAATTTAAATAAGAAATTACAAAAAAAATCAAAAGTGTAATTGAAAATTTGCAACATATAATATGCACAAGACCATATATTCCATTCAAGTCACTACATTGAAGAGCTAAAGCTCAACCCTTTCAAAGTTACTTAAAGAATATTTCCATACATCAGACCTATAATTAATTAGAGCTTTTAAGAAATTTTATATGAGAACATATTTTGATAGTTCAGGAGGTGTTGGTGAACAAAGGGACACATCAAGATTTGTATTCATCCTTGAAGATGTACCACTTGCCTGATTTAGACGTAGTTTACATGACATCATCCACTTGCGAAGCTAAATGTATCACATTATCACATAGAGCTTACCACAAATTTTGGTTGAGAAACTTGCTGATCAATCTTTATATTCTTCAAAGGCAGCCTACAAGGGCCCATGCTGATAATAACTTATAAATCACGTTAACAAATTGACAACTTTTGTTTGTGAAAGTGGCAAGTATTATAACACAAACCCGCTTTGTTTGGTAGCGTGTGGAGAAGAAAGATTCCCAAGTAATGTTTAATGAAAAGCCCTATTAATCGAACTAATGATAACTTGGCCTACCTTTCCAATAAAATCTAACTCGTTGATGAACTCAAAGGCGCGGCTTTGAGCTGTCGGTTCGATACAACTTAAATATTAAACCCAGTTGACAAAATATAAACATTATTATTTTCTTGGAAAATATAAACTTCTTTGAAAATGAATAAAATATCAGCGTGTAAGATATTTTCTGCAGCACGCCCCCTTACTTGAAGATGTACCGCGCCGCCGCGTTGGACAACGGCAAAACAAAGAGCAAGAGCGTCCTGGACCCCCCGGGCCAGAATGAATCTCGCCCAAACATTTCCCGGTCCTCCATCCCCGCACGCAACGCTCTCAACGGAGATTGGCAAGAGCACATTCTCCACTATTTCTTCTAAATCCTTCACGTTCCCATTTTCTTTTTGACCTGCACTGCCAGCGCGATGCGGAGAAGAGCATGAAAGGCCAAGGGACTCCTCTCGGTCCTCTTAGCTGGTTATTTCAACCTTAGCATCAGCCGCCGCCATGGATCAGTGTGGGAAGCGGTCAACCGCGGTGGGCTCGAGTGCCTTGAAAGATCCCACAAAGCTGTTTAAAGCGAACTCGGAGCTCCATCGGCTCATCGATGGAACCAATGGAGGAAAAAAAACCTTCTCGTTGCTTTCCCTGGAAGCCCTGTTTCCAGATTGATAACGAGTGCTGGAACAAGATCATCTCGTACCTCGTCGTATTGGTCTTCTGCTGTGTAGTTGTGCTGATCTCTTGGTTCTTCTTCAATTGGCACATCAAGGTCGCCGTCGAGTCCGCCACCCTCAGCCGCTTCGATCTCGACTGCAACAATATTCTCCGCTACAACCTCACTTTGGGCGTGAGCATCAGGAACGCCAACCTCGCCTGCGTCTCCTACGGCAAGATCACCGTCACTGCTCTGAACAACGGGACGGCGTTCTCTTCGGCAGACATCTCCTCCTTCAACCAGGGCTGGAAGACCACCACAATGGTCTACCCGGCATTCCAAGGGCAATGGCCGGTGGCCGGTAACTGGTCGTCGGCAAGTTACAACAAAGAGAGAGGGGAGGGAATCCACAGCATTAATGTGACGTTAAATGGGAACATTAGGATTACATGGCGGGTGAAGGAAGACAAATACTGGAAAACGCGCATCAGGCGGTATCATATGGAAGCCAATTGCGCGCTGAGAATCCCCATGGCGGGCTCGGCGGCTGCTTTCAACAAGACTATATGTAACGTCAAGCTCTGAGAAATGGCTGCGGCCTTTCGGCTCCGGGCAAGCGTTTCCCATCTTTCATTCACGGTGCTCTTGATTCTTTTTAATAAACATTTTTTGTGCAAATGTCCCGTGTCTCGAGAGCAGAAACCACGCCTAATCTGGATGTTCTGATTGGATGCTTGTCTTCCCCATCCCGTCATTTCTGCCTCGTTTCCTTTGAGAAGCTCCATGAGTCCGGCGATTCCGATTTCTCTGCATCTTTTTAGGTGTCCCATCGCCAACAACAATTCAGAGCAGAAGGCAATGTCGATCGCCTGAAAGTCTGTCTGCAAGAGCTCCGGGAAACTGTCCCCAGCTATCCGGGAGATCAGATGCGGAAAGTTGCCGTGGGTGAGCTTCACGTTACAGTAGGTATCTGGATTTCTGTCTTTGGCAGTCCCGGCAAGGCTGGGGATCAAGGTTGAGGACGATCGAGTGAACTCGATCGGCGTATGAGTCGACTTGGCCGAGTACCGAACTCGGTCTTTGTCTCAAACCCACTCTGCTAAAGCCCTGACCATCCCACCAGCGGGCTTAACAGGTGGCCATGCGCCTGGCCAACATTTATATTGATTATACTTCAAGAAAAAGCGTATATGTAATCTTTTTATGAATAAGCCTTTATGGTCTTGAAATATGAATGCAATGAACTATAATATGATTTATCTATCTATATATACCACATAATCACTTGGAAAATGAGTCAACCCTCTTTTGCCTTTATGATTACAAGTGTGCACATTTTCTTCACGTCATGCAAACTTTAGGGAGAGGTGGTATAGATAAGTTCAAAAATCCATATAACTTGCTTACATGAGCTACTGAAGAATTTGGTTTCAAAAAAGGTGTTCGGCATCTAGTGGGTTTCTTTTTGATAATGTCGATCAACATTTGGAAGACAGAAAATTTAAAATATAGAACAAAAAATTATGTCTTAAAGCAAGCTCTTAAAACCTAAACCCTGGTGCCTAAAACAAAGAGTACTGAAAGCAAAAATATTTCACTAAAAATCATTTTATCTTTTTTCTTGAAAATATACCTCTTGTGCAAAGATTCAGGAAACCGGAGGACAATATTATTGTCTGATTTCATGTCAACTATTGATTGTATCCTTGTCAGCATGGTCTATATATGAAGATGAATAAAATTGAATAAATCCTATTATGCTTTTACGTTAGTGATTTAATTTACATAAGAAATTACCAAAAAAATTAAAATGTGTAATTGGAAATTTGCAGCATATAACATGCACAAGACCATATATTCCATTCAAGTCAATGTAACATGGAAGAGTCAAAATTCAACTCTTTCAAAGTTACTTAAACAATCTTTCCTTACATCAAACCTATAATCAATTATAATCTTTAACAAATTTTATCTGAGAAGATATTTTGATATTTGAGGTGTTGATGAAGAAAAGAACACATCAAGATTTGCATTCATCATTGAAGACGCACCACTTGTCAAATTTAGATTTAGTTTGCATGACATCATTCACTTGGAAAGCTAAATGAATCGCATTATTGCTTAGAGGTTTCCACAAACTTGGTTGAGAAACTAGCTGATCAATCTTTATATTTTCAAAGGGAGCCTACAAGGACCTATGCTAATAATAACTTATCAATCACCTTAACAAAGTGACAACTTTTGTTCGTGAAAGTGGCAAGTATTCTGACACATGCTCGCTTTGTTTGGTAGCGTGTGGAGAAGAAAGATGCCCAAATAACATTTGTGAAAAGCCCTATTAATCGAACTATTGATAGCTTGGCCTACCCTTCCAATAAAATCCAACTCTTTGATGAACTCAAAGGCGCGCGGCTTTGAGCTGTTGGTTCAATAAAATTTAATGGAAACTTATTATTATTTTTAATTCAAGCCTTTAGTGTTGAAATCCCCTCCCCCCCGGGGTACTTGAAGAGTCATTTTCGGAGAAATATAGAACTTGAATTCAAGAAAATCAATAAAATATCAGCACGTCGGATATTTTCGGCGCCCCCTCCTACTTGCAGATTTGCTGCGTCGCCGCGGCGGACTCCGCGGATTCAAGAGCAAGAGCAAGAGCGTCATTGGCCCCGCGCGCCAGAATGGATCTCATCAACGGAGCCCGGCAAGAGCACGTTCTCTACAAACTCTTCTAAATCATGCACCTTCCGATTATTCCTTTTCTTGTGAAAGATGGGATCTAAACTAGCGTCTTTTGACCTGGACTGCCCGGGTGACGCGGATTAGTATGAGAAGCGGTCAACCGCGGCGGAATCTCGTGCCTCTTAAGATCCCGCGAAGCTGGACAAAGCGACCCTGGAGCTATATCGATTCGTCAATGGAACCAATGGAGGAAAAAAAACCTTCTCGTTGCTTTCCCTCGAACCCCCGTTTCCAGATTGATGGCCGGTGCTGCTGCAAGATCATCTGTACCTGGTCATATTACTGCTCCTCGTCGGTGTAGTTGCGCTGATGGTTTGGATCTTCATCAACACTAAGTGGCACATCAAGGTCGCTGTTGAGTCCGCCACTCTCAGCCGCTTCGATCTCGACGGCAACGCGACACTCCGCTACAACCTCACCCTAGGCGTGAGCATCAGGAATGCCAACCGCGCCGACGTCTCCTACGACAAGATCTCTGTCACTGCTCTGAACAATGGCACGGCGTTCTCCTCGGCGGACGTCCCCGCCTTCAACCAGGGCTGGAAGACCACCACAATGGTCTACCCGGCGTTCCAAGAGCAATGGCCGGTGGCCGGCAACTGGTCATCGACCAGTTACAACAAGGAGAGAAGGGAGGGGATCCAGAATATTAATGTGACGTTCAAGGGGAACATCAGGATCAGGTATCAGGCAAGAGACAAATCTTGGCGCATGCACACCAATAGGTACTCTATGGAAGCCAACTGCGCGCTGAGAATCCCCTGATCGGGCTCGGCGGCCGCTTTCAACAAGGCTATATGTAACGTCAAGCTCTGAGAAATGGCTGCGGCCTTTCGTCTCCGGGCAAGCGTTGCCCATCTTTCATTCACGGCGTTCTTGATCCTTTTTAATAAACATTTTTTTGTGCAAATACTCCGTATCTCGAGAGCAGAAACCACAACTAATCAGGATGTTCCGATCAGGATGTCTGTCTTCCGCAGCCCCTCATTTCTGCCTCGTTTCCTTTGGGAATCTCCATAAGTCCTGGGATTCCGATTTCTCTGCATCATTTTGGGTGTCCTATCGCCGACCACACCGTTGAGAGCAGAAGTGAATGTCGATCGCCTGAAAGTCTGTCTGCAAGAACTCAGGAAAACTGTGCGCAGCTATCCGGGATATCAGATGAGGAAAGTTTCCTTGGGTGAGCTTCACGTTACTTTCTTCACGTTACAATCGGCATCAGAGCCTCGATTTATGTGATTAGCAGTCCCCGCGAGGTTGGGGATCGAGGTTGAAGACGACCAAGCGAAGTCGATCGGGGTGTGAGTTCGACCAAGCCGCTTAGAGTCAGGTGGTTCTCCAGCTCGTTTGGCCAACACTCTTTATTTTCAACAACTTGGGTCATAATCAGTATGTTTACTTGGGATTTACCTGACGTGACTTAGTCGTCGAATAATAAATCACGTAAATTTAAAATTTATAAAACTAGAATATACTAATTTTAGCTTTTTAGAAATATTTTAAATTAAATAAATAAATTAATTAAAATTTAATAAAAGGTTCAAAAAATAGTGAAGAATTTCTAAGTCGATCAAAGGAATACTAAATAATATTAGGTAATATTTAAAAAAGGATTAAAAGAAGAAGATTTTTTATAATTTTTAAATTCAATAATGAATATTAAATATATTTTAAAAAATTGATAAAAAAGAAAAAAAAAGGGTGCAGACATTAAGACGATGTTAGTGCGTGACGAATGAGAATTGAGAGAAGATAGAGTTCTACTTGAAAATTCTTATATAAGTGATTACAAATAATTTAATGGGTCAAATTAATTTCTATAAAACTCAAAAGAATTATAATTTAATGAAGAAGAGTTTCAAAACTTAAAATCACACAATGTATCACTAAATTAAGTAAAAGTTAAATTTAAAGTAAGAAGATAAAGTTTTGATTTTGTGATAGTGATCATTGAAATTTTATATCTTCGAGAAGATTATCATGCGATGTCTATAACTTTGAAGGCTCTCATTAGACATAGAGTAATTTTTTTTACAAAGTCTAGAAATCAATGAAGTAAGTTATTAAATTATCTTTGAAGGTTGTCACCCAATAAAGTAGAAAAATAATAACTTTGTGGCTCTCTGATAACTATCACTCAATGAAGATGAGTTAAATAGAGGTGGACTACATCTTAATAAACTTCATCTTTAGGTCTATATAGTAAGAAGAGGTTCTTCATTGCATCTAATATACCCTCAAGAAGTGATAACTTGTCTCTCAGTGATCATCCTCTTCTTGATGATATTTTGTTTATCGATCAATCAAAGATGATTTACTTTATGGATTCATAATTCTTTTATTTAGAATTATTTAATAAGTTTAGTAATGATGTTCTGAGAATCATATTGACTAGATTTTCATTGATGATTAAGTAATTATGACAACTTAATCATTTACCAAGAATTTGTAAATAAATTATAATTTAATTATATAAAAATATAAGTTTTGACTATGATAAGATTTGAACCCTTGTCAGTCTCTCTCTTATATGAGAAAATGTGAAATAAGTACATAAATATCTTTTATAAAGTGACACTATAATGGTATCTACTTCTAATAAATAAGAAGTATTTTAGGTATTTAAATTATTAAAATCTTCTTAAAAGGTTACGACTGCCAATTTAGTCTCACATCAATTTTATGCTAATGATATATAATAATATGAGATTTGATAATCATTATGTTAGTTATATGCTAGCAATATATAATAATATGAGATTTGATAATCATTGTATCCCTTTTCATGTGTGTACGACCACTTTTTACCCTACGCTTGACTAGTCATTATTGGCGAGGAAGGGGAGTGACACACACATGTCCCCTATCGGTCTGTCCTTACTTGCTCCAACTCTTGCTCATGGCTCCACTTGATTGTGCTCCCGATTTGTCTATACACTCGATTGGTTGGCAAGTTCCTTTTTTCTTCTATCTTTTTATTGTATTATATTATATTTATATCAAAAATAGAATTATCAAAATTATATAAATTTACATAACTAACTAAATTTTTTTTATGAACTAATTAAAAATATTTTTTTTCACCATTTAATATAAATATAAATTTATTTATCATAAATGTAAAATATATTATTAATTAATTATTAACTCATAATAGTAAAGACTTATCACCTACTTTTATTAATGAAGTATTTTTAAAATAAAAGCCTTAGCAACAATGATGGGTTAACAAAGTTCGAAGACACAAGAGTAATCTGATTTTTACATACTAATTAAAAACTAGTTTTATACCAGTATTAATGCTACCAAAATATTTGATTTTATTTTCGTGTTCTACATAGTAGGTACATCATTATCATATATGGTGACTACATCATGCATCTCTGCCATTTGGTCCCTCCTTGGATAAGGAGGGAGTAAATGGCATAGACGACTTCCCTAGTCGTATGCGGCGTCTCTAGGAAGGTTTGACGTGGCTTTCTCCCTTTTCTTCCCTGTCTAATGCTCTCGAAGGCCTTCCACGGGGTTCATAAATTGCATAAAGGGTATTGTTCTGATAAGACGAAATCTAGGTTCCGGATCATGGAGGGCAACTTGTTAAAGAACAGCCAGGCCTGGGCTGCATCCTACCTTCTCCTCCGGAAGACCCCGCTATTCAAGGGATGGCTCTTCCCTCCGAGATATACCAATCGGGTTTTCCCACGGTGGCTCCTTCATCGTAGCCTCAGACATGGGTTACCAATTAAAGGGCAATGTGTGATAGTCAAGCCTGAACATGATGCAGGTGTGAGCTGAGCTTTTCAGATTTGTTAATCAGGAAGAACGCACCCCACGGATCACAATCTCTTGTACTCAGTTTACTTCCGAGTTATTTCTGAAGTATACGTATAGTATATATGTACGTGATCCACGTCCATCCTAAGGGTGGGGAGTCCAGCGTGCTCGGCATCAGGGGCACTTGCGTCGGCCGCCGTGGCTCTTCAGCCTCGCGTAGCAGGGGCAGACGTCATAGTTGCCGGAGGTTCCTGGAGGTACGCAGGCGCACCGGCGGCAGCAGGTGTTACACGCCCGGATGCACATCTTGTGCCTCGACGCCTTGCTGCAGCGGTACGCACACTTGGGTTGACAGGAAGCCGCACCTAGCCGCGTCCCCTCGCCTGGAGACTCCCGGCCATGCGAGTACATCATCAGTCTGCTAGTCCGGATGGGATAGTCGGTGCGGCGAGCTCTTACCTGCGATCTTCACGGTGTGGGACTCAGCGGAGAAATCCATCTGGAAGAGGCAAGAAAGCCCTAGGAGTTAGATTATACATAAGAAGAAGAAGAAGAAGAAGAAGAAGAAGAAGAAGAAGAAGAAGAAGAAGAAGAAGAAGAAGAGGCTGGGGGCTCGCCTGCACGAGGAGAAGAATGAGGATGATCGGAGCCAGAGAGACGGCCCTCGCCATGGGGATCTCTGCTGGGGACAGGCGGAGGAGGAGAGAAGAAAGTGGAGGCGCCGCCTGTGTGTGCCCACGCCCCCGTTTATAGGAACGTGTTTCTCCCGTGGAGAGGGCTCCTAGCGGAGGGGCATCTCGTGTGAGCCCCAGCTTACCCCCTGAGTAGCTCACTGCATCCGCAAGGTGATTATTATTTCAATTATTCCTTTAATTATATATATTAGGGGAAGATAAGGGCCTTAACTTATAAGTTAAAAACCCACTGTTTGCTAACTTTAGCAATAATCTCCTAAAACGTTTTTTACCGGACACATATTCTGCCTCTATTTCATAGTTGATAAGGGCATATGTTTTATTTACTCTAAGCACTTGGCGAAAAAAAAATCTCAAAATGGCCCCATGGCCCGCTGGAATAACGACACGTGTTTAACGAAGGGGCAGGCGGTAGAAATACATAGGATCCTCCCTAGTTGGGAAGATCTCCTTGGCCGGCGCGAGTGGCTTCCCCGAGTCCACCTTCTCAGATCTGAGCAGAAGCGTCCCCAATCTCGCTGCCGAAGATGGATAACTCCTCCCCGAGCGGTGGCGTTCCGATATACGGCGTCGTGACTTACCGTGGCCGGGCGATATTCTCCAGATCTGCTTACGGCGGCCGGACCTCCGCCGCGTACATCCTCGGTACCGCGCCGCTGGCCTCATTTGGATCCAAATCTTCTATATTTTGCCTTTGTTTCCCGTATTGTCCATCGATCTCCTGCGTAGCGGAGAAGACGAGAAGGTTGTGATGGCTGGTATTGTTGCAGGGATGGAGATAGCGGAGAGGTGTGCGTACTACGGCATGTCCACAAACTTCATCACCTACCTGACGGGCCCTCTCGGCGAGTCCACCGCGTCAGCCGCAGCCAGCGTGAATACCTGGAGTGGCGTGTCCTCGATGGTTCCCCTCCTTGGCGGCTTACTCGCCGACTCATTCGTCGGGCGTTACCGGACCATTGTCATCGCCTCCGTCGTCTACGTCCTGGTTCGTCGTTTTGTACTGACTCCCCTTATCCATTCATCGCCTCATAAATTATTCGATTAAGCGGTTTTTGCAATCACTACCAATTCCGGGGTGGGGGAGTGATTGATTGCCGTAAGAAGAGCGGAGGAGAGTGTGCTCTCAGGGGCTTACTCAAGGGCGTGGGGATTTGATGGTGCTGCTGGAAGAATGGGGGGGGGGGAGAGAGAGAGAGAGAGAGAGAGAGAGAAGAGATTGACGGAGGGGTTGAGGACTCTGGTACCTGAAATTGAAGTGGAGGATATTGATCTGCAGGGCCTAGGCATGCTCACAGAAACGGCGGTCTCTCCATATCTTCGTCCTCTCTGCGGCGGCAACGATGACACCGAAGCTTGCCATCCGACTCAATTCCAATCTGCTATCTTCTTCCTCGCGATATATCTGGTCTCATTTGCCCAGGGGGCGCACAAGCCCTGCGTGCAAGCCTTCGGAGCAGATCAGTTCGACGAGAACGATCCTGAAGAATTCAGGTCCAGGAGCTCCTTCTTCAACTGGTGGTACTTCGGGATGCACAGCGGGTTGATATTCACCTTCGTGTTCATGAACTACGTCCAGCAGGAGATCAGTTGGGGTTTCGGCTTCGGAGTGTCCTGCGCCTCCATGGCTCTTGGCCTCGCCCTCTTCTTGATCGGAACACCAAATTATCGTCATTCCATCCTCAATAATAAAGGCCCTGTCGCATCTCTCGCTCAATCGTCCGCCAAGGAAGTCAATGAAGTCAGCGAAGCCCTTCTCCCCGAGGCTACTTCTCAGTCCAGGTAAAAGCCCCCTGAATTCCCCTGAACTTCTTCGATTTGGTTACTCCCTCGTCCATCCTGCAATGTGATCTTCTTCTTCTCTTCAACCTACTTCTCCCATGGCAGCTCTGCGGAGGTCTCCCAGTGCTCATCTCCGGTGGAGTATAGCAATGATAAAAGCCATTCACAGACCGCGCGAGAAGTCCTCAGGTTGTTCCCGATATGGGCATCCTGCTTGATGTACGCTGTTGTATTTGCTCAACCGGCGACCTTCTTCACCAAGCAAGGCAGCACCATGGACAGACGAATCGGCCGCACCTTCAACCTCCCCCCTGCGACATTGCAGAGCTTTGTTAGCCTCTCCGTCGTGATCTTCGTCCCCATCTACGACCGAATCCTCGTCCCCATCGCTAGAGCCTTCACAGGGATACCTTCAGGTCTTACCATGCTCCAGAGAATCGGCGTCGGAATGCTGATCTCACTTGCCTCCATGGCCGTAGCCGCTCTGGTGGAGATGAAGAGGCTCCGAACTGCCAGAGATTTCGGCCTGATCGACCTACCAAATGCCACCATTCCCATGAGCTTGTGGTGGCTGGTTCCCCAGTACGTCCTCTCGGGAATCTCGGATTCCTTCACCATGGTTGGCCTGCAAGAATTCTTCTACGACCAGGTGCCTGACGGGCTGAGGAGCCTCGGCATAGCTCTCTACTTGAGCATCTTCGGGATGGGGAGCTTCATCAGCAGCTTCATCATTTCGGTGATCGACAGAGCCAGCAGAACCAGCGGCAACAGCTGGTTCTCCGACAACCTCAACCGCGGCCACCTTGACTATTTCTACGGGTTCCTCGCCGTCCTCAGCGCTGTGGCATTGACTATCTTCCTCTACCTCGCTCAGATCTACCAGTACAAGAGCAAGGTGAAAGACCGAATATGATGAAGACGATAGCTGCCGCCACAGCGAAAGTCAACATGTTCGTGGAGGTGGGCTAAAGGAGATTCCACTCTGCGCCATGGTGAATCTGGACCGAGAATACTTTTCCTGTGGCCCCCCTAATGACAGCGACTTTCACGTTTGCGTTTGGCCATAAAGCACTCCTTGTGACCGGCGGCGAGACCCGGCCATCGCAATTTGGGGGCAGGAGAAATGGGAGGCGAGCTGGAGAGCGCCTCCCGGCAGATCAGGAGCGGCCACCTTCCCGTCGACGGCGTCGTCGACTACCGCGGCCGGCCGGTGTTCTCCAGATCCACGTACGGCGGCTGGACCTCCGCCTTCTTCATCATCGGTAATGAAACGCTGGCCATTTCAGCAGCTTCAAGGTCGTTCCATGATTTGGCTTTTCACCTGGTTATGAGATGCTCGGGTTGCCGTCGGCGGCGGCTGTCGTCGCTGTCGCTGCAGGGGTGGAGGTGGCGGAGAGGTTCGCGTACTACGGGATCTCGTCGAACCTCATCACCTACCTGACGGGACCGCTCCAGGAGTCCACCGCCTCCGCCGCCGCCAACGTAAACGCCTGGAGCGGCGTGTCCATGATGCTCCCCCTCCTTGGCGGCACCCTCGCCGACTCCTACATCGGGCGGTACCGCACCATCGTCGTCGCCTCCCTCCTGTACGTCCTGGTTTGTTCCCTCCGATGCCCTAATCAACTACTTTTGTCATCAGTCTCTCCAATTCGATCGGCGGCGCCCGAGGAATCTGCTGCCCTGATTTTTTTTCCCCTCATTTTTACCTTCTTTTTCATCCTTCGAAGGACCGTGATTTTGCCGAGGAACCCATATCTCGGTACCAGTAATTGGATTCCTTCTCTGCGTCCAGCCTTATTCGCCATGGAGAGTGACCTTTTGGACAGTCATGGTGGTTTCCCTTCCATCCATCTCACCTGCCTTTAAAAAGTGTTTCTTGTTTGAATATTCCGACACTATATGGCGATGATGACGATGCGTCTACTTGCGACAAAGAAGCTTTCCGGATTCATCTGTTACCACGTTGACTGAAGCATCTATGCAAATGGGAATCCCCCCCCCTAAGAATCTTCCTCTTATTCTCGCTCGACCTCAATCACTTGCTTCTGTTGAATGATCGGAATTTCAGGGCCTGGCCATGCTGACACTGTCGGCAGTATCTCCCGCCCTCCGCCCGACGGAATGGCGCACCAACGTCTACCTCCAACGCTGTCTTCCCACGCAGTACCAGACCGTCTTCTTCTTCTTCTCGTTGTACCTGGCGGCAATCGCGCAGGGAGGGCACAAGCCCTGCGTGCAGGCCTTCGGAGCAGATCAGTTCGACGAGAACGATCCCGAGGAATGCAAGTCCAGGAGCTCCTTCTTCAACTGGTGGTACTTTGGGATGAACGGCGGCATGATATTCACCTTCCTGATCGTGAATTACGTCCAAGAGGAGGTTGGCTGGGGCCTGGGCTTCGGAATTCCCTGTATTTCCATGGCGCTGGCGATGGTGGTCTTCCTCGTCGGCACCCGGAGTTATCGCTATTGTCTTCTCACCAGCAAGAATCCCTTCACTGATCTTGCTCAAGCCTGCACTAGGCCCTTCCGAAAGTTGCAGAACCAGCCAAAACTGGATGCTGAAGTCGTCGAAACCCTTCTCCCTCAAGCTGCTGCCGTGTCCAGGTGAGACCACCCGAAATTTGTTTCCATATTTCATCGAATCGTACGAATGTGAGGTGAAAAAGTTACTCTTTCATACCTGCTCGCTTTACAGGGCTGCCGAGGACTGGTACGATTCACGAGGGAATGAAGAACACAAGGGCGAATCCTCGCCAGGAATCCTCAGGCTGTTCCCAATCTGGGCATCCTGCTTGATGCATGCCGTTGTGTTCGCTCAGTCGTCGACCTTCTTCACCAAGCAAGGCAGCACCATGGATAGAAGAATCGGCCCCACCTTCCTCATCCCCCCTGCGGCGCTACAGAGCTTCATCAGCATCTCCGTCGTCGTCTTCATTCCCATCTACGACCGGATCCTCGTCCCCATAGCCAGAGCCTTCACCGGAAGACCATCCGGTGTGACGATGCTCCAGAGAATCGGCATCGGACTGTTCCTCTCCATCGCCTCCATCGTGGTAGCCGCGCTCGTGGAGATGAAGAGGCTCAGGACCGCCAGAGATTTCGGACTGGTTGACCTACCAAACGCCACCATTCCCATGAGTCTGTGGTGGTTGGTCCCTCAGTACGTTCTCTATGGAGCTTCAGATGTTTTCGCCATGGTTGGCCTGCAAGAGTTTTTCTACGACCAGATGCCTGACGGGCTGAGGAGCCTCGGCCTGGCCCTCTACTTGAGTATCTTCGGAATCGGGAGCTTCATCAGCAGCTTCCTCGTTTCGGCGATCGACAGAGCCAGCAGAAACAACGGGGACAGCTGGTTCTCCAACAATCTCAACCGCGGCCACCTCGACTATTTCTACTGGCTCATCACTGGCCTCAGTTCCGCGGCGTTGATCTTCTTCCTGTACTTCGCTCGGCTCTTCCATTACAAGAGCAAGATCAAGGCCACCGTCTGAGGAAGACGATGGTTACTCCCTCTGTGACCGTTAAAAGGAACCCACCAAGCTCCGTCCGTTCTATGGTCAACCTCACTCTTGTTCGTCCCATCTTGAATATTCATGTAATTGGAATATTTATTTGTTAATATAAAAGGAACCCACCAAGCTCCGTCCGTTCTCTGGTCAACCTCACTCTTGTTCGTCCCATCTTGAATATTCATGTAATTATAATATAAAATTTATTTTTTTATAATTATTCTGTTCACAAAAAAAACTATTTTAATCGACACAAAGGATAAATCTATTATATTATAATTGAAAAAAATAAAAATAAAATCGAGATAGGATATAAGATGTTTTAATCTTATTTCCTGTTTTTCTATCTAATTAACTGCTCCAAGAGAGTAGCCTCACCTGAAATGAACGGTGAGCCGCAATGCTGTGCATTTTACTAAAAAAATAAAAATAAATAATAGACTTGGTTAGTGCAGTGCGACGAAGTAGCCGTGGGATATTCGAAGTAGTCTATTAAAACAGGTATAAAAGGATAAATCTATTCGAAGCAATCTATTAAAACGCCGCCAACGTTAAAGCATTGAGCGGGGTGTCCCTGATGCTCCCCTGCTCGGCGGATTCATCGGCGACGACTTCCTCGGGCGCCACCGCACCACCGTCGCATCTTCCCTTCTCTACGTCCTGGTTCGTTCCTGCTCTCCACCCGAAATCGGCTTGTGGTCAGACCCATGAGAATCTTCACCATTTTGTTTAGAAATTCGTCTAATTGTACCTTCAGATAGATCGGGTGTACGCTTCTGCGGTATGATCATGTCCTTGGAGGGTATGGCAATGCTGGTGGCTTCAGCGGTGGCGCCGTCGCTCCATCTGCCGGAGTGCGACGGCAGCAGCCGGGACAGCTACCTCCCCTCCCAATTCCAGATTGTGTTCTTCTCCGCAGGGTGGCCACAAGCTATCCATTAAAATAGTTATAAGAAGCGAGAATTATTTTTTAAAGTAAATACCCAAGAAGCTACATCTCTCTAAAAAAATGAAGTACGAAGCTACTCCACAACCTATCATCCGACTCGACCACGCTTAGTCTAGCCCACCATAGAAAAAAAGAAATGAATAACTCACAACTAAGAGATACAAAGACTTTACACAGTTTAGAGATTGGGCTCCTACGTCCACGCACAATAATGAAACGTGTTGAACCTTTCCTACTCTTCCGCCCTAACCGTTTCTCTCGTGAGAATCGTGAGAAACGTGCGACTGCTTCTCCCATCGATCGGTTCGTCTTCTTTTTCTGCACGGCCGTCATATGAGTTGAATACTTGGCCCACGTGCTCAATGAGTGACGGGCTCAACAGGGGCCCTCTCCATCCCTTACCCAACAGTTTGAATTTTCTTAACGGAGTCCACCGATAGCCATTCATGAGCAGAAACCGGGAAGAACAACCAACTTACACCCACCCCGGTTACTCCTCCAATCTCGTGGAAACCGGGAGGGGACGGAGTTAAAAGGCCCAAGGTGACCTGATCACGCCAGAGGACTCACCATGGGAACTCGGGAGGAGGAGGACGCTCCGCTACCGATTGAGGTCGTCGTCGACCACCGCGGGCAGCCAATCTTCTCCCGGTCCGCCGCCGGCGTCTGGCCCTCCGCCGTCTTCATCATCGGTAAGCGACTCCCGCCACCGTCTTCTTCCTCCACGTCTGAGTGAGACTCGGTGACTGCCAGTGACCAAAACTCCACAGCCACCATTGTGCTGCTGAAGGGGCTGAGGTGTCGGAGTGGTCCGCGTATTACCGCATCTCCATGAACCTCATCAGCTACCTGACCAGGGCCTTCCAGGAGTACACCCCCTCCGCTGCCGCCAATGTGAACGCGTGGAGTGAGATATCCCTGATGCTCACCATCCTCAGTAGATTTGTCGGCGACTCATTCCTCTTCATCAATTATATTCCTCTTCTTAGTATCTTATCTCTCTTTTATTATAGGTGAAGTCCTTATAGAAAGAGAGAAGAGCTCATTATTGACTCTTGAATGTGTGAGTTATCTTGAGAGCATCGAGATGTGGATTAGAGGTGCTTAGTGGAAATCTTATTCTCATCAAGATTCTTAATAACTTAGTGATTTCTCTTCTATTTGTTCTCATTGATATTTAAAAATTGAGTTTCTACTATTATTAAGATTCTATACTTGTATATTTTCTCTTACAAGTGGTATCAGAATATTAATTTAATTATTTTTAGATTTACTATGGCTTCTAAGGTATATATTGATATTCAGAAGTTAGATAAGTCTTCTAACTTTAATCTCTGAAAGTATCATGTGTATGATATGTTATTATAGATTGACTTGTATAGAACTTTAGATAGTCTAAAGCCAGACAAGATCAATGCTGATGATTAAGAGATAATAGAGAAAAATATTAAAGGTTTTATTCATACATGTTTGTCTGATTGACTCTTTAGTAGGTCATGGATGAATACAATTCAAAGAAACTCTAGAAGAAGTTAGAGAAATGATGTGGACTAAAGTCAATGCTGAGCAAATTGACAATGAAGAGAAAACTATTTAGATTACACATATCAGATGGAGATGATTTGACATCTCATATTGATTATTTTAATCAGAGAGAGAAACAAATAGAATAATAACTTTGTTCTCATTAGAAAAATCTAATTTCATATGATTATTTTGTTACAACCTTATTGTATGATAGTACAACACCCATTTTTTAAGATGTTATTGACTCATTGATGGAGTATTATCATTGGAGGAAGCATATTGGTGAGGCTCATCGTAAAAGATTATATGTGAAGGGTAGAAGAGAACATGGAAAGTAGAAGGAGAAAGAATCTTCATGAGACAAGAAGAGTCGATCTAAGTCACAAACAAATTAATTGAACAATCAAAGGACACCTGAGAAGAGATTGTTTGAAGAAATGAAGTGATAATATAATAAAAAGTGAATCTAATTTGACTAATGTTACGAAGGTTGAGGACAAAGAAAATAGTGAAGTCTATTTTGAATGTGTTGTAGTTGAAGAGTTGTCGAACATATAGATTCTTGATACTAATTATTCTTATCATATGTGTCATAATACTGACTAGTTTGACTCATATAAGAATATAACAATAGTTATTTCTATGGGAAATAATACAGCTTGCGAAGTTGTGGGCATTGGTTCGGTGAAGGTTCGATGTTTGATGGAGTAGTTTAAGAACTTAAAAATATTTGTCATGTTTCAGTATTACACTAAATTTTGATTTTGCTTGAAATATTAGAAGCAAACAGATGTTGCTTCAAAGGAGAGAATGAGATCCTTAAGATTATAAAGGAGTCACTCGTTGTGATGAAAGGAAGATGTCAACGGGCAAATATTTATAAATTTGAGGAGATTACTATTGTAGGTGAAACTTGTGTTGCGACACCAAATGATTCCATAATTGATGACACACTTTTATGACACTTACGATTGGGTCATATGAGTGAGACATATATGTAAAAGCTATACGTATGAGGACTACTACTCAGTGTGAGAATTTATAAATTACATTTTTTCAAATATTATATTATAAGAAAATAGTGTAGGGTGACATTTAAGGTAGTGAAACATGATACGGGTGGTGTGCTAGATTATGTTCATTCAGATATGTGTGGTCTGGTTGATATGATGTCGATTGGTAGTGTTGAATATTTTTTGACCTTTGTTGATGATTTTTCTAGAAAAGTTTGAGTATTCTTCTTGAAGCACAAGTCTGAAGTATTTATAAAATTTAAGACTTAGTGTACGAAGGTAGAAAATTAGATGGGGAGGAAGATCAAAGTCTTGCAAACTGACAATCGTACAAAATTTAAGAATTCTAAATTTGATCAATTTTGTGATGAATATAATATTCAACGTCATTATATAGAGAAGAAAATTCCGCAACAAAATGGTGTTACTAAGCGGATGAACCGCACAATTATTGAGAGAGCATGGTGTTTACGACTGAATGCTGACCTATCCAAGAAATTTTGGACAAAAGTTGTGAGTATGGCAACTTATTTAATGAATAGATCACCAAACTATGTTCTTGATGGGAAGGTTGTTGAAGAGGTATAGATTCAAAATCCTATTGACTATTCGAATTTGCATATATTTAGATGTCTAGAATATATCCTTACACTTGTTGATGAGAGATCAAAGTTGGATTTAAAGTAGAATAAATATATTTTCTTGAGCTACAATACTAATTTGAAGAGATATCAACTTTGAGATTCAAAGATGAAGAAAATTATTTTCAGTAGAGATGTGATTTTTGATGAAAATCACATGTTGAAGTCTTTTTCTATAAAGTAGATAGTTCAAGAATTTGATGGTACTCGAGTTGTAAATAAAATAAGGTTGGAGGTGAAAATTACGTAAAGTCTTCTTTGTTCTGTTGTGAGTGAAGATCGAATTACAGAATTATTAGATGTTCCTAATTATATTACTATTAGATGGATTAGGCGTGAAGTAAAACCTTTTACTCATCTTAATAATTATGTTGCCTTTGCATTATTTGTAAGAGATGGCGAGCCCACAACTTTTCAAGAAATAATTAATTATCCTAAAAAAGAGAAGTGAATGTAGGTGATGTTTGAGGAACAAACATTCTTAAACAAAAACCACACTATCTTTCGGAAAGGAAGTAAGCTATTGGGTATAAATAGATGTACAAGAAGAAGTTACTGATGATTGATGGTGATTAACCTCAATATAAGATAAGGTTTGTTGTAAAAGACTTTACATGGAAATAGAGAATTGATTATACGTAGATCTTTTTGCATGTTATGAAGTACATGTCTATTCACTTAGTATTAGTTATTGTCACACATGAAGATATAGAATTTGAGCAGCTTAATGTGAAGATGACGTTCTTTCATAGAGATTTAGAAGAAACTATTTACATATAGCAGTCGAAGGATTTCATTGTGCAAGAGTCAAAACATCTTGTTTGTCAATTGAAAATTTTCTTTATGGGTTGAAGCAAACATCAAGACAATGGTTCAAAAAGTTTGACTCTTATATATTGAAGATTAATTATACGAGGTGTGGTTTTAACTATTATGTCTATATGAGGACTTGTGATGATGATTTTTTGATTATTTTGATACTCTATATTGATGATATATTTATTACATCGAATAATTTACATGAAATTACTAAATTGAAATCACAATTGAGTAAGAAATTTGACATGAAGAATCTTAGTGTGACAAAGAAGATTTTTGGTATTGAGATTTATAGAGACCAAGAGTTAAGTCAACTATGGTTGACTTTGAAGAGTTATCTTTCAAAGGTGGTGAATTTATTTGACATGAGTAATGCTAAAGTAATAACACTCATCTAGCTAGTCATTTCAAGTTATCTACTATTCAGTGTTTAACATCTAAGGAAGATATTACTGAGATGAATCAAATTCCTTATTCTAGTGTAGTTGGTTCTTTCATATATACTTTGATTTGTACCAAACTAGATATTACTCATGCACTTAGACTTGTGAGCAGATTTATGAGCAATTTAGGAAAAGAGCATTAGAGCACAATGAAGTGGATTCTCTAATAGTTAAAGGGTTCTTTACATTTTGGAATTCATTTTGACCGACAAAATTATCTTTTTGTTGTTGGCTTTGTTGATGTAAATTTTGTTAGAAATTTAGATCATTGAAAAATTAAGATGGGATATGTTTTTACCATAGTTGGTGGACCTATTAATTAGAAGTCTACACTTTAGACTATTGTTACACTAACTACAACTGAGGTGGAATACATGATAGCTATCGAAGTAGCTAAGGAAGTCTTGTGGTTGAAGAGATTATTGAGAAAACTTGGGATCTGACAATGTGAAGTTCTTCTATATTGTGATAGTCAAAGTATTATTTACTTAGTAAAGAATCAAGTCTATCATGTATGATCAAAGTATGTTGATGTGCAGTATTACAAGATTCGTGAGTTGGTAAATTATAGAGATATCTCTGTAGAGAAAGTTCACACGGAGGAGAATGCCGCGAATATGTTGATGAAGGTCATCACATTGGAGAAATTTAAATATTATTTGAATTTGATTCATGTTGTAGGTACTTTACAAAAGGTGGAGAACTTGTAGCATAGATAGAAGTCAACTCCGGGTGTGATAATGATGGCTGTCAAGGTGAAGTTTGTTGACTGTGTCAGTCCATCATGATTGACCTGTTCAAGAGATGTGCTAGAGAAGCTCTTCTGTCTCAATTGTTCGAGAGACGTGAGAGAGAGTTCTCCCATTTGACTCACTCAAGAAGCATGCGAGGAGTAAGGTGGCGGTGACACGATGGTCACGTTGACCGTTATGACATGTTCCAGGGGTGGGTCGTGTAGAGAGAGAGAATGAGGGTGGTTACAATTGTCACATTCGAGATGTGTAGGTGTGGTTACATGTAGATCGATATGTAGTTGCATGTAGATCGAGATACTTCTTTTTAGGGAGCCGTTATCTTTTTCTATTCTCTATAAATAGGGTATGTAATCTTCTTTTTTGAACACAACAGATGACTATCTTTCTCTTAAGTCTATTCTATCTTTCCATTAACTTTATTCTTCTATTTGGCATCTTCTTTCTCTTCTATTACATGTGAAGTCTTGATAGAAGGAAAGAAGAGCTCATTGTTGACTCTTGAGTGTGTGAGTCATCTCAAGAGCATCAAGACGTGGATTAGAAGTGTTTGGTAGAAGTATTATTCTCATTAGAATTCTTGATAACTTAATGATTTCTCTTCTATTTGTTCTTATTGCTATCCAGAAATTAAGTTTTTGTTGTTATTAACATTATGTGATTACATATTTTCTCCTACACATACCTTTGAGAAATCTACGTTATATTATTTAGAAATTCGTCTAATTATACCTTGAGAAGAAGGGTTACTGATTTTACGCGAGGAAAAATTTATAGACTATAGATCGGGTGTAAGGCGCTGCTGATGGTTTCAGCGGTGTCGCCGTTGCTCTGCCCGCCGGAGTGCGGCGGCGGCGGCCAGGAGAGCTGCCTCCCCTCCTAGTTCCAGATTGCCTTCTTCTTCTCCGCATTGTACCTGGTGGCTGTCGCGCAGGGCGGCCTCAGGCCTTCGGGGCCGACCAGTTCGACGGCGACGATCCAGAAGAGTGCAGGTCCAGGAGCTCCTTCTTCAACTGGCCGTACTTTGGGTTCTGCAGCGGCACGGCGTTCGCGGTGCTGCTGATGTCCTACGTCCAGGACAACATCGGCTGGGGGCTCGGATTTGGGCTTCCTTGTGCTTCCATGGCTATCTTCCTCGCTCTCTTCTTGGGTGGCACCAGGACCTACCGCTACTGCGCTATCTCCGGCAAGAACCCCCCTAGCGCAACTCGCCGGAGCCGACAGCAATTTCTCGAGGAGCCGGCGGGTGGAGCCCCCGGAAGAAGCGAGGGAAGCCCTCCTCCATGGCGGGTAAGGATCCTCCGGACCCTGGAAAAGCCTGTTTCAATGTACAGAGGAGGACGTCCTCTTTCCTCATGGGTTCCTACTCTGCAGGTCTGCTGAGGAAGAGGAGGGTATCGCAGATGGCCCTCGAGGGGTCCTCAGATTGCTCCCAATCGGGGCAACCTGCTTGCTGTACGCAGTCGTGCTTGCCCAGTCCTCGACCTTCTTCACCAAGCAGGGCAGCACCATGGACAGAAGAATCACCCCCTCCTTCCTCGTCCCCCCTGCGGCGCTCCAGAGCTTCATCCACCTCTCCGTCCTCGCCTTCGTGCCCATCTACGACCGCCTCTTCGTCCCTATAACCAGAGTCTTCACCGGGAGGTCCTCGGGCCTGACGATGCTCCAGAGGATCAGCGTCGGCATGGTGCTATCGATCTCCGCCATGGCCATCGCCGCCAAGGTGGAGACGAAGAGGCTCCAAACCGCCAGAGACCTCGGACTGGTAGACTTACCTGGCGTCGCCATCCCCATGAGCCTGTGGTGGCTCGTTCCTCAGTATGTCCTCTTCGGGGTCTCCAGCGTCTTCACCGTGGTGGGTCTGCAAGAGTTCTTCTACGACCAGGTGCCCGTCTCGATGAGGAGCTTGGGCTTCGCCCTCTATCTGAGCATCTTCGGCGTTGGGAGCTTCATCAGCGGCTTCTTCATCTTGGTAATCGAGAACGTGAGCACCTGGTGGGGGGAGGACTGGTTCTCCGACAACCTGAATCGTGCCCACCTCGACTACTTCTACTGGCTTCTGGTGGCGCTGAGTTCCGTCGAGCTCCTCTTGTACCTGTACTTCGCTCGTTCCTTCGTCTTCAACCAGGGAAGGAATGGGAACGGCGCGGCCTGAAGAAGATTTGTAGTTTTTAGCCCTTGTAATTCTGATATTGTCAAAAGACCGTGAGATGGTAAGACGGGTAGGCGTTGTGCCCGAGGTTGTTGGGCCCGGTTTTGGGCCCATTTCTGTGTCTGGGGAATAACTCCAGATTTCACCCTTTCTTTGGTTCAAACGGGGCCGCCCCCGGTTCACTAACGACTGAAACTTGAAAGGCCCTCCGCCAGGTACCGCCGCCGATTTCGTTTCCCCGCCGTCCCGCTGGGCTTCGGTCTGTAGAGAGAGAAAGTAGGGAGAGAGACGCAGCAGGGTTGTGGAGGGAAATGGGTTCGAAGGAGAGCTACAGGAACGAGCTCCAGTCGGCGATCCGGCAGCTCGGAGACCAAAGCCAGTACTCTGCATTGAAATGGTAACTTCCGCCTCTTAAGCTTCTCTTATTGCCGCTAGATTTGCTTCTGGTTGTAACTCTTTGTCCGCGTACGCTGTTGACTAGGGCGGGAGAATTGCTTGTGGGCATCGTCAGGACTAGCATAGATTCTCTGCCGGTGCTGACAAGACAACATCCTCAAGCAGCGCCCGTTCTCACCATCAGCAAGAGCACCTCTACTGAGACGGCTCAAGCTTCCGCCGCAGCAGGTCCCGCCCTGGCGGGGGTAGCGAGATGTTCTCTGCCACACCCTCGAGCGGGGTGTTCTATGTGAGCACCCCTTCTCCTATCGAGGACGAGATCGGCGATGGTGCTCATGTGCAAGGAGTATCGCAGGGCAGCTCATGTGCTCCGGGCGCAGACATCAAAGAAGACCATCTTTCTCCTGTGCTAGGCTCTCTACCTGGTATCCCTTTCTGCTACCGCAATTTTATGTCCCCTTTTGTTCGATTTATACTCTGCCTGGTTCACAATTATTTTACATGTTTTGTCTCTGTCTCTATATTTTACTTCGTAATTAGTTTGGTGGTTTCATTGAGTAGTCGTATGTATTATATCATGTTTATTTATGCTTTAACTTCTTGGTGCCTCTTATCTAAAGGTGTTCTGCTCGAATTCTTCTGGGCGAGTGTTTTCTTGGGGATTGCTGTAAAAATGTGGCTCTCCACTCAACAGGATGGGGAGCTTTATCAGTAACTTCCTTGTTTCGGTGATCGACAGAGCAGCAGAACCAGCCGCCATGAGGAGCTTGGGCTTCGCCCTCTATCTGAGCATCGTCGGCGTCGGGAGCTTCATCAGCGGCTTCCTCGTCTTGGTAATCCAGAAAGTCGGCGCCTGTTTGGGGGAGGACTGGTTCTCTGACAATCTCAACCGTTCCCACCTCGGCTACTTCTACTGGGTGCTGGCGGCGCTGAGCTCCGTCGAGCTTGTCTTGTACCTGTACTTCGCTCGTTCCTTCGTCTACAACCAGAGAAAGAAGCGGAGCGGCGCCGCTTGAAGAGGATTTGCCGTGTTAACCCTTGTAATTCTGATTTTGTCAGAAACCACGATGATGATAACGCGGCTAGGCGTTGTGCCGGGCCTTGTTGGGCTCCGTTATAAGCCCATTAAGGTGTCCGGGGAATCACTCCAATTTCACCTCCCCCCCGGTTCACTTTGATGACTAAAACTTGAAAAGCCCTCGGCGAGGTCTCGCCGCCGATTCCGTTTCCCAGCTGTCCTGCTGGCCCCCGGTCTGGAGAGAGAGAGAGAGAGAGAGAGAGAGAGACGCAGCAGGGGTGTGGAGGGAGATGGGTTCGAAGGAGAGGTACGGGAACGAGCTCCGGCCGGCGATCCGGTAGCTCGGAGACCGGTGCCTGTACTCCGTTTCGAAATGGTAACTTCTTCCTCTTAAGCAGCTCTTGTTGTGGTTGGATTTACTTGTAACTCTTTGTCTGCCTATGGTGTTGATTAGGACGGGGGAACTACATGTGGGGCATCGATCAGGACCAGCCTCGATCCTCTGCCAGTGAGAGAGATGGATAGATAGAGAGCGAGAGAGAGAGAGAGAGAGAGAGAGAGAGAGAGAGAGAGAGAGAGAGAGAGAGAGAGAGGGTATGGACAGTAATGGAAGCTTAACTCAAAACAAAGGAATACACGAGGAAGATAACATGTGGGAGGAAAGAGGAAAGAGGGAAGGGACTCGAATGAGCCTCCTAAGTGCCACAATAATACTCCCCCCCTATGAGGCTCACCTTATCCTCAATCTGAATTTGGAAAATTATTCACGGATGGTACGAGCTGATTCCCAAGTGGCCTCGGAAGTGGGTAACACCTATCATTTAATGAAAACTATTGACTTTGACCGTTCATGACAGACAACTAAGATTTCAGACGGTTGCATGTCCCATGATTTTCATTCAACCTTAGTGGGCCGATTAGACATGTGGAGGCGTCTGTCTTCTTTAGCTAAGAGATCTAGAATACTAGATGGATATTCGATGTGGCCTGGAGATCAAATTGGTAAGACACTGGCCAAATAAACTTGAGAACTTTGAATGGGCCGAAATAGTATTGTGCTAGCTTCTCGTAGGGTCTCCTCCCAAGGGACCTCTGTCAATACGGGAAAATTAGAGGCAAATGAGGTCCCCTTCCTCGAAGTTGAGGTCTTACATCTATGATTGATGCGCGCCTTCATTAGAGCCTGAGCCTTGGTCAGGTATTACTTGAGCTGGTCATGGGATGTGTCCTGATCTTGGAGGTAGTTGAGATTAGCTGTTTTCATCAAGTATGACTCACATTGAAGGAGGGTAGACAAATCAAGCCTATAAAAAATTGTGAATTATTATGACCCTATAATGAATTAAGATTGGTATTGAATTAAAATTCGGCTCACACTAGCTAGCTGCTCTATTAATGTAGACAATCATTAGAAAAAGTAGCAAAGATTGTAGATGTCCTTGGTTTTGAACATATAGTGAAAATTAAATTTATGAATCATTCATAAAAAAATATTATATTGAATCGTCATCATTGTTTATATGATAAGTTAAATATCATTGACAAACATTTAAATCATATATATTGTTGATGTCTTCTACAATTCTATGGCTAACACAGAATCCAAAGAGTGACACCTTTGAGATACCTTTCTATGTTGAAATAATACATCGTAATATTCTAGAAATATAAGTGTAGAATAATTTATGTCAACAAATATGACGAAGTTTCATGTATATTCTTGAAAAGTAAAGTTATCTATGAGATTCATTTATGACACCTCAACAATGTGAAGATAGAAGTATTAGCCTGGAATATGTCTGAAAAATCAACAACACAATGACATACATGAGATTCAAACTTATGAAGCAAGTCATGTGGAAGTGAGAAAAATGACAATTGAAATAGTCAAATCAAAGCACGAGCAGAATTCGAAATCAAGAACACTATAGCAATAATGTGAAAAGTTGATCAAATATTCAAAACAAAAATACATGATCAGTGACTAAAGTAGGACTCAAACTCATGTCTTATATGAGAAGGAACTTTTGAGAAGTATCACCAATCTTGAGAAGGAACTTTTGAAGATCATTTATGAAAAATCTGCACATTTCGAAGCAATAAAGAACTCAATATTAGTCTCATACACCCTAGATGAGAACACATCATTATAGTTCATCGACAAAATGACAAGTTCAACAATATCATCCTAGCTTGACCCTGAAGATAACTATGATCAAATCAATTGCCAATGTTCAAACACAATGTCAAGGATAACATACCTACGAGCTGAAAAATCTGAGAGTATGACCAAAGGTCAAAAGTACGGATTCTAGATGGTAACTTGTTAGTAGAAGATGTGGACCAAAGGTACGCCAAATGATCTCCTCTAAGCACAACATAGAAAGAGAAAATTTTCATTGATTAATTACAAGTTTTTGGACACAATATCTTGGACAATAATTATTAGAGTAGAAAGTTTGGAAGTGCAAAGTAGATAAAGGTCACCAAAATGTTGGTAGAGCAACGTGAAGATTTTTAAATTAATATGACCATTTTCAAATCCTGACATGATAGAGATATGTTAGAGTATAAAAATGATGAGTTGAAGAAAAATCAAGGTTAAAACACAAGCTTGAGAATAAGTTGTACTTTAACCCTCTACAACAAAGTTAGCATGCATCTCAAAGAGGGGTTCAAAGTTTCATCTTACTTAATCATCTGTGGTGTTTGACGAATCAAACAATTGAACTGAAGGTTGTCTATCTCCATCAAGCCCTAAGGTAACTTGAGTGGTGATTGGAGAGAGGGTAAGGCTAAGGCACAAGGTGATGAGAGTCAAAATACGCCTGTGGAGGGCGTTGTTCTTTGAGGACAAGTGTACAATTGATTTAGGCATGTGTTGTTGAAAGTGAAGACCTACTTGTGAGAGGTGAGATCTCTATGAAGATCGAATAATACTATTTGAGAGATATGAGCTCGTGCCATTAGTTGTACCTCTAGTGAGATAGTGAAGATCTGGTAAGGAGATCCTTTAATACTGAAGGTAGCCCAAGAGAGGGTAAACTAGTATAAAAGTCTCTATCTATCATCTTTACTAGTGAGAGAGAAAGACTAGAGTGACCTCATGACATAAAGAAAGAGTTTTAGGTAAACTATGATATAGAATTGACATATTGTGTTAAAATATGTCAACATATACATGTCAAGATAGCATTGGTATGTAGAGAAACATAGGAAATTAATTCACCCCCCCTCTTGGTACTTCACTTATCAATATCAAACCTAACAAAAATAAGTCTCTACTATCTAGTTGACAATTTAGTATGTAAGTGATATGAGTTGATTTGACAAAGAGTCATCTCTTATAATTTGAAAAGTTCCTTTAAAAGAATACTTATAAAGATTCTATCTCAATCAGTGAGAATGGATTTCAAAAAATTGTGAAGTTAAACGATGTCTTGGATAAAAATTAAAGTTATATCTTTGGAAATCAATAGGTGTTGGAAAGGAGATAAGCGAATGTATTTTCTTAGTTGATCTAGTATGATCAAGATTGCATTGAACTTGATTAAATTAGTCAATCCTTCAATGAAATTCATTATGAGGTCAGCCCATATTTTCTTCAAAATAGAGAGGGGGTGAAGAAGGCCAACAAGGTAGAGGGACTTGGACTTGCTCTTCTGTCAAGTAAGACATGCATCTACATACCTCTTGATATAGCCCTTTGACAAATATCTATTTTCATGAATTAATGATTAGTTCAATAAATTATGTATGTATTAACTCATAATAAATAGTTTTATATTTGATTTTAATTCAAAAAATTGATTTTTATGTGATAAATGTGAATTTATAGTTAATTATGTGATTTTATATTATTTTTATATTCGTTTTCTCAAGAGAAAAGAAAGTAAAATAAATAAATGAATAAAACTATTAAAAGGGGGGAATCCACTGGCCAACAAGCACTTATAGATATGCTAATAAATGTAATTTTCATTGATTTATGAAGTCATAATACTCTAAAACCATGTCTTAATTATAATGTTCTTTTTCAAATGTAATTTGAAAATGTTAAGTTAGTGATTTAAGCTAATAAATGTTGTGCTCAACTAGTAAATGCCATGCTCCAAATCTCCTCAAAAGATGAGATGAAATCAAGAATTAAGAGGTCATGTCTAGACTAATATAGAATTCACCATTCTCGCTATGAATAGATATGCTCTCTCACCTTCAAGTAGTAAGCAGAGAGATAAAGAAGTTCAAGATCACCTTTATAGTGGCTAGATAACAACAAATTGTTCAACTAGTAAATGTCATGCTCCCAATCTCCTCAAAAGATGGGACCAAATCAAGAATTAAGGGTTATGTATAGAATAATTTAGAATTCACCATTCTCACTATGAATAGATATGCTCTCTCACCTCCAAGCAGTAAGTAGAGAGATAAAAGAGTTCAAAATCACCTTTAGAGTGGTTGGACAACAACAAATTGTTCAAAATAGGACCAAAAAAACTGAATTACATAAATTAAGGCAAACAAAAGGTTTCTTCCTTGAGTAAGATGATCTGCCCAAGAAGTGGCATCTACATGAACAATAAGAGTGGAACAAGGTCACCTACAGTACTATGATACCATGGTGTAGTTGTTAGAGAAGAATAGGTTCCCTAGTCATCGGAGGTGGCAGCAGCAAAGAGATATTTATTTGTGAGAGAGGAGAGAGAAAGGTAAAGGATACAAATGAAAAATATAATTAAAATGATGACTCTATTATATTTATTTATATTGACATAAATCTAGTGGATTGGATCCAGTTATTCAGATTCACTTATGCTGAACTGAGGGATCCAAAAAACTTATAGGTGAAGAAATATAAGAGGACATAATTACAAAACTATAGCAAATATTGTATTACTATAATTTCTCACCCTTAGACCTTGATATTATTATAATCTAAAAATAGCAATAAAAACAAGATAGAATACAAAAACGTTTGTCTACCTAAGTAGCTGCTCCAAGAGAGTTGCCTCAACTCAAATGAGTAGTGAGCAACATCATTTTATGAAAAAATTAAGAAAATAATAAACTTGGCCAGTAGAACTGTACCAACCGATCCATCAAGATAGTCATAAAAAGACAAACACCTGTGAAGCTACATCTCTCTACACCATTCGGTAGGAAATATCTGTTTTTAGTCCATTAGGAAATAAAAAGACAGACACCTGCGATCCAGTCGGAAGATTCCCCCCAGCCCATCATCCGACTGGACCACCCCCGACCTGGCCCACACTACAAAATATCTGTTTGTCAGCAGTGGTATTTTTTAGACTCTATTCGACGTTCCTGGTACTCCATCAGGCTCTGGGGAATCCTTCAGGAGCCCAAGTCGTCAGAGAAGTGAGTGATTTAAGTCGGGTCTCCATTATGGTCAAGTGGGGACTCCACGCACAGACAACCATAAACAGATTTCCTAGTTCCTCCTCAAACCTCGTGGAAACCTAATCGTCACATACTGGTCAGATCCCCCACCGGAGGACTCACCATAGAAACACAGGAGGACGCCCCGCTACCGATAGAGGGCGTCGTCGACCACCTCGGGCAGCCGATCTTCTCCCGGGGAGCCGCCGGCGGCTGGCCCTCCGCCGCCTTCATCATCGGTAAGCGCCTCCCGCCACCGTCTTCTTTCTCCGCTTTTCAGTGAGACACGGCGACCACCAGTGACCAAAATCTCCGCCACCGCCATTGTGCTGAAGGGGCCGAGTTGTCGGAGCATTTCGCCCACACCGGCATCTCCATGAACCTCATCAGCTACCTGACGGGACCATTCCAGGAGTCCACTGCCTCCGCCGCCGCCAACATGAACACGTTGACCGGGGTGTCCCTGATGCTCCCCCTCCTCGGCGGATTCATCGGCGACTACTTCCTCGGGCGCTACCGCACCACCGTCGTATCCTCCCTTCTTTACGTCCTGGTTCGTTCCTGCTCTCCATCCGAAATCGTCTTGTGGTCAGACCCTTGACAAATCCTCGCCATATTGCTTACAAATTCGTCTAATTGTACCTTGAAAAGAAGGGCTACTGGTTTTACGCGACGAAGAATTTACTCACCGTAGATCGGGTATACCCTTCTGCCGTATGATCTACATCCCTGCAGGGTCTGGCGATGCTGGTGGCTTCAGCGGTGGCGCCGTCGCTCCGTCCACCGGAGTGCGGCAGCGACAGCGGCAGCCGGGAGAGCTGCCTCCCCTCCCAATTCCAGATTGCGTTCTTCTTCTCCGCATTGTACCTGGTGGCTGTCGCGCAGGGCGGCCACAAGGCCTGCACGCAGGCCTTTGGGGTCGACCAGTTCGACGGCGACGACCCAGAAGAGTGCAGGTCCAGGGGCTCCTTCTTCAACTGGCTACACTTCGGGGTCTGCAGTGGCATGGCGTTCACGGTGCTGCTGATGTCTTACGTCCAGGACAACATCGGCTGGGGACTCGGATTTGGGCTGCCTTGTGCTTCCATGGCGATCTCCCTCGTCCTCTTCTTGGCCGGTACGAGGACCTACCGCTACTGCGCTCCCTCCGGCAAGAACCCCCTCGCGCAGCTCGCCGGAGCCGACTGCAATTTCTCGAGCAGCCAGCGTGGGCCGCCCCACGAAGAAGCGAAGGAAGCTCTCCTCCGTGGGGGGTAAGGATCCTCCGGACCCTGGAAAAGCCTGTTCTAATGTAAACATGATCTTCTCATTCCTCATGGGGTTCCCACTCTGCAGGTCTGACGGGGAGGAGGAGGGTGTCGCAGAGGGTCCTCGAGCGGTCCTCAGATTGCTCCCAATCGGGGTAACCTGCTTGCTGTACGCCGTTGTGCTTGCCCAGTCCACGACCTTCTTCACGAAGCAGGGCAGCACCATGGACAGAAGAATCACCCCCTCCTTCCTCGTCCCCCCTGCGGCGCTCCAGAGCTTCATCCACCTCTCCGTCCTAGCCTTCGTGCCCATCTACGACCGCCTCTTCGTCCCTATAACCAGAGCCTTCACCGGGCGGCCCTCTGGCTTGACGATGCTCCAGAGGATCGGCGTCGGCATGGTTCTCTCAATCTTCGCCGTGGCCATCGCCGCCAAGGTGGAGACGAAGAGGCTCCAAACCGCCAGAGACCTCGGACTGGTAGACTTACCTGGCGTCGCCATCCCCATGAGCCTGTGGTGGCTCGTTCCTCAGTATGTCCTCTTCGGGGTCTCCAGCGTCTTCACCGTGGTGGGTCTGCAAGAGTTCTTCTACGACCAGGTGCCCGTCTCGATGAGGAGCTTGGGCTTCGCCCTCTATCTGAGCATCTTCGGCGTTGGGAGCTTCATCAGCGGCTTCTTCATCTTGGTAATCGAGAACGTGAGCACCTGGTGGGGGGAGGACTGGTTCTCCGACAACCTGAATCGTGCCCACCTCGACTACTTCTACTGGTTTTTGGCGGCGCTGAGCTCCGTCGAGCTCCTCTTGTACCTCTACTTGGCTCGTTCCTTCGTCTACAAGCAGAGAAAGAAGGGGAGCGGCGCTGCCTGAAGATGTTTTGCAGTGTTAACCCTCGTAATTCAGACTTCGTCAAGAAGACTTCGATGATGATAAAGCGGCTAGGCGTTGTGCTCGGGGATTGTTGTGCCTGATTGTGGGCCCTTTAAGGTGTCCGGGGAATCACTCCCGATTTCACCCTTTCCTGCAATCCAAACGGAACCGCAGACTCCCTCCGGTTCACTGACGACTGAAACTTGAAAAGCCCTTTGCGAGGTATCGCCGGCGATTTCCCTTCCCGGCTGTCCCTCTGGGCCTCGGTTAGTAAAGAGAGAAAGCTGGGAGAGAGAGAGACGCAGCAGGGTTGTGGAGGGAGATGGGTTCGAAGGAGAGCTTAAAGAACGAACTCCGGTTGGCGATCCGGCAGCTCGGAGACCGGTGCCTGTACTCCGCTTCAAAATGGTAACTTCTTCCTGTTAAGCAGGTCTAGTTGGCGCTGGTGTTGCTTCTCCTTGCAACTCTTTTTGTCCATCTAGGCTGTTGATTAGGATGGGAGAACTACTTGTGGGCATCCTGTTGGGCACGTAATTTTTGAAGTAAGCACGAGGCAAAAGTATTTCAGCAAATATGGAGACTGTGCAGAAGAAGACGATCGCATTAAATGCGGATGGGGTCCACAGGAGAACGGACGAATTCTCATCGGCCTAATAGCCACATAGTTTCAGCTCACGAATCGGTTCAGGCGGAAGAAGAGGAAATGTTTGCAAGTTCCCCGAGGTGGTCCCTGGGCACATTTTCTCGAGGTGACTAGTTGCTGATTAGTGAATTCATTTGAGGAATAAGGTCAGATACTTCATTTTTTAGTAGAATTCTTCTGTATTTCGTTCACATCTAGTAAATCCTTGTGTCTGTCGGTGCTCACATTTACTGCAACACATCGAGATGGGTCCAACTTCCAGCGCAGCAAGTCCGGCCCTGGCGCGCGTAGCGAGGTGTTCTATGCCACGCCCTTGGGCGGGGTGTCCTGCCGAGGGCCAGATTGACGAGTGTGCGGACTATTACCTCCTCGATAAATCTACTTCCACTGTTACCAGGGTCCCTCCATAGTAACCACACTTGGAAACAACACACCCGCGCGCAGCGGCACGGGAGCCAGCAGGAGGTCCGCACACGACAACGCCGCACCCGCGGCGTACGCGCACGCCGGTGCAAAAGGAGTCAAGGTAGTGTCGGGCATGATGCTGACGTGGGAACCCAAAGCCCCGATACGAAACGATAATGTCATCCGGAATGTAGGAAATGGTGGCCAGGGGCCATCCATAAAGAGAGACCCTAGCCCCATATATGTAAGGATTATCCATTGGTTCATATTTCGGGTCGCTGATATCGGATCACCCAGTCTCAGATAAAGAGTTGCGCAGAACGGCCGGCTTCCTTATCACAGTGGTATTAGAGTCAGGTTGGTCCTTACTATCTCCTCTTGGTCTTCTTTATTAGTGGAAGCCAAAAGATGAAGGCGGAGGGTAGGTTAAGTAAGAGTGGTACCTAAGGGCAACGAATTGTCTGACTTGCTGAACAGCAAGAGACCACAGTGAGGACTGCAGAGACCCTGGGGGGCCAACTGGCCGTATTGCAAGCTGAGTCCATTAGCTTCCGAGAGCAAATGGACAAGGAACAGGCCCAAGAAGCCATGAACATCAGGGAGTCCCTCTAGAAAGCTTGATGAAGAGCTCTGGTCAATATATGATCAGACGAGTGAGATGGTGACATCCTATCAGTCCCATAGAGGGAAATCTCTGTACTACAGGCAGAGCCTACGGAATGGATGGCTGAGCTATGATGGCAGATGGGGGAGGTGGTGAGCAACCTCCAGACCAGGACTTGCAATATTCGAAAACCCTAAGATCAAGGTCCAGGCCTTGGACCAGCTCGGGTCAAAACGCTGGAGCCTAGACCCTACTCGGGGGAGAGGGGTGCAATGTTAATTGAAAATTTTCTTTGGGATCTACAATGGTACTTAAATACAAATATCTCGTCAGAGGAGGAGGTCTTTCTTGGCAGCTTAGTTCATGCAGTGCATGCCAAGACATGGTGATGACTTTGGTCAGAGAACAGGTCAAGACTGATAGTGACCTGTTGAGATGAGTTGGCCAAAGAGATCTGGGAATAATTCTGGCCTGCCAATTCAGGACAAGTTACTTGGATAACAATGTGACAACTGAAGCACATGGGAGTCATCTAGGAGTACGTGGAGAAGTTTCCCATACTCCTGTTGGAAGTACCATGAATGGACAAGGAAGACAAACTCCATTACTTTATGAAAGGACTACAAACGTAGGCTCAAAATGAATTTCGCCAATAGGGCGCTCAGGATATTCGTGATGCGATGATGGTGGCAGATGGATTGATTGATACTCAACAGCAACAGTCAGATAATAACAATGAAAATGCCCAAGGGAACAAAGGACGTAGTAACAATCACGGATGATGGGAGCCATCCAATATGACTCAAAATGGTGAGGGCCCCAAGTGGATAGGCTGTCACGTCTATGGAGGACCCTATCGGAGTGCCAACTACTTGGACCAGGCAGACCGTTGTATGACAAGAGCCCGCTCAACCTAATGCTGGCGTAGAGTAGTCCCCCTAGAGATTGAAGAGCTAACTAACCTAAATACCATTCAACTCGTAAATGCAGTGCAGACTAGGGTCATTCAAGCTACCCCAAGGAAACTATTATTTGTGGAGGCCACAGTCAACAATATCTCGACAAGGGCCCTAATAGATTCTAGGGCGACCTATAAATTTTTATCTGAGGGAGAGGACTGCCGATTGTGATTGTGGCTAGTTCAGATCAGTAACGTAATCAAAGCTGTCAATTTTGAAGCCTAAATGTCCGTAGGGTTGACTTGACAAGTAAGGTCCAAATGGATACTTAGCGGGACACGCCGAATTTTCTAGTCCTAAGAATGGACGATTTTGATATTATTTTGGGCACCGACTTCAATTAAGGCAGAGGTAGGATACGAAAATCGACGATTGAAGCATCTGAGGCCACTCGTGGATACACGACAGAAGGGATTGTTCTATCTCTTTTTTTTCATTGCAAGAGAATTCTCATATGTGAGGGCGAGCAATTTTGTTTTGTGTAGGGGTCTACACAAGAGACAACAAAGGCTCAATTTCTTTCTGTGATGTAGTTGAATTCTGATTTGCAAAAAGATGCATACACCTAACTCGTCACTTTACGAGAGGTGGAAGGAGAAGGAAAGCTGGTGGGCCACCCACAAGTACTGCCCCTACTCAAAGAATTTCATACCATCATATGTTTGAAAAACTTCCAACAAATTTTTCCTCGAGGCCAGACATCTAACACGCTATCGAATTACTACAGGGGGGAGAAACCACCGGCTAGGGCCCCATATAAGGTGTCACCGTCTCACTTAGAGGAGCTGAGAAAACAACTGGAGGAGTTGTTGGCGATAGGGCATATTTGCCCCTCTCATGCCCCGTTTGGTGATCCGGTTCTTTTCTAGAGAAAGAAATATGGCCCCATATAGGGTGCCGTCGTCCGCCTCCTCGCCGTCGCACCCTTCTCCTCTCAACGACGCCCGCCTCCTAGTGCCATTCCTCTCGTTGGCACCCTTGTCCTTGGTGGCCACCAGTCTTTGCAGCAGCCCTCCTTCGCCACCACCCCTCACCGATGCGCCTCCACTTCCACTCCTCTCCAGGCCGCCGCCGGCCGCCACATTGTCATTGCTGCGGCCTTTCGGCCGATGTTGCCGTGGCCTCCCCGTCACCACCACTGTGGTCTCCGCCACTATCGCGACCTCCCTCCGGCCACACCCTGAGGTCTTCATCGTCGGCTGTGCGCCCTTGGCCGGCGCCCTCACATGCCATCCCGGTACGCCCTCTCGGCCCGCACCCACCTTCAGGCCGCGACCTCCTTGTGCCCGCCCGGCGCATCCCTCTCAGGTGGTACCCGTCTCCAAGCCGCGACCTCCCCGTGTCATTCCGGCACCATCCGTGCTCCCTCGACTCATAACATATTGATTATGACCCGAAAGGCGCATGCTATCATATTAAAAAATAAATTTTTATTATTTCTTTGAGTATTTCATGAAGTTTAATATTCTAGAGATTTTTTGGAATTTTTCTTTTAAGTTTCACTGTCAAAATTGATTTTTTATTAATATCATAGAATTTCAAGAATTTTTAGTATGTTTTTATAGTTTTTAGGAAAAAATCAAAATGAATGGCTGTCAAAAAAACTGTCAAAAGCTGTCAAAATTACTTACACATTTAAGGAACATATTGATAGCTGTCAAAAATACTGTCAAAATAGCTGAAAAAGCTGTCAAAAACATCATAAAATGAAAATATCAAAAGCTGTCAAAAATACTTGTATGTTCTTATTGTGGCCAAAAAGATAGAAATACCTTCATTTAATCACAGCCCTACATGTGTATTCCCATTCTCTCATATAAATCCTTACACATTTAAGTCACTATTTAGGGGTAGAAGTACTTAACTTTGAATGTCCTAACATTTTGTCAGCTTGCATGAAACAATATTGAGGTTCCATATCAAGCGTGGATTCAAAGTATTTTTAGGTTTGAAATAGAGTGATTTATAGTTTCGGTTCCGCATTACAAGTCTTTTATGTGTGTTCACCTCTCTAGCATTGTCCACATTGTTGATTTTTTGTTTTTCCTTTTTCTGACGACAAAAATTATTCTCACTTGCCATTGTCTCTCCTTTGAACTCATTTAATTTAAATCTATCAATCAAATTAAATAGTAACTAAGTATGCCTAATTATCATTCCCTGTGAATCGACCTCAAACTTACCACATTACTTACCTATTTTAGTATTTTAAATTGGTAAATTCATGATTCTAAATATTTTTCATCAACTAATTTTTGGGATTTCAATGACCCTTTATTTCATTTTATCACCGGCACCTACACCTTCATAGCCTCCTTCAAGGCTTCTACATCGTCTCCATCCCCACTTGCCTTAGAACTCCTACTAGACAATGTTTAACCTCTTCTAGTGCCCCCTTTGGCACGCCACTCTATTATGGTGAAACTCGTGCACCTACCTACTAGTTGAGCCTGCAAGCAGGTCGAAAGTGCAGTTGGGGAGGAAATGAAAGTAGAGCCTCGAGCGGCTAGGATTGATAAGAGCTCGTGCACCACTCCCCTTCCACATCACCAGTGACCAACTGACTATGGGGCAAAGAGTGGTTGTATATGCACGAGAAAGGGACTTGATTGAAAATATAATATTACTATATATTTGCAAGAAACTTCAACGCACAAGCAATGTGGGACTAAACTCACATTAAAACTTTCCTTAAAAGGGTCGACAATTGGCGTAGGTTCAAATTCTCTTAGAGCCAAAACTCATATTTTTTATCTGGTCATCACGACTTTCTTGTAGATCACCAATGAAGGATTAAGCCACCAGAATCATTGGATCATCGACAAAAATCTCGTCAACATGATTCGTTAAGCATTGTTACTAAAATTGTTGAACAATTCACGATAAAAGGATCACAAATCTATCGATTAAAGCATCTCTAATTAATTGATGAATAAGCCGTCACCGAGAAGAGGACGATCCGTCGAGAGATGAGTCACCACCTCTTGAGAGCATATTAGATGCGATGAAGAACCTTCTCTTACTATGTGGACCTAAGGATGAAGCTTCCTGACATGCACCCCACCTCCATCTAGCTCCTCTCTATCTAGTGACAGCCGCCGGAGAGTCGTAAAATTGTTGTTTTTTCACTCTATTAAGTGATAGCCACTTAAGACGATTCGACAACTCATTTTATTGATCTCTAGACTTTGCAAAGAGATTTAGAGATTGCTCACATCGTCTTTGTCTAAGAAGAACCTTCAAGGCTATGGACATTACACGACGATCTTCTCAAACACTCAAGATTCTAGTGCATCACTGACGTATCGCCGTCACAATATTGGAACTCTTTTTTCTTGCTTTCAACTTAATTTTCACTTTATTTAATGATAATTTGTGTGATTTAAATTTACCAAGATATACTTCATTCAATTACAATTCTTTTGACTTTTACAAATCTTAATTTGATCAATTAAATCGTCTATAATTACTTACTCAAGAATCGTTAGACGAAACTCTATTTTCTTCTAATTCGTGTTTGCCAAGCACTCAAGTCATCTTGACGTCTGCACCCTTATTTTCCTTTTTTATAAATTGTAAAAAAAAAATTTATTTCCTAGTATAAAAACCATAAAAATAATATTATTTTAAAAAATATATAAATAATTATTAGATATTATATTACATCCCTATGATCGACTGGAAAAAGTATCATTATTTTTGTAAGTTTTATTAAATTATAATTGATATATTTATTCAAAAATACTTCTAAATATTTAAAATTTCATATTTTCTAGTTTTATAAATTTTAAATTTACGTGATTTATTATATAACGACTAAGTCACATCAACCTTCTATGGGACAATTTGAAAACAATGCACGTCAACCGGACAAACATCAGTCGAGTGGTGGAGAACTTTGAGTCTCTCCTCAATTGTAAGTAGGGTGATCTCTCTCTCCAATCACACTACAGTCACATGCATGCCCTCATTTAAGAGGTGAAAATTATAAACCTCTCACCTTATACCTCTTGATGCTCTAGCGTTATTGCTAGGAGTTATATGTTGGTGTGTGCCTTAGTGGACTTCATCCTTCCACCACATCCCAAATCTATGGTTTCATTCTCTCCAGTGGTCAGGTACTTAGTATCGTCTCCATCTTCTATCCAGCACTTTGGGTCATGACTAGTACATCCTTGTCCTCTCCACCTTCCTCCATAGGTGACGTGACTTCCTCAACTACATTGTCGCTACTCCTTGGGCTTGGGATGATGGCCCATCTTCCCACTTTGAGGACAATCATCCTCTCCACGTGAGAAGAGTCACAACTCCTTCCCCCCATGTCCCTATTGCGGCAAGTAGAACTACAAGGCTAACAAATATTGGAAGCAATTTGGTAAACTTTTCCCCATGTCCCCAACTTTCAACATCAACTTGACATCTGTGGAGTATGACGCATTTCACTATTACATCAATCTCTATAGTCTTAGTAGCACCTCTTCTTCTACTACCTTACCTCGCTTCTAGCTCCCTCCACATCAAGTACACATACTTTCCTTACTTTCTCTTCATCACTATGAATTATCGACTAGGGGGCCTCTCCACTTATATGATTGGCACTTCATCCCTTTTATCTTCATATCAACCTACCCCTTCCCATCCCTCCATCACCATTGCCGATGATTAGACTTGTCTGATCAAAGGTTGTGGCACTATTCTCGTCACTCCTAACCTTTCCCTCTAGTAAGTCCTCTACGTTCTTGACTTTCATGTGAGCCTTCGTTTGATTAGCATCATTCTTCATAACCTTAATTGTATTCTTACTATTTTTTCTTTTTATTGTACTTTTTAGGATGTACACATTAGATAGAGGATTAGTTTGGAATATGAGAACAGACGAAGTGTCTATGAGCTCATTTCCATTGAACCCTCTTTTGACCTTCAGGTCCTTTTTGTTGATTCTATTGCCACTTCTTCCCTCTTATAGTATTGACGATTAGGTCATCTTATTTTGAGAAACTTCAAAAAACCTTATCATAGTTTTCTTTTAAGAAGTTTGTGTGTGAATCATGTTAGTTAGATAAACACTACAGTTCTTCCTACCTTAGTCGTGATGATATTCCCTTTTTTGTCCCTTTTGATCTCATCTATTATGATGTATAAAGTCTTTTGTTATACTCTTTTACTCTTAGGCCACTAATATTACATTGTTCTTATTTATGACTATACTTATGTGAGTTAGGTATACCTCTTACACGACCACTCCAAAGTTGTCATTATTGTTACCCACTTTATCATAGAGGTCGTCACTCAATATTTTACTATGCCTAAAATTCTTCACATTGACAATGTCTTTGAATTTGTCTAAACCTCTCTCCCAACCTTTTGTGCTGATTGTAACATTATCCATCAGACCACCTGCCCTTATACCTTGTAATAGAATGGTGTCACTAAGTGCAAACATCGTCAACTATTTGACATCACTCACACCATATTTCTTGAGATGAATGTGTTATATTATTTATAGATTGACGCTCTCATGACAATCACTTACCTCTAGAATCAACTTTCCTCCGATCTTCTAAGTGGGGTCATTCTCCTTTAATGCCTCCTACTACCTCACCTATGTTTTCCCTTCTTCTTCAGGTCTTTGAATCCACTATCTTCATTTAGGATCACTCTCTTTTCCTATTCAAACTCATCCCTTGTGCTCTCAAATATATTTTTGTCGACTACTCTCAAATAAATGACTATCAAGTTTACTTTTCTAACATCTGTCGCTACGTTACATTGGCCAATGTCACCTTCCATGAGGAGTCTCCCTTCTTCTCCTCTACCTTCCCTTCTTCTCAAGCTTCCGCCTCTCCTCCACCTTGCATTCTCTCCTTAGTGGTCCTTGCATATCTGTCTCCTTTGGCTCCCTCTAGTTTGTTCTCTCCACCAACACTTCTCCTCTTGGCTCTTTGTCTCTATTGGACTCCTCTACTTTGGTTGTAGATTTATCATATCTCTCCTCCACCAAGCTGCATGTGCCTCCCACTGATGTCCCCGGTGCTCATCAAGACGATATTCATCTTCCCATCTCTCTACACAAAGATATTGATGTTTGTACCTAACACCCCATCTCTCACATCATTTTCTACAATCACATTTCCCCATCTTTTCATACCTTTGCCTTTTATGTGGCCTTCGAGTTGATTCTCTACTCGCATGTTGAGGTGACACAAGTACCTAAGTGAAAGGCGGTCATGGACTCAGAAGTGGATGCCTTAATATCTATGGGGACTTGGACACTAATTCTTTATCTGATAGACATCAACATCATCATGTACAAATGTGTGTTCACACTCAAATACCATCCATATGGCCCTATTACACATCACAAGGCTTGTCTGGTTGCTTCTGGCTTTATCTAAGCATATGACATCAACTACACTGAGATGTTCTCCCCCATCGTCTAACTCGCTTTTGTCTAAGTGTTCCTCTCTTTCATTGTAAATCAAGTATAATCTCTCCACCAATTAGATATTTCTAACACCTTTCTCTATGATGATCTCGAAGAATAAATCTTTATGGAGCAACTATGTTGTTCATGGGGAGTCATCTAAGGTATGTTTCTAGTGGAAGTCAATTTATAAGCTCAAACAAAGTCCATGCACCTGGTTTGCCAAGTTCAGTGGTCTTCTCACCATATTTAGCTTCTCGTCATGCATTACGGATCTCATTGTACTCACAAAAAAAATTAAGAGTGGCCTAATCATTTTTGCAATTTACGTCAACGACATTCTTGTGACTAAGAGTGATGAGGTTGACATTCATTTTACCAAAACTTTTTTGTAACAATACCTTAGTATTCATGACTTGAGGACTCTAAGTTATTCTTTTGGGATCGAGTTTGCTTACTAAGACAAGAAACTCACCATGACCCAATAGAAGTATGCTCTCGACATGCTTTAGGAGACTAGACTTCTTAGGTGCAAGTCGGAGACTTTGCTCATAGAAGGCCATCCATAGTTTTAAGACACTTCTTCTCCACTCTTTGAAGACATTAATTGGTACAAACAATTGTTGGACAAGCTGATATATCTCACCGTCACTCTCCCCAACATCATGTATATGGTTTGTATTCTGAGTCAATTCATATAAGAGCCGCGACGAGTTCACTAGGAGCAAACTTTATGAGTTCTAACATACGTCAAGTGAGTCTCAAGAAAAGCGCTCATCGATCAATGATACAACCATCTCTATGTCAAAGCCTATTCTAATATATAGGTGACAAGGGCGACCGAAAGTCTATTATGGGTTACTACGCATATGTCGGAGGTAACCTCATCACATGATGGTCTCAAAATAGAGGGTGGTGTCTTACTTCAGTATGGAGTTCAAGTATCGAGCCATGGTTGAGACCACACGGGAGATAGTATGGCTTCAATCATTTTTCAAATATCTCAACATATCTTCTCTTTCTCTAATGCTCATGCATTGTGACAATTAAGCCACACTAGAGGTAACCACATATTTCATGAGCATACAAAGTATATTGAGATCATCTGTTACTAGATTTAAGACAAGATTATGTCTAATTTCATCTCTACTTTTCATGTGGCTTCATTTCATCAGTTTGCAAACATTTTCACAAAAAAATTAGTCAAAATCTCTTATGATATCACATGTACCAAGTTAGACATATTTAACTTATATACTTTAGTATGAGAAAGAGTATTCAATAGTGTCATTAGACTCTCAACCCATTATGGCCCATTATCTTTCTCTCCTATTCTCCTCTTCTATATAGACACATGTAGTCCTCTATTTTCAGATTTTCTTTTTCATTGTCAACAACATGTACTTATCACTTTCTTACCATAAGGATTCTAATTATTTAACATATTTTCTTACTAATTTTTTATCTTATGATATAGCCATAGCTTTTACCATAACTTGAAAAACTTAGTCCTTATCATATTTCTTGAAAATAGCCTTGTTAACTTTTTTCCACATATATTTTGTAATTAAAAAATAAGTAATTTTTATTGATTTATGAAGTCACGATACTCTAAAGCCATGTCTTAATTATAATGTCCTTTTTCAAATGTAATTTGAAAATGTCAAGTTAGTGATTTAAGCTAATAAATGTTGTGTTCAACTAGTAAATGCCATGCTCCCAATCTCCTCAAAAGATGAGACGAAAGCAAGAATTAAGGGGTCATGTCTAGAATAATATAGAATTCACCATTCCTGCTATGAATAGATATGCTCTCTCACCTCCAAGTAGTAAGCAAAGAGATAAAGAAGTTCAAGATCACCTTTAGAGTGGCTAGATAACAACAAATTGTTCAGCTAGTAAATGCCGTGCTCCCAATCTCCTCAAAAGATGGAACCAAATCAAGAATTAAGGGTCATGTATAGAATAATTTAGAATTCACCATTCTCACTATGAATAGATATGCTTTCTCACCTCCAAGCAGTAAGTAGAGAAATAAAAATGTTCAAGATCACCTTTAGAGTGGCTAGATAACAACAAATTATTCAAAATAGAACCAAAAAAACTGAATTACATAAATTAGGGCAAACAAAAGGTTTCTTCCTTGAGTAAGATGATCTGCCCAAGAAGTGGCATCTACATGAACAATAAGAGTGGAACAAGGTCACCTAGAGTACTATGATACCATGGTGTAGTTGTTAGAGAAGAATAGGTTCCCTAGTCATCAGAGGTGGCAGCAACAAAGAGAGATATTTATTTATGAGAGAGGAGAGAGAAAGGTAAAGGATACAAATGAAAAATATAATTAAAATGATGATTCTCTTATATTTATTTATATTGACATAAATCTAGTGGATTGGATCCAGTTATTCAGATTCACTTATGCTGAACTGAGGGATCCAAAAAACTTATAGGTGAAGAAATATAAGAGGACATAATTACAAAACTATAGTAAATATGGTATTACTATAATTTCTCACCCTTAGACCTTGATATTATGAAAAAAATAAAGAAAATAATAAACTTGGCCAGTAGAACTGTACCAACCGATCCATCAAGATAGTCATAAAAAGACAAACACCTGTGAAGCTACATCTCTCTACACCATTCGGTAGGAAATATCTGTTTTTAGTCCATTAGGAAATAAAAAGACAGACACCTGCGATCCAGTCGGAAGATTCCCCCCAGCCCATCATCCGACTGGACCACCCCCGACCTGGCCCACACTACAAAATATCTGTTTGTCAGCAGTGGTATTTTTTAGACTCTATTCGACGTTCCTGGTACTCCATCAGGCTCTGGGGAATCCTTCAGGAGCCCAAGTTGTCAGAGAAGTGAGTGATTTAAGTCGGGTCTCCATTATGGTCAAGTGGGGGCTCCACGCACAGACAACCATAAACAGATTTCCTAGTTCCTCCTCAAACCTCGTGGAAACCTGATCGTCACATACTGGTCAGATCCCCCGCCGGAGGACTCACCATGGAAACACAGGAGGACGCCCCGCTACCGATAGAGGGCGTCGTCGACCACCTCGGGCAGCCGATCTTCTCCCGGGGAGCCGCCGGCGGCTGGCCCTCCGCCGCCTTCATCATCGGTAAGTGCCTCCCGCCACCGTCTTCTTTCTCCGCTTTTCAGTGAGACACGGCGACCACCAGTGACCAAAATCTCCGCCACCGCCGTTGTGCTGAAGGGGCCGAGTTGTCGGAGAATTTCGCCCACACCGGCATCTCCATGAACCTCATCAGCTACCTGACGGGACCCTTCCAGGAGTCCACTGCCTCCGCCGCCGCCAACATGAACACGTTGACCGGGGTGTCCCTGATGCTCCCCCTCCTCGGCGGATTCATCGGCGACTACTTCCTCGGGCGCTACCGCACCACCGTCGTATCCTCCCTTCTTTACGTCCTGGTTCGTTCCTGCTCTCCATCCGAAATCGTCTTGTGGTCAGACCCTTGACAAATCCTCGCCATATTGCTTACAAATTCGTCTAATTGTACCTTGAAAAGAAGGGCTACTGGTTTTACGCGACGAAGAATTTACTCACCGTACATCGGGTGTACCCTTCTGCCGTATGATCTACATCCCTGCAGGGTCTGGCGATGCTGGTGGCTTCAGCGGTGGCGCCGTCGCTCCGTCCACCGGAGTGCGGCAGCGACAGCGGCAGCCGGGAGAGCTGCCTCCCCTCCCAATTCCAGATTGCGTTCTTCTTCTCCGCATTGTACCTGGTGGCTGTCGCGCAGGGCGGTCACAAGGCCTGCACGCAGGCCTTTGGGGTCGACCAGTTCGACGGCGACGACCCAAAAGAGTGCAGGTCCAGGGGCTCCTTCTTCAACTGGCTACACTTCGGGGTCTCCAGTGGCATGGCGTTCACGGTGCTGCTGATGTCTTACGTCCAGGACAACATCGGCTGGGGACTCGGATTTGGGCTGCCTTGTGCTTCCATGGCGATCTCCCTCGTCCTCTTCTTGGCCGGTACGAGGACCTACCGCTACTGCGCTCCCTCCGGCAAGAACCCCCTCGCGCAGCTCGCCGGAGCCGACTGCAATTTCTCGAGCAGCCAGCGTGGGCTGCCCCACGAAGAAGCGAAGGAAGCTCTCCTCCGTGGGGGGTAAGGATCCTCCGGACCCTGGAAAAGCCTGTTCTAATGTAAACATGATCTTCTCATTCCTCATGGGGTTCCCACTCTGCAGGTCTGCCGGGGAGGAGGAGGGTGTCGCAGAGGGTCCTCGAGCGGTCCTCAGATTGCTCCCAATCGGGGTAACCTGCTTGCTGTACGCCGTTGTGCTTGCCCAGTCCACGACCTTCTTCACGAAGCAGGGCAGCACCATGGACAGAAGAATCACCCCCTCCTTCCTCGTCCCCCCTGCGGCGCTCCAGAGCTTCATCCACCTCTCCGTCCTAGCCTTCGTGCCCATCTACGACCGCCTCTTCGTCCCTATAACCAGAGCCTTCACCGGGCGGCCCTCTGGCTTGACGATGCTCCAGAGGATCGGCGTCGGCATGGTTCTCTCAATCTTCGCCGTGGCCATCGCCGCCAAGGTGGAGACGAAGAGGCTCCAAACCGCCAGAGACCTCGGACTGGTAGACTTACCTGGCGTCGCCATCCCCATGAGCCTGTGGTGGCTCGTTCCTCAGTATGTCCTCTTCGGGGTCTCCAGCGTCTTCACCGTGGTGGGTCTGCAAGAGTTCTTCTACGACCAGGTGCCCGTCTCGATGAGGAGCTTGGGCTTCGCCCTCTATCTGAGCATCTTCGGCGTTGGGAGCTTCATCAGCGGCTTCTTCATCTTGGTAATCGAGAACGTGAGCACCTGGTGGGGGGAGGACTGGTTCTCCGACAACCTGAATCGTGCCCACCTCGACTACTTCTACTGGTTTTTGGCGGCGCTGAGCTCCGTCGAGCTCCTCTTGTACCTCTACTTGGCTCGTTCCTTCGTCTACAAGCAGAGAAAGAAGGGGAGCGGCGCTGCCTGAAGATGTTTTGCAGTGTTAACCCTCGTAATTCAGACTTCGAATGTTTTTATGGTTTTTAGGAAACCGATATATGCTTCGACAAATGAGATATGATTTGTGGAGATGAGGTGACAGAATCATGGACTGAGACACTGACACGCAGCATCGTTAAGTGAAGAAATCAAAAGCTGTCGAAAATGCTTACACAATTAATAGCAGATGGAACATACTTATCAAGGGTGTAGTGGATCTCAACATTGAGGAAGATCTTATGACTACGACAAGACCTTCAAATTCAATGCTTCAAATCAATTCGAGAAGAAATTAACCCTTATCTAATCTTATTGTGGCCAAAAAGACAAAAATATCTTCATTTAATTATTCACAGCCCTACATGTGTATTCCCATTCTCTCATAAAAATTCTTACACATTTAAGTCGTTGTTTAGGGGCAGAAGAACTTAACTTTGAATGTCCTAACATTTAGTCAGGTTGCATGAAACAATATTGAGGTTGCACATCAGATTTAGATGCATTTTGGTTGATTCAAGTGTGGATTCAAAGCGTAGATCCTTAGAAAAGTTACTTGAAGAAGAAAGCGCCTAGTCTTGGCAACATATAGAGGACCGAGGTAAGTTCATCAAAGTTCAATGTGTTCCATGTGTAATCAATCAGTTAAGTATTTGTAAGTTTGAAATGGAGTGATTTACAGTTTCGGTTCCACATTATGAGTCTTTTATGTGTGTTCACCTCTCTAGCATTGTCCACATTGTTGATTTTTTGTTTTTCCTTTTTCTGATGACAAAAATTATTCTTACTTGCCATTGCCTCTCCTTTGAACTCATTTAATTTAAATCTATCAATCAAATTAAATAGTAACTAAGTATGCCTAACTATCATTTCCTGTGAATTGATCTTAAACTTATCACATTACTTATGTATTTTAGTATTTTAATTTGGTAAATTCATGATTCTAAATATTTTTCATCAACTAATTTTGGGGCTTTTAACGACCCTTGATTTCATTTTATCACCAACACCTACACCTTCATAGCCTCCTTCATGGCTTCTTCATTATCTCCATCTCCACTTGCCTCAAAACTCTTACTGGACGATGTTTAACCTCTTCTAGTGCCCCCCTTGGCATGTCATTTTATTTTGGTGCAACTCACTCAAACTACTTACACATTCAATAACCATAATTATGCTTCATGAGCATTTGACTTTGATCTCTTTTTGTAGTCCCACTATCTCCATCATCTCACGGATGACTCTCTAACTTTCTATGACTCTTCTTTTACCTACTAGTCATAAATCAACTCAACCGTTATCACTTTTAAGTCTTTATTATCATAAATTAATAATTAATAAATAATATAGTTTTAGCCTTAACTCATGATAAATAGATTTATATTTTTGTTTAAGTGTGAGATAAATAAATAAAAAATATATAAATAAAAATATAGTAAAATGAGAAGGACCCGCCAACTAGCTGGGCCCACAAGCAGTTCGGGTCGAATGTCCTTAAAGTCAAAACTCATATTTTTTATCTGATTATTGTAACTTTCTGTAAATCGAATTTAGAATCAAGAAGATTCATGTTATCCCTCTCACATCTTGGATTAGAGGTGCCTTCTCCCTCATTCGCCCCTTGGACTGAGGGTTCCTCCCCTCCTTTCATCGCCTCTTGGATTAGGGCCTCCTCTCTTCTTCTCGCCCTCTTGGATTAGGGGGACCTCTTTCTCTTCCTCTTCATGTCGTCCTCATCCGCCCCGTCGTCGCCGTTCCCTTCCTTGCCGTCCGCCCGTCGCCACCACTCCCCTTCTCGCCAGCCACCCCGTCGTCGTCGTCCCATCTCCTTGTCGGCCGCCCCATCACCGCCACTCCCTGCTCGCCAGCCACCCTGTCGCCGTCGTCCCACCTCCTTGCCGTCCGCCCGTCGCCGTCGCACCCTTCTCCTCTCAACTGGAGGAGTTGTTGGCGATATGGCATATTTGCCCCTCTCATGCCCCGTTTGGTGATCCGGTTATTTTCTAGAGAAAGAAATATGGTACACTAAGGCTTTGTGTGGATTACAGGCTGTGTCCCCAGTCGATTTCCGGAAGGGCCAGAAACTACCCTTCAGCGAGAGGAAGAGGAGGTACCGAATGGGTTAGGGGCGTGCAGAAACCACCATAGTCCTCTGCCTCTGACACAACCTTATGAAACCCTCCGGCACTGTCCTTCGCCTCTTCTTCACCTTCCGGAGCCCTTCCACATCCAAACATCCGGAAGCACCTTCCGGAAAAGAGAGGAAGAGAGGTGTGCAGAAACCACTGCTCCTTGATGGAGTCAATATGAGGGTTCATTCCCTTAGGTGGACCCACGTGGAGGAAGAAGAGGGAGGAGAAGAGGCCACGTCACCCATGCACCCCTTCTCTCCTAAGGAAGGCGTTTCTCCCTCCAAGAGACACCGCTTGGCATCCTTTGGAAGGGGACGCCTCTAACTACCGTTCTCTATTTCCTATAAATACTCAAAATCAAGAATACTGGAAAAAAAGTTAAAAACGAATCAAGAAGATTCGTGTTATCCCTCTCACATCTTGGATTAGAGGTGCCTTCTCCCTCATTCGCCCCTTGGACTGAGGGTTTCTCCCCTCCTTTCATCGCCTCTTGGATTAGGGCTTCCTCTCTTCTTCTCGCCCTCTTGGATTAGGGGGACCTCTTTCTCTTCCTCTTCATGTCGTCCTCATCCGCCCCGTCGTCGCCGTTCCCTTCCTTGCCGTCCGCCCGTCGCCACCACTCCCCTTCTCGCCAGCCACCCCGTCGTCGTCGTCCCATCTCCTTGTCGGCCGCCCCATCACCGCCACTCCCTGCTCGCCAGCCACCCTGTCGCCGTCGTCCCACCTCCTTGCCGTCCGCCCGTCGCCGCCACTTCTTCTCCTCGCCGTCGCAAACCCTCTCCTTTTCTCTCTCCTGCTGTCGCCACGAAACCCCCCCTTTTTTCCTCTCTCCCGCCGACGCCACGAAACCCTCTTTCCTCTCCCTCCCGCCGTCGCCACGCACCCCCTTATTTCCTTTCTCTCTCTCTCTCTCTCTCTCTCTCTCTCTCTCTCTCTCTACCGCCGACGCCCTCTCATTCCACCCACTTTTCTCTCTCCATCTTTTCTTTTCTTTTTGTTAATATTTTATTATTTCACTTCACTTTTGTACCTCATTTTAGCCTCCAGCCCAAATAGGCCATTGACTTCAAACCACACTAGTCTACTCTTTGATGCGAACCACTTAAACTTTGGAAAATTACTAACAAAGCTCAAGCCACTTGAACCAATAGTAATCTTCAAAATATCCAAATTCTTTATATTACTTGTGAAGTTGGTCATTATTTTTAAATCTTTGCTCTTAGAATTTGTGAGATTCATAGGATAACCACTTTTATGTGAAGTTCGTCTTAATCCTAGTTGAGATGCTTTATTTGATTCTTTGAATTAGATAACCTAATAAATAATTAATGATCCTAATTCTCCTAAAATTATGAGATCATCTGAATATTAAGCTATTAAAATCTTAATTTTAATTAACTTTAAAGATTAATTTGTAAGTCTTTTTTAAAAAGATTTATTCTGGTCCTTTGTGTCGCATCACTCCTCCTCCTCCATAAGGAAAGAAGAAGAGTTGACAAGTAATAAACCCATATGCACGATATGTACGGTCCATTAGTCTGTCCATAGTAAGGTGGAAACCTTATGTTATCAAGACAAGGCATAAAAAATAATACCAATATGAACAAAAAACATGAATAACATTATTGACACAGGAGAGGAAAACCCTAGAATCTATAATCCTTCTTTAAGAAAGAAGAAGAGTACATGAGGTTATATAAAGAGAAGAAGAAAGAAAAATGAGAAGAAAGAAATAGACAATGGGACCCAGTGGGCTGAGAGTCTTATACCACTATCAAACACTCCTCCTTAAGCTAAAACATATAAGTCAAATATACTCAATTTGGTACACCTAACGTCATAGGAGATCCTGGCCAGACTCTTCGTGAATAATTAGTGTAGGAGTCATGTGAGATGAGATGATGTTGGGAGGAGACGTCCCCAAAGCTATGAGGGGTGCTAGGAGGTGACGTACGAGGCATTAGGAGTTGATGTGTGAGGCGTCAGGAAGTGGCACAAGGTGTTGGGAGGCAGTGAGGGGTGCCAGGAGGCGACACTTATGGCGTCGGGAGGCAAGGTGTGGAGTATTGTAAGTCGATGCACGGGGCGTTGAGAGCCGACACATGGGGTATTGGGAGGCTAGCACTGCTGAAGGAGGGCAGCATACCAGAGAGGGAGGCGGCAGTGGCATGGTGGCTTGGAAGAGTGATTGGCGGCAGCACGATGGCTGGAGAGGGGTAGAAGCAGAGGCGAGGACGACAATGCCGAAAGAAGGAGAGTGATGGTAGAGATGATGATACTAGAAGAGGGAAGAGCGGCGACGCTGAAGAGCCACTTAAGGAGAGAATAAGCGGGTGAGTAGGAAAGTGGAATACTAGAGATAGGTGGCGAGCCCGAGGAAAGTTACCTAGGGCTCTAATATCATGTTGACACAGGAAAAGAACACCTTAAAATCTATAATCCTTCTCTAAGGAAGAAAAAAAATACATGAGGTTCTATAGAATGGAATAAGAAAGAAAGATGAGAAGAGAGAGATAAATAATAAGCCTTAGTTGGCCAAAAGTTTGATACCACTATCAAACAAATATGTTATTCTCTAAAAACTCAACACATTTGGATCTGATACTACTTGTTGAATCTAAAAGATCTAATGTTGCGATGAATGAAGAATATAAAACATATTCAAAATGTATTAGAGTCATACCTAAATCCATAAAGACACAAGTACGAGGATGGCCTTTTGGATCAATATATGAGAGTCATTCAATGACTTACTCAAGAGAGATGAGATACTCTAAGAGTAAATCACAATATATGACCTAATGACTATGATCTTCTATTTATAGACAAGAGATGATTAAATTCTTTGTGTTTTTTTCAAATTAACTTATCATAAAATTAAAATAAGACGTAATCTCTACACATATGTATAGTTATCTCTCTATACTTATGAGAGAGGCCATAATCTTAAATACTTAAATTCTAATAAATCACTTTAAGTGAGATTAACTCAATGATAGTCTCATAATATACAATTCATATTATATAATTATCTACATTGAGATTAATTCCAACATAATCCTCTAGAAGGGCCCTCTAGGGTTTCTTCCAGTTATTTCTTACATCTTTTATGACCAAGTGTCTAATGGGCTGAGTCTCAGCTTGGCTCTCTACTTGAACATCTTCGAGATCAAGAGTTTCATCGGCAGCTTCCTGATTTCTATGATCGACATGGTTAATAGAAACAAAAGGGACATCTAGTTCTCCAACAATCTCAACTATAGCTACCTTGACTATTTCTATTGGCTCTTCTACTTGGCCTCATACCAACCACACTCTATGGAGGGCAGCCGACCATTAGGATCCCCTTAACGGTTGGTAGGGCTGGTCAGGTAGTTAAGTGACCAAGGGGGCAATGGCGGCAGAGCAGCTTAGGACGGCTCAAGCCAAACCTGTGGCCGCCAACTATATGATGGAAGACCTAGGTCAAGGGAACGACATTGAAGATTAGGAAGCTGACATCAGAAGATCCACCATCTCAAAGAGGTGACCCCCAGAAGAGCTCTTGTGTGTTATCTTTCCCCACTTCCCTCAAATTTTCTTGAGCTCTTTGAAGATCCATGATATGTTGCTATAATCAAGGATCTCTTTGAGTAAAATTGTAATAACAACACTTTGTTTTCATCTCCTTGCACCTCTTCCTCCCAATCATGTCCACCCAAAATTAGGTACCCATCACTCATACATTACAAGAGCAAGGTCAAGGCCACTGTATGAGGAAGACAATGGTTACTCCCTCTATGACCATTAAAATGTACCCATGAAACTCTATTCGTTCTCTGGTCAGCCTCACTCTCATTTGTTCCATCTCTAATCTTCATGTCTATTCAGATATCCATCTAATGTATATATCCTTTTGTCTTAAATTTTGTCGCATGATTTGTCCCCCCAATTCCCACAATCCCCAGTGGAAAGTTGGTGCTATTAATCCCTCATACACTATGGCCACCTTGATGGAGGCGCCGCCTATGGGACTCTAGCATGGAATGGAATGATGGTAACAATTTTTACAAAGTTATAGGTGAAAACTAATGGAATGGATTCCCAAACAATGCAAGTAATTACACAAAGCTAAAACCAAACAAGTTCTAACAATTAATTTTTCACAAATCAGTTTAATTCTCAGGTTTTTTTCTCAACTATTTTTTTTTATCTTATGAAAATTAGATTATTGGCTTTTAGTGTTCCACCATAACTATTCTAAAATTACAATGTATAATGATAAATTATCCCTTAATTACTCACTAAAAATGATTTTTGTGTTAATAAATAAATGGTTTTTTTTGTGAACATAATATTTACAAGAAAACAACGTAATTTTAAAATAAATTTATTGTCGCTGAGCTGATTGCATCTTTAATGACTGCATTATTCTATCATAATTGACGAAAAATATAAATAAAATTAAGATAGTAAATAAGATGTTTTTACTAATATTTCCTGTCTTTCTGGCTAAGTAGTTACTCCAAGAGAGTAGCCTCACCTGTAATGAGCGGTGAGCAGCAGTGTTGTTCATTTTACGAGAAAAATTGTAAAGAAAATAATGAACTTTGGCTAGTATAGTGACAAAAAGTAGGCATCGAATCCTTGACGCTATCCAATCAAATAGCTATAAAAATGCAGCCGTTGACTAAACTATATTTTTTTTATGTAAACATCCATGAAGCTACAGCTCTCAAAAAAATTAGGTTGGGAGCCTAAGGAAGGCGTTCATAGAAAAGTAAATTAGGAGCGGCGTTCATTATGGTCGAGAGAAGGGATGAGTTTTTAAGTTTACTAACCGTGTTCTTGCACAGCCAACCATGAGCAGATTTCCCTCCACATGAACCATAGAAAAAACCTATTTACCCCATCCTGGTTCCTCCTCGAATCTCGCGGAAACCACGAGGGGATGGAGTTGAAGTCCCAAGTGGACCTAATCATGGGAACTCGGGAGGAGGACGCCCCGCTACCGATAGAGGGCGTCGTCGACCACCTCGAGCAGCCGATCTTCTCCCGGGGAGCCGCCGGCGGCTGGCCCTCCGCCGCCTTCATCATCGGTAAGCTCCTCCCGCCACCGTCTTCTTTCTCCGCTTTTGAGTGAGACATGGCGACCACCAGTGACCAAAATCTCCGCCGCCGTCGTTGTGCTGAAGGGACCGAGGTGTCGGAGAATTTCGCCTACTGCGGCATCTCCATGAACCTCATCAGCTACCTGACGGAGGATTTCCTGGAGTCCACCGCCTCCGCCGCCGCCAACATGAATACGTGGAGCGGGTTGTCCATGATGCTCCCCCTCCTCGGCGGATTCATCGGCGACTACTTCCTCGGGCGCTACCGCACCACCGTCGTATCCTCCCTTCTTTACGTCCTGGTTCGTTCCTGCTCTCCATCCGAAATCGTCTTCTTTACGCCCCATTTACATTGAATTTTTCAATGATTGACAAGATGTTGAGAAAGGTAAAGGCACAAGAAGATGATGATGCGGAAGTGAAACAGGGATGGTTGAATCATTATTGTTGACTCGAAGGCAGTCTATTCTATGATGAATGGACTTGTCATTAAGATCTTGAGAATAAATACTGATCGACTCTTCCGAAGACATATCAATATTAAAATGATGAAGGATATACATGATGAAGAGGGCAAGTGGAAGAGTGAGAGTGTATTTAAACATTCTCCTCATTTAATCTAAGATAAGTTAGTCAAAGTTAAACTAGATGCTATTTACTAGATAATATAGAATGAATACTAATTTTTCAAGAATTCTATTAAATGCACCACTTTGTCTCAAAGAAGATGACGGATGACAAATACATGACATAGTATGATAATGGAAGATGAAATGTCTTCATAATATGTACTGATATATTTTGTATGCTCATAGAGTGGAGAGAAAGTTGTTCAATGTAAATTGGTCAACGTAGAGAAGAGATCTGGTGGCTAGGTCAAAATTGACATTAAAAATTTCTAGAGTGAGGTCAATTGAAATGTCTTTGGCATAGGTAGTGAGACCAACAGAAGATGATGTGACATTGTTCTAGAACATGCGTAAAAGATTTGAAATTTTTTCTACTAGGGTTGAAACAAGTTTAGTGAAACCAAGGGCATCAAAATACTACTATATGTTGATCTTTTCATTGTTAAATAATTTAATATCAGGGACTTTGCAGCATAAGTCTTTTATATCCTTAAAGGTATTTTGGAATTTGGCTTCAAGAGATGTAGTTAGAAATAGCTTGGAATAATGAGATTGGGAGGAGGACTGATGAGTTTGCCGATATCTGGTTAAATATTTGGATCTATAATATTTAAAACTATCTTTTACTAGCCTGATTTTTCTTCAAAATTGAGTTGGTCATTTTCCTAACTTGAGAGTTTCTGTAGGCTTTTGTTCCACAAGGGATAATAAGGGTCAGTTTGGGAGGTGTAGATGCAGGTTCGAGTAATATAGATTCATCTTCTAGAGAGGCTGCTGGTTGTCGTTCAAGCAATGAAGAGTTTGGGACGTGAGAGTAATGGGCTATTTTAGGTTCGAAGAGAATGGGTTATGGTTATGGTTCTGGTTCTGGTTCGAGTTCCAAACAGTCATGAAATGGTTATCGTTTCAATTTTTTTTGTGCATTTGATGTAGGAGAATTGTGAGCCAGTTCAGACTATATTCCCTTTATTACTTCTGCAAGTCGACATTTCTTCAGCCCACCGATGCCTGCCTTTGGGTTACAATGGGGTAGTGCTATGAGAGCATGCATTTGCAGTTGCTTGATAAAGCAATCAAGTGTTACTCCCCAGCGGCCAACTGCAACAATAGAGAAGGGATAGCTCTTCACCAGCTAGCAAAGTTGCACAATATACTCCGACGATCTAAGCACGCTGCATTTTACTACAGAAAAGATTTAGAGAGAATGGAGGCCGAGGATCAGCAAGGCCCAAACATGATTGAAACGTTGCTCTTTCTCCCCATGCACTATGATATTATAATTTTGCTAAACTTTTTAATAAACAGATGGGTTTTAGTGAATTTTCTTGTCGCTGATTGCATCTTTTAATGAGGACATTATGATATTATAGTTGACAAAAAATATTGATAAAATCAAGATAGGATATAAGATGTTTTAATCTTATTTCTTGCTTTTCTAGCTAAGTAGTCAGAGGATGATCCAAGCTATCCATTAAAATAACCATAGAAGGAGAAATATTGAAGTTTATTTTTTAAAAAGTAAACATTGATGAAGCTTGAACTCTCTAAAAAATTAGATAGGGAGTCTAAGGAAAGTGTTCTTAGAAAAGTGAATGGGCGTCTGTGTGTTCACTAACCGAGGTCCACGCACAGCCAACCACGAGCTGATTTCCCTCACATGAATTAGGAAAATGACCATTTTACTCCTCATGCTGGGTTCCTCCCGGAATATCGCGGAAACCAGGAGCGGACGGAGTTGAGGGCCGAGGGGACCTGTCGTGACCAACAGTCCCCCCGCCGGAGGACTCACCATGGGAACTCGGGAGGAGGACGGCTGGGTACCGATCGAGGGCGTCGTCGACCACCTCGGGCAGCCGATCTTTTCCCGGGCCGCAGCCGGCGGCTGGCCCTCCGCCGCCTTCATCATCGGTAAGCGCCGCCCGCCACCGACCTCTTTCTCCGCTTCTGAGTGAGACTCGGCGACCACCGGTGACCAAAACTCTGCCGCCGCCGTTGCGATGAAGGAGCCGAGGTGTTGGAGCATTTCGCCTACAACGGCATCTTCATGAACCTCATCAGCTACCTGACGGGGGCCTTCCAGGAGTCCACCGCCTCCGCCGCCGCCAACGTGAACGCGTTGAGCGGGGTGTCCTTGATGCTCCCCCTCCTCGGCGGATTCATCGGCGACTCCTTCGGGCGCTACCGCATCACCGTCGTATCCTCCCTTCTCTACGTCCTGGTCCGTTCCTTCTCTATACCCGAAATCTTCACGCAACCAATCGTCTCGTCGTCAAACCCTAGGGAAATCTTCGCCATATTGTTCAGAAATTCGTCTAATTGTACCGTCAGAAGAAGGGTTACTGGTTCTACGGGAGGAAGGATTTGCTCACAGTAGATCGGGTTTTCGTAGGGTCTGGCGATGTTGGTGGCTTCAGCGGTGGCGCCGTCGCTCCGCCCGCGGGAGTGCGGCGGCGGCGGCAGCCGGGAGACCTGCCTCCCCTCCCGATTCCAGATTGCGTTCTTCTTCTCCGCATTGTACCTAGTGGCTGTCGCGCAGGGCGGCCGCAAGCCCTGCGCGCAGGCGTTCGGGGCCGACCAGTTCGACGGCGACGACCCAGAAGAGTGCAGGTCCAGGAGCTCCTTCTTCAACTGGCTGTACTTCGGGATCTGCAGCGGCACGGGGTTCACGGTGCTGCTGATGCCCTACATTCAGGACAACATCGGCTGGGGACTCGGATTTGGGCTGCCTTGTGCTTCCATGGCGGTCTCCCTCGCCCTCTTCTTGGCCGGCACCAGGACCTACCGCTACTGTGCTTCCCCTGGCAAGAACCCCGTCGCGCAGCTCGCCGGAGCCAACGGCAATTTCTCAAGGAGCCGGCGTGGGCCGCCCGCCGAAGAAGCGAGGGAAGCCCTCCTCCATGGCGGGTAAGGATCCTCCAAACCCTGGGAAAGCCTGTTTTAATGTAAAGATGTTCTCCTCCTTCCTCATGGGTTCCCACTCTGCAGGTCTGCTGGGGAGGAGGAGGGTGTCGCAGAGGGCCCTCGAGGGATCCTCAGATTGCTCCCAATCGGGGCAACCTGCTTGCTGTACGCCGTGGTGTTTGCGCAGTCCTCGACCTTCTTCACCAAGCAGGGCAGCACCATGGACAGAAGGATCACACCCTCCTTCCTCGTCCCCCCTGCGGCGCTCCAGAGCTTCATTAGCCTCTCCGTCTTCGCCTTCGTGCCGATCTACGACCGCCTGTTCGTCCCCATTGCCAGAGCCTTCACAGGGCGGCCCTCGGGTGTGACGATGCTCCAGAGGATCGGCGTCGGCATGGCGCTCTCAGTCACCGCAATGGCCGCCGCTGCCACGGTAGAGAGAAAGAGGCTCCAAACAGCCAGAGACTTTGGACTGGTAGACTTACCAGACGCCGCAATCCCCATGAGCCTGTGGTGGCTCGTTCCTCAGTACGTCCTCTTCGGGGTCTCCGATGTTTTCACCGTGGTGGGTCTGCAAGAGTTATTCTACGACCAGGTACCCGCCGCAATGAGGAGCTTGGGCTTCGCCCTCTACATGAGCATCTTCGGCGTCGGGAACTTTATCAGCGGCTTCCTCATCTTGGTAATCCAGCAAGTCAGCGCCTGGTGGGAGGAGAACTGGTTTTCCGACAACCTCAACCGTTCCCACCTCGACTACTTCTACTGGCTGCTGGCGGCGCTGAGCTCCCTCGAGCTTGTCTTGTACCTTTACTTCGCTCGTTCCTTCGTCTATAAGCAGAGACAGAAAGGGAGCGCCGCGGCCTGAAGAAGATTTGGAGTTCTAACCCTTGCAATTCTGATATTGTCAAAAAGACCGTCATGATGATAACCCGGCCAACCGTTGTGCCCCGAGCTTTACTGTGACCGGTTATGGGTCGATTTAGGTATCCCGGGAATCACTGCAGGTTTCACCCTTTCCTGCAGCCCAAACGGGGCCGCAACTCCCCCCCGGTTCACTGACGACTGAAACTTGAAAAGCCCTCCATGAGGTAGCGCCGCCGATTTCGTTTCCCGGCTGCTCTTCTGGCCCTCGGTCTGTAGAGAGAGAAAGTAGGGAGAGAGAGACGCAGCAGGGTTGTGGAGGGTGATGGGTTCGAAGGAGAGCTACAGGAACGAGCTCCGGTCAGCGATCCGACAGCTCGGAGACCGGTGCCTGTACTCCGCTTCGAAATGGTAACTTCTTCCTCTTAAGCAGCTCTTGTTGGCGCTGGGGTTGCTTCTGCTTGTAACTCTTTGTCCGCCTACGCTGTTGATTAGGGCGGGAGAACTACTTGTGGGCATCGATCAGGACCAGCCTAGATCCTCTGCCATTGCTGGCAAGGCAACACCCTCGAGCAGCGCCCGTCCTCACCATCAGCAAGAGCACCTCCACCGAGACGGCTCCAGCTTCCGCCGCAGTAGGTCCCGCCCTGGCGGGGATAGCGAGGTGTTCTCTGCCACGCCCTCGGGCGGGGTGTCCTATGTGAGCACCCCTTCCCCTGTGGAGGACGAGATCGACGACGGTGCGGACTACTACCTCCTCGCCAAGTCCTACTTCGACTGCAAGGAGTATCGCAGGGCTGCTCATGTGCTCCGGACGCAGACATCAAAGAAGTCCATCTTTCTCCGGTGCTACGCTCTCTACCTGGTATCCTTTTCTGCTACCGCAATTTTATGTCCTCTTTTGTTCAACTTATACTCTGCCTGGTTCATAATTATTTTACATGTTTTGTCTCTATTTTTGTACTTCGTAATTATTTAGTCGGTTTCATCGGCCGTCTACATTGCTTCCTGTTTGTTTATGTTCTGACTTCTGGGTGGCTCTTATATTAAGGTGTTCTGCTTGAATTCTTCTCGGCGAGTGTTTTCTTCAGGATTGCTGTAAAAATGTGGCAGTTAGGTTGCCAGCTTCTAAGGGTTCACAAGATCATGTGAAGCCATCTGAATGAGGTCGGGCAACAACATTGAAGAATAGGGTTCAATAGTCGCCTTCATAAGACCTGGAAACATTCTTCACATGTATGCAATCTACTTTTACTTGATCTCCTTGAGAAAACAAAATGCTTTGGGCCATGATTAGGTCCCCATTAGAATATGATGGGAGTTGCATCAGTGTAAAGTTCAAAGATAAAACTGGCATTGGATCCCACGGTCTATCTTGCAACAGACAATAGCCTCTGAACTATTTTCTAGAGCACATGACTTCTAAATAATGATGTTACCCTAGCTGAAAATACATTTTTGAAAAAAAAGTCTGATGCCAGGACGTGGAGATTATGTTTCTCTTTAGAAAAGGTTTTTAAAGCTTTTAGGGATCAGACTCTATCAGACGTGATAAGATTATCCTCGTGTCATACTGTTGATAAGGTGCTTGTTACTCGAAAATAATGTTTTTTAATATCTGGAAATAATCTACACATTTACCAGACCACACGCTGACTGAATCAGTTTTACACATACGAGTGAGATAAACAATCCCTAGATTCTCTTCGAAAAGCAGAAAATGAAAATGAAAAATAAAATTAAAGTTCCTTTTTTTGGCAATAAAATTCATTTGGAGATAAAGATCTGCAGTTTTAATGTATTACCCGTATCTTGATTAATCAGTAACTACTAGCCTGTGTTATGTTGTTATGGAGGAGCTCTGTGCATGGTACCCTGTGACAATTACTAAGGCAGTGCTTGCTCCCATTAGATATTTTTTCCTCTTTTAGATAAAATAGTATTCTGGTCTACTTGCTGTTAATACATAATCAGATCCGTATTCTGTAATATGCCATAGAGGAATAATTTATTGAAATGAACAATCAAAAACGTAGTGGGTCATATAAGGTGCCAATCTAGACCTACTGATTTCTGATACTGTGCCTTGGAAATATGTTATGTTCGAATGAGATGAATCCCTGAAAAATAAAGATCCGGAACCGTAGAAAAGTTCGAAGATGTTCTGTCTGTTTGTGCTTTACCTTTTAAATCCTTGATTCCATGCATCTCCGAAATGTCTGGTCTCATATGCTTCAAGTGAGATAATAGATGACGAGTTCGGTATAAGGTAGCTGCAGAGGATCCACCGACTCTCAGCCAAGCTAACTGGTTATCTAAAACTCGTTCTATGTATTTGAAACCATAGGGTTAGGGTCCTTCTTTATTAAGTTGCTGAACTCTCCCCATTTGGGCATTTGATCGGTTATTTGCACATGCTGACGTTATTCTGCATCATTTTCTGATATCTTACGAATTTATGTATTAAGATTTATGCTTGGATTTGCTGTTATTTTCTAGGCTGGAGAGAAACGGAAAGAGGAAGAGATGATTGAACTTGAGGGACCGTTAGGGCGGAGTGAGGTGTGCAACGGCGAATTAACTCATTTAGAGAGAGAACTTTCCGCGCTTCGAAGAAGTGGTGCCATAGATGCCTTTTGTCTGTACTTGTATGGGATTGTTCTCAGAGATAAAGGGTGTGAGAGCCTGGCCTGTTCTGTTCTAGTGGAATCTGTCAACAGCTACCCTTGGAATTGGAGTGCCTGGTCAGAGCTGCAGGGTCTATGCACCACCCTGGACATTTTAAGAAGCCTAAATCTCAAGAACCACTGGATGAAAGACTTCTTCCTTGCCAATGCATACCAGGAGCTGAAAATGTACAATGAAGCCCTGGCAAAATATGAGTACTTGCTTGGGATCTTCCGATTCAGTGATTACATCCAGGCCCAGATTGCAACAGCTAAGTACAGTCTAAGGGACTTCGATGAAGCTGAGATTATTTTTGAGGAGCTTCTCAGGATTGACCCATATCGTGTTGATTCCATGGACATTTATTCAAACTTACTCTATGCGAAGGAGTCTTTCTCGTCACTGAGTTGCCTTGCCCACCGAGTGTTCTTGACCGACAAGTACCGACCGGAGTCCTGCTGTATTATTGCAAACTACTACAGTTTGAAAGGCCTGCATGAGAAATCTGTAGTTTACTTCAGGAGGGCATTGAAGCTCAACAGGAAATATCTCTCAGCATGGACCTTGATGGGTCACGAGTATGTTGAGATGAAGAACACGCCAGCTGCGATCGATGCCTACCGCCGGGCTGTTGACATAAACCCACGTGACTACCGGGCCTGGTATGGCCTGGGGCAAACATATGAGATGATGAACATGCCCTTCTATGCCCTTTATTACTTCCGCAGGTCGGCATTTCTTCAGCCCACTGATGCCCGTCTTTGGATCGCCATGGGGCAGTGCTATGAGAGCGTGCCTCTGCAGATGCTCGAGGAGGCAATCAAGTGTTATGCTCGAGCGGCCAACTGCAATGACAGAGAAGGGATAGCTCTTCACCAGCTGGCGAAGCTGCACAGTATACTCGGGCGATCTGAGCAGGCTGCATTTTACTACAAAAAGGATTTAGAGAGAATGGAGGCCGAGGATCGGCAGGGCCCGAACATGATCGAAGCCCTGCTTTTTCTTGCCAGGCACTGCAAAGCCGAGAAGAGGATTGAAGAGGCAGAGATGTACTGCACACGGCTCTTGGATTATACTGGCCCGGTGAGTTCTTCACTCTTCTCTAAAGGGTTTGGAAAGCTCATATTTGTTTGAATATCACAATTACAGGAGAATCATTTCTATTGCATAAACAGTTGTAAATTCCTCTGAGAAAGATTTCTGCTCATTTTTTACATGGTATATACATTATCTTACTTACAGGAGAAGGAAACAGCGAAGAGTCTTCTCCGGGGGTTGAAGATGGCTCAGTCTGGGTTTCCATCGGTGGAGTTCGAGCATTTCGGTCCATGACCGTGGTTTTTCTTCAACGCCATTGCCGTACATTTCTGGCATGGAATTCTGACTGTTGTTTCAGTGCTGCGAGCAATCGGTAAGGGTTTCCAACTATCTCGAGGATGTCGATTACCGGAATAACTCGAGATCCAAGCTGGAATCTAGATGATGACGATGGAAGCTCCTATCTTTTAAAGCTCGAGGAGGGACCCGGCCAAGTGTCTTCAGAGAGCTGCTACGGCGTCCTAGGGGCTGCCCACCACACCCACACCCACACCCACACTCTCCTGCAGTTTCCGAAGCTTGACGATGAGATGCGTCAATCTCCTGCATGATGCGATGAGCAGTGTGAAGGGAATGATCCAGATGCCCAGGTCCAGTATCACCATCCGTTCTCTTTCGAATTCGGCAGCGTGTTCTCCTTCTTTGGGGTAGCTTTCATCCTTGTATCCACTTTTCCAGAGACGTGTATGCATATTGATGTATATGGAGAGAGAGAGAGAGAGAGAGAGAGAGGCTCCTAAGTGATATTACTTTGTTCGTTTTCTTCTCCTGTGCCCCTTATTATTGTAGAATTCCTCAATGGTTCCCTGTAAGAGTTACAAGGCCCAGTCTAGGTCCACTCTGTGATGGATATGGGAAGAGAGAGAGAGAGAGAGAGACCGTTGCTCTCCTTTGCTCTTTTCTATTTTGTTGACATGAGCCAAAGCCTGGGATTTAGGCAGAGACGGTTCTCTGAAGAGAGAGATCCTCATCCAATGGAGGGGGCCTTGGGCAGGGTGTTTCAGATCTCTTGCCTCTGTCATTATTATGCTTGTTTTCTTGCTTCTATACGCTTTATTGTTATGAAATTTATAAATGGCCCCTGTAAGAGCTACATTTGTGAGTTTGCCCTCCCGGGGAAGTACTTGATGCGTTGGCAACGGATAGTTAATGGTTCGGAAACCAGTCGCAGAAGCCCCCCGCCGCGAATTGAAATTGCTCGGGTACCCTACGAAAGCCAGATCCGCATTGAAGCATCCTTCTTCTCCGGGGAGAGCCGGGGGAGGAAGTGGGGGCTGCCGGAGGGGTCGGGGAGGGCCGATGAGCATCGCCTTCCGCCACTTCGACATCGTCTTCCGGTGAGTCTGAGTTTTCTCCTTGAAGGTAGTTCGGCTAGGGAGGGATGGACATCCTGATCGCGCAGATCCAGGCGGATCTGCGGTCCAATGATGCCCTCCGGCAGTCCGGTGCGCTGCTCCAGGCCCTGCAGCAGTCCGCCGCCGGCCGTGACGTCTCCGCAGTGGCCAAGTCCACCTGCGAGGAGATCATCGCTTCCCCTTCTTCGGCTGTCTGCAAGAAGCTCGCCTTCGACCTACTACGGACCACTCGGCTCACACCGGACCTCTGGGACATCGTCTGTTCTGGCATTCGCACCGATCTCGACTTCCCTGACCCCGACGTCGCCGCGGCCGCTGTATCGATCCTCTCCGCCGTTCCTACCGACCGCCTCTCCCGCCTCATCTCGGACTGCAGCAAGGAGATAACGGCTTGCTTCGACTCCCCCAGCGACAATCTTCGCTTCTCCATCACAGAGACAATGGGATGCATCCTTGCCCGAGACGATCTTGTCCTCCTCTGCGAGACCAGCGTCTCCCTCCTCGACCGGGTCTCCAACTGGTGGACGCGGATTGGCAATAACATGCTTGACCGCTCAGATGCTGTCTCCAACGTAGCATTCGAATCGATTGGACGCTTGTTCCAGGAATTTGAAACTAAGAGGATGAGCCGGCTTGCAGGAGACAAGCTTATTGATAGTGAAAACTCCCTCTCTATTCGATCGACCTGGGTCGTCTCAGCCGTTGATTTGGCGTGGAAGTTACGAAATGCGCTGATGGCGAGGTCAATGATTCTCCCAGTCGAGAGGTTTAAGTCTACAGTTTTCCCTCTAGTGTATGCTGCAAAGTCTGTGGCATCTGGTGGTGTCGAGATCCTCCGGAAGCTGTCAAAGAATGGTGGGAACCCTCCATTGGATGACAAGGGGAGTGCTGAGAAGCTTGTAGGAGTATCGGATGTCGTATCTCACCTCTTGCCATTTTTGAGTTCATTGGACCCGCCGCTGATCTTTGAGGTGGGAATTAACATGCTCTCTTTGGCTGATGTTCCTGGGGGGAAGCCAGAGTGGGCTTCAGCATCTATTATTGCGATTCTTACACTATGGGACCGACAGGAATTTTTTTCCGCCCGAGAAAGCATTGTCAGAGCTGTCGTTGCTAACCTTCATCTACTAGATCTCAATATGCAGGTACTAATCTGTGTACTGTATTTCGTTATTCACGTGATTTCACAATGCTGTGCTGGTGTAAATAAATTATGTAGTGCGTAATGTATGTACAATCTTATCATGTTTTCGTCGATCAAAAAGTCCAATTTAAAGGCTAGAGATGGGACAAGTTTCAATTCTTCTGTGATTTATATTCTGCCACATCCATCGCGATAATGGAATCTAGACACTTCTAGAATTGAACTCCGGCCAATTCTTGGTATCCAAGCTGTTCTTTCATAATGAAGATGGTGTCTTTTACGTTTAGAAGTTACATGAGGCAAGATATGTAGACAATATGCTATTTCCGTCGAACATCTTTGGTTCCCGTCCTCAAGATTATGCTAGTACTATGTGATGTTCTTCTTGCCTGTTGAGCATTTTGGAATATTTGGATATCAGATCAAGAGAGTGATTTGACGAAATACTTAAAATACGGCATTGTGAATGTATTTGGTCAGGTCCATGTATGTCCAGAATTGGAGGGATTAGAAATAATTTATTTACTACTAGAGAACCATTCTTCTCCTGAACTGTGGTCAGGTTCACATAATTTCGTTTAATTTCATTTCGTCTTGGTTTTAATCTGTTGAGTTCAATCCATGACATTAAATGATAAATGTTCTTCGTAATCTTTTTGGCAAAAAGTGAAAAAGGAAGACTATGTTATATGGTTTCTTAATGCAGAAAAAGTCAATGCCATGTTGACAAGTCCATACTTAGACGGTTGTAGATCCTTGATTAAATGTTATCCATGAATGTTGTGCTTGGTTTGCCTTCCATCTTCTAATGTGGTTGCTACGGTACTCACTTTGGGGCAGAGGTGTCTTTGAACTGTCTTGCAGTTGAGTAGGGAGCATGTCATGTCTGCAGTAGCCTTCCCAAATTTTAACATTACCTAATGAGAGTTGAGGTTTTTCTTGGCATCAAGAACAATATGGACTTATACGCACGTATATTGTTGGAAGTATCCGGGGAGAGAAATTTGCAGAAGCCTTCAAAGTATAGCAGATACCAAAAATCCTTTTTGAAACCTAAGGATTCAGGTTCTAAATCAATTTTAGTGTGCTTACTTATCCTCGGACCAATAGATATTGGGTGGCCTCATCTTGTCTGATAGTTCTAAATCAATAGATACGGTACTCACCTCGGACCAATAGATGAAGGTTTAAAATCAAAGAAGAGAAAAACCTCCGAGAAAAACGAGAAGGAGAATGGTGAAGAGAGGGGCTGCTTTTCTTCCCACTCCATTCGTTCTTTCCTTCTAGAATTTTTTAACAATTGAACTACTTTTGTGCTCTAGGCTTTTTTTTGGTGCTTCAAATGTTCCTATTATTTGTATGATGGAATGTTTTCGGTCAAAATGCTGTTCAAATTTTGTCATTTCTTTTTTTCTTCTTAGTTCCAATGAAAAACTTGGTCGTTATTTATCTTCAACCTTCATATTTCTCGTTTTTCTTTTCAATTAGTTCTTCAGTGCAGAGTTTATTTTTGAACTGATCTTTGTTATCACTAGTTGTAGGAGTTGTAAATGGTAAATTCCCTGCTTTATTGTTCTCTGTTATTCGTTATGCTTGTGGTAAACTGCGTAAAATTTTCTCACTTCTTGCAGGTTTCATTGTTCAAGAGACTGCTTCTCATGGTTAGAAATCTGAGGGCAGAATCAGATCGTATGCATGCTTTGGCATGTATCTGTCGAACAGCTCTCTGTGTTGACCTTTTTGCAAAGGAAAGTGTACGTAGAGGGCAGAAACCTCTTCCTGGTACTGATATTGCTTCACTTTTTGAGGACATATGGATAAAAGATGATCTGAACAACGTGATTAGCAAAAGCTTGTTTAGAGAGGAACTAGTTGCTTCTTTGGTGGAGAGCTGCTTTCAGTTATCTCTTCGATTATCTGAGCAGAAGGCTTCTGGTACTGAGAGCAGAGTCATCGGAGCTTTAGCTTATGGAACAGGCTATGGCGCATTAAATTGGACAGAGCCAGCCTTAGAAGTGGTTGAAGTGTGTAAACCTTGTGTTAAATGGGATTGTCATGGTCGTACTTATGCCATCGATTGTTACCTAAAGTTGCTTGTTAGGCTATGCCATATATATGACACCAGAGGGGGTGTTAAGAGGGTCAAAGATGGGGCATCTCCGGATCAAATCCTAAATGAAACAAGGTTGAAAAATTTGCAATTGCAGCTTATCAGAGATCTCCATGAGGTTAGTTTAGCATCTGATATTTATTTTCTTAGAAACTGCCCCCGTCTAAGATATATATTTGCATCTTGTCTCAAAACAGTTGAATGACCTCAATTTTTTTTAAATCCCTTCTTTTTAGAGTTCTAGTTGAAAATCTTTGGTAATGCTTATCCCTGGGACCAGGTGTATTTGCATCGTTTCTACCTTTCTATCAACTTTTTTTGGTTGCTTTAAAATGTTTCCAGTATAACAGTGAACATTATTTTTAAGTCAAACTGTTCTGACGTTATTGATGTTAATTCCCAGTCATTTCATCATGATAAAGAATTCTGATTTGTGCTGAATCGAAATCAGATTCATATTCTTGTAGGTATTTCTATGAATGAACAATGCAGGTAGCTTAAATAGTCATCTGAGATAGCAGGATCTGAGAGATCAGAGAAGCGTGAATCCACAAGTAAATGAAGAGAAAAAAAAACAACTGTGGGCAACAGTGTCCCCTTCTCGTATTCCCTCTTTTTAAGATAAGCAGAGTTATTTCTGGATTTCCTGGAGAATATAAACTGGTAACAACAATCCAGCGAAAGGAAAGGATTCCTAACAAAAAAAGCACGAACAATCTTTGGTAAAATAATGGATCTCTAGGAGAGAATGCAGTTCTACGATTTGGGCTATCAAGGTTTTTCTTTTGAGCCTTCTGGGTTTCCATATTGTGCCTTCCTTCTTTGATGCTGTTTTGTTCTACATCAAATATAACCAAGAATTTAAAGGTGTACGCTGATAAGAAATTAATAAAATATTGGAAAAAAGCTCCTTTCAGCTACAAGGCATAGACGCTATTATCTTTTTTAATATCTAAGATCCACAAAAAGGCTGCATTTAGTTAGTTCTCTCTGGATTTTGTGAGAATAGAAGGCTTAAAGCAGTTGGGAAAATATAGTACAATTTGGCACGGAAACAATACCCAGTGCTGAAACTGAATTAAAACTAACGTACTCTTTGTTTCATGGGATCTATTTAAGGATTGCAAGAACATAGTTTTCAGTTTGGTTTTTTTTTTTGGAGAGAGTGAAGAACCGGTACTTAACTGGGCACATTAATAACGGTAACATCTAAGCCTTTTAAGTTGTACAACCTTAAATGTTGCACGTTTCAAATCATCAACATCTTATGCAGATTTGTGATGCTAATATCTTCTCATGGTTGTTGGGACATCGGTTTTCTACAACCGCATTGGTCAAATGATTAATTTTTTTCAAAAAGATAAGAATAAACTTGCTTTCTTGTTTTGAACTCTCATTTACTTTTTCTTTTTTGTATTGCCATTTGGTAATCTCGCATGTTTGTCTGCTTTCTGTTCCCTCTTATTTTTAGTTATGATTGACAGTTGTTTTCTTTTCGATCTTATGACATAACCTGTTTTTTTACCTGCTTTCCTCTTCCTATTCCATTACCTGTACATCATTCTTGCATGGACAGGTGCATACGCCAAGAATATGTGCACGCCTCATTTGGGCTATTGCGGAGCATTTTGATTTGGAAGGTCTAGATCCACTTCTTGCTGATGATCCACAGGATCCATTAAACATCATTATATCAAATATACACGCTGTGTTATTCGACAATGATTCGTCCACAAATATATCAAATAGACTCCAGGATGTGCAAGCTGCTCTCCTGTGTGCACAGCATCTCGGATCAAGACATGCCAGAGCAGGGCAGCTGTTGACTAAAGAACTTGAAGATTTTCGAAATAGTACATCTGCTGATTCGGTGAACAAGCATCAATGTCGCTACATCTTGCAGAAAATAAAATATGCTACGAGTCATCCAGAGAGTAGGTATGTTTACTATTACAGTATCGTAGTAATTACTGTTACCGGTACCTTGTGAGGCCTTTATAACTTCTGCTCATTGCTGTTCTAGCCTCGTGATAATTAGTCATGACGTAAACTCAAACCAATGCAGACAGATGTTCTTGTCAGGTCATTTGAAAAATCTAGCTCTGAAGTATCAATAAGTGAGCTGTGCATTACTGTGTTTACAACGTTACGAAAATCGATGTTTATAGTGTAATAAAATAATGGCATGATGTTTGTGACAAATCTTTTTTTTAGTAACAGCATTTTAAAAATTGTGTCTAATCAAGTGACATTATCAGGTGGGGAGGTGTGGGTGAAGCTAGAGGCGATTATCCATTCAGCCACCACAAGTTCACTGTTCAATTTTCCGAAACATCAGCAGCTCAGGACAGAAAGTTGGAAGGGCTGGTTCATAAGGCTATTCAAGAGCTCTGGAGGCCTGATCCAAGCGAACTAACTCTTCTGCTTACAAAAGGGATCGAAGCCACTTCTCTTAAAGTGCCTCCAACTGCATATACGCTGACTGGTAGTAGTGATCCATGCTATGTGGAAGCCTATCATTTGGCAGACAAAATCGATGGAAGGATCACCTTGCATCTGAAGGTATTTTGTAATCTTTTTCTGGTAGTTTGCCACCTTTCAACGAATTTATTGCCATGACTTACATTTTCGCATTTGTCTTGGTGCATCAATTCGATGTACTGCTCATGATTTGGGGGGAATTCTTGTTAGGATCTTCTCACAACAGTTCAATAATTTGCCCAGCTTATGCAAATGGGACCTTTGAATTTGCCATCTCTTTGATCTTCACTCTTATTTCTTGCACTAATCTTTCGTTTTATTGTTTCATGCAGTATCTGGTATGTCACATTTATGTTGAGAATTACCATGGTTTTTCTTGCATTGCTTTGCTTGGTTTGGACAAGGTCATCGATGCATTGTTTTCCTGGACTTTGTGCATCTGTTCTTTTGATGGTGGAACTTCATTGCAGGTCTTAAATTTGACCGACCTTGAACTCAATAGGGTCGATATCCGTGTTGGGCTGTCCGGTGCTTTGCACTTCATGGATGGTTCTCCGCAGGCAGTGCGGCAGCTACGCAATCTTGTTTCACAGGTTGTTTTTCTCACGCTCAACCTCTTTATTTTTTCTTGCTGAGTTAGATGGACAAAGGTCTACCCTCAAATGTTCCTTTCTTTTCATGCTATTTATTTATGTTTCATCTAGCTCGTTGACTTCCTTGACAATCCCCGGCATGTGGTCAGTATACTATGATGCTTGTAGCGTGCTACAACTACCAGGAAGAGACGCGCGCTGAAAATGCGTCAATGACGGGCATGCAGATTAAAGAGTAAATAAATCACCGCGCGCATAATAGGAATATGTGTTCTCTGACTTTTGAGCACCACTCATTGACTATTTAGTGCCTGTTCAGGGAGATGGGATGTTCCACTGGTTTGTCATCACTGCCCATGGCATGCTGTGCCTTTGCTTCTTCTGAATTCATTCGCGTTGAATCCCACAAGGAAACCGGATAGTTTATATCGTCGTGCAAAAGAAATGGATATGTGGGTCATTTCAGGAAAGATCTTACTGATATCAATGTGTATTGTAACTGAGAGAAAAATCGGAGGTCATATTATTAACGTCAGTTTCCAATTTATCTTTAGGGTTCCTTCCTCTGCATCTTCCTGCTATTTTGGTGTAAAATAACGACCAGTGTTTCCTGATTATAGGACCCAGTGCTCTGCAGCGTGACGGTGGGCGTCTCTCATTTTGAGAGATGCGCCCTCTGGGTTCAAGTGCTGTACTACCCCTTCTGCGGGAGTGGCGGCGCCGCCGGAGAGTATGAAGGAGACTACGCCGAAGAGGACGTGCAAATCACCAGACAGAAGCGAGGCCTCAAGTCTGAGATGGGAGAACCAGTCATACTCAGATGCCAGCCTTACAAGATCCCCCTCACCGAGCTCCTCTCACCTCACCGATGCTCGCCCGTCGAGTTCTTCCGCCTGTGGCCGAGCTTGCCCGCCATCCTCGAGTTCACCGGCGCGTACACTTACGAAGGCAGCGGCTTCAGCGCCACCGCCGCCCAACAGAGCGGCGCCTCCCCTTTCCTCAGCGGCCTCAAATCTCTGTCCTCCAAGCCCTTCCACCAAGTCTGCTCCCATATTCTCCGGACAGTCGCCGGCTTTCAGGTAAACAAAGCCTCCCCAGTTTTTTTCTTCTCAAATTACTCCGTTGACTCACCACTTTTAGTAATCCGATCTTCTGCCGGCAGCTGTGCTTCGCCGCAAAGACCTGGTACGGTGGATTCCTCGCCATGATGATCTTCGGGGCCAGCGAAGTGAGCAGGAACGTTGACCTGGGCGACGAGACCACCACGATGATGTGCAAGTTCGTCGTGCGGGCCTCCGATGCGTCGGTCATCAAGGAGGTGGGCTCTGACTTGCAGGGATGGCTGGACGACATCACAGACGGCGGCGTGGAGTACCTCTCCGAGGATGAGGTTAAAGCGGGGGCTGCCGAGCGGCTGAAGATCTCGATGGAGAGGATCGCTCTGCTCAGAGCTGCCCAGCCCCCGCCCGAGTTGCAGAAGCCTAAGGAGGAAGAGGAAGAGGATGATGAACAGGAAGGGGAGGGGGCAGTAGATGGGGACGGGAAGCCGAAGAAGGGGCCTTCGACCCTGTCGAAGGTGACGGCGGAGGAGGCTGAGCACCGGGCGCTGCAGGCGGCGGTGCTGCAGGAGTGGCACTTGCTTCGCAAGGAGGGAGCCATCAAAGTCAACTGATGATCTACGCCGCCGACAGCCTATATATATATTGTGTGTGTATTCTTCTGAAGTCAAGGGTTTTGCTGCGTTTTTCTTCCCCGCTCATTCATTTCATCCTGAGAAATCTGTTGTGGTCTCCGATTTTGAGCTACGAATTAGCCATAGTTGACTTCACTTCCTTTTTTTCCCCTTATAAAATGGATTTTTGGGTACCCGATTCATGTGATGGAAGAACTCCGCGCCGCCCTTTAACGGAGGGTCTGTTCCAGAGACGAATCCCGCTCTCTCTCTCTCTGTGTTTGCAGTGAGGGTAGTACATAAAAACCTTTATTCTTGCTCCTGTCTAATGCTTATGCACTTGATATCAAAGTTTTCTTCTAGGGACTCATTCGTCTGCTAGGGCGGCTCCTTCGCTTATGAGTGTAAGCAATGCTACGTCTGAATCGAGTTTCTCTAGAGAGAGAAGCCTTAGATGTAGATTTCTTATATGAGACCGAAGCCCAGCCCCAGCCCACCCTCTCCGTGAAGAAGGAGAAGAGAGAGAGAGAGAGTACGCCGAATGGAAGCATCCTCTGAGACCATCCCCCAAACCCAGGAAGCTTTCCTCTCCGGTACCAGTTTGGTGGTTTCGATGGCCGCCCTCCCGCCTCGTGTTCTTCTATTTTCTCGACTTTGGTTCCGTCTAGCGCTCAAACCCCCGCCGTCCGCATCCAACCCACGTACGAGCCAACGCCTGCTGCACATCTTTCAACCATCTTGGTGGGTACCGATCCACCAAGGTTTTTCAAGACCAGCTTCCTCACTCATCTGCGTCAAAAACTTTATCGTCCTTCGATCTATAAGATTTTACTCGCCAGAGAACGACGAGCCCTGTTATTCCGTCGTCTGGGAAACGGAGAGGAAGACTATGGGCCGGATTTCCCGCTCGTCCCTCCGTCCACCGGGAGACGGCGAAAGGACCATCCGTTCGTCGACGTACGATCGAGACTGATAAATCGTTCTCCCTGTGGAAATTGCCGAGCTCTCTGGGTACGGCTGGTGCACCGTTGCCGTCCTCTCCGGCCTCAGTGGTTTTCTCCACCGTCCTCATTGATTGATGCTCGTATCGCCCGTCCTCATCCTCCCCCCTGATAATTCCCCCTGGGGGAGGAGAGCTGGAGCATGGGAAAAGAAGCAGGGAAGATATGAGTGAGGGAAAGCTACTCTCACAGCAGGGCCGGGGAGGGACCTGCACCATGGAAACACCCGGCGGCGAGCGCCATTCCACTTCCCGGCCGCGCACCGGCGGGTGGCCAGCGGCGATCATCATCATCGGTGAGCCCGCCGTCGCGATCATCATCATCATGATCTGCTCCCTTTCTTCTGCTCTCTCTCTTCTTCCCCATGACGCTCTTCTTCCATGGGCCATGCAGGTGTAGAGGTGGCGGAGAGGTTCGCCTACTACGGTGTCATGTCCAATCTCATCACCTACCTAACGGGCCCGCTAGGAGAATCCACCGCCACAGCGGCAGCCGACGTCAACACCTGGCTTGGCGCCTCTGCGATGATCCCCTTCCTGGGGGCCTTCGTCGCCGACTCCTACCTCGGCCGCTACCGGACCGTCCTCCTCGCTTCCATCCTCTACTTCCTGGTCTGCCTCACCTTTGCTTCCTGGGGATCTTCCATTTTAATGGAGAGAAGTCCATTTTAAACGAGTCTCTTGTTCGGAGTTGCAGGGCCTGCTCATGCTGACCCTCTCGGCGAGCCTTCCCTCTCTCCGGCCGCCGGACTGCACCGCGCTGGAGGGGGACGCGGGGCTCTGCCCGCCGCCGTCGCAGTCCCAGGTCTTCTTCTTCTTCGCCTCCCTGTACATGGTGGCGGTGGCGCACGGCGGGTACAAGCCCTGCATACAGGCCTTCGGCGCCGACCAGTTCGACGGCCGCGACCCCTACGAGAGCAAGTCCAAGAGCTCCTTCTTCAACTGGTGGTACTTCGGCATCTGCATGGGCATCCTCACTGCCCTCCTCATCCTCAACTACATCCAGGATAACCTCGGCTGGGTCCTCGGCTTCGGCCTCCCCTTCATCTCCATGGGCTTCGCTCTGGGCCTGCTCCTCCTCGGCAGCAGGATCTACCGCCACCAGGCCCCCGACGAGAAGTGCCTCTCCGTCAGGATCGCCCGGGTCGTGCTGGAGCTGCTCAGGAACCGGCTCCTCTGCATCTTCTCCGCCGCAGCCGCCGCCTCCGGTGGAGCACGCGAGTCCCTCCTACCCCGCAACACCCAGTTCAAGTAAGAACTCGACTGAATATCTGCTCGTTCCATCGGGTAGGAGAATCCTCAGCGCTTGTGTGTAAAAACCAGGCTCTCCGACGACAAGGCGGCGGTGATCATCGTCGACCCGCATCTCTCGTCACCGCCGCTGCAAGTCCAGGCGGCGGACGCGGCCAGCGCCATGGAGGAGGCCAACGGGATGCTGCTGCTGCTGCCTATCTGGGCCGCCTGCCTAGTCTACGCCGTCGTCTTCGCGCAGCCGCCGACCTTCTTCACCAAGCAGGGCAGCACCCTCGAGCGACACATCGGCGGCGACTTCCAGATCCCACCAGCGGCGCTGCAGGGCTTTATCAGCGTCACCATCGTGCTCTTCCTCCCCGTCTACGACCGCGTCCTCGTCCCCGCCGTCCGGCGGATCACGGGGAACCCCTCCGGCATCACAATGCTGCAGAGGATCGGCCTGGGGATGCTCCTCTCCGTCGTCTCCATGGCGGTGGCGGCGCTGGTGGAGATGAAGCGACTGCGGACGGCGAGGGAGCTGGGCCTGGTCGATCTGCCGGCGGTGGCGCTCCCCATGAGCCTCTGGTGGCTCGTCCCACAGTACGTGATCTTCGGGGTCTCTGAGGCGCTCACCATGGTGGGCTTGCAGGAGTTCTTCTACGACCAGGTGCCTGATGGGTTGCGCAGCCTCGGCTTGGCCCTCTACATGAGTATCTTTGGCATCGGGAGCCTCCTCAGCGGCTTCCTCATCTCCACCATCGACAGGGTCTCCCTTGGAAAAGGGGAAAGCTGGTTCTCAGACAATCTCAACAGGGCCCACCTCGATTACTTCTACTGGCTCCTCGCAGGCCTCAGCGTCGCAGGCCTGGTCGTCTACCTGCACTTCGCCCGCTCCTACCTTTACAAGAAGAAGACTTGAATAAGGCCCCCGCCGCCGCCGCAGGAGCTGAGCCCCGGCGGACGCGGAGGCTCCCCCCCTGTCATCCCTCCGGCAATAGAGATCTTGTAGCATAACTCTTCCCTCCCATGGATCAAACTCTGCACTTGCTTCCGGCAGACTGGCGTCCCTGTGTATACATTGAAACAATAACACGAATTCTTTTCTTTCTCCCTTCCTTTCTCGAGCCTATCCAAGGGGCTGGATCTTTAGATTCTACAGTGGTCCACCACCTCTCAAGGAATCTGGCCCGGAAGCCCGTTCTCCCAATGCAATAACTAAGGTTCGAGCATACATTTCTCAATGACCCGATTCACAAACTCGTTAAATTCGAGCATATCTTTCATAATGACCCGATTCAAGAGCTATTTAGGTGACAATGTGAGAAAACACTGCATTTAGGAATCATGGAGAGAAAGCAGGAGATGACTGCATGTAAAATCCATGCATCGACAGACTCCAAAACAAAGAGAAAAGCAAACCTGGGGGATGTTCTTCGCACGGTTTGAACCCTATGGGGGGACACAGACTGCATCTGATTATTCTTGACGGGCGGCGGAGCGGGTCAACCGGAGGCAGTCTTCTTCTGCTGGAACACGACGGCCACGATGGGGACGGCCACACCAATGCTGACGGCAGAGAGCACCCCGAGCGTCATCTTGAGGCCCTGGTGCTTCATCCGGTGCAGGTTGTACATGTGCTTCGCATGAAGGTAGTATTCATAGTCGTTACCGTGGCCATGGCCGTGCCCGCCACCCATCCTCTTCACCCCGGTAGAGTGGATACCTCTGGACACTGCACATCAAATCGATCTGTCCTCGTGAGCAAATGGAAGCCGATGAGGAACTCTAACTGTAAATGGATTAATAGATTCCTTCTGGGCATGTCTTCCCAAATAAAAGCAGGTCTTAATCCATTTTGGAAGGGGCTACTGAGTAAAGTAGCGATGACAAAGGATATTCCAAGAGACAAACATGCCTTCGTGAAATTTGTACATACTAAGTAATAAAAATTAACCATATGATTGGATTCCCATAAAAAAATGACTAATGCCAGAGAAACCAGCATTGGTGTGAATAGTTTTTTAGAAAGAGAATTTGATGGAAAACTAATCTTAGTTGGGCAGCCCTAGTGATGGATGATGGTAGAATGTATTTTATGGCCGAACCTGCTGATGTAAAATGCAATTTGGCGTCAGCTCAAAGTATCATCTAATTATTGTAAAGAGTCACCTTCGAGTAAAACCTAACCCAAAAAAAAAATCGAATATTTATCTACAAACGGTCTACTTCTTCCAGATTCCGCCCTATAATCACTAAACCCAAGGAGAACTGCATCCACCAGATATTTCCCTTTATCCTTTAGCCTTCCAAAACTTCCACTCGAGCAGAAAATGCCATATTGACAGAAAATTCGAGCAAAGGTAAAATAGTTGCATAATAATTGATTCTGAGATGATTCTCTAGCAAATATCACACTCAACCACACATAAGTAGAGAATGGAAGCTCATAGAATGAAGGTTGAGAAGTACTCCCTCTTTGTTAATTTATCAGGGATTTTCCTAGCCACCAAAATGTACCATTTTGGCCGAGTCATTCTCAGGCTTCTCTTTTACCGCACTAAACTGGGGAACTTAAAAGACCCTATTACGTATATAATCCCCAATATGCGTGAATAGTCTCAGGGCCCTATCGGAATCTTTCTATATGCGATTTGCTTAATCCACAGAAGGCAACGTACCACGGACAAATGTTCTCCTTATGTAAGAGAGAGGAAATCATCAATCTCACAACCTGAAACCACAATCGACCCCCCAACTTCAGTTGCTTCTTCAGGAGAATCCAAAATCATTCTGCTACAAGTATCTGCACCTCATTATCTGGTTGGTGAGAAGTGTCTAATACCAGCATAGGTAATACGAGATGAGATTTATCAATAAAACTTATCCTATCAAGAGACTAAATCAATTCAATCTCAACTTTTCACGGGCCTTCTCACACCCTAGCTTGAAAATCAATCAAATTCATTGCCAGGTCTTCATAACAAGTATGCATTCATATGCCCTGTGAACTTCCATGAAATCGTTTCCCTTGCAGGAGGCCGTACAATTCCAGCTGATCATCCTGTTGAATACTCCCTCCTGTCATTTTGCATTCATTACTTAGGTGACTGAGCACACCTGATTCAGGAAGCTAACATCCACCGATAGTCAAAGCATCCCTGTTCTATAGAACCTCCTCGATAAACCCCGTAAGTTATTTCTAATCACCTCCAACAAGTTAATGAAGAATCAAAAGGGGAATCAGTCCGGTGCGTTGCCTTGTCCTAGAGAAACCAAAAATTCTACGAACAAATTTCTCTCTACATCTTAGGACCTCTACCTTTTCCCCTTTTGATCCTAAAACCGAAACATTAGGTCTTTACCATTCTTTATAACTCACTACTTCTTTCATCCTCCTTTCACTGACAACAAACACAGTTTTTACGTTTACTTCTGCTTTCAGAACATTTCACAAGTAATTTTTTTACCAGCCCAACTAAACCTGGTAGATGGATCCACTTCAGGACCAAACAATGATTTCAGCGCTGACCAAAAGAAAAATTATTTATCCATTATGACGCAGGTCAACAGCCAAACACCATGTCAACATTACTCAAACCATACTCAGATTAAATTAAATGAAAACGAAGGCAGGAAATCTATCCTGTTGGAAACATGAATCCAAGTTAAAGTACTTCATTTGGACAAAAAATATTATGAATGAGACAGCGTGAGAAAAATATGAAAAAGGTCAATTTTGATAAAATAAGACTGTCACCTAACAAATAAACCTGGAAACACCTATGTTTCACTGTTACATTCTGGTATTTGACATATACTAAATATTGAAATTGAAATTAATGTCTTTCAAAGAAATTCGGGCACACTCACTTCCTCTGGTACTGATTTTCTGTGCGTCTTGAACCCGAGATGTCACTTCCTAAGGCAAATCTCTGAGAACCAATGGCCATAAATCTGACAACCCAAAATCAAAATTCTTCTAGCGACGTGACGCGAATTTTTGCCAAAACTGGAACATTTTCGAATCAAAACGAATTACTGTCCTCAAACCTAAAAACAAAACCTTTACCTCATCATTGATAAGACCAATCACCATTCGACACGACTTTCTTGCCATAATGGGCATTATATGGTATTTACGCATTTTAGAATCACATAGAGCAGAATAAAATTGATGCTAGATCTCCCCCGTTTTGTAACCCGTTGTTAAAGCTATGGTCTCCTGTATTCACCGTATGGTTATACCAATGGTTGCTATCACAACATGTGACATAGTTATATCAAACTCACACCCACCACTTTGCCTACATGAAGAGGTTTCATGATTATGATTTATTAAAGTCATTATTTTGACATGGAATCCAACATATGATGGAAGAAGACGCCAGAATCGGTTTGGTGGAAAACAAAGGTTAGCTACCAGGCTCAGAGATGGCAGAGGCAGAACATCTATGCGAACGATATGATGGAAAACGTTATGGGTTCATGTGTTCACGCATGCGCACAATCACGAACACGCACAAAGGCAAAACCCACGCCTATGTATCTGCATTCATACGCACAACCACATGTTTCTGTGCGCAGTGTTAACAGTGATAATCAATACCCGTGCAAAGTTAACGATAATTGTAGTCTCGCGGAAAGCATTGCAGGGGGTGGTAAGAACCCGTAAAATTATTATTGGCGTATACATATCTCTTACAAGCCTGTCATTAAACTCTGCAGAAATTGAAATACAGAAAAATGATAAACCATCCAACTTGGTTGTCTAAAGTTATGCACCAGAAAGAACGAACTATTGTCCAATCCGAGTCTTTCAATTTATAGACAGTTGATGGTAGAAAAAGCATCAAGTTTTAGATCTTTATTCATAATTATCATGACACTGGAAAATATCTACCGGTTCACATCAATAATAGGAGATCCACCTGTGCCGCGGTTGGAAAATCCGTACCACCAGTGACCTTGGATGCCACCGATATCTATTCATGCGTGCTGTGAAGAAACAACAAGGAGAAATCTCCTTGGTTCGTGCGTTCACCGGGTGCAAATCGTCGACGAAAAATCACGATGAACCATAGAAAAGATGAAATTTAACAATAAAAAAAAAGAAAAATCTTCAATCCTTGGCATAGAACATGCGCTGAATGAAACTTTCGAGCATGCCTGATCTAAATCGCACAAAACAGTCTGTGACCCTCTCATCGATTTCCCGACCTGACACGGGTAGCACGATACTTGCCTGATCCGGAAATAGCCGCTTCTGACGACGCGAGCAGCTTGAGACCCGATCGCAGTTTGAGGGCCATGGCCATCTCTGCTCTCCCTCCTCCCTCGCCTCCCAACAGCACGAATCTGCTCTCCGTCGGAAACCCTCGTGATGGAACCGGCAGCCGAAGCTGAGAGACACTTATGGTCGCATTCCCAGACGTGCCATCCACGTGCGACCGGTTCCGTTTCGGGAGGGCTCGCAAGGCGGCGGGCCGTGGGCCAGGGGCCGATTTTGGCCCGTGAAGGTAGATTTCTCTTGGGCCCGACGGGTCCAATCTGGGCTGGGCCCCTTAAACATTTGGCTCGATTCAGAGCAGGCCCGGCACGGTCCTACATTTCACCAGAAAGTTAGATAATTTTGGGCATTTATTTATAGGGAAATAATATTTGTTGGAATATTATTTTTTTGTCGCAAAAAAAATGTAAACTTTTCCCCCGCTTACCTTTTGGGTCCTGGGGGTGGAGGGGGTTTAACCTTGGGAATCAGGTGCCAGCGCGGGAGGAGGATATCGTAGGAAGGCAGGAATTTTCTTCCTCCGTCGCTCCGCCCTATAGCCGCCGCCGCCGGGTGGGCGGTCCGCGTCGCAGTCGAAGAAGAGGGGGTGATCCTCGATCGTGGGTCGTCGTCGCCCAGCGGGCAAAGGATCGCTTTCTCTTGGCATCTGGTGTCGTTTTCTAGTGGGACGGGGAGACGGAGGGGATTCCGAGAGGGGAATTACTGATGGCGGCGGCGGCGCTGTGGCAGCCGCAGGAGGAGGGGCTCCGCGAGATCTGTGGGCTGTTGGAGCAGCACATCTCCCCGACTTCCGATCAACAACGTATATGGCAGCAGCTCCAGCACTACAGCCAGTTCCCCGATTTCAACAACTATCTCGCGTACATTTTCACCCGAGGCGAGGTTCGTCTCGTGGCTATTTTAGCCGTTTTCCCTGGGAGCCCGCCAATGGTTTCAGCCTCCTCCGCCGTCGACTTCCGATGACGGCTGATGGTTTCTTGTTGTTCCGAGTGCGAAATGCTGCGTGATTTCGATTCCGTCGTGATTTCAGTGTCGGTGGATATCAGTAATGAATCGGAAACGTGGTGTCGTTTTAGCTATTCGCACGTCAAATATCTCGTGACCATCTGACTATGCAAAATTCATCTGCGATGCAATACTTCAGTTTTGACTTTTGGTTCCTATAATGGAGGATGGCATTGTTGTTTTAGAGAAGGCGAATCCCAAGCGTGCACGATTCTGATGCCAATTAAGCACGTCCTCACTTTTTTGTTTTTCCAGGGAAGCATATAAAGGCCCATTTTCGTGCTGAAATTGACCATTTGTTTCTCATAACAGGGTAAATCAGTGGAAATTCGACAGGCCGCTGGTCTTCTTCTCAAAAACAATATGAAAACGGCTTTCACCGCAATTGCTCCTTCTTACCAGCAATATATAAAGTCCGAGCTATTGCCTTGTTTAGGAGCAGCGGAGAGGCACATTAGATCAACAGTTGGAACTGTTATTAGTGTTATTGTTCAACAAGGTCGGATTTTCAGTTGGCCAGAATTGCTGCAAGCTCTCCTCAATTGCTTAGACAGTAATGATTTAAATCACATGGATGGTGCATTAGATGCCTTGTCTAAGGTATGCTCGTCTTTTTTTTTTCCCTCCAGTTATTGCATTTTCAGTACTTGTAATAGAAACCCATTTCTAAGATGATTATGAATTTTACAACGTGTGCTTTTAATGCCCTTATTCCGTCTATTCGTATTTGGGATCGTTAGTAATTTCTCTCACTGCATTGCTGATATATTTGTTGTGTATGGGTGTCGATAGAACTGCCTTCACGATATATCTTAAGATTATCTTACTTTTGATTTGCCATTACTTTTGTCAAATGTTCCCTGGATAGAGAATAATTACGGGATTTATTGTACACAAAACTGTTGCTAGGCAGGGAATCAGTAGTCTTTGGTTTGGGGCTGACAGGTTACTGGATGGTGATATTATCTGGTATGTTTGGGATTTTCATGTCCTAAACTGAAACCAGATTGATGCGGTAATGGAGAATGATGAAAATGGTGCCATTGTTAGAAATATAGTAGAGATGGACCTAAGCAATGTAGTCCGTCGAGGCATCAAGGTGGTTACTGAACTATGTGAAAAATATTCTCCATAATTCAAATGTTGAAACCTTTTTTATGTTTGATATTATCTCATCAATGTTTAGTGTGGTTTGGGTAAATGCCGGCCATGTATGCCCAGGAGAGTTATTTGAATTTTTTCACTTCTTCCTTCCTAGTTTTAATACCTTTACCGGGGTTTATTTCTGAGATATGTATTCATATAACCCTGCTGCTGGAGCCTGCATGCTTCAAGGTTCTTTGAATGTAGAGGGAATTCTTTTCCTCCTCAAGCATGTTATCCAAATATTGTCACCATATTACTTCGGTAGCCCAAGACTTTCATAGTGCGCACAAAATTTGAAACATGCTTAAATGACTTTCTTTGAGCAAGTGTGTGCCACCTTGATCAATCTTTTCTTGGTTAATGGATAAATAATGGTGCGATTGTTATTATTTTACTGTGGACAGACATGTTTTTATCCTAAGTTAAATTGTAAGTTATTCATTTGATCTATTTTACTTTCTGGAATTCTCAATGGAATTCATCCCTTATAGATTAGTGAAGATATACCAGAGGAGCTTGATGCAGATGTTCCTGGCTTAGTTGAGCGCCCGATTAATATATTTATGCCCAGGCTATTGCAGGTTTGGAATTGTAATTTTTATGGTCATGATGCCTTTGTGTCTGTCACAGAAAATATTTTAGATGTGCTCATATTTTGTACCTACACGTGTGATTCAGTTTTTTCAGTCACCACATGCAACACTCAGGAAGCTTTCTTTGGCCTCCATCAACCAATATATCGTTGCCATGCCTACAGTAAGCAAATTCACCTCTCTTTTCCATGAAAAAGAACTTACATTTGAGTGTCATTCTTTGTATAGCTTTTGTGTCGCTACTATACTCAAACTAGACCAATTATAGTGTGTACTTTCAGTTATGGGTCATCTTTCTCTTGTCAATCATTCTGCAGGCGTTGTTTATATCTATGGATCAGTATCTTCAGGGTTTATTTCTTCTTGCAAATGATCCCGTGCCAGATGTTCGAAAGTTGGTAAGTAGACTCTTAATTAGTTTTTTATGGATTAAGAACGTTTCTTTGTGTAAATGTCATTGTCATTGTCGTTGTCAGCCTCTTCTCGGAATATGCCACAAATATTTGTAACTGCGGTTTTTGTTGAAGAAGATTGCCTTATGGATATCCATCGTTTGTTTCTTTCCATATTTACCCATATAGTTATATGCATAGTAATTTACCAAGCTTTCTTGTTTCCTTCGAGCAGCAATTGTGGTCGTTTCTCCTATGCTGCACAAAACCTATTGCATAGAATAGTTGCTGCCATATTTCTTGTAAAAGTATCCATCTAATAAATAAACTCTATTATGTCTTGTCCTTCTCAACTGAGAAGTTTCCCACGCGAGTCCATTCACATATGATAAAGAAAATGTGTTAATGACTCTTCCGCCTCACATAGGCCCATGATAATTTAAGTGTTTTTACAAAGTTAGCCAAATGATCAATTCTTGGAGATTCTCCAGAACGATCTCCCCTTGGACGTTCCTAGTTGCGACTCTAGAAACCCAGAATTGAGATATTGCAAGCTGAAAGAACCATAAAATGGCCTCCTTTTCCATTTACACCGCCACGAATTTAATGTAGCTATTGATAGCCGTCGTACTTCTAGATGGCCGAAATGTTTCAAGTTGAATGATCTCTTCCTACATAAGTTGCTCCGCTCCTGCAACTACGACAGCTGCTACATTCCCTTTGTCTTTGTGTCAGAAACCTTTGCCCATGACTGTGCTGCTTGTCAAGTTCCTTTCCATAGTCGCTTTCATAGTTTACTCTAAGCTCATTTGTTTATTCTAAACATTCAAATGTCAGTTGAATGTTACTGGAGACCATATATCAGGGTCATTTTTAAATATCAGGGAGCATCAGTCTCCTGCCCTATATCTTGGCGCTTTAAAGCACGTACACATTCATAGGAGATCATCAATCTTCTTTAAATTTGCCGGCTTATTAAACATATTTTCAGCTGATGATCTTCTTGACACCCACTCGAGCTTGTTGAAAGCATTTTAGGGATGTTCTTGTTCACCTCGTTCCTCAAAATAGTAGGGCTGTGATCTTGAAGATGCTTGTTAATGATTGCTGATCTAGTATACATTAATAATAAAAAAATTTAGTTTGAATTTGTTTCTGACTGAAATTACTCATTTTTATTTACCTTGTTTACTTCTGCTTGGATGTAGATATAGAACTAGGACAATGTTGTTTATTTCGTAGTATTTGATGGGCCATCCCAAGTTTTAGATAAACATGCCAGAATAGATCTCGTATATTTGGTCTCAGTTACTTTTATAACATGCTTCTGTTGTTTTGGTTTCCCTGTTTGATTTCTCACTGCTATCTTCTTTTATTTAGGTTTGCGCGGCTCTTGTGCAATTGATTGAAGTCAGACCAAACTTCTTGGAGGTTTGTGCTGGCATCTACTTCCCTTTTACATATTTAAAATTTGCATTATGTGCAGATTTAGCATGTTTATCTTAATCTTATTTTGTGCATCCTGTGACACGGATCAACTGCTATTGTCAACCTGTTTCAGCCACATCTGAGAAATGTGATTGACTATATGTTGCGAGCCAATAAGGACGCCGACGAGGAAGTTGCTCTTGAAGCTTGTGAGTTTTGGTATGCCTCTGTCCTGCAAACCTTATGTTAATTGTTCGAGGATTGATATCACTAGTATGGACTTCCTTTGGGGCACATGTAAAAATGGTGCACATGAATGAGGATAGACTCAACATTGTATCCGGATTAGTGTGATTGACCAGACGCCATCATGAGTTACTGAATTTTGTACATCAGCATATTCAGACATCTCAGTGCGATCCTGTTTAATCTGAACTAAGGGGAATTAGAGTATCTGGCCTCTCATTTTGAGCCTTTTGACATGACCTTAGCATTTCTTTGGCATTGCTTAGTTTTCGTAGATTGTTCCTCGTGATGATTCGATCCTTCATGGGCTGCAGTTTTTTTTCTTGTTTTGGATTCCGTGGAAGCTTTGAATCTAATGGTTTTGCTGCTGAAATCCAAGCTACAGTATTTCATGCTGTTACATTAAGAATTTGATTCTGTACACAATTTTGTTCCCCTTACATTCTGATTTTCTCATATTTCCTCTGGAATACACGTGTAATCTTTCTTGCTTAATTATGTATCATGACATTATCTTTTTTTTTTTGGTTAGGTGGATCAGATTTTTCTTATCTTTTCTTTGTTTTTTATGGGACTTTGATTGAGTGTCTTTGGATTAAGGAACTACAATCGGGTTTGGTGTGATGGGATTTCGGGGCTGGGCCATGTTGGTACTCCTATTGCCCATTGTAACCTGGTTGATGGTGCAATGTTTGGGCGGGATGTGGGAGGTGGGCGGTTTACAGTGTCATAGAAACTGTTTATATAGTGAGCCTTGGGAATACTAATAGACCGTGTTTTTTTTTTCTTGAAAAGATAAAGCCAATATCCATTTTACCAGTGAAAACTGTTTATAAGTCCAGTTTGAGATCGCTAATAAAGAATTTTGTTGGTAAGCTCATTCGTTCGTTTTAAAGTTCCTTTCTGAGTTTCATTTGACTCCTATGTTTTGCTGCAACCTCAGAACTATCCTTTTGTTGTTATTCTATAAATCTGCTATTCCAGAATAATTTCATGTTTTCTCCCTCTTGTTTTTTGATAAAATTTACTACTCTAAGGAGAGATTTTGCATTTCTTTATAAAAAAATAGGGTATGGCATCTATTTGGGCATTGCAACAACTCCTCACTCGTTTCAAATCACTCTTTCTCCATTGGATGACTACATACAACTTCTAGATATCTTCAATATTTCTTTAAAGAAGATTCCATCATTGGTTTACCTACGATTTTGTCGGTTTTCAGTTCGGTGTACTTGTTTATCTATTTCTAAAGCTAAACAGACTTTTCAAACCATTGATCTTAACTCCAACTTTTAACTTCATGCTTTTAAATGAGTAGGCTTTGGCTACGTATCTCATAAAAGATGTAGCTAAGGTTTTCCTTCATTTTTTCTTCAACTATTCCCAGCATGTTTATGGCTGTTTGATGTGTGGGTTTACTTTTTAATTAATGCTCCAGGTCAGCATTCTGTGATGCGAACATCCCTCCTGAAGCCTTAAGGGAATTTTTTCCTCGATTGATTCCGGTACATTATTCTTGGACATGATCGTACTGATTGGTAGACTACTTTGTCTGAGTTGTTTGTAATGTGCATGTTTTTTTTTCAGGTGTTGTTGTCAAATATGGCTTATGCTGATGATGATGAGGCATTAGTCGATGCCGAGGTAACTTTTAATTGGAAATTGATTTCGAAATAATTATTTGCAATTTTTTTGTATATCTTATCTACTGATACAGTAACTTACATTTATGCATTATCTAGGATGACGAATCCGTCCCAGACCGTGATGAGGTTCTATTCCCTCCTTTTATGAGACTCTTTTCCTTTACATGTTGAATGCTTGTCTGATCTGTTGAACCATCTTTCTCAGGACCTGAAGCCACGTTTTCATACATCACGTTTTCACGCTTCTGAAAATAGCGAAGAAGATGTAAATTCTCATTCATTCCTAATAATTCTCTTTTCTCTAATCTTTGAATTATTTTCTTCTGTGTTATTCCTGATTTATTGTCATAAAAACTGCAAACAACAACAATTTGTTAGTTAGTATTCATTCTTGAAAATGTCATCTCGTCTTATCAATTTGATCTTCTCTTGGGGGCTACTCTGTACAGGATGATGAGCCTGTAAATGTTTGGAATTTGAGAAAATGCAGTGCAGCTGGGTTAGATATTCTTTCAAATGTATTTGGTGACGAGATTCTTCCAACTTTGATGCCGTTAGTTGAGGTACCATTTCTTTTTATTAGCGTTCATTTGTTGTGTTTTGCATTAGCTATTGTAGTATTTATGGGTTGTATCCATTATCCATTTATAGCTGTCGTGGTCTTTCAATTTACCTAAAATCAATATAGTGACTTTGACATAGGATATTTTGCGATCTTTTTAGTTATTTTGGTCTGACGCTTGGATCCACACCCCCACCCAATATTAAGTTTTGACAGTGGGCACCTTGCGTACATCTGTGCTGGTTGAGATGCTGGACATCAGTTATGCCTCCTTAAGTAGCTAATATTTTCTAGTTACGGTCTTGCTAACGGAGTAACACAGGCATCCATGTATTTTATAGTCAGGCTGAATGGGTAATAAGCTGTATCTAACTACTTACGAAAACTTCCCTAATTTATAATATTTTCTTGTAATACGTAACAATTGACATTGTCGTTTCATCCTTAGCATGTGTTAGGTGGTACCATATGTACTTTAATTCATATTGTTAGTTTGTACTCTTTCTTTACCAACATAACTCTGCTGCATACCTCAAATGATTTAGTACCCATTGACAATGCAGAATTCATTCATCCAATACATGTCATGTGAAGTTGGCTTGGAACTGTGTACCTTAGATTGCATAAAAAAGTGTGCGGATGTCTTTAAGCCATACTAATGGGCTGCTTTTGATAATGCAGTCTTTTTGTTAGTATGTTAGGGTGATGTGGGAACTTTCTGTCTGTTGATGTTGTTGATTTGGTGAACCCGAAGAAGGCATTTTTCACAGTTGTACAGTGTTATTTCTCAGAATACTTCACTTGTTATCTAATTATTCACTTGTTTATATGCTCGTAATTTTCAATAAGGACTTAGAAGGGATTAAATTTTTTTTCGGTTGGCAGAATGCAAGCTATGTTCTTTGATATCAGGAGACTAACAATTTCTCCATTTTTCAGACAAAGTTAGCCACCTCTGGGGATCTTGCCTGGAAAGACAGGGAAGCCGCTGTTCTTGCTCTGGGTGCTGTAGCAGAGGGATGTATTAAGGGTCTCTATCCACATTTACCTGGGGTATTTCCTTGGCATCTCCTACCCGTTGATAATGTTATAACTATGGTCCTTTTCATTTAAATGAATTCCTGGTTCTGTTGATTGATTAATATTTATACTTCTTTCCATGCAGATTATTGCATTTTTGATACCGCTTTTGGATGACAAATTTCCCCTCATTCGGAGTATAACCTGTTGGACACTTTCTCGTTATAGCAAATTCATTGTTCAGGTAATTTCCCCCCCTTCAAGGTATACACCATTATCCTTAGGTCTATTGTAATAGTTTGTTTGACTGTATCTGTGTTTCGCCGTGGGTCACTTCTGGCATTTCCTCATTCATTCCATTTATAGGCATTTGTCTGTGAGAAAGAAAATCCAAGAAAATATTTTTCCCACAGAACATTCACTTTTTTATTTCACGTCCTACATTTTAATAAAATGGATAATTGAAAATTATTATTATTTACATATTTTCCTCTAATTTCAGGAGTACATCGGTCATCAAGGAATTCAGGAACAGTTTGATAAAGTTCTTATGGGGATTCTGCGAAGGATACTGGATACAAATAAGCGGGTACAAGAAGCTGCATGTTCAGCTTTCGCAACCCTGGAAGAGGTACCCATTTCATTGCAAGCAGGCCGGTTTTCTTTAAACATATGTGAATTAACAAACTTGCTTCTTCCTCAGGAAGCTGCAGAGGAGCTTGCACCCCGCCTGGAGATTATTTTGCAGCATCTTCTGTGTGCTTTTGGCAAATACCAGGTATTAGGAAGCTCCCATTGCCCGAGTTCACTGATGTTCATGTCTTACATTGAAATCATTACTGAAACTTTGAAACAGTTCCTATTTCGAATTGCTTGCATTATTTTTACTTTTTTTTTGCTCTGTGGTCGTCTTATAATGTCCAGAGGAGAAACCTGCGAATTGTTTATGATGCAATCGGTACTCTTGCTGATGCCGTGGGCGCCGAACTAAATCAGGTATAATGATATATAAAAGTCATAATCGTGGTAAATCTCTGCATAATGGTTTTTTTATAGCTAATTTTCTGTCTTGTGACATGCAGCCAAGATATCTTGATATATTGATGCCTCCGTTGATCTCAAAATGGCAGCAACTTGCAAATTGTGATAAGGACTTATTTCCGTTGCTCGAATGCTTTATATCTATAGTGCAAGTAAGCTTTTTCTAGGATTATTCGCCAAAATTTGCTTGTATTATTTGTTTCATATTTTTTACCTTTTTTGGTTGACTATGCCCTCTCTTGGCTTTGAAATGGCACAGAAGCAGTGTCTCATGGAATCACAGAAGAACTGTTTTCTTTCCATTTAAGATGTTTTGTATAGAGTAAAGTTTTTCTGTAATAAATTGGGTCTCATGGTCTATTTTTTCCTTTTCGCTTATCTTTTTTCCATAGTATCGAATGAGTAATCTTTCTATAGACATGATGATAATTTTTCCTGCTGTGTTTTATTGCTGCATGTGTTTGTTGACAGTCTACTTCTTTCATCTATTATTAGATATCGTAATTTTTTTTTGCGTGCTTGTCTCAGGCTTTGGGACCTGGATTTTCTCAGTATGCTGAATTTGCATTCAAGAAGTGCGTTGGTTTAATCCAGACACATCAACTAGCTAAGGTGTTTTGTCTTTGAGTTGTCTTTGATCCTTGTCTTTACTCTTGCATGATATCTTTGTCGTAGTCTTGGCTTTATGTCGGCCTATTGTTAATGGATAATGTTTCTTGTCTTGCACTTGTTAGAGTGTTCTTGAAGTTGCCCCAGTCTGATAAAATATTTCTTTCAAGGTCGATCCTGTTGCTGCGGGCGGTCATTATGATAAAGACTTTATTGTCTACTCGTTGGACCTTCTTTCGGGACTCGTGGAAGGTCTTGGTGGTGGAATAGAGAGTCTGGTACTACTTTATTCCATGAATTTTTTACACATTATTTTGTATACCACAGAGTTTTTATCTAGAATTATGATGTATTTGCCCCTCACAAGCATTGACTTGCCCTGGTTAAGGAGAAAGATGCATACGAGTTTGTATTGTCTGAGTTTTTTTCAATTCCTGCCGGCGGAAAATCGTTTTTAATTATGATGTATGATTAATCATCACCCTCAGTGTTATGTGCGTACATATTCATTTTTAACATGGGAGATTTGGGAAAGCCTATTCCAATCCTTGGTTGTTTAGCATTTGTCTCATGAATCTCACATCCAGTCTGTGTGCTATATATACATTGCAACCTGACTGCGATAGGGGTTTGAGTTGGTCGTTGCTTTGGCTTGTCATAAGGTAGACCGATAAGTATAAAGGGATGAGGAAATCATAGCCTTAGGAGGAGAAAGGAGATGGAGCCATACGGGGGTGGCTAAAGTGGGTTTATATTGTACGGAGTGGTTTGTACCATCATGGTGTGAACTGCAAATATATTGTACGGAGGATCTTTCTTAGATCGCATTGGCCATCAACTTCTGCCTCTCTTTCTATAGTTAATGCAAATATTGTACTATCCACGTAAAGAACAAATCCTTTTTGGTGTAGAAAGTTGATCCTTTGTTTATCAGAGGAATGCTTTGACTTTTCGATTTCACTTTCAAAAACCAGACACATTTCTATGTGCTTCTCACAAACTGAATGTTTTCTACTCAGTAAGTGATCATTTTTCTAATCTTTGATGCATGCAGGTTGGTGAGAGCAATTTGAACGACATTCTTCTACATTGCTGTGTAGATGATATTTCTGACATTCGGCAAAGCGCCCATGCTCTTCTTGGAGATCTTGCAAGGGTGTGTTGAAAAGCACGAAGTCTCAGATCCATTTAATGTTGTGCTTTCCTTTGCTAAACATTCATGTCTTTCCATGTGACAATTTTGACATGTTCTCCAGGTGTGTCCTGTACATTTGCGTCCCCGCCTGTCTGAGTTCCTTAATGTTGCAGCAAAACAACTGGTATTGGGTTTTCCTTTTTCCGTATAATTTCACATTGTATTGAAGGTCTTTCCTCTGACGGACTCAATGGTGCAGAATGCTGATGAGCTGAAGGAAAATGTGTCTGTCGCTAATAATGCTTGCTGGGCAATTGGAGAATTGGCAATTAAGGTCAGTTTCCTACTGCTTACGTTCATACATGCTGCTCCTATTTTACCAATGCGTCAACATCTCTACCACTCATAGCTAATATGCTTCCAGAGTGGAGTTGTGGAGACCCACCTGAAGAAGTGCATTATGAGAACTCATACTGGTACCTTTGTTGCTTGATTGAACTCATACTTGAAATTGGTGTTTGTGTTAATGATAATTTCACCTGCTCCATCTGACTCTTTGAAGTCAAGTATACATAGTTTGCAAGTGGCTGGCCTCTAGCGTTGATGTCTTGCTGGTGCACCCGATTTTTCATTGAGATTTTTCTGTGCTTCTTAAGAGTTTCGAATATTTGGCTGAAGGTGGAAATTTTATTGCTTCTAGTTTAGCATTGCAAGATTTACGTTTTGTACCTCGTAATAGTTCTTAAAGCTTTGTCCAAGAATTCCTGGGTATACAGTGGAATATCGTCTATGTTCTACTCAGCTTGGTGAAAGTTAGTGAATAAGATTTTATGTCGGGAATAATGAGTATGGATCCTTTTCTTACGGCAGTTTGGCCCCCATGGTGGTATTTAACCCCCAATCAATTTATTTTGACTCTTACGTCAATCTATATTTGTACAAGACATGAGGAAAAAAATCCAACGCCATCATGATTATGCTTTTTCCAGAGCTACGAATATTAGTGGCGTTATGTGTCACCCATTTTGTGGCGAATTCAATGCATGACCCTTTAATTAATTATGAAGTACGATGAAAATTTTGTAAAATGGCCTGATGACCTACTTCAGCATCTGTAATAGAATCGACCGTGCTGTATGGTGAGCGACCATGCGGTGGATTCCGTCATTCACGTTGTGTGAACAACTATTTCCCATCCAAAGTATAACCTGGATACTTGTTTGCTTCTAGGTTGGCCAGGAAGTTTCTCCTATTGTACTGAATGTTATATTGAACCTGGTCCGAATTCTTCAAAATGCAGAAGTAAGTCATTCAAAATTCTTTCTTTTTTACTTGCCTTCTATCATCGTAGTTTGACTTTTCGGCCATGGACAGGGTCTCAATAAGTCACTGATAGAAAACAGTGCCATTACTCTTGGAAGGCTTGCCTGGGTATGTCCAGAGCTTGTAGCACCACACATGGAACACTTCATGCAGTGCTGGTGCAGTGCTTTATGCACGTAAGTTGTTATCTCATTTCTTCAGGAGTTCCAGGTCAAGATATTTTTCTGTGGACTATCTTAGTCGTGTTCCTACAGCCAGCTTGCCTTGCTATTTCTAGAAACCTACATGTAGTTATTCTTTTGGCAGCAAGGAAAATATTATCTAATTGACGTAGTTTATTTCTCTTATTTCTGTACCCCAGAGCTTGTTTTCAAATAAAATTCTCAAGTAGGGTATATTTCCTAGTTCTTCAGTGTTTACCTGTTTTGTCATTTATTTTTTTTTTAAAACGAAAATCTTGACCAGGATACGGGATGATGTTGAGAAAGAGGATGCATTCCGGGGACTCTGTGCAATGGTAATGGCAATTGTTCTCAAATAATATCAGCTCATCTGATTGGTTGGACCCTCGTGCTTATGCATAAACCCTGCAGGTGAGATCCAATCCGTCCGGCGCCATGAACTCCCTTGCCATCCTGTTCAAAGCCGTCGCTAGCTGGCATGTAAGAAACACACCTCCCTCCCTTCTCTCAGCATATGTTTGGCTAAACCCCAAGACAGTCGTCTTTACATGCTCTTCTTGCATCAGGAAATCAGGAGCGAGGATTTGCACAACGAGGTCTCCCAAGTCCTGAATGGTTATAAGCAGGTACCGCGAATATTATTATTAATTACTTCCCACCCCTTTCCTCTCCTAGAATTACTCTCTCCTAATTACAGCGGATCTTTTCATCTTTCTTGCCAGATGCTGGGGAACGCAACCTGGGAACATTACATGTCCATGCTCGACACCAAAGCCCGAGAGAGACTGGCAAAGTATGGAGTGTAGAGGCCGGGAATGAGCTTCCAGCACGCACGCGCATCGCGTAGTCACTTCTGTGTTTTTGTCTCTCTCTCTGCGCTGGGGATTCGCCGCCGCCACGGTGGCCACGGGCTTTTAGCTGAGATGGGCCATTTGGGCAATCGAAAGGCGAGCTGTGGCGTCAGCGGCATCTCCCCGGAGGTCGTCCCGCGTTATTTATTGAAAGAGAAAGGGGGGGGAGGGGATGAGTCATGTGGGGTACAGTTTTTCATTGCTTGCTTGCTTCCAATGGGAGATCCGTCTGGTTCTTGTATAATATCGGCCTAGTGTTTGTCCCCCTTTTTTTTTTACTATTTTCCCCCGTTGAAGTACAGTTCTTTGCCTTTCCCCATTTTTGGGGATCCTCCTCTGGGCTTTGGCTCGTCGTCCTGGGGATGCCCATCTTGACCTCCCTCCTCCTGGGGAATTCGCCGTTTGAGGGCGATTTTGTATTATCCAGTCCATTGCGCAATGGGCTCACTGTTTTTAGTCTCCAAGATGAGATTTTTCCCGTTGGTGGGTTTTGGCGCGAGCCTCTTTTTGTGAAGAAAAGGAATTCCTGGGTTTGTGAGTTGACCTCGGCGACTCCGTGAAGGAACGTTTGGTCCCGCATTTTTCGGATTCGCGTATGTCCAGTTGGAGAGGGAAGTTGCGTATCGGTGAGAGGGAAAGTTGAAGAGGGCTGGTTGCGTATCTGGGTTTCCGGCTTCGGGAGGAGGGCGACGAGAGTAGGAGGGTGAGGGGGAGGATCTAGGTTTGGGTGGGGCAGTTAGTCCCGACTTCGGCGGGGGGCAATGGGTGACGGCTTACTGCCGGTCGCGGGGCGAGCGAGCCTCCAGTGGCTGGCGGGCTTCCGGCAGGCCTGCTGCCTCCACAGAGTCGCCCTCTTCTGTCTGAGGTCTCGTCTCCGCCTTCCTTTCCCGTCTGTCGCTGCTGTTTTGACTAATTCGTCTTCTTCGACCATGCTTCGCTTGCCATGGGCTTGCTCTTTTCCCTCATGACTCCGAGGATTCTTGGTGCGTTGTGTGGTAAGTCGTGACGGCCTCTGCCTTTCTTCAGCTCGCGGAAGTTGCTGATCAGACTGGGGCAGTGCTTCCTCTTGAACGGGCTCATCTTCTTAGGCAGGTACGCTACAGTTGTTTTATTCTTGTGCACGTAAGTTGTATGCAATTTGTTTCGGGTGTCGTGCTTTCTTTGTGCTATGTCTAAATTATTTTCCAGAGACAGCATCCATCGTTAAGATAACTACAGTATACATTCTTTTTCATTTCTTTTTTCTCTGGCATTAACAAGTTCTGAATGTATAATAACGAGTTCTTAATTTTTTCTCTGGCATGAACAAGTTGTTATATTTGTAAAGAAGCTCTTTTTTATAATACATAGACGATCAGCTTTAAATGGGCAACTTACAAACTAAGAGAACCTAGTTCATAGTTTCAGAAAACCTTAGCTTTCAGAAATGGGTAGTATTTCGAATCCATAAAGCATGAACGAGAGATACAGATGCATGCAACTGTTAGTATAGTGAGCTCTTAGAAAAGTTTTCTATTCGAAAGGAATAGAGAACCCACGATTGTGTGAAATTTTCTATGACCCCAAAGCTCTCGAATTAGATGTTCCACCTTTGCAAAAGTCGCCAGCCCATTGTCTTATCCATGTGAAATAGAGACCATTAACCGAGCAATTTTCAGTAAACAAATGTGTGATTCTTCTTCCCCATCCAAAACTTGTGTTTCGCTACCATATGGAAATCGATTTCATCGATTGTTGCTTTTATTATTTGTGCTTTTTTAATATCTTCAAGAATGTTCAGGTATCTTCACATAGGGTGCATCTTGGGATCTGTGCAGCCGTCATAATCTTATTTCTCAAATCAAGCAATCGTATTGATAGTTCATGCTCAAAATCTCCTCTTTCATATCCTTGTATCATCATGCTGAAATACTCTTTTGTTTACTTTTGCAGCTTATTTTTCTTAAACAAAGTTGTTATTCCGATGTTATCATGGATATTGCCTGACCAATGCAAGGAGCTGGCGTTTCAAGAAATTTGTGACAGTGGCGCTGTTATAAGATTCTACTCCGTCCTCCGTTCAATTCTTATAAATCTTTTCTATGTAATTTTTCTTGTATTCGTAATCTGTTATACAGTATTCAAATTCAAATAAAAATGAAAATGAAACGTACCTCTATTTACATGCGTTCCATAAAGAGGCAAACTTTGGCATCTTTGCCATTAGTTTCTTTCTGCGACCTGTGAATGCAGTTTAGGCTTTTATTTATTGGGTTTAGTGAGAAGAAAGAGAAGTCTATATAGATAGATAGACATACAGACAGCTCTCTCTCTCTCTCTCTATAGATATATGTAAATATATGTATATATTATTTTAGAACAAATGCACAAGTGATAAGTGAAAACACTGGAGTTTGAGGTAGAACATGCATATATTTTAGGCAATTTTGATTATTTTTACAGCCATTATTGCAGCTATTTTCATTCCATATTTTCGTTGTTGACATCTTTTAAATGGGGACCGTTAAATTTAAAAAGAGCCCAAGCATTGTATGCACTTCTTTCTATGATTCCGGCAGTCACTATGGTATCCTCTAATCTTTTTTCTATTATACCTTTTTTTCCAGGTTTTCTGGTTTTGTCCACTCTATGTTCTTAGTTTCATCTTGAGCAGCATCTGGTAAGTTTCATTTACTCTATCCAGTTGCTCAAATCACATTTTTTATAGCATTCGGCTTGGTTCTGTTGTTCTGACATTTTCTGTTGTCTCTAAACTAGGTTAGAAAGGGGAGAAAAATACATTTTATAAAACATGTGGCCTTCTTATCTTATTTTGACCTAGTTTTAGTAAAGTTCAACTTATTGTAGTTTTTTTTGCATTTCTAATTTGGTAAAAATAATGGTGACACTTAACAATCCGGGTCCAATTCTAAATGGCCAACTAAATTACTTAGAACCCGTAAAAGTGGATTGATAGATTTTTAGAGTCCGTACCTAGATTTTCGTTTGCACAGTTGCGAGTCCTGTTCCTGCAGGAGATGTTGGCATAAAGCGTCGATAAAACTGACATTAACTATTTTAATTTTAGTTGAAGTCACTAAATTCTACTATCTAGGGACAGCTGGTTCGGACTGAATCTGTGTTTATTTTCTTTGAATGAAGTTCCCTGGTAAATGAAATGTAGCATCAAGTTTATTCTGCTGATGTTGCGGTTAGTTACACAGAAATGTCAAGTCTAGAGCCATTAATATTCAGAATGTGTATTCGATGTTATCATATTTTCACATGAATAAAGTCAATATTTTTTGGTGTTTGGTGATATATATATATATATTTTGATTTGAATCCAGGTACAATGACATTGCTAAGTTGACCTTTGAAATATTTAGACAACAGTCTGGAGATTCAGATAATGAAGGGGCAGTTGTTGGTCCACACAGTGTGAACCATGCTGATAAGCCAACTGGTATTGAGGGGTGAGCTCTTTTTTAACTTTTAGATTGATCTGTGTTTGCAATGGGCTCTTTATTATTGGTAAAGGAGCCAGGTTGGTGATCTTTTCTCACAGCTAGTGTTTTCCCATTTCAATAGGGTTATAATTGGAATTAGCGAGCAAGTCTATTCAGCACTTTTGTTGACAATTTTCTACATTGAGGTTTGCAGCTACATTGTTGTTAATAGATTTGTCTTCTGTGCTGATTGTCTTATTCACTCTGTCATGTTTGCGTGGGGATGATTATTTGATAGTCGCCTGTGTATTCTCAAATGACTCCACTGGGAGAACAGGCTATGCTTCAAATATGGTTCCAAGAATTTGATAAGCCGCTGCCCCCGTGCCAAAGAAAAAATAAAAATGGATTATAGGACGGGAGAAGTTAAAAAAAATCTAAAATAAATTGAAAACACAAGGTACTCAATTTTTCTGTTTCGTTTCAGGTCGTTGTAACCGGATACATACCCGTTATTGGCAAGGCTATCAATTTTGTCCTGCTTTCATGGGCCTATGCGTACTACAGTTTTGAGTATGTGATGGATTTTCCTACATTGAAATAAATATCTTCAATCTGAGAGAGGAATCGTACTGAATCATACTTTTCCATTGTTTCAGATACAAATGGAACTTTTCAGGGCTGAGCTTAGATAAAAGGCTCAAGTTGTTTGAATTAAATTGGGCCTTCTTTGCTGGATTTGGTAACTTGCTGAATTGACTATTTTTGATACTGATTGTTTCAGATAATTGTTAGAGTGCCAAGTTCATCCTTTTTGCAATGAAAATGTAGCTTTTATATTGTCTGAAATGGTGACATTATCCTGGGGGAAACTTGGGTAAAAAGAATATAAAATAAAACATTTCTTTTTTCCCTACTTACTGTGAAGATTTCCTTAGCTTTGTATGCAGAAGATCAAATCCGAGAGTGCTGTCCATAGTTACAAAAGAAACCTAACCCACTCTACCCCTGTATCACAATTAGGTCGACTATATTTTCATTAGAGCAGCTGCCTGGTGAACCTGGTGTCCAGATAAGTTCAGTCTGCCATCAGAGTTGAGTTTACTTTTGATCAGCAAATTGGCAGATCCAACAGGAAGGAGAAACTCCATATTATGCTATCCAGTCAGCTATTTGTGCCACCCTGACTGGGCTAGATGGAATGAGATTGGCTGTTGATGATTGATCACTCTTGCATTGGCTAAATTCGCGAGTCCGATTCAGGGCTGTATTTTATATTTCTGTGATGTTGAAGAGTGTCATAATGGCAGTGCCTTTAGCGCCATTATATTTCTTATATTGTATAAATAGCCAGTCCTATCACATGCTAAATGGTAACATTCTGTCAGAATTAGCTGTTGGTGCCCGGCATATTTCTTGGATGAGACAGAAAAAAGAAATAAACTAATCCTCGAAATGTGGCTCGGCGCAACATATGATTGCATTTTTAAAGACTTTCCTCTTAATTGATGGGATCCAGTCTCTCCCAGTTAACCGATGACAATTCATGAGGTTTTTTTGTCGTTGTTTCCAAATTTGCTTTTACTTCTGTTAATCATGAGTTTTGTGGATCAAATTTCCTTGTTTTTTATTCCATCAATTATTTTTGGTCAGGCAACAGAACTGTCGCTCATTTTTTGTGAATTCCCATTAATCCAATGTTTTGCGATGTTATTCTTCAGGAAGTCCATGTATCCTTGGAATTTTCTTTTTTCCTCCCCTCACCAGCTATGGAGTGTTGGCTATTCTATTTCCCCTGGTACATATCAAACCTTTTACAAAGTCTATATCTTTATACATGTGTAAATTACCATACTGTTGTCAAATATAGAATACTTATTGGTTAACCGATTATAGTGATGCCTCGCATTTAACAATAGACTCAACTTTCTTTCTCGATTTGACTTCAGTGCGTGTTTTTTTCTAGTTTATATTAGTAGCAATAGGCACTCCTGAGGAACAAGTCATTACTTCACAGAGAAGATCCTGGAAGGGAGAAGGGCCAACGAAGTTACCAATATTCTACGCTGCAAACATTCTATCGTAAGTTGCTTTTTACAGTTGTGATCGCCTTTACTGTAAATGCTGGGTCACTGTTTCATTTATTAAAATAAATATCGTTGCAACGAATTATTAGCATTCTCTCCCTGAAAGCAACCTCATGGAGAGTAGTATTTTATAGACCAAGCAGCTGGGTCTGGGCTTCAATATTTTCTGGTCTGGAAGTCTGTTTTTTTTTGGTCAAATTGTAGTCCAACTCTCTCTCTCTCTCTCGCTATCTGTGTATCTTTTTATATATATAATCCTCTCCCCTCCAAAAGATAGATGCATGCAAAGAGACTGGCTAGGCCCATCTAGGGAAACAAAGATGCCTTCCCATGGGTCAGGCCCACAGTCCATGCTTCAAACAAAGAATATGCAATATTCTTTAAAGAAGGTTTTTTGCTGTTCTCAAAACTGATGCGTCCCTATAAATTGGTGTTCTAGGCTTTTCCTGAGTAGAGATCTTTTCCTACATATTTTCTGCCATCAAATAATTTTTTTAAGAATACCAATAGCTTCACCCAACTCTCTTAACTAAAGTTTCATTATGTATGAATTGTGCCCCACATTTATGCTTTTCTGTTCACTTGGTCAGGATGAAAGTGTTACAGTTGTTTCCTGAGACGGATAAAAAGGGGCAATGACCAAAATCCTGGGCTGCTTGTTGTATGTAAGAACATCGCTCAGGATGATTGAGTACTGACCATAATTGCCCGATGGGTGCAGAGCGTGCATAGTTGACGCAGTGGATCCACCCAATTGGTGGGTTGCAAAGAATTGTGGTGGGGAAATGTGTATATTATTTCTTTAGTTGAAATACTATCAACAAGCATATGTTTATGAGTTGTATCATTGAATCTTATCATTAATTTATCTGTTTGTATTTGGTGTATAGCTATTCTCTGTGGTTGCTTTTCTCCATGTTTAGAGAGAATGGAGTCCTCAGACCTTTACCTAATTAATTGACTCCCGACTACCGATGTTCTCTGTTAGAAGTCTCACTTTTTGCACAAAAATAAAGCTTCGTAATTCCAATTTTTTGACTGCTTAGCATCGGCAATAATTCTGAAAAAGCATATAGAAGGGTGAAATTTAGATATTTGCACCATGTCTAATGAACTATGGCATATATGCTTGGAACAGATTCCATCTTGAGAGATTTGAAAGAGCACTATCTTGTTGAAAGGTTCTACACATGTGCTGTTTCTCAACGCTTTTCTTCAGACATCCAACAATATTTTAATTCGAAGCGATCTTAATGCTTGTTCAACAATAAGCGTGGAAGTGATCTTAGCAAAACCTAATTTACTTCTGGGCCGGGCTCAAGTCTGCAGACATTGGAGGGAACAAATTTTACAGTACATAATTTCAGTTTCACAAGATTTGAACAGAAAAATCATCCTACAAAGACCAGTCATGGCTCATCAAAATGAACAAGCTCAGACCCACCAGATTCAGCACGAAACTTTGCATTAGGAGGGAGGGGGGGGAGGGGGGATGAATTCCAAGAAGACATTCCATTGGATGAACATCTTGCGAGATCCCTACTGAGGAATGGGTTCGGCAGGGGCATCTTGATAGCCAGTGATGCCTGTGATCCTGATTCTCGTATTGGGCTGCAAGAATCAGGCCGTCCAACCATGTTTTAGACTAGGAGAACAATGGTGTAGCCCCTCAAATTCATGAGACAACCAACAAGAAACCAACCGATTATGATTTTAGAAACATACCTGTCGGTGGCCAACTGTCCTTCTGTAATGCTTCTTCTTCTTGTACTTGAATACAATGACTTTAGGATCCAGACCCTGGGAGGACACCATCAAAACCAAGCGATGCTCAGAATAGGCTAGAACAGTGATAAAGGTTCCAGGGCTCATCCCCTACCTGTTCCTCAACCACAGCGTGAACAACCGCATTGGTAACAACCGGCTCTCCTATGTATAGATTGCTTTTGGTTCCCACCAGCAATACCTTGTTTAAGATAATCTACCAAGAGGTAATAATAATGATAATAAATTTGAGTTGTGCCGACAATCTTGACAATAAATTGACGCATAGTTGAAGTAAACAAGGCATGACATCTCTAGAAACGTACTGGTTGTAATGAGCTCTCTGATAAAGCAGATGCTAAATCATTAAAGCATATTTCCATGCAGGTGGGTAAAGAAAGCCAAACCGAAAATTTTCACTAAGAAACTGACATGACTGCAAAGTTTAATGAACTGTTCAAAAAATAATCTCTTCACTAAGAAATGACTGTTAAATGAACTGATCGTTTATTAATGTTTTCAACTGAAGAAATCCTCAGCAGGGAAATAACAGAAACTATGAGGCGTGAGAGGGTTCATGATCTACCAGTTAGCTAAAGTAAGTTTTCTTCAGTTCTCCCCCAAAATTCACTGGGTAATAAAGCTAGCCGTGCTTCAATTCGAGCTGTAGACAACCTAAAGCACTGCGTTACGACAAGTAAAATAAGATGGCATGAATTTGATTCCTGGCAATGTTGATGGCCTTTCTAAAACGGTGATAGAAGAGATAGGCGTATACATTTTGATAGGTTAATGGGACTATTTTCAGCGCATGGCAGCAGCACACATCATCCTGCAATTAGTGACGAGGATGGCCAGATTTAACGTTCCTGATCGAACACCAAGTAGATGCGGCACTCAGATTTTCTTGGGAAAATAACGATGACTGATGAACTTGGAAGAAAAGACTGCCCCTTATGCTGCCACAGGATAACGCATTGACTAAACCCAAAGGCAGTCTAGTTCACAGCAAGGGGTTCCACATACCAGCTACGTTAACTGAATAATAATCATCAGCTGTATAGAAGCATGACGATAAAGCATTCAAATAAAGAGAGGGAAGAAACTCTAAGCCCTAAAACCAGAAATGTAGACCGCAATGCTATGAGATGCAAACCTTGTCGTCCACATTGGCCCCTTTCAGCCTCTGAGTGGTGATGTATCTTCCGGGAAAGACAATGTACTGCCGAGACCCAATCTGGAGAGAAGATGTGGGGAAAATTACCATGCGACAGAAATGCAGAGAAAAATCACCACGAGAGAGAGAGAGAGAGAGAGAGAGAGAGAGAGAGAGAGGGAGCATTTTGGAATTGAAACATAGGAATTAATTTCTTCAAAGCTCCCGCTCCCACAACGATATCTTGATGCTGACCATAATGACGGCAAAGACTTCTTCTCCCTTGGGCTTTTCACTGGCGACGACAGACGCAATCTGTGCTTCGACGGGTTCTGGGGCCGACTCCCCCACGGCCTGGAGCGACTCAGCTGCAGCAGCCCGGGGGGGCGGTCTTCGAGAGGGCGCCACGATGGCAGGAAAACACTGGCGAGCAGAGAAGTGGCTGCCGGCGGCAGTTGCCACGGAGACCTGGTGGACCCTATGAAGAACCTGGTGGCTCGGCATCCGGGTGGAGGAAGCCACGCAGGCGGAGGGCGACAAGATCCCGCCAAGCGCAGTCGCCATCTTCTGCTCTTCTCCTCTCGCAGGGCGTGCTGTGCGGATGGATAAGAGGAGCAGCCGTTGCTCTCCCTTCCCGTCAGCTTCTTCCTCCTCCCCTCCCTCGAAAGCTCCTCACCTTTAAAACCCACCCCTTTCTTCGGTGGCCTTCTCAGGCACAAGGCCTATCCAGACGCTCCGGCACCTCTTGGTAAAAGGACCGATTTGCCATATAGGTTCGTCGGCCCCTTCCGGTTCAGTTCCCTTATGGCTCGAATCGGTTTTACATTTAAGAATATGAAATAAATAAATAATCCCTGCTAACGGGGCATTTTTCCTACCCAATGGGCCGTGGTCGAGGGCCCAATAAGGGCTTCTGCCTTTAAAAAAAGAGAGGAAAATGCCAGATTTTAGGAGGAACATTCCAGATTTATCCAGCATAACAGGATCTACCCCCTTCCAATTATTGATTAACGCGGGGGTAGCCCACCACCCGTCGCCTTGGGCGGTGACCAGACCATCCCGGGGTTGTCGTTTGGACCTGGCGGAGGAGGGGATCGTGTCGACGGGGGAGGTGACCACAACCCCGCCGGCCCGGCGAGCTTCCTTTATTGGCTGCGTCAGCGGTCGGTTGTTGTGAGTTAATTCTTACACTCTCTGCGCTCGCAGTAGCAGCACCAGATCTCTCGCTCTCTCCCTCGTTCTCTCGCTGTGAATTGGATTCAGAGCAGGAGGAAGGAAGGAGAGAAGAGGGAAAAGAGGGAATTCTTCAGTCAGTCTGAAGCTCCAGAAAGACCCCACGACCGCGGCTGGTGCTCCCCCACGACTGCTTAAATTGGAGTCGCTGGTTTCCTCCCCCATTTTCCGCTGACTCTGGTTCTCCGAGTGTGTGTGTGGGGAGAGGGGGGGAGGGGGGGAGTCGGTTGAGTCCAATTCGGCACCGCGTCCGGCAGTAATTCCATTCGGCGGCGGCTGAACGCATTTTCACTGCGAGCGGTGAGCAGCTGCGGCGGCGGCCGGGGTACGTGGAGGTGTGATGATGAGGAAGGAGGATGTCAGATCCGGCGCACCGCCCGCTGAGTCCCAGTAGCTGGAGGGGTGGTTCCCGTTCCCCATCGGACGGGAGACATGAACGGGTATAGTCGGCTAGGCAACGGGAAGCCCAACGGGGGCTCTCCGACGTCCCCAATTGTCAAGGGCGGGAGAGGAGGTAAGGGTCGCTGGTTCGGGTCGATGGTCAAGCCTGAGAAGCTGGCGGAGAGGCTCGTGTATATCGTAATGTCGGCGTTCTTCCGAAGGAAGGGTATCCTGCTGTTCGCCCCGGTGATGTACATCGCTGGGATGTTGATGTATATGGGAACCTTGAATCTCGAAGCAGTGCAGGAGGGTGTCGGGGGTGCGATCCTGAGGAGGGCGCCGGTGGGTTCCGTCTACCGCAGTCCTAAAGTCTTCGAGAATCTCTGGCCGTCAATGCAGTTGGACGGCGGCAACAGTTCTCTCGCGGTAATGTTTCGTAGGGAGTAAGGCTCAATTCTTTGCAATTCCTCCCACTGACGTCCTGCCTCAGGATAGTTTCATTTTTCTTCTTTTTAAGGTTTTTTATCTCTGTATTTCTTTTCTTTCTTGTATTCTTATTTGACATTAATCTCGATCAAATCATCTGCATATTGGTTTATTGCAAGAGATACATGAAAAACCGTACCAGCACTGCCGATTTCTTTTTCAAATCTTGGAAAAACGAAGTCGGGCTTGCCAAATGACCACCGGATTAGAATTCTTTATGTCCAATAGAGCGTTTTGTTTCTCACATGTCCAGTAATTTGTTCGTTATGTTGAATCTTAGAATCTTGGAAACAGATATCATCCAATCAGAGTTATGTGACACTTTTTGCACTAGTTTATAGTGTTTTCCCAGAGAAATCAGAAAATATGCTGACAGAAGAAATCAACTTCCAGTATATGGAGGAGTTAGGGATGGGGTGTGAGGGATGGGGACAATATAAACGTAGTGATGCAGCTGCAGGTGAAGTTACCCTTGATTGATGGAATTTGATTCGTTTCAACAGTTTACTATACTGTATCTCGTGTTATAATCGTTTAGATTCCATTTCAATTTGGATTCCATGTACAGACAGTTATGGATTGCATTCAATTTTCCTTTCTAAATTTTTATCAGGGAATTTCTTTTATGTTAAAACTATCGTTGTTCTGAAATGAAAATATTAGAAAGATAGAAGATAAATAAGCGTTCAATTTTTCTCTCAAAAAACTTACGAAAGGGTGTGTGGGGAAAAAAATAAATCTGGGTGGTATTTTAAGTTTAATTTTCTCTTATTTCTATATTTTTTTTATCTGTGTTTAATTTCATTGAGAGTAACTCTTGTGGTTGATATGATATTGAGACTGTCTAATATTATAGTACTCAAAAGTATGTCCATTAAATGGTCTTGCTTCTCTGTCCGCGAATATGTGAGAAGCCACATCACTTGTATTATCTGCTTAATGATTCTTGAACAGATTTAAGGCAAACTCATGTTCTGCAAATAATAGACTGAAAAGCAGTTGTGTTCTTTCCCACATGTGCAGGCTCCATGCAAACCTGACGTTCAGTCTTCCATTATATAAAAGACTTTTAAATGCTCTAATAAAACACTATCTATTGGTTGAAACTTCTCTCGTTACTTGCATCTTATGGGCAACGTACCTGCAAAATGCCTGACATCAACGGTAAAATATATGGAACTATCGGATGCAACTCTACAGTAGACTTAAAATGGTTATGATTGTGGTTGGACTAGACATTGAATCATCAGTTGAATTGGTAAATTACAGTCTTGTCACCACTGGTGGCAATGTAAAATGTAGAAGTGAACAATGCAGTTTGAAGTGCTTTTGACGTTTGTATTAGTTGAAATGAAATGAATAATAATGCAACTGAATACTTTCTATCAACCATCTGAATTTTCTTATGAATCTTAATTCTATACTTTCTATGCCTAATGCAAAAGTTGCCATTGTGACAGCTGTATAATATATATATTCGGATCTTCTCATCTTTTACGATTAGTTGTTAATATTTTGGTCATTCTATTACTTGTGTATTTATCATGTTTCTTGTCATTTTTTCATTATCAATATTGATTCTTCACGATAGCATGATTCTCATTGGTGTGTATTTTGGTAATTTATGTAGATGATGACTGCATGGCATCCAAAAGAAGGTCAAAAATGGAAGCCTTGTGTCACCCAGACAATATCTCAAGCAGGTTAAATCTTACCATTGTGTAGGGTATGAAAATAGTGTCTGCTTTTGTTTTAAATGATCAAAACGTGAAGATTCTTCATTTCATCTTGTATGCTTCAGCAACTAGTGGATACAGACAAGTGCATCATTCCATTTTGTGCTGTTTAACCTCGGCTGGAAAGTTGTACTTTTGTGTGTTCCGTTTTCAAATTTTCCCTCTCCATGCTAGTTATACTTCGCCTTAATTTTTCTCTCTCCCCTTCTCCATCCTTTTAGTAAATTTTTTCCTTGTACCTCATGTCTATTCCCTATATTCATTTCGTGCAAAAGATCTTGATGTTTTGTTGTTTATCATTTTGTGATAATTTATTAAATTGAATTTCCGAGAAAATTTTGTCTTCTCTTTCTTATTATCATATTATATATATATATATAATACCCTACACGAAATGGTAAAATTTGTTTTAAAATCTTGATGTGCATGCGTGCGTGTGTATATCTGTGTCTTTTCATGCCTCTGTGCTGAATTTCAAGAGCCATTAGAGCTTTTATTGTTGGATTACGTCATTCTAGTAGCTGCTGACATATTTCATTTATTTCTGATGTCATAAACATGTGGCTATTCAAAAATATTTTGAAGATCTTCCGGGGCCCTCATTTGTGAAGTTTTCTTTTCTTCAGAATTGCCAATCTCAAATGGATATCTTATAGTAGAAGCAAATGGGGGATTAAATCAGCAACGCATATCAGTAAGTATTGACATTACCGGAGCGGGTTGCGAACTGACTTAGAGCACTTAGGTCTCAAAGTTAGTCTGTCCTGTTCTGTGTAATTTAATTGGGCATGTTCTTTTGCTTCTCTTGCAACTATATATGGGCTGTCTTATTGATATTTTACCTCCTATACCTACATATTTTGTGATCATCTGTACTTGTACCCAAATTCTGTTTCCTTGACAACTGTCGTTTGCATGTAGTTTGTTCCGATGCTATGCTGAATTGATGGTATGAAAAAAATTGTTTTTCGCTACCACGTTGTACAGTCTGAAAAAGCTTGTTCCAGATGAAGTGCGGAATCAAGTTTTATGAGGAAAAGTTCTCTATGAATGATCCTCATTTGTCTGTTGCTGTATTTTGGACAAATTTCTGTGACATTGTCTTGAGAGTCTATTGAATTTAACGTTGGGAGTGGGGTAAAAAATGATTATTTTCTTGTGCAAATACAACCTGATTAACTCTAATAGAGGGTGTCAGAGGCCCTGAGAAAGTTCACTGAGTTGTAAGACGCAAGGTCCTGCATACTGTAAGTAAATGATGAGGGACAATCCGGAACAAATCAGATTATGATAGGACTTATGTTTTGTTTTTGTTCACATTTATAATCTCTTTATCATTGTGGGATGTGGCGACAACAATTCTAATTTTTTTAAGTACTGAGATGTAGAATTTTTTTTATGCAGATTTGTGATGCAGTCGCCGTAGCAGGGCTGTTGAATGCAACTCTGGTCATTCCAATGTTTCACTTAAACAGTGTTTGGCGTGACTCCAGGTTTGCTACTGTTGCGTTACTTTCCTTTGAAATTCTAGTATTGGTGCAGTGTGTTTCTGTACTCATGATGTGCTGGCCGGGGGGGGGGGGAGGAGGGGGATTGACTGTTGGGCGGATGACATCCAGACCATCTTGTGGAAGTTGTCTTTTCATTTCCGTGGTGATGAAAATATTTTTTTGAGAATCCCTGTATTTAGATGATTCAGTGAGTACTCAAATTTTTAATATTGCTGTTATTCTATACGCTCTTGCAGCAAATTTGGAGAGATCTTTGATGAAGACTATTTCATCGATTCACTAAAGAACCAAGTTCGTGTAGTGAGGGAACTTCCTGAAGATATATTTCAGCGATTTGACAAGAATCTAAGCAGGATTTCGAATTTGCGAGTCAAAGCCTGGTCATCAAAAACCCACTATATGCAGAAGGTTCTTCCAAAGTTGTTGGAGTTTGGGTATCCACTCTTGCCTTGCCTTAGACTGGCTTCATATTTATGCGCCAATTGGCTGGGAGCTTATCAGCCTTAATTGTTTGACAAAATCAGAATTTATGAATGAATTTTTATTTATTTTCGCTTCCTTGTGTAAATTATTGAAATTTATTAACTTTATGAAGTGCTTTTTCATACAAATGTAGAATAAAAGTAACATAATCTAAACATAAACCCAGAAAAAAAATATATATGATTTGCTTTCATTTGACCGAACTTTAGATATAATTCAATTATGAGTTAATAGTGTATGTGACTCTAATATTTTGAGCCTTCCAAAGAAGAAAAAATGATGCCTTTCACAATTTTCTAGTGAAGTTATGGTCATTCAAGTACTTGAGTAGACGTAAATTTTCCAGATTGTCTTGATATCCTACTGACACTTTTCTTTCTTAACTCTGCAAATAATGAAGGGCTGTACGTATCGCACCTTTCTCCAGTAGATTGGCCCACACTGTCCCTGCTAATGTCCAGAAGCTGAGATGTTTCGCTAATTATGATGCATTACGGTTTTCTGAGCCCATAAGGATGCTGGCGGAAAATATGATTGATCGGATGGTTAGGAATAGTTCTTTTAGTGGGGGAAAATATATTTCAGTGCATCTACGTTTTGAAAAGGTAATTCTCCATGCTTCGTTTAACAGATGGACTAATTGTCTTTATTGTATTATACATCTTCTTTAATCATCAGCCATTCCTGAATCCCAGGATATGGTTGCTTTTTCATGCTGCACTTATGATGGAGGGAAAGAAGAGAAGCGTGAAATGGATGATGCTCGTGAATGGAGTTGGAGAGGAAAGTTCAGGAGACCTCATCGAATGGTGAAGCCTGGTACAGTGCGCAAAGATGGGAAATGCCCTTTAACTCCACTGGAGGTATCTTATTTTATCAAGTTCGTTTTAATGCATGGCATAAAATGAGGAATTACAGAGAGCTGATTTAGCTTAATATTTTTTATTTTTCCGGAATTCAATTATCTTTCAGACCTTCGAGTCTATCCCTATATGCATGCATTCATTCATTTATGGTCAGCACTGTGAATCACAATAACATCTTCCGAGCCTTCAAACGTCCCTGGTCTGATGAAATTTTGCAGGTGGGTATGATCCTTAGAGGCATGGGTTTTGATAACACCACGTCGGTTTATGTGGCGTCTGGTAAGATCTACAAGGAGGAGAAGTACATGGCGCCGCTGCGGCAACTATTCCCTCGACTCGAAACAAAGTACACGCTAGCATCCATGCAAGAACTTGCACCATTTGAGGTATCGCCTGCTTTCAGAGACCATGCCGCAATCCTCACGTCGACGCAGTTTTCGTCTAAGACATGGGTTGACCGATGAATCTCTGATGTAGGGCCACTCTTCCAGGATGGCTGCGCTTGACTACGCTCTGTGCCTTCACAGTGAAGTATTCCTCACAACCCAAGGCGGAAACTTTCCTCATTTTATGATGGGCCACCGACGATACCTCTATGGTCATGCGAAGACAATCAAACCAGATAAGAGGAAACTGGTGGTCACCCTTGACAACCCAAAGATCAGGTATTCTCCTCGTTAGACCTACTGAGCATGCTTATTTCCTTTATATATGAAAATATCTGCCGCATCCGCTGCAGTGGAACGACCTTGAAAAGAAAAAAAAACAAAAAAAACAAAATTTAGGCATCGATTTGCAAAATAGTGACGTAAATTCTCATACGATGGCTGCAGATGGGAGAAGTTCAAGCACGAAATGCAGGAAATGCTTCACCGCAGCGACGCTAAAGGCATCGAGCTCAGGAGTCCCGACGCCTCAGTATATACCTTCCCCATGCCGGACTGCATGTGTCGGCATGCCGAGAATTAAACCCAGCCCGGGCTGTAGGCCATACAGATGGGCTCCCTATTCATAGTAGATTGATTATACAGGTTCGAGTCGTGCAGGTTGGTGTCGCGGGATCTCCCTCTCTCTACTTTCTCTCACAGCGGAGGCTCAGATCAGGGAGCGAGGAGAGCCTTCCAAGGTTTTGTGTCCTCCCTCTTGCCCAGGTGCCGCCGCTCGTCCGTTATTCCATGTAAATTTGCCATCTGTTCCCCCACCCCACCCCCACCGGCGGTGGCTGTTCTTTTGTTCAATCCCATTCTTTGCATTAGTTGATCCCTCGGGGCATCCGCTTAACATTTGCTCATCATGTCATGCCGAATATGTCGCAGATTACTTGGTCTGCATGAATTCATTTGTGGTCGATTACGCGATTATTTGGTGTTACAAGATGAAGAGCTTGGGCCTCAGCTCTCTCTCTCTCTCTCTCTTCTGGCCTCTACATAGGACTTCCTCATTTGGTAGGACAGGAAATGATTGGAGGAGCAGAAGGTCCGGGGAGGAAGGAGGGGTATAGGGAATTCCGTCAGCGCGCATCCCCGCGCCCGTCGACGGAGGCGACGTCCGCCGCCCCGTAGCAATCCCACACAGCGGCGCTGACGAGGCCCAGCTGGTCCTCGAGGTACTGGTGCAACAGCGGCGCCCCGACCGCGTCTTCATCGCACCTGCTCAGGAAGCTCCCCTCGCCGTCCTGAACGAGGCCGAAGCGGAGGAAGAGGGCCAGCGCACAGATGAAGGGGGAGGAGAGACAGGCCAGGGCGAGCAGCACCGGCGATAAGCAGACCAGCGCCAGCAAGAACAGGAGGCGCCGGCGGCAGAGGCAGCGGCTGCGGTTCCCCCAGCGGTGAACGCCTGACCATCTCGACGGCCCCATTGCGGCAGTCCTGTGGTCATCCTCCCTGCGACGACATCACCTGGACTGGCTTCTCTGCCCCTCTTTCTGCGGCCGTGAGGCCATGTCCGGACGCGGCAGGCTGACCTTTCCTCTCGAGCGACTGACTTCCTCTGCTCGGGAGTGCTCCACCTCTACTTTCATACTCCATTATTGCGTCGTGTAGGGCCATTATTGCCTATTTTATTATCGCGTCGACTCATCTCGCTTATCCCGAACGGGTGGGTCACCCCCCCTGAGAGCAGGCAAACGGCTGCACTCGACCAAGTCGGGAATATCTGCCGTCTTGTTCCACCGTGAGCTCCATCTTAACCCGTTACAGCGAAGAGAAGACGGAGCAACAAAACCTCTCCACGGCCGCCACATTCCCACTGCGAATGAGAGAGAGAGAGAGAGAGAGAGAGAGAGAGAGAGAGAGAGAGAGAGAGAGGGAAACCATTCACGTTGAATCGAACGTTGAAGAACCGGTGAAGTCTTTCCCGGTAGCGAACGACAGTGAGGTTACATGATCCGTTGCTTTTTTATTTGACCATCGAGGTGGGTCTTGCGGACGGAGCTATTGGGGACAATAAATTGCATTAAAGTCAATAGCTTTCGCTGAATAATCTCCACCAGCTCACGTGGATTTGGATGACCCGGGTAAGGAATAACTGGCCACAGGGCTCCTTTCAACTGCCGTGGACTCGTTTGCCGACAACCCAGACCATAATGGTCAACACCATGTGAGCAGACGATAAGGGCTGGGCAGTTCGAGATTCACGTGAAGTTGGTGTGAAGATCTAGAATCCATCCATTTCCGTGAGGCTCAGTGTGTGGAAGAACTAAGCCGGTGCTGCTTGCCCAGGCATGTCTCTCCTCCCCCTTCATCTGCGCCCGATCAGGAATCCTCACATGCTACAACATAGAAGGCAGCCCAGTCTACAACGGGGTTGGGGGTTATCAGGCTTGGGAGAGAGAAAAGGGAGGGGGCTCATGGAGAGGGAGAGAGAGTTGTGGGGGGTTAGGAAGCTTCCGTGAAATGGGGTAGCTTTCAGAGAAATGATTTGCGAGCATTATGTGATGGCAAAAATGGCAGCCGCAAAAGGAACCGTCGCCTGAGAGATTCGAACTCTCGCGGGGAAACCCCATGTACTTAGCAGGCACACGCCTTAACCACTCGGCCAAAGCGACTTGGTGAAAATTGTTAATCTAAATTTTTTCTCTTCACTCCTAACCACGGGGAAACCCCATGTACTTAGCAGGCACACGCCTTAACCACTCGGCCAAAGCGACCGGTAGGTTGGAATGAGAGAGCGAAGGGTGGGAGGGTGGAGGCCGGGGGATTCATAATCCCTCTTCTGACCAGTTTTTCTGCGTCCGTTACTGGAGGAACTACGTGCTCTAGATCTGGTATTCCCATGTCCGACCCCGAGTTTGTTCCTTTGTGCTTCGTCTTCGCCATACGGGATGCGCAGCACCGTCTTCCCGCCGGGAGCCGGTTCTAGATGACCGGCGGCGACCGCCCCTGTCGATTGCCGCGTCTTCGGCTAACGGCGGGATGCCGGCGCTTCAGTTGGGGCTCTTCTCCGACAACCTGAAGGGATTCATCCTTGCCGTCACCTCCAGCGCCTTCATTGGTGCCAGCTTCATCCTCAAGAAGAAGGGCCTCAAGCGGGCTGGCCTCTCCGGTGACCGCGCCGGTAAAAAAAATCTTCTCTGCCCTCCCCACCTTCCCCGAGAGGAAAATCTCCACCTCCTCGTTGATCTTGCTGCTCACCTCTACTTCTTCCTTGTGGCCATCTTCTGGCAGGCGCGGGAGGCTACGGGTACCTCCTGGAGCCGCTCTGGTGGGTGGGCATGATCATCAGTAAGCCGCATCCCTTCCTCGAGCTCTTCCCCCTTCTTCCCTCGCAGAATCTGCCCGAAACCTGCCTGATGGGAAGATGACATTTGTCCATCGACTGTCAGTGATACTCGGCGAGATCGCCAACTTCGTGGCGTACATGTTCGCCCCTGCTGTCCTGGTGACGCCATTGGGAGCTCTGAGCATAATCGTGAGGTACCACCACGGACTGGAGCAAAGATGGCCCAACTCCACTCGTTCGGTTTTTTCTTCTCTTACAAATCTGCGTGCTCACCTGACGATGTTTCTTCCTGGGGACGGAATGGTTCAGTGCCATTCTGGCGCACTTCATCCTGCAGGAGAAGTTGCAGAGGATGGGTGTGCTGGGCTGCGTGCTCTGTATCGTGGGATCCACTGTGATCGTCCTACATGCGCCGGAGGAGAAGACGCCAACCTCGGTGGAGGAGATTTGGAATTTGGCCACCCAACCAGGTACTCTCGATGAATTGAATCTCTCTCGACTCGCGGGGGATCATCGTTCCCCTCTGCTCTCTCTTAAGGCTCGGTGGTGGATTCCCTCCAGCATTTCTTCTGTACACGGCGTCCGCAGTCGCCGTATCACTGGTGCTGATGCTGCATTTTTCTCCACGATATGGGCAGACAAATATAATGATATACTTGGGCATATGCTCTGTAATCGGGTCTCTGACGGTGAGTCTTTGATCTAGGGTTTTAATATCATCCTGGCTTGTTTCACCATGTTCCAAGATTGTGGGTCTTTAGCTGTTGTTTCTTATCCAGGTGATGAGCATCAAGGCCGTAGGCATTGCGATCAAGCTCACAGTGGAGGGCGTCAACCAAGTGGGCTATTTACAGACATGGGTTTTCTTTATGGTCGCCATCACCTGCATCGTTATCCAGTTGAATTATTTAAACATGGTTAGTACTCTTCCAACACCCCTATTCATTGCATCGTTCTTCCGAGATCTGCTGATCCAGGTTTCATTCAGATATATTGGATGCATGCTTCTGTGTATAATTATGTATCTTAATTTTTTACATTGATCTAGATGACTTACATAGTCAGGATAACCAGAGAAAAGATTTCCTTATTCACCTCCATTAAATGCGCATTATATGAGAAAGGAAAAAAAGCAAAACTTCTGAGTCAAAATCAGAGACCACATCCTACTTCCACATGCTTTCACAGGATATCATAGGTTGAACAGATGCAAGACGATTCGATAAATTTGGCGCCAAGCAGTGTTTCTGCTTTTTAAGACAGCTTCTGATGCTTTATCCAGAGGTTTTAAGGACGGGCACGTTATTTCATGATGAGCTTTTCTCGTGGGAATTCCAGAAACCATCCATTTCATCGGATTTACCTGGTGTACCTATTTCACTGGTAGCACACATCCGGTGGCCTGTAGTTCACTGTTTGGATATAATTAGACATTTGGTCTTCTAAAACGCCCTCCTTGATCTGATGCGCCAAGAAGACACCTTGAGGATTCAAAACTCTCAGGAAGGCAAGGCGGCGCATATTTCCAAAACCCTGCTGTTGTCAAGCTGATCATCATTTCGTCGCGCCATTCTAATGAGACAGATCGCCTGCAGGGTTACTGACGAAGATCTGACCATTAACATTTCTGCCTAATTTGCGTTACCAGGCTTTCAATCTTTCAAAAAGGCTCAGTGTGTGGAAGAACTGGGCCTCAGGATACTTATAAAAGGTCTGTCAAGGGGAAAACATTGATTTAGGCCGGTTATGGGCGTCATTGAAAGAGAAAACGTCCCTGGATGGATTGAACGAGTCTGGCAATGAAGAAAAACTGGCTGAAGAAAGACCTGGATACCAAGATCTTCAACCCGAGGAGCCAATAAGTTTCAGAGTAGATCATTCCTATTATGTTTTTCCACTTGTGCCCCGACTGTTTTGCCCTTACGCGCTTGTGATTTAGCTGATGTCTGCTGTGAGTAAGAATAAAACATTTTTCGTTTGTCTTTTGGCGATTCCAGGCACTGGATACTTTCAATACTGCGCTTGTTTCTCCCATATACTATGCCATGTTCACAACGTTCACAATCCTTGCCAGTGCAATAATGTTCAGGGTAAGATGATTCTGGTTTTTCCGGTGACAATTTTTCTTATCTAAGTCTCAAGTTTTTCTAATCTTCTGTAGGACTGGTCGGGTCAAAAGGCAAGTAATATAGCCTCAGAGATCTGCGGATTTATTACGGTGCTTTCTGGAACCACAGTATTACACTCTACAAGGGAATCAGATTCTCCCTTAGTAACAGGTTCGTTACCCAACATCCCGAGGGGGCCCTCTGCATTACTTACTAGAATATCCACGTTTTGAATCCACTAAACTCATGGGCATGCCTATCTAACAAGGCCCTCCTTGATGCAAATCTACTAAGCAGTTCCACGGCTCCACAGACCATCCCTGGCTCCACATTATCCTTTTCAACGATCAAAACCTTGATTATCCCATCACTCTTGTATGGTCAGAATTCAACCGAAGAGGTTTTACAAAACATCTAGCCCTGCAGACCTATTATTGTTGATCGATCGCCAGTAGCAAAGGTCAACCTGTTTGTGGTTGTGACAAAGTGATGTCCTTTAATAAGCTTCCCATCAGGTAGCAGCCTTGCCTCGTCTGGATCCTAGATCCCTTGGCTTCTCATCGTTTGCTGCACGCCCAGCATTCCCTCTGGGTTTGCCGCCACTGCTTCGTCTCATCATCCTCTATATCAGCTGTTGTTGAAGAGGATCATGGATTTTTCCCATGGTCAGGAGAGAACACAGATGATGAGAGAGCCCCATAGAATTATGGAGAACCATGTTAAGAATCTAGACTCAAATCCTGCGGGTGCTCACAAGTCCAAAGAATCAGAAACCTCGGGCTACAAGCCCATGAAACTATTCCGTCCGTATCACTGGAATGTTCCGCCCAGCCATGAGTCAAATCTGTGTCTAGTCTTTATTTTCGATAGATAATCAAATGCCTTTTTTAATCTATGCTGATGGCTCTGGTTGAACATACAGAATTGTATTCACCACTGTCACCCAAAATATCATGGCGTACAGATGGGAACGGTGAACAGGAGAAGCAGAAAGACGACGACCTTTTCTCTGCAGAATTTAACACCATTCTCCGACAAGACCATTTCACATGACTGCCCATTCTTCTGGTCAGTAGCATTTCCTAGTGTACTGAGAGTGAACTGGCGATTTTTTTGTAAATACAGTGATAGAGCTTGAGGTCTGCCCATGCTTGTATTTGGAAAATCCGACCTGGGAATAATTTCAGCGGGGCGTCATATTTTTTGTATGCTCTTTTCTTATGGGGTCTTTCCATGCTTTTTCCTCTTTCCACTTGAGTTTTCTCTTCACGGTATGTGCTAATGTTCTTTCTATAGAGAAAGCTGAAAAAATTGTCAGAGGGCCTGTCCTCACCCTGATTTTGTATTCTAACAGTTGTAAACGAGATCATTGGACTGGACATAAATTCTGCCAAGAAAGCAATTCATGTTCTCTCTCTACCCTTGATTTGGTCAAATCTTTGTGTCTATGCTTCGGAGGTATCTTGTTAGATAACAGCATGCTGCAAAGGGCAGATCAAGTGTTCTTCAAGTGAATCACAGATTAAAGACAATTTCACACTTTCTACATTTCAAGATATCTTTACAACATGGTAACGAACACAAGGAACCCATTTCTTTTTTTAAATATATATATATATATATATTTCCAATGTTACTTTTTTGAAGGCAAGTGCGCCATTTTGCACCCTTAAGGAGTAGTTAGTCGGCCATTTTGAAAGCTTGGATTTCCCAACCTGGAGTGTCCATCTTTCAAAAAGTTCACGCAGAGCATTAAAATTTTTATCCTCATACCTTAATCCGGAGCGATCCACAGTCCATGCATAGCATGCAATTGACACAGGCCAGCTGACCTCAGCAACATCCTGTACATCTCCTTCAGCTTCTCCACGTTATCAATGGCGCTCCTGTCCGCTGCAGACTGGTTAGGGATCCCTGAACGCACCGCCGCTAGCATCCCTTTCAAAAGCATCAGCAAATGATTCCGGAACCTCTCCTGGATTTGTTCGCCTTCACTAAACTGAAAATCTACTACTGCATGGCGGCCTTCGAGCATATGTTGTAAAGCGGATTCCAACATCTGAATTAGAAGAGATGTTGGTTAGTTCCACTTGATTAGGAAAAATATAAACAATTATATCAACATGAAACTTTTAGGAAAACGGCCTCAAATACAATTAAAGATGAGTAAAATTTTACTTAAATGCAGGCTAAAATTTCAGAGAACAAGCTTCATCAATATAACAATGCATTGATGTCCTTGACTTTAATGAAGGTAACCTCGAGAAACCAACAGGTTTTACCTTTTTGACACTAATTAAAGGAAAATTCACAAGCTCTTATGAAATTCGAAGCAGCCCCACAAGAATTAAATGATTCGGATGGTGGGTTTATAAATGACATCAACAATCACTAGAGATTAATCGTTCCAAACCAAATACAACATTCTTTTTGCCAAACCATGATATGGAGCCCTCATGACACAATAGAAACCTTATCAACAAAATAAATGGGAGCATAGCGAGTCATTTTGCCCCTAAAAAGCTCAAATGTGACAATATTCTTATTTCGAAGAGATTTTTGCAATCCATTTACCCGTCTGACAAATAGAACCCCTGTGTTTATGACTAATACGGAAAGCTCATACAACAAGAATTAATTGATATGCAAGGTTAACAGGAAATTCATTACGTGTTCTACCAAAACAAACAGGGGAATGAAGTAAACATCCAAGAAAAACCTGCTCACATACCTCGGCTGTGTTAAAAAAACCAGAGAGGGTTGATAACAGTATTGACTGCTCTAATAGGATATTCAGATACATAACAGGGTGACTCTTTGGACCATAGAAATGTAAAGACTTCTGCCAGTTACTCTCTGCTAAATAAGCATGCAGCCTAGACTTTTGATGGTTACTATTTCCAATTTTTGAATGTTTCGTTTGCTTCTGATTTGTACCCAAGAGCTTCAAAGAGAAATCCTTGTGATAGCACGCAAAGTGAAAATAGGTAAAAGCAGCCTCCTGCCTTCTCAATTCACCCAGCGATTCATACAACGCCAAAGCATGCCCAAACGCATCTGTTGGGGATATGTCGTGTTTTCCTAATTTGATTCTCTCATTAGTACCAAGGTGACTGAATGACGACTCTTCAGAAAATACCTTTCCATGAATATCTCTTGAAATAGCTTCCTTAGATAATAGCATACCAAAGCGTAGATATGTGTGAGCTAATTGGGTAAGCGCTTCATTTCTTAACAGTGGATCAGGCCCTTCGCCAATTTCATTCAGCTCAACTTTGGCAGCTTCATAATATTTCAGAGATTTGGTGTACTCCATTTTCGCACTTTTCATCAGTTGCTTGTATCCATAACCATGCTCGCCGAGCACTTCCATTTTAGATACCAGTTCCTCAGCCAAACTTCTTCGGCCATGACCTAAATTACAGTTAATTAGTATGATATTCGTATGGTCAGATACTTTTCTAAATGCTTTTACAGCATCTGCAAAAGATAGCTCAGCACGGAGAAGATCTCCTCTGTCAAGTCTATGCCTTCCCAGTTCATTAAAGACCCATCCTGCTTTTTTAACAACAAACTGCAATTCTGTTGGACTAACAGGAAAACCCTCCATTGCCTCCCTGGCAGCATCATAACAGCCAATGGCAGCCAAGAGATTGTGTTCAACGTCTCCAACTTTGGGACTCACAAGAAACCTGAAAATGCCACCATTCTTCACCTCAGGTACATCTTTACTATCAGCTTCAAACCCAGATTCTACGCAGGTCTCCACAGTGTGCTCATCCTCTTCGATATTGAAAGCTACGGATGAAAAAGGATGTCTGTCTCTCTCTTTAGGTATCTGCCAGTGCTCACTTCCAGAGACATCGGTTTTCACTGTTTTGCCCTTGGAATTGCCCTCTCCTGACTTTGAAAATGATGCTCGCTTACACGTCTTCATTTTTGGTTTCCCGATATTTTGCCTGCCAAAGACACGGGAGGCAGCATCTCCACAACTACTACTAGCGCTGTTTCCACTGGTTGCCCTGTCACTCCTGCAGCTACAATTTATCAGTGAACAAGTGCTGCAATTTTCCTCGGATTGACCCAGCTTCTTTTTAAGCCTTTTTACCTCTTTAATAACATCTTCTGACACACATAATTTAGAGTCCACTGTTTTACTTTCTTCTCTTACTGGTATAGCTTTATTCGCTATCCTATGGTGCTCAATATATACATCTCCAACAAGCATCCAAGCCTTAGACCAGAACAAATATTTGGCTGAAAAATTATTTGAGGAAGGGTAATCTTCCATGAGATCGGAATTCAAATCCCGCAAATTGTCTATGGTGAAATCTGTTCCCCTGTAACCATTTCCGAAGTTTGTATATGATGATGAGCTGCTAACCATTGATGAAATAAACTGAGAGCCTTCTAGCTGTTGAGGCATAGATCCATACAAAGAACATGCCAGTTTAACAATTTTAAGAGCTTGATCTAGCCGGCCATCATCTTTATACGCCTCTCCAAGGGCCAAATAAGACTCTCCCAACAAAAGAACAAGTTTCCACATTTTACCATCCATCCTTGACTTGGGTAACCATTCTTGAATATCACACACTTCAATACAATCAGTGTCACCACAAGCACATACAGAGAAAGAGCTAGGCGGTAATCTATCATGAACTTCGTTGCCATCGTCAAGCGAATGTCCAGCATTTTGTAGTTGGCGCTGCCACCTGAGAGATTTTATAGCTTGAGATAGGTGGTAAATTGCAGCCAACTTAGAAGAGACTGGATCAGTAACAGTCTGGACCAAGTGTGCCGGCGGTGGAGATATCTGGGACACAGCCAGGTCATGTATTCTCCCTGGGACAGAAACCATCGAATCTTCCATATCAGCTAACTCAAAGCCATCTTCGTCTCTTTTCATTGATAAGTTTCCTTCCATTCTCAACAACCCAGATACATCAGGTGCCGCAGACAATTTGACTTCATTAAAAGTCATATCCCTGCACATTGGCGAATGACATTGAGCGCTTGATTCGAACATTCCCCCAGACGACACAGAAAAGTCATCTTCCACATCAGTGACTGTGACTGCAGACTCAAGAAGAAAAGATTCTGTTGTCAAATCCAGTTCCTCCTCAGAATTCAAAATGAGCCTGGCGAATTGTTCATGAGCATGTGCACAGAAAACCTGTGTTTGAACGTCAGTTCATCATAAGGAACAGTAGAAATGTAAAAATATTAAAAATTTCAATGTGTGCCGAATCTGCATACCAAGTGGTGCTGCTCACACATAATGTCCAAACACTTCTTGAAGAATTTTGCACACTTTGCTTTGTTATCAGCTAGCTGTGAAAAAATGGGCAATTAAGTTGACTACAATATATTGAACACAATCAATCACGGTTCACAAGTAAACTGAGTCGATTTTGTTTTTCGATACCTTTGAAAGTGACAGCCTATGTCCGATGCGGCACAAGACAGTTCCTAGGGAGAATAATGAATTCCTCCTCCACTCATGCATCAGTGATGACAAAGGACTACCTGAGTCATGAGCTGTGGGTGAATGATTCTCAGGTACCACCGACAAATTGAAAAGCTGTAAAACTTCGTCCCCAGCATTTCTATAGAGCTGACAATGTAAACCAAAAGGCTAAATTGTAATCGAAATAGGAAACAGTAAACAATTGGAAGAGAACAAAGAGGTGGCGTCATCCATATAGAGAAAGATGACACGTAAAATGATATTTAACTTTTCAGACAACAGCAGATAGCAAAATGATCATGCCATGAAATCGAAAAGCTATACCCAATATGCACCAGGATCTTGCTTGCAGTTGTCCTGGAGAAATCTCAACACTGAAAGGCCATTTTGTTGAACAATTTGTGGATGAAATGCTGGAATGCCATCTTCAGATATCCCTTTGAGTAAGAATATGTCATCTGTCTTCAAAAGTTCATACCCTTGGACAACACCATTTTGATGATAACAAATTGCTAACTCAGGAACACTTGCCATGACATTATCAAGCCAAGCTTCAAGCCACGTCAATGGAGTAACCTATCAGAATTAACAAAAAAACATAAGAGGAAACAATTATGTAGCTCATGAAGAACTCATGGTACGAAATTATTACCTGTCTAGCAATGTCCCACAAGTGTAAGCTCACTGCAACATATTTTTCATTACTGAATACAAGCAAGTCACTTCCCAGAAGCATCCGAAAATTGTGAAATTGCCAAAACAAAACTCTTTGAAAACCATTATTCCCAATCTCCCTGCATTTATCCGTATCTTGAACTGGGCACCTGGTCTTCTCGCCAACCATTGAAGCTTTTTGAATAGGTCCCTTTTTCTTAATGGTTGGCTTGTTCTTGCTGTCCCAAAAGAATTTTTCATGACGGCTATTTGAGTACTCACCAGAGCGACTACCTTTGACACTCTGACCAATAAATTGCCCCTTCCCAATATGAGAACTGGGCGAAGACACAAAGTTACCATCTCCATGTCCTAATTGTCCAGGCAGGAATGTAGAGCCTGTGCTTCCTGAGTGTGCATGATGACTTGGTGGGCAATCACAAGCCTCAGCTCGGACTGAATGCATAGCAAAGTTTAAGAAAATCGAGGAATCAGGACTTTTTGATTGATTGGTTTGTCTTCTAAACATCTTCTCACTCTCTTCCACATCAGGCCTGTCATTACTCAGAAAGCTATAAGAAAATGATTTTAAACGTCAACAAATAGTACAGAAGAATGGACAACAGCATACCCTGTGTTTAAGATCAGAGTATCCCCAATTCGATGAACAGCAATAGATAACTGCGCTTTAGAGTAAGGTATCTTAAAAATTTGCTTCATTATATCGGTTGGGGCCACAACATCTATCTCATCATCATACTCTGTAAGGCCAGATACAGCCAGTGACTCACATTTTCTAGAAAGATTATGATTGACTGAACCATTTTCCCAATGCAAATCTGCAGAAGCATAAAAAAAATTATTTACACAAGGAGAAACTGAAGAGGTATTAAAAAATTATAAATGCGTCCACGACTAAGCTTTCATGCGTTCTGCTGGAGCAAATACTTTTCAGCAATTTGTGTAAATATCCCATACCCTTCTAGCATAATAAGCACTTCAGGTGCGATCCTGCAGGTTCCACTTTCACAAAAACTTATAATACACAAACAGATCTAAATTTCTAATGCCACACCTTTACGATAATTTTTTCTTTCCTTGGAAATAGATTGTCACAAAACGGAAAATGCACTTAAACTAGGTCAGTCCCCATACTGTCCCGAGCAGATAGTCCCCTTCTAGTCATAAACAAGAAAAATGCAGTGGAAGAAACTCAAAAGATGACAAAAGAGCATTGAAGGACGATCTGGACCATTGAATACTGGATATCAGTGGAAGCTCCTTTTTCTAGGAGGTGTGCTACCAAACTGGCAAACTCGGGGCAGGATAAATGACAGAATGAAGGAAAAAAAGACTGGGAATTCTTACCTTGGGAGTGAAAATATTGCCCCAAACATTGAACGCAAGGAAGATTCTTTATAAGCTCTCTTAGTTCACCAAAACCTCATTGTTTGCAAATAATTGATACACTGAATACTTTTTGACCGTGTAACAAAAACAGAAAGATAGAAAGGCATGCCATTGATCTTCGATGAAAAAAAAAGGCAGTTAAAAATCATTTGTTCTTCAACTGAATGCTCTTACATCAGTGGATCCCTCCTCGTAACACCAATCAAATAATGTCCTATACTATGTGCTTCATCCAAATGGGAAAAAAACGCAAACAAAGATCATTCTTCCCCTCAAAAAATCATTTCATCAATTGTTCAACTGGAAAAATCACTTCAACTGATGATAGTCCATCCATAGAATGATGATGCCCCTGTAATTTGCCTTAATATTCTACATGCTCCTCTTTATCGTAATTTTACACCAGGATTCACTCAGAACCTCTGTGATCGGAAGAATTTTGAATATTTCTCGTATATACACGTTTTATTCCAAAGTCCATTATTTAGTCTGAGATTTTTTTCGAATCTCATCGAAAGTAGTAAAGAATTTCAACTGAGGTCTTTATATTAGCAATAAACTAGCTCATCATTCAGATAACACTGATACTTCATGCTGCCTTCAGTATGCTGCTGATGATGATTATATCAATTGTTCCTACAGTGCTCCATTTCACAAAAATATATGACGGATTCTCTAACAGCAATTAGTTGACAGCTTCTAGGAGTTGGGAGATGTTTTAACGAGCTAGGGAAAGGGGATCATAAAACATGGCATCTTATCCTCCACGGAATCCTTTGAAATAGGTGGAATGAGCAGAGCAATTTGCATGTTCAGGTGGTAGAAATCTTTCTTTCATATGTTTAAGGATTCTAATGAAGGGGCTCCTGTTACCGTTCCAGGGCATTTTTAGCTCCTGTCAAGGGGCTGCCTTAGATTTATTTCTGTAGCTCTTGCATGGGACGGTTTTCAAAGCTCATTGTACTAGTGTGTCCCTTTAATTGTTTCTCGCATCTAGTTTATTAATATGAGGTACCATCAGATTTAAATGTATACACTAAAGATTTCTTCTATATTATTTCCATAAAAGTCTGGTACAGGACTCCTTCTGTCATTGAGTCCTTCGGTCATTGAGTCCTTCGGTTATTGATATTAAAGCCCCCAAGAATTGAGATGGAAGCAATCGATTCCAATTAGAGGGTTACGCAGGGTCTGGAAGTATACCGAAAGCATGGATAACGCAATCACTTTGCACAAATTGCCCTTAAAATGACACAAAATTAGTAGAAGGAAGAATTCAGCAACGGAAGTCCCCCCTAAAACTGGTCGTTTCGGAGGTTGGTGGCCCCAACGTACATTTGGGCCATGTCATCGCAAAATTTTCCTTTAAAATTTCAGAAAATTCACAATGGAGAGCGTGAGGAAGCGTATAAATAAAAAGGATAAGAGCGGAGAGAGACTAGAAGCCGGACCCGCTTTGGCAGAGGCATGAAAGACCTTCTCCGGGATATTTGGAAGCAGAGGAAGAGTATTAAGGTCGGTCTCCGTCGGCAGCATCTGGTAGCGTGGAGCCGCCATCCTGTCAACGGTACGAGCAAAACAAATCAACAAATCCAGAAACTAAATCAAGGAGAGAACAGGAACCGGTGGAACGAGAAGAGAGATCATGTTACGTTTGGGACGATGAAGGGACAAGCGCGGAATGCGGGAGCGAGAAGGACATGGCATCGGCGACAACTGGAAGGGTACCGCATAGGAAACCGACGGGCTTGGGACTGGCGATCTCCAACCTCCCCACGCACTGGAGGAGCTCCTCCGACATCTCCATGGCCCCACGCCTTCCGCGAAGCCGCAGAATGGAGAAACCCCGACACGCCCTCGTTAGGGTTCAGGTTCCAAATCCGAATTCCTTTCGGCCCGGCGGCCAGTTTGGCGAAGCTCTCCGGAACATTCGCGAAACCACTGAAGCAGACTTGCCCAACGCAAAACTGCTGAAGACACCACGAGTGGGTCCGTCGGTGAGACCAGAATGCGTGCTTCAATTGGGCCCAGTAATAATAGTAGTGAGGCCCAAAAAATCCCTTTGTGTGGGCCCATAGGGGCCCACCCCCGTCATTGATTTCCCCTCTCAGATGATTAAATGGAAGTTCATAACGGTTGGTTAGGGTTCCCTCTAACTGCCCCTTGGCCGGCCGGCCCGCCACCGTGGCCATGTGGGCGGCGCCGCCGTCGTAGTGCCGTGTACCCCGCCGTCCCCCTCCCTGGGCGAGGGGATTTGCGCAAAAAATATTCGGGCGACGGTATCAAGTGCAGGAAATTACAGGGACATGATAAAATCCCCCCGCGACATTACAAAATACTCGCCTCATCTGAGACATATCCGATAGAAGGGTTTTCCGATTACTTGGGCCCACTCGCTCGCCGTTTCTGGCGTTGCTGAGTGAGCGAGGCACGTGCCGATGCACGTGGGAATCCGAGGAGCGGCTCGAAATACTTCTTAAGGGAGTAGGGACCACCTCGCGACAGCTGTCGCCGATGTGGGGGGAGTGGCGGGAGTGACGGGACGATACATGTGGCCGGACACTGAAGAACGTCGCCCGGGGCACCAGCGCCGTGCGTTAACCACGTTCCGGGAGGTATTAGAGCGTAATTAATAATTTTGACGAATATTTGACGATAATATTCAGGGAATAGTTAGCGCGTCTGACGTTTAATCAATCTCCCTGATCTCTATGTTTTCTGTATTTATCTATGCGTCCAATCCACTGCGTGGAAGGGACAGTCGAATCCAATGAGAAGACCACGTGCTTGCCAAGATGGACGATAATATCTATCACTGCCTGTACACGTGGGCAGCCGCGAAGATGCGCGCAGAGAGAGAGAGAGAGTGAGAGAGAGGAAAGGAATTAAAGTGCATAATGGCTTATGATCATTTACATTTCGAACGTGAGGGGTGTAAAGTTACTGCGACTTTGGCGTGCGTGCGGGGCGGCAATCTTCGCACGTGCAGAAATGTGGGGCAGCCATCCTCGGGGCCACGTACGACTGACTTCCTCAGTACGCCCCTCAGCAGTGCCTCCACGAGGCAATGTCTCCCTCCTCTTCGAGTCAACTGACGACGTCGCAGCCGTCTTCACCGTTGTCTCTGTTAATAAGAAGGTCGTACAGCGTGGTCCCCAGCGCGGCGTGAGACGACGAGGACGCTGCCCACGAGGACCGTCCTCCGCCGGCCGTGGCTTTCAGCGCCGCCGGTCCGCCGGGGCCCTTGAATGCTGCCCTCTGCCGCCGCGTGTGGAGAGAGAGAGAGAGAGAGAGAGAGAGAGAGAGAGAGAGAGAGAGAGAGGGGAGAACAAGAGGCCCACGCGAGGTATAAGACGAAGACCAGAGAGCAAAAGGGAGGTTGTAGGGGATCTGATCATGGTCGCTGTGAGCTCAGCTCCGACATGAATGGCGCGGCAGCAAAGGGGAAGAAAGGGACGGCGATTGTAGTCATGTTGTTCTTCGTCGTCGTCGCCTTCCTCGCGAGGAGGCCAGAGGAAGCAAAGCGTGAAAGGGAAGGTCCTCTGGATTGCGACACCCCAACCTCCGCGCTGTTCGCGCACTTCGATAGGTCGGCCCCCGCTTTTTCACCGGTGAAAAGGACGCCCAGTCGGCGGCGAGGATGAGAAGTCGTCGGAGGGTTCAGGGAATGTAATTATTTAGGGGCTCTTCTCCTTCTTCTTCTTCGGTGTTCTACCAGACCCAGAGCTCTTGACTGGTAGGGGTTGCGGCCGTTTGGGGGAGATTAAAGGATGGGCGGGGAGGGAGAGTTATGGAAAGCGATGAGAGCGCTGCATTATAATAATGGATTATTGTCGTCTAAAGCTCCTCAAACCAGACCTAAATAAGAGGGAGAGTAGCACGAGCGAGGCCAAAGGAAAGGTGGGAGCAAACTCCAGCTAGCTAGCGGCCAATACCAGACAGCCTTCTTCCTCTTCGCCCATCCATCTTTGTCTGCCTGTTTAGGAGGGGACGCGATGAAGGAGGCCTCGTCCTCCCCACACTTGTTCGTCGGGAATACTCCCACTGCGAGAGCCGCCGCCTCCGGATCCCCGGCGGCGCCGCCGATGTCTCCATCCTTCTTCTCCTCTCCCCGATCCTCCGCCCACTCGTCTAACTCGTGTTCTTCCAACTCCTGCCACCTCAGCTCGCCGCCGGCGCCTTCCTCCCCGTTGCACTGCTCCTCTGCCGTCCCCTTCTCCTGGGAGAAGCAACCGGGTGTCCCCAAGCAGGTGCAGGGCTCCAGCGACCGCCAGCGGGGCTCCGGCCAGAGGCTGCCTCTCCCGCCGCCCCTGAGATCCAACAGCGAGCCCTCGCTCTTGATCCCCAGGAAGAAGAGGGCCCAGCTGGCGTTCATTCCAGATCCCTTCGCTTTGGCGCTGATGGAGTGCTCCAAGGCGGACCGCTGCGACCGATCGGAGGGCGACGATCTCCCGCGGCTGTACTCGAAGGGAATGACGGCGGCGACAGCGTCGTCCAAGATCATCGGCAGACGGCGGCGGACGGCAGCGGGCCTGCTCGGCTTCCCGGATTTTTACTCTTCCTGCAAGACGACGTGCTCCGTGGCGGATTCAACGGTTCTCGTCCCCCGGTCCGGCCGGGGAATGGCAGCTCCTCATAGTTTTCTCAGCCGGCGCGGCGGATGAAGAAGACGGCGGTGGCGGTGGCCCCGGGCCGGCTGCGGCGTATCTCGCCCCGGAAATTAGTACATAAATAAGCGTCGACCGCGATTATCGACCTCCTTGTGCTTGTTAATTACAGACTGTGCGACCATATCATCCGCTCCGGTGCTCTCTCTTTCCCCATCCTTCTCCTGGATCTCTCTTGGTCGTCAGCACGCCCTTCGTCCCCTCTGAGTTTCCAAGGATATGGGTCGGGGAAAGCACACGCATCAACTGGGTTGCCTCAAAATGTGATCTTGTGTCCTCTCTCTTCTCTCCCTTTCCGAGTCTAGACTCTCCGTCTTCCTGTCTATCTTCGACGAACGCTACGGGTACCCTCTCTCTCTGTCTCTTCTGCGGAGACTGGAAGTCGGTGAGAACCAGACGATGTTTGGCTATTCGTTTTCCGTGGCAGCACGGGGTCTCTGTGCGGCCTGTTCTCTGCCCAATCTGCTCCGCAGGGGAGATGAGGACAACTGCGCCGCCCCGTCCTTCCTTTTCCCCTCTCTCCTCTGCATTGATTTCAGAGCGGAGCTCCATTCCCCACGCGGATCGTGTCGTGTCGTCTCTCCCCCCGGCTCTGCGCAGAATCCCCGGCAGCATCTTCGAGCGCTGCTTCGTCTGGTTCGCCTGCGATCATGTGAACGGAGACGCAGCCCGTAGCAGCAGAGGCGGAGGAGCAATAACGGTGGCGTGAGGGAAGGGAGCAAAGCTGCCACGGGAGATCCGCCGGCGAGAGAACAGTCAACCGAGCGCAGAGCGTCCGTGACAACCGTGACGGAACTGTCGCTTTCCTGCTCTTGAATCGGCCGATCTGGTTTAGGAGGATCTGGTTGGTGAGCACTCGCCAACGGAGCTCCACCGGCGGCGGCGGAAGAAGACAATCGTTTTCTCCGTCTAGTCTGAGGATGGTTAGGTTGGTCAGTCACCGGAAAAATGGGTCCGAGGCCCTAAAATTACGGGTCGGTCAACGGGTCTAATCGCTCGATAGACTACTACATACGAAGTCCGTTGTTGACGGCAGCTCTGGCGGGCACCAATCCGAAGATCCGCCTTCCGTATCCGTATGTAGAAACGGACTGTGACGAGATAAATCTCTACCACATGGTCAGATATGTCCGGAACGCGACGAGTCGGTAGGGGGATGTCAGGTCGCGCGGATATATTTCCATTATTTATTGATTTTATAATATGCCGATGAAAAAGTATTTTTTAGTCAATTTGTAAATTTTTGCACATCTTTCTTTTGGCTGCTCACTGCTGAAGTTTTCCCGCGCCTTCCGGGGTATAAAAAAGGCGGGAATGCTCCTCTCTCCTGCTTGCACTGACTGTGTATCGAGAGATGGCCGGGTGGGTTCCGGCGACTCCAAGAATCGATCGGCGCCTGCGTGTGGAACGATGGAACGTTTACTTATTACGCCCCTTCCGGAATTGGGATATGAGCTTACTTTTTGATCGGCTTCCTCCTCCGAATTTTGTTTTCCTCTGTAGGTCGATCTTCTTCTTCTTTCCACACATGCACCCAGAGAGGAAGGCCCCGGTTCCGGCGATTTGACGATGTGAACGGAGTCTGTTTGACCAATCGATCCTACATCGTTTTCGTCGCCGCCGGGATTGAGATTGCTGGCCACTTTAAGGATATCCTTCCTCCTCTTGCTTACTTTTCCGCCCTAGGTTTCTATTTCGCCACCGACGGATGGGGTTCCCCTGACGACGTCTTCACTTCCTGATACTGTAATCGGATAGAATCGGGGATCCTATCGTCCTGGGACGACATGCGTCGAAAGTGGGACGTGAGTCCGATTTTATGGTCTCCTTACTTCGCATCTCGTTTTCCATATTAGATTGGTTACTCGTCTTCTTGATCTTCTTCCTCAGGAAGAGCTGGAGGTCGTTTTAATTTCAGCGTCATCGATTTCATGACCGGGACCGTGTAGATCCTATCCCTATTTCGCTGTCTTTGAAATCGGCACAGAAGCCGACTTTTACGGTCGCCTTCCCGTTCCGTCTTCCACCTTGGACTGCAGTTACTCCGGCGGCGCTCCCTGAAGCTTTCCGTTTCTTCTTTGCGCACAAAATTCTTCTTCTCGTCTCTTCGCAATCGACAGCTATTCTGGAGAGCAATATAATGCGGTGTGCTGGCGCCGAGTCCATTCGAGTTATTCGTCATTCTGCCATTTTGGATCTTTCTGGCATCCCCATCCACATACCGACGAGGGAGCCATGACTGCTCAGGTTTCTACTGGTGCATTAGTCGTGCTAGTACTGTACGCCACAGAATTGTTCTCGGTCCTCAACAGGTTCAGAACGAAGAAGATACCCGCTCATTCTGTGCAGCCGCTATCTGGCCGTGGCCGGATGATATTCTCTGCCCTGCTGGAAAGTACCAGTGCCGACCACTGCCGGCGAAGGGGCGGCCCTGCAGTGCACCGTGGGTGGTGATCCATCCACATCGGACAGATCTCGTGATGAGGAGACAGTCGTGGAGGACATGGCAGGAGTGCAGTGATAACACCTCTGCAGCAGACGTCTTGGAGGACGTGGGCCCCGCCGCAGTGTTGCCGTCGCTGCCATGGACTCCGGCGAAGCCCCTGCGGTGAGGCAAGGTCCAACGAAGATCGCTGCTGCTACACAGATCGGGTTAACATCCATGGGAGATTCGTCTCTCCTCACCCATCTCTCCTGGGAGGGCGTACAAACCTTTCTTTCCCCGGCATACAAGATCAGTGAACATGAAAGGAGCAGAGGAGTTCCCCAACCCGCTGATGGGGGACGAGGATGAGCTGGCTTGGGGGGAAAATCGCGAATGCAGCGGCGATAAACATGGGAAAGGTCACTAAGGTACGTGATCCTGGCGGAGATCAGGGGTAAAGGTACAGAGGCAAAAGATTTTCTGACCTCCACTACAGGAATTGGTGTTAAGTGAGTGAGTCAATCATTTCATTACTACATGTCAAGTACAAGGCTTAATGCACACACAACCTCAAGCCACGTGCTAGTCTTACTAACTCAGAACTTTGGAAAAAAAATAAATCAGCTTAGTTTAAATGGCCATCCTACAAAGATTATCAAGAAGATTGGAGAAATCCTACTTTGAAGGAGGATGTATCCAGACTAATGCCATCTGAGTCAGAAGAAGAGACATGCCCACAACAATACCACACGTTCCTTCCCCTCCCAAGAAAGAATTTTGAAGCCACGCCTAAGACGAGGGGGATTCATCAACAAGAACCACCTCTAGTCCAAGCTTTGCCCATTCCTTAGCTAGGATGTGATCCCCGTAGTAGCTCATACATTGAAGAAAACCCAAAGCAATAATATTCACTACTACTGCCATACAGTGAAACAAGTCCACTCAGTTTTATGAAAACCGTGGGGTTTGCATGATGAATGCAGTCGCAGATGCATAAGACGTACTAAAAATTTTCTTCAAGAAAGAGACTTAGCAAGAATGATGCAATGAGAACCAAGTTCTTTGCCCCCGAAATTTCCTCATTTGGGTAATTTTATAGAGTTTTCATCCGACTTCCAAAAATAAACAAAAAAGGGTAGCATCATGATGATGTTAAGGAACAGCAGCTCACCCTACATTGCCTATTATTAAGAACATCTATGCCAAATGAGGCATTGTCCTCTATATAGTGCAATCACAATGGGGATATATCAAGGGTGGGTCTTAAGAAATCATTTCAGCAATTGCCAAACACAAGAACACTGCATGAGAACTAAATCAACAGCCGGCCGCACAACTTTCATCATCTCCTTTTCATCAATTACACAGATAATCTCCACTTGCATACCTGTTGTTTGCCAGATAGAAGACGTCACTACCTTCAGAGACAGGCTTGATGGAGACCCCAGATAAAGTACTCAGTCCCTGTGCAGAAAATTTCACCATCCCAAGTACCTCAGCTTCGGAACCGTCTCCAGCATCCTGATCAACAGGCATGCGGGCTCTCAGGCGGCCTGGGGGCCCGTTAAGGGGGATGTCGGGGATGTGCCACCGCAGCTCTCTCTCCTCCCTACTCAGAACCGCCTTCGGGGACACCGTCAACAATGTTGGGTCAACAGGTAACTTCAGGATGAAGGTAACATCAGTCAACGGCGAGGATAATTCCGGATTAGAGGCATACTGGATCATGACTGAAAGCAAAGTCCCACTGTGACGCTTCACCAGGCGGACCCTCAGCGGGATTGGAGTGAACCGTGGCTGCAGACTGAATTTCACGAGGGGAATGGGCTGCTCTGCAGATGGAGTACGCACGTGAAACATGCCATTCCCCAGGCTGCTGACGTGAGAGGCCTGCATTGCGACCCGCTTCACACCAGGAGTGGTTTCAAACTTGAAAGAGAATTCAGTCTCCTTGTCACCTGCTTGCTTCGGAGGCAGGGTTTTGAGGTATACAACTCCCTGAAATCCCACCCGGACAAGAATGGATTCCCTGAACTCTGCGCTGATCTCTTCGGCAATGTACATCTCTGGGCCACTGACTGCTTTCTTGGTCACCAGCTGGTTCTCCAGGGGGATGTCCTTGGTGCCTCCGTTCTCTGCTGACCCTGTTTTCGTCTGGCCAGAAGTCAATAGCTGAAGAACTGCTGCGTCGGGATCCTTGGACGTCTTCTTCACGGTGGTCAAAAATTCTGATGCGTCGAGACCGCCACCGAAGGAGCTGTCAAACCCTTCAAAGGTCGATGACAATGAGGATTCTTCCTTGCTGAATTCGATCCCGCCATAATCACCTTCGAATCCTTCGACCCCGATGAAAGTCGACTTCGTTGCTGCTGCAGGGGGGAGCGTCGTAACCTCCAATCCAGCAAGGGCTGAAGTCGGATCGGATGAACCCGAAGGATCCTTACTCTTCTTGAACCCACCGACCAAGGCTTCCTCTGGGGGTTTGTTGACTAACTCGCTCGCTGCAAAAGGATCCTTCTCCGCTGGAGTCTCCTCTTCCGTCTTCTGCTGATCCTTCTGCTGCTCGTCCGATGATGGCGGAACGATGGCCGCCGATATCTCGTCCCCCGCTGCCAGCGTCTCCGGCGGTAGCTCAAAACGGGAGTTCGAGAAGCCCTCGAGAGTCACACGCCGCTCTACCGCCATTGCTTCCGGAGCACCAGCCCATGTGTCAGCTCCCCGCACGCGATTCTCGGTTTCCACGGCAGAATGAACCATCTTGGCTACACCTTCCCCGTGGATGGACGAGAGGATGTAAGCCAGACGGACAGCTCCGACTCCCCGGAGCACAATATCAAGGGCCATGTAAACCTCTGGGTATTTGCGGTAGAGCTTCTCCGCTGTGACATCGACGCCGCGGCAAGCGGCGACGACTATACTCACTGCCTGGTTGACCGTGTTGATACAATCGAAGATGTTGTTCGCTCGGCCATCCTCGTCCCGATCCGCCGTCGTGATGCCCAAGACGTATATGCCGTTCACGAGACGGTAGACGATGCGGTACTTGCTCTCGACGCCGACGACGACCTGGCCGCTGGATGCGGCGAGGGGATCGTCACCTAGGGCGGAATCAAGGTCGTCCGAGGGAGGCGCTGCGGCGGCGGCGGAGGAAGACGACTGCGACTGTTTCCCTGAAAAGAATGCGAGACGCGTCTGGCGGAAGGCGGAGAGGGCGACGAGAGCGCGAGCCGGTGGAAACCATTCTCGCGTCTGGAGGAGGATATCCGATCCATTGGAAGGTTGCAGGGCCAGAGCCAGGCACGCCATCCCGATCTAGAGGAAGGACGAGGAAAGATCTAGTGTTTCCTCTCTCCGTCTCTGGGCGATCGCTGGCTGCACATCTTCTATTCCGCCATGTCGCCGGCGTCGGTACCAGTTCTCTCTCTCCCTCTTCTAGATCTGGAGGAGGTGGGAGACTGGTGTTTGGGGCCGCTTCTGCGAATTCATTCCTCGGTTAAAAATTCGAGGAAAGAGGGACCCAACCGGTTTTGGGTTTATGGACCGGCCCAGATATCTGAAAATGGGCTGGGTACAAACGAAATATTTGTGTTTTGTGTGTAGAAAAAAAATCGTCTAAAAAAATTGGAGAGCAGGGGGTCGCGGAGAACAGAGAGGGGAACGTGAGAGTTTGTTGATCGTTTGTGGAGAAGCGGAGATGGGGAAGACGCCGGTGCGGATGAAGGCAGTGGTGTACGCGCTGTCGCCGTTTCAGCAGAAGGTGATGTCGGGGCTGTGGAAGGACCTGCCGTCCAAGATCCACCACAAGGTCTCCGAGAACTGGATCAGTGCCACCCTCCTCCTCACCCCGCTCGTCGGGACCTACACGTGCGTAAACCCTCAACCTTTATCGAATCATGCTCCGACAATGTCCATTGTTTATTCTCCTATTTTTTCCTCTTTTTCTTCAAAGCGTTAGTCTATCTACGGGTCTCGTGAGTCTCTCCCCGGTGGGTTGCGATGAAACCCTTGCATGTTTATTTTCTGATTTTTCTCAAGATTTAAAGCGCATTCGTTTCAGTTCCTGTTGCAAAGTGGTTTTCCATGATGTGGAAAGGGTAGCTGTTTCTTGACGCAACCGTTGAGACATTCCACATTTATAAACCACGGCACGATTTGGCTTTGTTGTTGGCGGATGATGCGTTGTATCCTTATAGCAAGAGAATTAAGATACCTTATCTTCTCGTTGCCTCCCTTCTTAATGTCTGTGCGTACTCCGGTTCTTAATATCGTGTAAATCTACACGATAATCAGCTCAGCTTCGAGGTTGCATTTGACATTTCTGTAGCTTGATGGTGATCAAAAAAATCCAAAAAAATAGTTTCATAGCCATTCAACCGTGATCAGAGTGGCCTGAGAGTCGAAGGTCCTTTGGAGTTTACTCAGCTGATGGTAGCATAACCTGTTTGGTAAAAAGCGTGGGGATGATGGATGGAATTTTCCATCAGCGTCTGATTCTAATTGAGGAGAGAACCGGCACGAGGTAAGAGATTTTATGCCGACATAGCAGGAGGAGACTTTGTCGCATATCTAGAGATTCAATCTTCAGAAAGGTATGCATATGAGACTTGGGCGAGTCGATTTTCCATATTTTTATGGTTTTCTAGACCATGCCGGCTCGTTTTTTATGCCAAATAGTTATTCTGGTATCATGACGTATCCAACAGACAAAAGGTGAAATTATTTAGATGTATCTCTAGGGAGCACCATTGGTCTAAAAAATGAACTTACATCGCATGTCGGTGAATCAAGGGAACGATTATGAAGAGATGAGTTGGCATGAATTCTCTTATGACTTGCGAGCTAACTTTTACTCCTATGAATTTGATTACCTCGTGGGGAAGTTTGCCGAATTACAACAAATGAGAACCGTGTAGGGGTACTGAACTAATTTTAGGCTCCCTCCATTATATCAGGAGTTTATCTAGGGCCTAAGAAGAGTCCAACCCGTCAGCAAGGTGTTGCAGCCCAAGAATGTGCGTGCTACTCTGAGGCAGCCAAGCTGCACAAATTTAAAACCAGTTGGAACAAGGGAAGCGATATTCAGAGTCTATTGGCTATTCTTAGAACAAAATCCGAATTATGTGTATAAGCTGACCTACACCTGGGAAGAGGCAAGAGGGAAAGGCCTTGCTTTTCCTGTGAAAACACTGCAGTATTTTTGATTGAGGCATGAGAAGACGAAAGGATAAGAGGGAGAAATAGGAAAAGCTCTTCCTCCGCCCTTCCCTTCATTTGTCTTGTATTAGGATATATCAGGGACCTCTAATGGCCATGCATCATGCTAAATGGGAAACAGGAAGGTTGAATAGTGCTGCTAGAAGTTAAGTTTGGAAGTGTTCATAAGTTTGTTGATCCATTTCTTGTTGATCAGCTAAGTTGACCAACTCAAGATTATTTGATTAATGTTATGATTACCACCACCTCAAATTGAATTGTGAAAGTGTGTGAAGCCAAGTCCTAGCTATTAATTATAGGAATCATCATTGTTGAAGATTTCAACTTCCTTCTCCTTGGGGATTCAGATATTCTGGTAGGGGGCATATCAAAGGCTAATATTTTTCAAGGAAGTTTCTCTGTTCGTAAGTGGTAGTCTACAGGGATTTCAACCCTGAATGATGTGCTGACGCAATTCTGTTTGTAGATGAAGGATAAATAATTTCTGTGAGGTCGTACAAGTATGTTTACTCTTTAGAAATCTGCAATGGAGGAAGCTTACCATTGAAGCTCTTCAATAGGGAATAATTACTCTTAGAAGTCTATAATGGAGAAGCTGACCAGCGAAGCTCTTGAATATGAAATAATTAGAGACACCACGAGTCATTTTTCTTCATTAGCACTATTAGTGGGGGAAATAATGGAACGTGGCCGATGTCTTTATATTTTTGGAGCGTTAATGAGAATACCAACATCGGTAAATTTCTCATATCCTTAGTAGATGCGCTTTCAAGTGAACTTGAACAGGTTGTTACTCAAATCTTAGGTCTTGCTACTATCAGCTTAAATGGAAGAGGGTTGACATTCATGATAGAATTTCCCATCTAGGGTCACTGTAAATTTTTAGTGATATCCTTTAAAGTATCAATGGGTAACAAGGAGTTTTTCATCATATTTTGTTGTACAAGGCGGATTGGGAATCTCCTGTATGACATCTGGAGCTTTACTAAACAACTAGCTAAGGGATAAAAGATCAAAGTGCCATTTTTTGGTAACTAAGCTACGTTACCTAAAACACATCATTAACCAAAAGAGAGTGGGAATGACTACAAAAAGGTGGAGGGGATGTTCACCTGGCCCACTCCAAAAATATAAGGTTTATGAGAAGCTTTTTGGCTTAATATGGTTTTATGGAAAAAAAAATTGTGATCATAGTTTGTATGTTGACCTTATGAATGAGTTATTGATCATAGCTTTTTGGCTTAATACGAGGCTCAATTTGCGATTAGGTCACTCAAGAAAGCAATATCCAAACCTCCAGTCTTTGGCTTGTGCTCTTATTTCAAGCTATTTGCGATTGAATCTGATGATTTTGAATGGATATCTAGAGCATTCATACTGGATAACATACACCCAGTTTTCACGAGTCAAGCATAAAAGGGAGAATACCCTCTCTTGATCTATGAGAAAGTGGTGTATGCCATCATATTATTGAAAGGCAAATACCACTTCCCCTTGTGGCAAGGATTTCAAGTTGATTGGGTATAGGCTGAGAGGGAATAAGATTCTCAGTTAGATAAGGAATGTGACATTTGCTAGTGCAACAAATACGATTGATATCTCTACTTTGGTTCTACGGGGACCACTGACCTTGCCTGCCAAATTATGGATCAATATGAGAATAGATTTTATTGACAAGTAGCCGATTTTTAAGTGTTAATTTGTGATCATGGCGATGGTAGATGGGCTATTATAATATGATCATTTCATCATCTTCCCTCAACTTATTTAGGGGTCCATTAGTTTAGGTACATTTGTGGAGCATATTAGTTGAGAGAGACTTGCCTAGTGATTCACAACAGTGATTCTGTCCGTGCAAGTCAATTTTGAAGAGTACTGTTCGCATTACTACGCCAGACCCTCAAATTGATTCTCTTACTACCCCCAAATAGATGGGCAAACAGCAGTTCTCAGCCGAGCTTGATAAACATATTTGAGATGCTTATAGTCTTGAGAATGTATGGGTTGATTGATTCCTTGGGGGAGTAGTGTTATAACACCATTCACCACTCCTACCCAAAAATAAACCATTATTTCGTACATTGGAAATTTAGAAGGTTGCAACCAGTGAATCCTCGGTTAATTAATAGATATATGATATTATACTGGAGGAAAATTTGAGCAAAACGAGGGAGAATGAATAGATTAGCAGATAAGCATGAGCTAAATGACATTTTTCTGTTTGCGACTAATTTTACTAAAAACTGTTGCTGTATCGACATAATTCCCCAGTTGATCATGATTTTGGCCAATACTGGTGCTGCCACCTATAGAAGGCACGACCCTGTTCTCATGCAAAGAGGATTTTCCCAGCAGTGATTTATGCGTCAGCCTCAATCAGATAGAAGGTGACTTAAATGAAATTGAGTTCAATGGACATAGAAGATAGAACGATGCTCTTTGCTGTTATCTCCTGTCCGAAGAAGATCTCAATATATGATGAAGTAACGATGGTAGCTCGTTAATTTTATATAGGCTTTCTCATATTCTGTCGGAAGAGTTCTACAGGCTTCACTAATACAAGTACATACGAGTTTAGATATAGGGCGACTACTGCTTGTGATCAAGGGTTTGGCAATAGATTTTCCTGGGTCTAGCAGGGGAATAAGTGGAAGATTGTGGTCGACTAGAAAGACTGAATCTTGGCATTCAACTCCCCGATTTTAGAGAAAGAATGAGACTTTAGTGAACATTTGGATAGAAACAGAGTAGTTGGTATATCTCATGTGTAAAGCTGCTTCCTACCTTGAAGCATCGGCAGCAATCCCTCCACCAGGTGGCCCTAGATGTGATGGCTCATCATGGATATATATATATATATAGAGAGAGAGAGAGGGGGGGGCTTGATGGCCCAAAGAGGCAGACCTACGGCTGCGAATTCCATTTTAATTCCTCATGTTTCATTGGTGCAGGTATGTTCAGCAGTTCCAGGAGAAGGAAAAGATGGCGCACCGCTACTGAAGAGGATCGTTCATCTTTCTTTCTATTTTGGGGGGCCTTTTTTCTTCTTTTTTTTTTTTTCCTTGGGAGGACCAACGAACTATCTATAAGATGCCACCTGAACTTCCGCGGCTTGTTTTTTAATGCATTCTATTGAGTCCCCCTGATCTTCCAGGTCAACAGTCCCCGTAGAACCCGGAAACCTACACAGAGACAGAGACAGAGACATCGAGAGAGAGAAAGAGGGAGGATAGGGCCATTCACTGGTGGAGGAGGAAGATGTTGTACTCGACCACGGCATCCCCGGTTGTGAGATCCAATCGGTGAGTCGTGAGCCTGCAGTAACCTGTGGCGAACCTGAAGAGGCCGCTGCCGGCGATGACGGGCAACTCCCTCACCTTGGAGAAGGGGGTGTTCCTCCCCAGGAGGGTGATGGTGCTGCCCTTGTACCGGCCATCCGTGAAGACGAAGTTCATGGCCATGATCAGCCCCAGCTCTCTCTGCGACGCCGACACGTACAGCCCTTGTGCCCTCCCCACCAGCCTGGAGCTCATCTCCTGCCCTTCCGTCAGCGGGTCGTCCATCACGTACGCCGCGCCAAAGAACGTCGCCGAGGCGTTCGTCCTCGCCGCCCGCGCGATCTGCACGACGGTGGGGCTGCGCCCGCTGACGATGTCGTGAAAGTAGACGCGGAGGTGGCTCTGTCTCTGCGGGCGGATCTGCGGTGCCGGCCCCTCGCTTACGACGAAGCCGCCGACAGCTCCGCCGACGGCCGCGAGGGTGAGGCAAAGGACGGCAGCGGCAGTGAGGAGACTTCTGATCGTCATCTGGAACCTCTGGTGCGGGTGGCGCTCCCGGAGCTGCGACGAGGAGAGGGGATTTATTGAAGGGGAAAGATGGCCTGCTTTTCCTCCACCATCATCATGGAGGAAGCAGAGGAGTGAAGTAGAAGTCGGATAATCTTCGCAGATGCCTACAGCACGCAACACTCAAAAAAGCTCGAGCAACGACTCCTCCGATCGCAGGTTGGGGCTTCAATTGTCCGTCCATGGCGGATTTGGCGTCTCCGATCGCTGGTTCCTAGAGAGAAAGCGGTTCTGTTCTCTTCTTCCTGTTGCAGACGTTGATAAACCCCGAAGGCCGGTTAGTGGGCTTACTATCCTCTATTAACCCATTTAGCGAGGGGGCATCCGTCAGCCCAATGGCCCGGCATGGATGGTTCACGTCGATGGGCTCATCTGGAACGTCAAATCGATGTGCCCATGTCCTTCACTCGAAATTATAATTTTCCCTGGATTATTGTGGTAAATAAAAATATCCTAAGATGAGCTTATTCCCCGTCATTATTCCGAAAATTATCGCTCACAAGCTCCCTCGTCTCGGTGTAGGCGGTGATTGCATCCAGGGGCCTCAGCCAGAACAGCAGGGCCTTTGTTTTCGTATCTTCTTCTCTCGCTCTCTCCCCTGTTCCTTCCCTGCAGGCAGCATCCTCTCCCATGGCGTCGTTGGCGGCTCCGCCTCCGAAGCCGCCGTTCTCCCGAGGTCCGCACCTGCCGCCGAGCTCCACGGCTGCTTGGAAGCTCACCGCCGGGAGGAATCTCAGGGGAGGCCTGGCCGCTAACGCCGTGAGTTCCATTTTCCTCGCTTGAGAAAGTTGTAGCTGACATTTTTAGAACAGAGTGTTGTGCTGTGTAAACTGGCCTTCTTTCAGTGGAGACTTCTGTCCGTCGTGTGATGGTTCTCAGTCCCCTCTCTCCTGGACAATTAACGTTGCCATTCGATTTTGGAAGTCATCTTTCTTTTCATTTAATCTCGGAAGTGAAGAACAAAATAACATCGATGTTGATTCCTGCGAGCATGCGTAAAGCTCCAGGGAAAGAAACTTTGGCTTGGAAATCAGTCGCCACCGCGATCCGTTTTCGCTGTTAAGTACCGAGAGCATGGCTGATGATGAAAATGTTGCAGGTTGCCGGTGGATTGTCAGTTAGCTGGAACCAAAGAGAAAAAAATAGTGTTTTCAATGGTGCGGACGAGGATTTCCTAGAAGAAAATGTGTGGGATGAACTGGATTCCGATCTCTACTACTGGACAAAGCCGTTGCGTCCTGTGCAGGTACTTTTAGCTTTGGTCTCGTAAGAAGAGAAAACATCTGCTTCCTGCGTAGGTGCGTAAGAATTTGGTCCAGTGAAATGAAATTTCCTGTAAAATCTAGCGGTTTACTCGATCGGTACGTCTTATATTGCATGAATAGACTTGAAGTTGTGCTTATCATGACATCCACTCTTTTGTTCCCGAAGTGGTATCCTGGTCATATTGCGAAGACGGAAAAGGAACTCAAGGAGCAACTCAAGCTGATGGATGTGGTTATAGAAGTGCGTGATGCAAGAATTCCCTTGGCGACAAGTCATCCTCAGGTGAAATTCTACTTTCACAGGAATTACCTTTACTCTGCCTCCAAGCCCTTTTTGATCGAGACATCAAAATCTTGATTGAGCAGATGGACGCATGGCTTGGAAATCGGAAAAGGATTTTAGTTTTGAATCGTGAGGACATGATATCGTCTGCTGATCGGAATGCATGGGCCGAATTCTTTTCTAGACAAAATACTAAAGTCATCTTGTCAAATGGGCAGCTTGGAATGGTACTTCATTTACACTCTTTGTTCCATATTTTTGGCATGTTATGGCTATGCAGCTTATCATAACCTTGATTGCATGTGACTGAAGGGTTCAATGAAGCTGGGAAGACTTACAAAATCATTAGCTGCTGATGTGAATGTCAAGCGTAGAGCAAGAGGGCTCCTTCCTCGTCCAGTAGGTTTCGTAATTTTTTCTGCCATGGCGTAATTTCTTAACGTCACTTGGCAATCATAATCATGTGATCTCAATTGCATGTAATTTAGCTCTCAGTTTCTTTACATCCTCTTTGTGGGGATCCGTCCAATCACATGGTGGCAACATCTCACTCTATTTGGGACCTGACGTGGATTAGTTATGTTTATCTATGTTCTTTCAGGTTCGAGCAGGCATAGTCGGATATCCAAATGTTGGCAAGTCTTCATTAATCAATCGTTTGTTGAAGCGCAGAATGTGTCCTGCGGCTCCCAGGCCAGGCGTCACAAGAGAGTTGAAGTAAGTGGCTTTAGTTCTTTTGTACATTACGAGTCATTTTTCTGGAGTTATTTCAAATGGGACCTGCATCTTTTTTCATATATTGCTTCTCCCTCTGTCATGTGCTGGTTAACCACTGGCTCCAGTCTCTAAAGATGATGTTTTATTTCTGTGTTTCTTTCTGCCTTCCTTTTATTGGCTTAGATGGGTCCGCTTTGGGAAAGATCTAGAATTGTTGGACTCGCCTGGAATACTGCCCATGCGGATAAGTGACCAGACTGCTGCAATCAAGTTAGCAATCTGTGATGACATTGGAGAGAGATCATATGATGTTACGGATGTTGCTGCCATTCTCGTACAGATGCTGACAAAGATCCCTTCAGTAGGTCTGTTTTTTTTTTACTTTGATCAAATTTTTTTCCCTAATGAACGTTCTTTCCCACATGTTCCCTAAATACTAAAACAGAGAAACAATATACCCCAAGTTCTCACTGAGAGTGTGCAGATCATGTTGATACCGCAAACCTCTCAAAATTGAGGTCCTTCAATATTAAACTAACAGATTGCTCGCTCTCTCTTGAACGTGTTGAAATGATTTACCTCTTTGCCAAACATCTCTTGTGAGCCATCTGATGAACAGTTGATATCACGTGGAGTATTTATCTTTCTTTATTTTATTCGTTTGTGAAAGTGTTGGGGCTCCAAGCGGATAAGATGTTACTAACAACCGGATTCTAGCCCGTTAACGTTTTTTGTAATGAAGAGGAAGGTTTTTAACCTTAAATTTTGAGGGGATTGGGGTTTCAGATTGGTATATACTTCGTTGATAAAAATTCTGTTAGGTTAGCAATCACTTCTCCCTTACTCTTCTTTCTTTTCGTATTTATTCTTGGTGCATGCAGTGAGCAACATACTTTCAGGAAAAGGAAACAAGGAGTAGGAAATGCCCTCTGCTATGCTATATATTTCTTAGAATGCTTGTGCTTCAGACAACCACTTTTTGTTTTCCGTGCTGTACATTGCTAATCAAAATACTTTTTACATTGCAAAACCAAAAGTCAAACTTTCTTTTGATTATTACTATTTGAGCTACGGTGGTTACGTGGTATTATTTGTGTAATGGAGAAGTAAAAACTCCTTACAAAAGTCTGAAATGACTGCTGACAAACCTTGCTGGGCCTCGTATTGTCTTTGTGGATAAACTATTGCACATGATCTCTGATATCCATTCCTTATGAGAATGCGCTACGATTCTTAACAGCTTTAGACTCAGCTTTAGATTCTTAACAGTTTTAGATCTCTTCATGAGGGATAGTCTTTCTTTTTTTCGGAGATAATTTGTTCCACGAATACTGCATCTTGGTTTCTTCTACCTCTCCTACTGAATCTCAGAAGGGTGTTAGCGTGTTATTGAGTTTATGAATCTGGTTGGTGGTGGCAGGTTCAAGAGCCCTTTACAATCGATATAAGATAGATCCAGATGGTATCGGCGGCAAAACGTAGGATTCCAGCTGCCGCCTCTTAATTTCTCTGTTAGCTTCCTCATCGTTAACTTGGCCTGATTTTTGCCTTATTCTGTAAATTTCAGACTTATCGAGAAGCTCTCCCTTCAACGATTCAATGGCGACAATAGTCAAGCAGCGTTTCGGGTTTTAAGCGACTTCAGAAAGGGCAAGTTCGGATGGGTCGCTCTAGAGAGGCCTCCTAGGTGATATTCATCATCGTTGGGACTCCTTGCTCCACTTCTGAATCTTCTATACGTCATCATTGTATATTAGTGACCCATTTAAGTCAACGGTTCTGCCTTCCAAGTTCCATTGTATCAGTCAGTGATCTCAAGGAACAATCAATCTCCTGATCGCTCCATATGTAAACGAAAAGAATCAGAGTAGTGCCCGATTTTTTTATCATAAATCAAGAGCATTTGGGTTGTTTTCAAGCAGAAGTTTCTTCTACCATGGCCTTCTGATGGGTGCTCGCATGGTGGCCCGTCTGCTCATGGGAAGAGCCACAGAGAGGGTCTGGTTGTCTTCGGGTTTTTCTTCTTGTTGATTGGCACCGTCTGGAAGAGAGAAAGCTTGGCTTTTCTAGGTCGTTCGGTTTATAGCTGGGGAAATATCAGAGCAGTTCATAGTTCAGCTGGAAGAAGATTTTGCCCTCTCCGTCCTCCCCAGGCTAGCAAGAGCAAACTGGTAGGATCCTTTTCAATATTAAATCATGAACAATCGATAGTTATAGTACTTGATGACAACAAGTGATGCAGACTCACTGTTCCTCTCCGTTGGCTCAATGGCGAGAGGGACTTAAACAAGCCAGTAGAACCACGTAACTCGAACGAACATCGGAACCTAACGAGATAAGAGGAACAGTAGATTAGACTGAGAGAGAGAGAGAGAGAGAGAACCAGGCGGCGGACTCCTCTCTAATGAGACGCTTCTAGTAGTCTCACACTCCTTTAGATCTTCCTTTTCGACCCCTTTCTCTTCTCCTTGTTTGTTTCCTTTGTAGTCGATGATACTTCGACGGTTAGCCTAGGTAGTGATGGATCATGGTCAACGTTCTCCATAATAGATGCACGAGTCATCGGATGATCTGAATATCATCCTTCGACCCCAGACGTGATCGTTGACTGCTTCTTCTAAGGCACATGGATGATATTCACGAGTCTACCGATTCCCTCCCCCCCCTTCAATAGGAAGCTTTTCCTCAAGGTTGAAGGTAGGAAATTACATTCGTTCCAAAATCCATCCAAAGGCTTTCAAGTGAATTTAAAAGCTTGTAAACCTTTCCATTTGATCAGAATTTCGTGGCCTTCAGGAGGGTTAGAGTTGCATCACTTCCTTAGGCTGGAGCATATTCTCATCTAATATGAATGGAAGGGGCTGGAGGCTGTCTCACTTACCTAGCACTGGTTGTAACAAAGAAACATGAAATATTGGATGTATCTGGACCATTGGAGTCAACTCTAGTTTATAAGAGGACGCTCTAATATGTCCAATAATCTTATATGGTCCAAAATATGTTAGATAAAGCTTCTTGTTTGGCCATCTTCACAGTGTATGTAATCTGTATGACTGTAACTTGAGATAAATTAGATTGTTGATATCAAAAGATAATTCACATTTGTGTTTATTGTGCTGAAGTTTCATACAATTTTGTGCTCGATTTAGATGGTCTTTTAGTCATAATAATATTTGATTGTGTTCTTGTAATTGCTCGTTAAAGAAGCCATGGTGGTCTGCTGAGTTTCAAGCAAATCAAAGGTGAGGGATCACAGTCATAAACCACTTGAAAAAGAATTAAGTCTAAGAGATACATGATAATTGGTATTACATTGATAACCCACAGAAGCCACTGTGACTAATTGAAATGATTTGAGGCAAAGCATCATAAATATATATTTCTAAATAGCAATCAACAAATTATGTTTGATCATCTATTTGTGGATCATAAATGGTGCTCTAATGAATTTCTATCCTTGCAACTTGAAAAGCTTCTTCAATAATTGGCTGAGAAAGATACAGTCATGATCTGAAATGATAATGAAAGAGGAGTAATGTAGTTTGACCACATCCTTTTAAAAGACTGCTGCGACATCTGAGGTGATATACAAGTGTCTTAAGGGTGAAAAATGAGCAAATGTACTTAGCTTGTTGACAACAATGAGCAATGAATTGAACCCACTTAAACAAGGTAACCCATCAATAAAATCAAGGGAAATCTCATCCCAAATCTTCTACGGAATGAGTAGTGGTTGTGAGAGACCCATGAGTAACAAGGTTTCATACTTGTGTTGTTAACAAATGGAGCATGTAACCAAATCATATTTGATAACATATTTCATTGTCATAAAAAAAATCCAAATGAATGCACTTATAAGTGCATAGAACTCCCGAGTGGCCTCCCGTGATGGTATAATGAGATTCATGAAAAATAAGCAAGATGAAAGAAGAGTTTGACAAAATAAATAATTTTTCTTTGTAATACAAGAGACTTTCATGTATGGAATGCTGGGGTGAATCTTGATGATGATTTTGGAGGCCTAAAATTATTTTGTGTGCCTTTGGATGGGTGAAAATATTTTACTATAATTGTTTGACGGAGATAATTTGTGGAGATAAAGTGGCGACTATGTTTGACAGTTGAAACATCCTAATAACTTGATGAACCAGTATTAATAATTCAGAGAGAGCATCTTCATTCTAGTAAGAACTTTAAATTGCATTAATTGATGTATATAATAAAACAAATTCTTAATTATAAATGCTACCATTTTTGATAGATTATACGATTGTCATTAAATCTCATTCATAGATGGGCTTTAGTTAATATTGTGTGGATAATACTTGACTAGAATATGCAATGAGCCTCTTATTTTAGCATTAGAACTGTGCCCAAAAAAATAAAGAAGGTGTTGGCCTGTAATTCAAAAGGAATAGAGAAATTTGATAACATTAAAATAAGGGTAGAAAATAGTGCATGCTTAAATGATTGAAGGCAACAATTACATCATCATTCTAATTGAAAGAGTCTTGTTTAAGTTATTACATTAGTGATCATGTAATAGAACCATAATTCAAGATAAAGCACTTGTAATAATCTATGAGGCCTAAAAAAACATCAAAGCTCCTTAATATCAATTGCAACTAATTTTGAATAGCTAAGATTTTAGAATATCAACAATATATTGTGGAATGAGAGAATATGATCCAAATAATCAATCAAGGACAACTCAAATCAACATTTTTTTACATTGATATGAAAGTGATTTATCTGCAAGACATAACATACTTGTTGCATATGCTTACATTATGAATAAATGTCCAAAGTATAAATCAGAATATCATCAAATAATACTAACACAAATAATCCTACAAAATATAAATCATGAGATATTTGAAAGTAGCTTGAAATTTAGATAAGTCAAACAACATAATTAAAAACTCAAAATGACTACGAGGGGTTTGAAATATATTTAGAATATCCTCATCTTTTATGTAGATTTGATGATAACCTAATTTCAAATCTAATTTAGAGAAAACTAAAACACTATGGACCCCTTACATGGGAGTGTTGCCACTGAATCCTATAAAAACTTTGGAATTAAGTATACTTGGACTAGAATAATGGCAAGATGGGTGACTTCTTTGGAAGTTCCTTTAAGAGCCATGTGTGGAAAAAATAAAAAATCTTCACTGATATTATCCCCATCTAAGGCTATTCTATGATGTACATCTACACCAATCATTACCTAAGAAAAAAAGGTCATTCTTCAACCATTGACCCTAATTGGATACCTTTTTGATGCTCTCAAGCAAGAGCAGTACTAGGATTAGGTTAGGCCTAGGTACCCATCTCCCAAACCTCAAGGGGTAAAATACATTTGAAGCTAGAGCAGTATCATGGTGGGCAACCACTTAGGAAGGGGCTAGGCCCAAGCACCTTAAGGGAATAAAAAAAAGAAGTCTAAAGCACCATGAAGTTCATCTAATAATTCATTGACAATGAAAATTGTGAATATGTCTTGCTTTTTAACCAAGAGCATTGCACTAAAAAATGAGTTGGTAGAGGGTTTAATGATCCCTTAGTTGTAGATTTCTTTTATAAGTCTTTCGATTTATATTTTTGTATGTGAAGATAATGATATGGGTGGAAATAAATTGGTAGAGAGTCTAAGGATAAATAAGTAATATAATATATATTGTGGTGGGGAGGAATCCCATGTGAAGTAGCAAAGACTAAAAGAAATTTAGAAGATAAAAATTGTGATATCTAGAGAGATGTGTTTTTTAAGCCTTATAATTGTCAATATTGATAGCAATATTAATGTCAGATGTGAGTTGTATTATCTCAATAAGAATTCTATAATTGTGGGTATTTCAAGGCATGAACTTTAGCTAAATTCTATATTTAGATAATCTAAGGTCACCTCATAGTTCTATTATAATGTCACCCAACTAAAACTTCATGATAAGATTCTAGTAATTAAATTCTACTTTACTAATAGTTCAAAGTCATTACATCCTAAAAATGCAATCTACATTGTCTAGTTGAAGGGGAAGAAAATCTTTTGAAAAGATAAGAACTTGTAATTGAATTCAAATTCCTTAACATAGCCCACTACTTGATAAAGAGGTATTTGAACCTATAACAGCTTTAAATTGAGGAATTGTTTGAATAGAAATGTACATTTTATTAATTAATTTAGTAAAATATCAAATTATGAGTGGTGCATATATCAATAAGAATGGTGATATCTTTGAGCATTATAATTTTTATATTTTGAAAACCTAAAGTTGAATTTATAAATGATTTGATTTTCTCTCTTATTATAATGACAAGAAAAGTGTTAATCTATGACGCTAATAAGGCATCACCTTTGATCTATTGAGATATCTTGTCTTCTATGAAAATAAAAATATGTAACTTACGTTTGTATTTATGTCTTGGAGTGAAGCATTCACTATAAGCAAAATAAAGTCATTTGAATTGCCTCACTTGATATTCAACATCTATCAACTAAAAGGAATGACAAGGAGCTTGTTGAACCATGGGTGGCACTAAGTAAGGTGGTGGAAAATCTATAAGTTTTCCTAGAAAAAAAGAGAACCCGCCATGGTATAATAGAGAGCTAGAATTAATCAGTGAAGGAGGCCAAGTCATTCTGCTTTGGAAGAATTGGCTCTACTCCTTAGTATGTTGAGCCCCCTACATACTTTGATGTAGATCCATGGGGGTAAGTAGACAAATTTCAGTCCTAATTTATGACTTTAAGCCCTTGGAAGATATCTTTGAGAATGTCAAGTGAAAGATTAGTGATAGACCTATAACAATTTCAAAATCACATCAATATTCTATAACTCAATGAAGATGTTGCAACTTAAAGAGTTGTTCTTACATATTGACTTTAAAAGAAGGGCCAAAATAAATAAACAAGTGATGAAGAAGATTGAGCCAACTAGTGAAAGGAGCATGACATATGCCCATTGAAACTAATGTAATGTCTCATCAAAAATAATATTTTTGTTTGATAAATTCATCCTTGTGGGTTTTGCCCAATGAAAATAAGATGCTCAAGATGGCAAGTGCCAAGGGAAGAGTCATTGTGTTGATTTGATTGGGATGCACTTCTTGAGGAATAGCATGAGATGTGAACTCAAATTCTTATCCTTCATGAGTTGTTACTGTGATGATGTGAGGGGCTGAAGTATAGTTCTCAATTTCATGTGGACATGAAGTCAATTGAGTAATTTCTTGATGAATTTAAAAGAGTATTTCTTCTGTGACAGCAAACCATATGTGATTCTAAGTAAGGAATCTTGTAGAACTGCTCGTGAAGCTCATTGAGGTCTTTCTCAACTCCAACTCATCCATCCACTTGTACAGGATCCTTTGGAATGAGTAACTCTTCTCATGCATACATGAGAATAATATGAGAGAATATGTAGGACATTGACGATAATGGAAAGAGAAAAAGGAGATGTGGGAGGAGAGAGAGAGAGAGAGAGAGAATTGGGGCACTACACACTTTGTAATATTAAATTATGAACATTAGATGACTAAAGTACTTGATGACAAAAAGTGACAAGAACTCAGTGTTCTTCTCTCATGGCTCAACAGCAATAGGGACTAAACAAGATAGTGGAACCAAGTAACTTGAATGAACACTGGAACTTGACAAGACAGAGTAACTATAGATTAGACCAAGAGAGAAGTAATAGTGACATCAGAGAGAGAGAGAGAGAAAGAGAACCAAATAGTCTCACATTCCTTTGGATCTTCCTTTTCGACCCCTTCTATTCTCCTTTTTTATTTAATTTTGTAGTCAATGATACGTTGACGATTAGCCCAGGCAATGATGGATCATGGTCCACATTCTCCGTAATAGATACAGGAGTCAATGGATGAGGAATGGGTCGACTCAGATGTGGTGTTGCCCGTCTCAAACCCATCACTGAATTACTATTGAGTCAGAATCTATTGGCACCCGTCACATTGTAGAAGAAAGAGAGAGAGAGAGAGAGAGAGAGAGAGATTGGAGAAGCAATCAACATGATTATGCAAGTTTATCCCATTCCATCGGACAAAACAAGAAGAGGCAGGAGAGAGAGAGGGGGGATTGCAGAGACAATCAACTTGATTATGCAGGTTTACAATAAAATATCCTATTCCATAGTACAAAAACAAAAGGAAGAAGCGGAAGTTGGGGGAAGGGGGGGCAGAACGGGCAACCAGGTAGACTCTGATCATTATTGGAGACATTATCACGTCCACACAAGTCCTGTACATCCAAGCGGCAACAGCACCTCACTGTTGCTTCTCCCCAGCAGCTTCTCAGCCAGAAATCTTATCTTCCCCAATTCACACGTTCGACTGGCCGATCACATCCAAGCATCCGCTTGTATCACTACGTGCAAAATGGGCCTCCTTTTTACAGCCTGGCCTCTGCCCCATCCATGATCCTCTCTCTCTCTCCCCCTCTGTCTCGCGGGCGGCGCTCTGAATCTCGGCTGCAACATGGGTAGACCGCGGGCAAGGGACATGGGTCACCCTTCCTGCCATTCATCAGTTCCTCAGGCCATCCAATCTGTCAATCACATCCAATGCCTTGTTCCTATCTATGTCAAAATTGATCACAGGAAGCATTGAGGGCCTTCTGGCAGGAGGGGAGGCGAGCTCCCTGTCGGCGCCACTGTGCGGGGAGTAGCTGATGCTCTTGCTCAAGCGGTTGTGCTTGCTTAGTCTCGTCCTCGAGGGGCCAAACTCTTGGCTCTTGCTTATCCCCGGCGTCAATCTCCTGTAGTAGACTTCCCGCAGCATCTCCTTGTCTTCCTGGCTGAGGATCGGAGAGGGAGTGCTGGACCTGTTGCTCGAAGGTTGGTTGATGGGGGACCGAATGGGGGATTTGATGGGGGATCTGATGCCATTGCCGGCCCTGGACTGGCTGACGAGATGGTGCAGCCACACGACCAAGTCGAGGATGTAGGCCTCTGTCTTGTTCTTGTCGGCGTGGTGCAGTGTCTCAATTCGGATTAAGTCGGTCTGCCCAGCTTGCTTTCGACTTAGCTCCGACCTGGAAAACATGCCAGGAAATAAAGAACATGACACGAAAGAAGCTCAGTGTCAGAAATTTTCCCAGATGGATGATTAGTACAAAGAAGAAAGGGACCCATGTTCTTGTTGTTAGCCTACCCCGTGTTTGCCCACTCTCCAACCCAGCCGAATCCATGATGAGCTCTGGAAATTTTCAGTATCCACAGTTATACAAAGAAGACGCTCCGGTAGAATCAGACGATTCCAAGTATATATATAAATAAATAAATAAATAATAAGAAAAGAGCATGCTATTTAGTTTATAGGAGAATAAAAATGTAAGAGATGCCTTTACTTGGTGGTATTGTTGGCAATTGGCACGAGCCATCGCAACGTTTTCTCCATTTCATCTTTTATCTGTGCCACAGTGAGCTACACGCGAACATGAAACAATCGGTTGCCATTAGCATGGAGACTATATAAGTCGTATTAATGCTCAACAACGTGCCATAAGAGGGTGAAAGACTGGAGCATCTCCAACCTCTTCCTTTATTTCGAAAGACTGCAACCGAGAGCGTAAAGCGGATTTTATGCTTGGGGGTAATCCTTGGTAAAGTGTGTCCCGTGTATTTGGCGGGATGGAACTTGATCTTGATACCTGCAAAAAGTTCACATTAGTAAAAAAAAAAAAAGAAAAAGAAGGGCAATCGTTTCTACGCATAAAAAGATATAAAATCGAAATCTGCAATGATACACCACAGAATAGGCTGATCCTAGTATTTGGGTGGGGAAGGGGATCCGATCCTGCCTTGAATGTATCAAAAGGAAACTAAATCCGACCGAACAGGTCGAATAATGGGCTGGGCTGGGCTGGACTGAACTGAACTGAGAGCGGTCAACTCTGGAGAGATCAGCTAATCTTGGCTGATGACTTAAACCTTACTCAGACTGGTCAGCTCCAAGCAGCATAGCTGCTGTGAAGGGCAGCTCATTAGAGGGCGATAGAGGGAAAAAAAAAAGGGAAGGAAACAGTGGGGCAAGAAAAGAAGAGGGAAAAATATTAATAGTGATAATAACCTGGAGCCAATATCAAAAACCAAAATTGACTTCTAATAGCTGCTGGCAGGGCACTGGCGGCTTGAAACCTCTGCCATATATACCTCACCAGGAACCATCCTACCCATGCCATGCCAAGAATCGGGTTTGGGAGAGGGGTTTTGGAAGAAATAATCTTTGCTTGAATGCACTTTAGGGATAATTGATTTAATGTGCTCTTCTCATAAATCTAGTCATCAATAGTTCATAAAAGCATGATTGTAATATTTTTTCACATTTTTTACCCATATTCAGCACGTCCTTTGGATTGGCTTCTCTGCCCGATTTTGTCCAATCCAATGTGGATCATGTCAGGCCTGAAAGATTGAGACACCTGGTCCGATACCAGTGCCACAGCCTTGAGAGCTTATAGATTCCAGTGCCCACAAACCTCAGCAATCTTGCCATTATATTTGATCCAGAGTTCCATGCCCCCGATAGCTTACAGATTTTAGCACTCATACGTTAAAAATATGGACATCGGGCAACTGTGTAAAATCTAAAAATCATTGCCAGTTGACTGTAAGCCTTTATCCAGTAAAATCTTTGATGGGCATAACAATCCTATCTCAGAAATTGTTGATGGAATTGTCGTTGAGAATCTATTTTTCAAAAAATAAGGTGACATAGACAGCCGCATTTTTGCTTCCTTTCTTGAAACCTCTGAATCCATTGGATGACCAAGGAGTGAAGATTATATTCATCCATTTGGCAGTGAAAACCTGTATACGTGGAATTTCACCAGAAATTTGAACCCTTAAAAAACGGATTGTCGGATAGTATAGCGAAAATCCTAGACAAAACCTCTTAACACCACTCCCAGCCAAAAATGAAAGAAAAATATGCACATGATCTATTCCCATGGATCCTCCAGATAATATTTTTGTTAACCGTTCCCCACTATTACCTGAGGGATTAATCTTCTCAATTATAACAGATTCCAGTTTTCTGAAAAGCAGTGATGAAAAACAGTAGCCTTAAATAAGCGAGAAATAGCTAGAAAGATGAAACAGAGCATATAATCAACATCTATAAATTAACATGCAAAGATTAACGCATTTCAAACACATTTCAACAATATAAATTAAACCGAAAGTCATAATTGAAAAACACGAACTGTCAACTGAAGACATGAACTCACAAGAGTGTCAATTTGACTGATAACATTTGCATAATGCAAAGCAAGGCCTGCTGAACCCAACCTCTGATGAGTGCAGAAAGATCCACCCAAAGGTGTATCACTATCTGCATTTGATAACAACATAGAAAATGAGTTCTCAACAACTAAGAGGTTACATACAACTAGGACTATAGGCTTGCAAGAGGTAATGCACAAACTGTTATTGTAATACATTTCAATATTATATCTCGAAAATTATATTAGATACATGAAAGCTTTAGTTCAAGAGATCTGGAAAATTCCACAATTTTACGCTACTCAGGAATTTTCCACTGCGTCCTCACCAGTCACGCTAATCAGCACAGAAACCAAGACGTTAATTGTACAGTCACTTTGCGTCAAATTGAAATGTTTTCGATTTCCAGTCAACGTTGAAATGAGTGACACATTTAAAAGAAGTTCTCATAACAATCTAAAGCATACGCATTAAATCCACAGAGACTACGGTAGAAAAAATTCACATCCGCATCATTTTACTCACGGTTGCATCTGATAGAGAAATCATTAAATAAAAACTTCGATGGAAGACGAAATAAATCCATTAGACCCCCAGTGCCACCAACAGAAAAATAAAGGCTTTACATACATTTGAAAAATATCAGATGTGAAAAAAAACTTTAAATGATGACTGCATGAGCTATCAGTCCTTTTGGTGTCAATGAACTTCGTACAGGATTAGTAATCATATACAGATGCTTTGCATGATATATAGAATTCAGAATGATGTTATTCATTTACTACAACACTTGGGGATTTCATACGTGTGTTATTACGGTATCATGAGGAAAATAAAATCAAAGGACCACTAAAATTATCAGGGAAGGGGAAGTACCAGCACTCCCAAATGCTTCATGAATCTCCAGATGTAAGACGTGGACAATGTCTACCAACTTCTCCATGACCTGCAAAACACGTCACATCATTGTCTGTCATACGAGATGGAAAGTACGTTTCTCTGCGATTCAAAGGCTTCTTTCACACTTATCTACAGAGCCATTTCCTCTGATATTAAGATTGCCAGAGGATTAAACAAGTTTCGTCACAAGAAAATACCTACGAGGAGAAATATGCACCTAAAATACCAAAAATTATTGTTACTGTCAAATCTAATCAAAAGAGCACGAAACAACTTTTTATCTTTGGAGAGACGACCTGAATGATAACTTAAAGAATAGAAAATACAGGAAACCAGGCAGTCGCAAAGAGATAATTAGTTATGTCATATCCATAACTGGGTACAAAGTGGCTCACAATTATTATGCATGCCATGTGAAAAATGAACAAAAAGAGCACATACCTCCTCCAAAATCCTGGACCAAAGTGATTTTTTCTTCAAATTTTTTACATGCTTTTTTTGGCTTTTCAACTCTTGCCTCAAAATTTGAAGATTGTCACCTAAAAGTGGAATGGAGAAGACATGGTGAAACAGGACAGTCCACAGAAAGATAACAACAGAAACATAGGAATTCCGACGGAATCACAGAAATCTTCTCCACCTATCATTGTTGATTGATTTAAGATTATGAATTAATCAGTCTAACAATTCTCCAATAAAGAAAGAAATTTCACGGTTGTTAGTCATGTACTCAAGCTCCCCACAAGCTCGTGAGAATTGCAACCATATCTATCAAATGATCCACTAAAATTATGGGAACTCCTCTATACCAACTAGAGTTCCACAAAGTAGAGGTAAGAACCTCTATATCGCCATCCAACTTCTATTTTCCATGGACACGTTTTCTTCAGTACAATTATTATGACTTATTGAATTAGATGGTTTTGCAGAGAATGCTAAAATTCATGGACACGTTTCATTTTCCATGTTAGACAGCTGATATTGAATTAGCCATTTAATTATCACTTAAACTGTTATCTTCAGTACAATTATTATCATTTCCATGTATTTGCAATCAGAATGAAAATAATATCCATCAGCAGTAGCGATATTCCGTTCTACGTAATAATCAGCAGAAGGAAAATTATATTCTTCACTGGATGCATCAAAATGCGATAATAGAAGATGTAAATCATAGTACTAGCCGGTATAAAACCATGCAGCTGTATGCGCAGTTCAGCATCAGTTCAGCAGCCTATTACATCACAAATATAACACATCCGAGAATACTGCCCTAGTAGATTCCAGTTCACAGTAATTTAATTACTAAGCCACAAAATGTGTTCGCAGATAAATTTAAAACACGATGGGCACTATACATCTCCTGGAGATAATGACTAAAGATTCTCAATTTCAGTTCATGCAGCTGATTTATAACTTGGATATCCTGAATCCAATTTCAGTTCATTTTTAACACTAAACCCACTACATAACCCATGATGAGCTTGGAAATGATACCATCTAAAATAAAAAGTTTTTAAAGTCCTAGCTCACCTTTTTGAGCAGAATTAGAGTTCTCTTCCAGCTGTTTCCGTTTATAATCTTGCTCAAATCTGTCGAGAGCATGTAGCTCATGATATAGTTCCTGAAGAGTAGAAAGTTAAAATAATAACAATCTTCACCGCACAGCGTTGTATGTTTCAATTATTAAATTTGCAACAAGATAGAAAAGTAAAACTGAAGTCATGTTCCACCGAACTGAGAATAGACCAAATGTCGCCGCCCAATTTATCAACAAAATGGTCCACATTCAAAATACCCAAAACTTCTAGGTCAAACTCAAACATCAGGTGTAATTTCTTTTGCAGCTGACCAAATGGACATGAGTGCTTACAAGCCCATTTGATTAACTGGGACAGAATTCCCAGACCAACAAAATCAGTGAAATATTTATCGCTCAATAGTTGTGAAGAAAGTGGGACAGAGTGTGAACAACGACAAATATAGAGCAGAGAGGGCCATTAAATGGTTGAGCAAAGGAGTGCATGATTCTTTAACTGAATTGTCAAGAACAAATATTTTAGAGCAATGGATGCAGTTTTCTCCTACAAATTGTTCTCCAGAAAAAGAGATTTTTCATGATAGAGAATTTTTATGAATACTCATGGCTTCAAGTGGAAGCCGCGTCAGTGAAATTTCAGCAGATGAATAATGTGTTTCAAAACAAGAAGGCATATCGATCAGTTTTGGAAAAGCAAAGAACATGATGCTTATGGATTGTGAAACAGCTACTATATGAAGCTTCAAATAATGCATCCTGTAAATCATGACCAGAAAAATAGCCTCTCATGGACCGGGCTATAGTTTACTGTGTTCCCTTCTGTTTTCTGCTACATTGTGTAGTTTTCCTCGCACACTTATAACAGTGAATTGTTTCCACGCCTAATGAACAAAAAAGACTCGGGAATGGAACATTAGAAGATACCAAATGGGAATTTATGAACTTTGATACTCCTTAAAAATATCCCTGCAACAGCAAACTGAAAATTATCTTTCCTTTTTTAAGATCAAGTGATGTGTTTTAAGGTATACCACAACCTTTCAAGATAAATACCAAGAAAGCCTCATAAAAAACAATCAAGACAATTCAACTGGCTGTACCGCCAATGGGACAAAAAAAACAAAAAGATAATTATCATAATCCTGAAACATAAATTTTAGCAAAAGAAAATTCTCTTTGATGGAAAAAAAAACAGTTTCACATCTACAGAAAAATCGGTAGGTTTCCATCCACAAAAATACTCACAGCCGTGTATTGAACCATTGTCATCAATTGCTGCATTGTAACTTCTGCATCTTCTTTCAATTGCTTTTGTGGTGTAAGTTCTGACCCCAGTCTACATAAAGGTAGCACAAAGGAATCAAGCACTCCAAAATTTACAGGTGGATCATATGGGAAAAAAAGAGAGGGGACGGTATCATTACTTTTCAAAGTAGCGGTTTAAATTATGCCACTGAGGGTCCTTACAACGATTTCCAAAACGAACAACTTCTCCAGAGAAAACTTTCAACTCGTCCCTAAATATTTGGAGCAAGAACAGAGAAAAAGTGAGTTATTTAATGTAACAAAACCAGAATTCACAAATATCGATTAAAATTCGGTCAAACTTTATCACAATTTCTTCATTTTAATACCTTTTATCAGAAGCAGCAATCCTTAGCAGTTCATCCGTGTCTTTGGATATTAAACGCTGCACACCTTCTGAAGGGAGCACCACCTCCTTTAAATGTTTGATGCTCTCCTTTGAAAGAGATTGCATAAGATTGGAGCCTTTGACAATTGTATTAGCAACCTCAAATGATAAAATAGCAATTTTATTGCCTTTCATTGTCATGCCCGAAACAAAACCAGCACTCATATTCAAATTTGTCATACTACTGCCGAGAGTGTCCAACACTTCCACTGCCTTTCCAAGACCCACGGTACCCGCTCTCCCCAAAAGTGAGCTAACTTCTGACACCTGTGAAGAATTGTAGGTCATCAGGATACAACCACTCATTAAAATTTAACCTCTCAATCAAAGGAATGTTAGATGGTGGACAAGTACCCTGCACAAAACAATTAACCAAGCATATACATTATTCCAGACAGCAAGAAGTGGACCAGCATAGAATTAGTGACATGGAGAGCGACTGAACAGTATTCTATGGCTCATTTGGACATAACACTGACACATAGCCTGCATCACTCCTGAGAAATGTGCTGGCAGCTAAATACTGAATTGAATCCCGATGAATCAACAAAGTTACTGGTATAAACAAAAAACCATAAAGAGAGGAGATAGTAAGAAATAGAGAACATCATGTTAAAGAAGAAAGAAGTTGATGGAAATCTTCGATTGGAACCGACAAAAAGAACAAAATACAGGATACGACCAATCTCAATTGGTTGCGCACCAACTGCACTCTGTAAAATAGTTTAGCAGTAAGAAGTGCTGATACAGCAGCTAGGGAGCTCCTATCTGTTCCCAATGAAAAAGGAGGAAAATATAGAACACTAGTACATGAGAAAGGTAAAAACAAACAAGCTAGAAACTAGTACACGAATTAATTTCCTATACTTTTCTAAAATCCTAAACTGAGGAAAACAAGGGACGGAGAAAGGTTTGCATGCACGGACAGAATTCATTAATATTTGTCTAAAATGTAAGGCCATTAATTCAAAATTCACTGTCATAAGATTACTTGTGAGACAAAACATGACCTGGAAGGTAATTGCTGACTAAAGTGGCTGGGGACTTGGAACAAGAAGTTAGCGGAAAATTTAAACAAGACAGAATGTCAGGGTTAGGCACGTAGCTGAAAATGAGCAAACACAAAATAACATTGATGGTCAGTTTTTGCTTGTGTGTGGCCGAAGGTACTTAAACAAGACTTAGGGTCAAAAGTATTATCTTCGTGCTGGGAACTAGATTCATCTTCCAAAGTAACAAGTTGGACAAGCATGTTGTTTAGGATTTTCTTGCCGTGGGATAATTCACTGACTATAATGATGAAATAGAGTGAATAGAATGGTGTAAATGACCCGTCCAAGCGTGAAATCAAGCCTGATTCATTTTACCAGTCTTGGGCTTTAACTTTCCGGCCTTTTACAATTGCTAACTGGGCCAAGCTTTGGTTTTGTCAACGTCAGGCCTATCAGCCGAGGCAACAATAATAACTCCTATCTAACTGAGGCAAAAAGGAAACCCGCATACGTAGCCAATCGCCTTGCCCTTCCCCCATGCAATTCCACTGCTCCATTCCTGGCAGCAACCTGCGCCTGACGAGTCCCCATGAAGCACCTACCAACGCACCTAGTCCCGTCGCCATACCTCCACCCATGCACCACCTGGCAATCCCCTCCCTCCGTGAAGTGTTGAATTTTCATGAAAATGCTACTTGCCAACAAACTAAATTTACACAGAAAGAGTTTCAAGAAACGAACAAACATAATTAGAGACTCACGTCAAGGAAAAAAGTAGAACCGACATTCCATGATTCGTTCAGAAAATTTCAGAAAGAGTGTTATTAATGCAAAAAGTACAGTGCTTAAAAAAATAGGAAGCCAAGGATCAAGCTGGTCCTGTTGATGGATTGCTGAAACTTGAATCATATTAAGAAAAATGAAAGATTTATGAAACCCAAATAAGTCTCTACCAACTTCAAAGAGGCACTAGAATAGCGTAAAAATAAATTATCTGATAATTTTTAGATATGTTACTAAATTATACTTTACCGAAAAGTGGTGATGATAAGATTCATGACTCAATAATGGAATAGCCACTTGAACTAACAACTAAAGATCAGAAGAACCACAATGATTAAGTTCGAGATCAAATGATGTCTATCTTCATTAGGAGTTGGATTTCCCAATTCATGCCAGCCAGAATTTATAGTCAGGTAATACCAGTGATTCACAAGGACGAAAATATTGATCATTTGTTCAGTTCCACACTGCTTATGATTGTCCCGTTATTAAAGCATTTGTATGCTCATTTTTCGGTCAATACTTATTTATTTTCTACTACAACAACAAGACGCGCGCAATATAAACTCACCTTAGTCGTCCCAGTCTTTGCTGGGGAAGACAACTTCGAGGTAGTTGACCTGGACTTTTGGGAAAGAACCCTGGACAATTGGGGTTCCCTCAGCTGGCCAGCATCGTCCAATACGTCTCTGCTGATGGGGGTTATTCCTTCCGAAAATGAGAATGGTTGTTCTCTGAACTTCTTGTCCGTGGTGTCACCCACATTTGGGGGATTCGTAATCTCCTGCGTCTTTCGTGGGAACCCCCGGGACTGAAATGCCAGGGGCTCGGGATTCCTGTAGCCATTTGCCTGGAGAGTACTCTCGCTGGGCGATTTATCTACCGCAGATCTCTTTGAGCAAAGTCCACCCATCGTCTGTAGCTGCTGGGAAGCTAATTTATATTCTGTAGGCTATTTTCCATGTAAAATCGATGAAAAATCTAATCGCAAGTAGGTATGTATTCCCTATCAGAGGAACTCCATTGACGAATTAAGAGGAAGCATCGATCGAAAACACGAATTCAGCCGCAGATTGAACTCCAAACCTGAGGAGATCGGCCTGCAATTCAGAAAGGAAAGACACAATCAAGATTTATATTACGATTTTAATAATCTCGTTAAAGAAAACCCGCCACAGAATCCGTCCATGCAGACGCAACCCAAATCCGAAGTCCAAGCAGGAGAAGAAGGCAAATAGAACGGGCACGAGATCAGACATCCAGCGGACAAGCAAGTACAAGATGTAAGATCACGTCACCAGATGACCAGAGGAATAACACAAACGGGAAAAGAAAGAAACCTCCGAGACCGGTCGAGAACCAGTTGAGAAGAAATCAGATTCACACGGTCGGACAGTGAACACCCCGACGCTCCCTCTTACACTGATTCAAGCACTAGAACGGAGAGATGAGTCCACAGACGGATACGCCGCCGAACTCTCGGCTCCCAGATGGAGTGGGGGAAGGAAGGGAGAGGGGCGGTGATTTTGGTCGCTTCTGCAACAGCAACCTGTTCTGAGTCCACCCACACGCAAGAGAAGAAGCAGCGAGAGAGAGAGAGAGAGATAGAGAGAGAAATGAATTATTATTTTTTTGACAAAACTTACTCCACCACATCTGTTGAGGTGGAACTGGTCAAAACACGGCCTTGCGTCCAACCCCAACCTATGGTCACCTAGTTGACCCCCAGGGTTAGCCCACTGCTGGTCCACTCTCGGGATTCCGACGGACCATCATAAGCCGGCGGGGTCGCAGCGGCGGGTAGACGCGGAGGGGCTCCCCAAACCACGGCGCATAATGCTCCCGCGAGACACGGAACGTTTAAAAGCGGTCATAGCGGAGCGGGGAACGTGAAACCCGTCTCCGGTCAGCACCCTCTAGAGCCTACTGGACCATAAAATAAGTCCCCTACGACTCTGCTGACCTTCGGGATCCATTTAGTTATCCTAGCGCACAGTTCCCCCCGTGGGTCCCGCACCGAGACACAGACGAGTCAGCGGACGCTATCAATGCATTGACAATGATCTGCACGGGGCCCGCTAAACTAGACGGTCAACCGTTAGGTGGGTGGACATCCATTCGGCTACGGACACAGAAATACGTGATCTTTGCAGAGACGTGAGAGTATCGAAGGTCCGATATTTAATGGAGGAATCGCTTGACCGAATCAACGGTCTCCGCGGACGAGGAAAGCCTAGAAACATGATTAAGTTCGCCGCAAGGCCAGGGAGACTTCCGTGAGTTGACTCTCCATCTCCAATCATCAGCTGCCGACTCGGCCCATAAACTGTACCCGATCCGGACCCAGACAAAAAGTTAAGAAAATAGGCTCCAGCCCGGTCATACCCATCACAGAGAGAGAGAGAGAGAGAGAGAAGGTTCCCTTGAATCGAAACCCAACATCAAGACGGGCGTTTGGGTAAAAGAAGGCATTTTTACAGAAGTAGGGGACGATGGACCTGCTAGTACCTGGAGTGGGAGACGAGGTCCTCCAGTTCGTCAATGATGGCAGCGTAGCACAGAAAGAACTGTTCCTGATGATGATTATCAAGAAAATTCGAGGGTAAGCTTCTGAAGGAGATAAAGATGTGCCCACTGGAAGAGGAAAGGGAGGAGGAGGGAGGGTACCATCGTCTGAACCATCCCCAGTCGCTGGGATCTGAAGTGAGCGATGGTGCCGACGAGATCCAGAGAGGACATGTCGCCCGTGAGGATTCTCTGCAGCGTGTTGTGGATGGCACAGTAGGTTCCGGTTCTCCCAATTCCAGCGCTGGGGAAGAGAGGGAGGAAGAGGTGCAATTGAAAGTCACTTGAGTCCATCCAAAGCTCGGGCAGAACTGCAAGCGCCTGGTGGGTGGGCGTTGATGTCGAACCTGCAGTGGACGACGATAGGGCCGAGATCGGGGGGGACGTGGTACAGCCTCTTGAGAATGTCTCTGACAGAGACAGTGTCATCGGGGACGCCATGGTCAGGCCATTCAGGGTACTGGATGTGAAGAACAGGCAGGGGGGGCTCTTCTGACTGAGGCAGAAGAAGGTTAGACACATCCTTGCATGGATACTACACACGAGCTCATGTAGATATGTGACAATAAGAAACAGAACCAAAGATGCCAAATGGTCAAAGAGGAGTATGTGTAGCCTCTACACACTTAGAATATGACGATCAACCAATAAGATCAAAGTACTGCTGAGTCAATGCGGTATATGCCTTGTTGGTTTATGCCTGTTGTATTTGTAGCGATCAGAAGGATGCATTAGTTGCCCAAGATCGAATGCAATCGATTCTGAATATACCATAAAGAAGCTGAGGAAGAAATAATTTAGATGAAATGAAACATAGCATATACTACTGAGATAAATAAATATATATATATTATATGAAGTATCCTCTGTTACGATATGAAGAATCAATAAACGACTTCATCCCATCTTTTCTAACAAGGAACATGCAAACAAGCGACAAGTATTGATGAACCCATATTTACGTTTCTCCTGAACAGCTCTGTAAAGGCCCTCTCTTTATTGAATGAATAGTAGTTTATCCCATTGAAAAAGCATGTTCCTGGCTTGGATATGTTCTCTAGGAGATCTGCAATGAATTTGACCCAAGACTGAACGAGAACCAATTTCTGTCAGTTTATCACCAATACAGAACGGTATTATCATCACCGACAAGCCTCAATATGACCACGAAAGTCTTTTTTTTTTCCCGCATCAATCAACAGGACCAATTTCAGTGGTCCAAAGTAGAATTAATTCTACTCCATTTTGAGACGCAATGTTCTCACTTGATATAATTTAGAACAGACTCTAAGTTTCAGGTTTTAGAGCACAGCCGTCTGTTGGGAAGCAAAAAAGACATTCTAATAGAAAGAATGAATACATTTAGTGAAAACATGAAAATGAACAGCTCATAATGTATTCCTTGCCAGGAGTATCAAGCATCGGCGTTTTAAAATTTTGAGCAGGTGTGACAGTAAGGAAAACATAACAATAATTGTAATAAATAACTTGACATGACCCAGGTCAAGGTTGAGACACAAAAGCTGCAGGTTTAACATCCAATCTAATTTTCGAAATCTTTCCACGCGTAGTTGTTATTTCCAAGAAAAACACCAAGCATGCACGTGTTGCACATAACGGTGCATTAGCATGAAGCTCATCTGTGAGCGATAAGAAGAGAAAATGAAATGACATTATTCTTATGCAGAATTCACCAGTAACTAGGCATAAATAAGCATCTAATAAGCATCCGACTCACATCTTTATACTTCACCTCCATGGAGCGCATTACTAATGAAGAGTGACTTATCCTTGTACATTTTGTGGAAACACATATCTTTCCGAATTCTCTGACGCCACTCTCAGCTTGAAAATAATCAGCACATTTTTTCATCATCTGCCGTATATATAATATGGGAGATATTTTGAATCAGCAAAGAATTCTATGAAGTACTGTACTTGAAGAAGAATGGAATGCAGTCTACTCATCAATTATTCATTTTTTGGAGGCTTATAAGAAAGAAATCATGGTATCACCTTTCTAAAATGAAAAACTCACATGTGAACTTAAACCTCAGTATCATGTATCAATACGAACAGTTGGTTAAAGATAATTACATGGAACCTGATACGAAACGTGGGAAAACATAAAATCCATAACACGCGAAAAGAAAAGGAGAATGATCACTTATACGATTGTACTCCTTCCATAAAGAACTCGCAGGAAAGCAGCTGACAAATGCATGGAGCAACCAGTGAGTGATCACTGTCGTAAGCACAAGATTACTGGTTAAGCGATGCTGAGGTCCAGAAGCTCTTTGTACCATGAAGGAGAATAAATTGTTCAGCCATTGAATAATCCTTCAAGAGGCTTATCTCCATACCATAAAGGAGATTTATGATGGGAAATTCAAAATAAATCATTGTACCTTAATCATCTAAAACCGTTTAAAGACCAACGGAATATGCATCACCAAGAGGGAAATTACTCGCAGAAAATGGTAAAATTACCTTCGGATTGTCAACCATAGTTAGCATCACAATCACAGGGCACCGGTACTGTAGCACCATTTCCCAAAAATTCTCAAAAGTATTTGGGAGTGGACCTTGGGTAGCAATAAAGCATGAAACATTTTCAATGGGTGACTGCATGGAAGAGAGTTTCTCTCATCAAGAAGAAAAATAAATGCTTTAAATAAGTTTCATAAGATAAATGATTCTGATGTCAGCACGGTGAAGGAAAATATATCTTTAACATATACCTTGATAAAACTTGCATTGATGTAATCGCTTCCTAAATCATTTTCAACATTGGTTGACTTGAGAACGACTCTACAACTGTCAACTGTCAACAGAAAACAAGAAACAAAAGCCACCCATTATCTTTTAGTTTTAGTAATGTGAATAGTTCGACATTAACAAGGGAGCTTCATCAGTAGAAAGATTATGTACATTATATTCTGGACAAGTTATGAAATGGATCAAAGGGACCTTACAAGGCAAGACATCGGTGTAGCGGTTCTTGTCTAAATTGACATCTTGGAGTGCAGCATTGCACCTTCTGAACAGATCATCTCCACGTACCCTCATTTCCTAGAAAACAAGTATAATTTTGAAACTTGAAGAATACGAATCATAAATGAAACAGCAAAACTCAGCTGTTGTTAATGACAAGGAAAAGCGTGAAATTATCAGGTATTTTTAATCTTAGCCCACCTAGTAACGATGGGGTAAGAATTACGGAAGGATGGATACGACGCGGCATTTCCATTTGAAATTACGATAGTAGGGACGTGCCACAAATAAATGTTTCCCAAAGAAACCAGATTTTCGCCACTTCTCACGAATGTGAGAGAGGCGTGTCAAAAATCGGCTAACAGCAATCCAATGGAGAGAATAAGACAAAAGCACTATCCATCCCTCGAGAGCGAGTGGGCCATATCTTGCTACAATCCTTCCAGAAGTAAAACTAAGCGTAAAGCGCTTGTGATTCTCAACACGATCCCCATCATCAGTTGCAGAGCAGAAACGTGATTCTCAACGCGTAAAAAGAAGAGATATTTTACAGGGGAGTCGGGAGAGTACCTGCAGGGACTCGAACTCACGACTCAACTCACGCGGAGAACGGATCTTCTTCTTGAAGGCATCGAGAGCTTTGGAGCAGCGGCTGAGCTGCTTGGCCGAGAGTCGCTGCCTCGGAGGTGGATCCTGAAAGAGGTCGTCAGGCGAAAAGGTAGAGGCGACTGGTGGAGGAGGGAAACGGGGCGGCGCACGCGAACTAGCGGCCATCGCCGTCTTGCGGCGGCCACCACGAACCGCAGTGTTCCCCGTTGCTCCTCCCTCCGATCGCCGCCCGCGCGGCGTTCTCCCGTCAATCCCCCGTGAAATGGAGAAGATGATCAAAGTCTCCGCGAGCAAAGCAACGGGCGGAGGGAGACGAGTTCGCAAATCAAACGCAGAGGAGGGAGAAGAATCTTTTCTGAGCGGTCTTTGGGAATCCTGAAAAGCTATGCGGCTCGGCTCGGCTCGGCTCGGCTCGGCTCCCCTATCTCTCTTGACTCAGGCTGACCTTTGGGCCCGTCCTGTCTACATTCTTTAGATTACCATTTTTTTCTGATTTTTTGTTAAATAAATAATCTTATTACGCCAAAAGACTCAGATAACATCCAAATCATAACTTACCACCGAACTTCGGGGGAAAATTACTTTTCACCCCTCAGAAAGAGCAACTCACACGGTGTTCTATCTTCTAGCAGCAAAATTCAAGTAATTCGAAAAAAAAAAGATCGGAAAAATACCCTTCACCGGTAGCAAGTGGATTTAGAAGCCAGACCCATGCAATACTTTTCCTTTCCCAAGGTGGTTACAAATTACAAGAATTTGAAATAGACCCATGTTCTCTGCACTAAAAAGGAAATAAAAATCGGAGAAATACCCTTCATTCAATTCAAGAGTGAGGCCCTAGAAAATGAAATGAATTCAGAAGCCAAGCCTATGTGATCCTCTCCTTGATCAGAACTGCTATCAAGTTCCTAGAATTTGCAACAAACCCATGGTTCTCTCTACCAAGATGGGAAGAAAGATTGGAAAAAACCAGTTGGTCAGCAAACGACTAGCCCTCTACCCACATCTTTCCTATGTTGCCGCCTCCAAGAGGTTTCAGGTGGCACTGCTGGGTTTTCAGCCATGGAGAGGTCCCACCTGTTTGTCCCCCGCCCCCCCTACAAAAATAAAATAAAATTGGAGTGTTCCCTTCCTTCGAGCTATCCTTCACAGTCTGGAACAATTAAAGGAGGTTTTGAACGAGGCAATGCGGGTAGATTTTTCTTTTGATCATCTTCTCGTTCATGGACCTGCAGGTTTGGGCAAATCTAGGGAATTCTTTCCTGCGTTGAGCCAGTTCCGGCACTGAATCTATTCCAATTCGGCTGTTTCGAGGTCATAACGCCAGCCCAATTCTCGCAGAGATTTACCTCGTGATTTGGACATTCTCCTGGAGACAAAAGCTTCTCAATCCTCTGCATCATGCAGAAAATAGCTTGATATTAAACCTTACATATATCTAAGAATGTACTTATGCGGACCAAGTGAAAATAAAAAATTAAAAAAATATATGAACAGAACTCCTACCTTGTTTCTTCATTTCCAAATGGGCGCACAAGCTTTTTTTTCAATAAACAAGTTCCAGGAAAAAGCATTAAATTTACGGTGCCCAAATGACAGAGGTGCGCAAATAGGGTAATCTCCCTTCTCTACAACTCTCTACAACTCTACAGGTCAAAATAGCCTCGACTAGCAGCCTTTGAATAGGGTAATCACCTAAATTATCAGTCCTTGGATTAGGCTACTGATAATGTCGTAACCATTTATCTTAGTTGTCTATCTGTAAAGGCAATTGTCAATATCAAACCTATTAACAGACTTGCACTTGTAAAACTGAAAATATCAGAAACTTATTCTTAGCCCTTCACTTTCCTGCCACGCTTCTGACAATCTCATTGCTAGAGCTATTTCTCACGATATCACCTGCACATTACCTTTACCATCTGTTGGAGATTCAATGTGTTCGATTCCCACCAGATCAAGTTAGGTCATATTGCCATGATGAATTATGAGGGCAGCTAGCTTGTATCAAAAATAACAAGTAAAAAGGGTGATTTTTTATATTCTGAGAGTACATTTATAGCTATTTAATCTAAAATGGTGTAACTTGAGCTATTTTATATCCGAAGAATATCGACTCTTTATTCCCCAATGACTCAATCTGTACTCCTCTCCCATTGGGGAAAGGACGAGTCAGAGCAACAAAGAGTGGGCAGTCGTGAGGATTAGCCAGAAGTCAATTGTTTTTCAGTTCTTCCATTTTCTGTTCTCCTTGTACTGTAACTGCTGCTGCGATCCCCTTCCCACTTCTTCCTCGGTCCTCTTCACCTTCACTGATCCTTTTCTTGCTCCTGCTCTTCTTTCTTCTTCTCTGACTCTTCCTCTGAAGTACAAGAGAAAAATCATAGGAACCTTTTCTATAGTCTGGTCCAACCCAGGATCGGTTGATATTATAGTTTCATTTTTGTTATAACTTTAACGGGAGGGGATAGAGGTTCTCCCTAAAAATCATACCAAGGGCACTGGTTCACTGATATGGATATGTGAAAAAAATCAAAACCCAATTGGTTTTGGGTGGAGTATGCTCATATTTTTCAACCACATGAATTAATTCCGTCATCAGATACTTGATTAAGCTAACAAGCCCCCTCACATATAAGCCGACTATTAGAAGCTCGTCTAAATAGAAAAAGAGTATCGGTCGTACAACCCATGAGAGAGGCACAGCGATTCCATATAATGTAGGAAAGATCAAGTCATCTAGCCGATAATCAACCAATTATGAGAGGAATAGGCACATACATTTACTTCACGGTTTCGTTGTCTCATTTAATGTTGGCTTATTCTAACAGTCCAAGTTTTTTCGCAGCCATAGCATGCAAACCCGCAGCAGCTCTCACGTTCACCATCTCACTCTAAGGCATCAAGGTACCCCATCTCAGCTCTCGTCATATCCTAGAAAAGCAGACATATGGGCAACATTCATTTCAAATGCTGGACAAAGGAAAGAACCAAATAACTCGCTGAGGCCAGGAAGAATTCCTCCCTACCCAGAATGCCGGCCCACTAAATCCACAATGGTACCGCGACCACTCGCCCTCTGCCATTTTAAAGCAAGTTATTCACACATCATAAAAGAAATCCATTCCCTTTTAAAGAAAATTAAACAGAACCATGATAGCATGGACACATTAAAAAAGAACTCAATCAAATTGTACTCGAGATTGAAGGTGCTGCTATTGATTTCCAAAATAAGCGAAAACAATTGATGAGCTCAATAAATTTAATATTTATAAATGAATCTATTCATCCACACCTCATAAAAGAAATCAATCAATTTATATCCTTGGAGACACATTTGCCATCTGATGAAATATATGGCAAATGTGTCTGTTATGAACATGTTGACAAACATAACCGAGCTAACTAAGAGCTTCTAGTTGCTCCTCGAATCGTAGAGAAGGTTGATCACATTTTTCATGTAAAAAATATTCACCTGGACGGTTTTAGCTTTTTGCACAGCACGATGAGCACGTGGCATTAAAGAAACTTTTTTCTCAGATGGCAATTGTCTAACAGAGGACATTGATAATTATCACAATCAATTTATTAAAAGTCATTGTCATTTGACTGTGTATAACCGAAATTTTATATGTCAACACGAAACATTCACTAAACACAATAATAGCACAGGAGATAGCTACTATTAAAAATAATACTAATAAGAAAATCCTCTGATGGATTCAAAGTTTACATTTCTGTTCGCACTGGGATCACTCTAACAAGATGGCAAAACCTAAGGGCATATCTTCAATAACTGCGTCCCCACAAATCTTACACGAGCGACTGGGCCAATACCAATTACCTTCAGTAATATGCTGGAAAAGAAAGGAGCATGGTGATAGTTAGAAGCCCTGGAAACAACTTAAAAGGTCCTAAAATCAGAATGAGAAAGAGTATACGTAAAATAAATAAAATTGGAAAAACTATGTCAGAAAAAAAATCCAACTGTTCAATTAAACGAAAGCTTAGCGCATAAAGCAGGAAAATAACTCCTGGAAATGAATAAACATAAAATATAGAAACAGAAATCAACCACGGAAAGCTCACATCTACATGTCCACCAGTTATAAAACATGAAATTAAATTGAACCATGGCGCTTGTTCTTCGAATGTTATGCTTTCCCTCTATTTCATTCACACATTCATTTCCCGATCATCTCTCTTTCAATCTGAAGAATGTGTGCCCAACGACAGATCTGAAGCATTAACAACAGCTTCAAGATTAAATATGTGACAAGTTGGCAATTGGTAGACATTTTCACCGACATGGATCTGAAGTCACTATTGAACGTACTGCGAAATGGACTTCTAGATCTGGAAATCCTGACATCTGAGATGCCAAAGGCTTCCCTAAGATCTTGCATGCTTAAGCTATCAATGATTTAATTGATTATGAAACAAACATGAGGTAGAGTAGATTTGTTTCATGAGTAGTGTCAACTAACACACCTCCAATGTCACCCGAACATCAACATCTTCGTTCTGACTATCTTTTTGTCCCTTTCCGCGTCAATGTTTCCTAGCTCCTCTAAACAATGTCCATCCAATCCTCAAAAGAAGCATTCAGTCATGTCGAGACCAAGCATATCCATATAATCCCTCGTTACTCCCGCGCAAATTTAAAAATTAACAGTAGAAAAAAAAAGGAATTTCTGATCTTGTACTTTTCTCACGATACCAACTTCCGATTGCTGCTCTTAACGCTGACACATTGCCCCCTTCCCCATTTCACTCCACCTAATCGGCCATTGTCCCCCATCGGTGTAAATCCTCTTACAAGAATGACCTTGTGAGCTCTTGTGAGCTCTGCTTATATTTTTTATCTTCTATTTCCTCGCTTCCCACAACACTTAAACGTCACAAAAATCCAAGTCGGTCTGCCAATTTCCCTCAGTTTCTTGATGGATAATGGAAGGGATTTTACGCCACCTGAGCCTCGCTTCACATTCTCATATGCTCATAGTAATAAGATAACAAAGGGATCTCACGGCTGCAACCCTATTAGATCCAATTTCTACAGCTTCGTCTAGAACTAATTTCACTGAGTGAATGTTTTACACACTTATAGCAGAGAGGAAAACATTTCATTGGGACAGTATCTGAAATTAATTTCATTGAGGAAG